GGTACTATGCCTGGAGATGGGAGGTTCAACCTAGGTAAGCTAAGAGGAGGTAGGCAAGTAACAACGCCGGGCTGGCTAACTCGACTAGGCCGTGCCGCCGCCGCGGCATCCCAGCACATACCTGTCGAAATAACGTTCTGTCGCGGTCTAGATCTACGAGGGGGAGAGGAATCCCGGGCGTGAGTAGGCATGTGTGAGCGTGTGTAGGATCTAGAGAGATGAGGGAGGCAGAGAGAAAAACGGAGAGAGAGAGAGGCAGAGGCAGAGAGAGAGATGAAAGAGAGAGATCCATTCTCGCAGCAGGCTCTCAGGCCGGCAGATGCGTGGTGATCTGGCCGCCGGCCGACCAATTCGGCGCAGGGATGGGTGTCATACCTAAGCAGCCACGGAACGCTGTATAATGGACAACGAGTCTGCAGCTATATATAGGTAACTTGCATGGATGGGTACCTAAGGTGTACCTACCATACCTTGCACACCTACATACCTCCACGCAGTATATATAGGTAGACGCACACGAATATCGTATATATTCGCGTATGCGACGTACCTCTACATGCGTTGCCTGCATTAGGTACCTCCTCCTCCTCTTCCTCCTCTCCTCCTCCTCCTTCCTTCTGCTGCTCTCTTCCTTCTACGCGCGTACCCCTACGGACGGACCGGGCCTACCCGCCCGTCCCCTTTAGCCGGCTATTACATACCTACCTACCTAGGTATCAGGTGTGCGACTTGCGGGTTCCGTAGCCACGGCCAGCATTCGAGATCAGCACTGCGCGGAGGAGGGAGGGAGAGAGGTCTGCGCGGCGACGAGGAGAGAAGGAAGCAAAGAAGAGAGGAAGAGGAAGAGGAAGAGAAGAAAGATGCACGGAGGGCAACCCGGGTATGCGGGTTGCGTCCGTCTGCTTTCCGGCGATACGATGTGCGTGCAAGGACCGGGTCTGCAACGGGAGGAAAGCTGAGCAGAGAGATGCGGGCGGCGCTGTCCCATACATACTGTAGGGAAAGGGACTTTTGCTGCGCCGTGGGTGTCGACAAGGGTGGAGGGGAGGGTGTGGGCGGTTGCAGTCCGGCACCTAACGCAGCCAACCAGCCAGACGGCCGGCCAGGCCCACCATCTACCTGCGTACGCATAGAAATATATCTACCTACCTAGAGGTAGTGTGCATACGTCGATACATATACCTATGCGCTATGCGACCTGCCTACCACCTGCACAGGTGCTCGGTGTCGCGCAAGTGGGATAGATCGAGGCCCTCGCGCTCATGCGCACACACATACCTAGGCAGGTAGGTATATCGACCCGCGCATTCGCGTCCCTCCTGGGCGAGGCGGGGAGGGCAGAGGGAAGCGCGGCAAGAGGCCAGACGGGCTCAGTGTAAGCAAGGTAAGCAAGCCAGCGCGAGGAAAGACGGTCAGGCCTGAGAGTAGGGATTCCGCATCTTGTCACATCCACCTCAGCACAGCAGAGGCTGGGAGGGGAAAGGGAAAAAAAAAAAGGAATTCGGGAGGCGATCCGGCCGCCGTGGGTGTGGTAGCAATGCAGGTCCGGCCGGTACGTAAGACCAGCGGAGATGGGTAGCAGAGGGATGGAATCGATGGACGCCCGTTTTTTTTTTTTTTTTGCCTCCCCAGGGAGACGAGAACGGGATACCTCCTCGTGGAGGGGCACAGGAGGAGGGGTCGGTCGCGCGCGGCGGAAAAAAGGGGGGGGAGGGACGGAGTGAGGAACTTGTGAGCGAGCAGCGAGGCCGCGAGGGGGTGGTGGCAGCGGGCGGCGGGCTCGAAAGAAGGGTAGGCATCCGGCAGGCAGGCGGGAAGCGAGGTGTGGTCGCACGGCTCTCTCTCTCTCTCGGCTGCACCTACGGAATGCGGATCGCGCGTTCGCGGCTACACATGCGTCGCCTGGGGTACGTTCGGGGTACAGAGCCAGGTACATGCGGTGCGCTGCGTGCACGAGGCACATCTGACCCGGACAGAGGTTCCTGTTCCTCTCTTCGCCCTCCGAAGCTCCGCCTGCTCGCGGGGTCCTTCCCAACCAGAGGCCAACCAGAGGCCAACCAGAGGGACCAAGTGGCCAAGTACATGGTAGGTACTACCTCATGTAGCATAGGGGAGAGGGGACCCGACGGCGTAGCGCCTATGAGTTAAAGACTTGAGGCGCCGAGAGAGCGTTAGGTACCTGGCCACCTCTGTCGCGAGCCCAACTAAAAGGCCTGGGTACCGACTGGCAGGTCTATAGGGGAGTACGCTACCTACCTAGGTAATCTACCACCCTGAGGCAACCTGGCCTAGGTAGGTTAGGTACCTAAGGTATTGCTCACACAGTTTATGCTCGCCGGCAATCGTGCCACGGTTTCAACCTTTTTTTCTTCTTTTTTTACTCGCGCACCGCCCGGTTGCTTGATAAGATCCCAGGTCCAGGACGATTCCCCCGCCTCTTCACTCTAATTATGCGTATATACATACATATCGAGACCGCCCAAAGCCCCCCCGTCTCCCTAAGCCCAGCTGGGCTAGCAGCGACATGGAGAGAGATACCTACCTACCTACCGCTTGCATGCCTAGACGTGTCTGCCGGCCTCTGCGATGCCGATTCGCGCGACGTAGCCGACGTCGGAGAAGGGGAAGCGGTCGATCTTCGTCGCTTTGGGACGAGGCAGGACGCGTGCCAGAGGGGACAGGAAATTGGGAAGTGGGAAGAAGAGGGGGAGAACGTGACCGGGCAGAGAGACACGATGCCAGGCACCGCAGATGGGAGGGGGGATATGAGAGCGGAGAGCGAACACCATCGATCCGCACGAAGAATTCTACGGGTCAACAATGGCGCTTGTTTAGCTGCCTGGGAGTGGGAACCGCCACCGCATCCGTCGACCGAATTCTAGGGCTCGCCGCCCCCATTGTGACTTGCGAGGCGCATACCCGGTTACCTTGGGTATGTGGACGTGCAGATATTCAACATGCGGCCACGCACATGATGCGAAGCCCCCGCCAACCTGAGGCTATCCTTTAGTAAGGCGCGTAGAAAAGGCGAGGTTTTTGAGCTACTTACCACATATTGCCTTCTGACGGGGCCTAATGTATGTCACGGTATGTGGCGGGGATATGGGAGGCGCCCATCTCCCGCCGCGGGCAAGGAGTTGCGCAGATGTAGGCATGGACGAGACGGGCATAATGGGCGGAGACGGCGCTGGGTCGCAGCAAAGCGCGAACGACTACTCATACATCCACATCCACATCCACATCTACGCACATACCTACATACCTACCTACCTGCCTGCCTATGCATACCGGCCTCGTACCAGCGAAGTGTGCAAGTAACATGATCATGCGAGTCAACGCCGAATATCAATACCCGCAAACGGCGGAGAGGGAGGCCGCAAGGCAAGGCAATCCCCGGCTCGGATATGCACAGAGGAGCGTCCCGCACGCGTAGCCGCATACCTACAAATATATTTGCACGCACACATGTCTATACTGTCAGGTTGGTAGGTATATACATACATACCTATACACACCCATATATCTAATACTTGATATGCATGTCGAAGAGACACGCCTTACCCGTGGCGCAGTGGATTCGCACAAGGTGACCGTCCGATGTCCCGCCCTGAGCAGCCCGTCTCGCCGTCCAAGTCGCGGCCTGCATTTTCCGGCTCTAACCTCGCTCATCTCAGGCCTGCACGTGCCGTGCTTCTCCCCCCCCGACGACCTACTTACATAGGTTCCTACCTACCCACCCGCCCTGTACGCAGACGTGTGCCACGCAAGAAGCGACCGGCAGCCGAAACGGGGCACTCGTGCGGGCTGGGCTGGGCGAGGCAAGGGAGTTGAGTGCACTCGGCGAGAGGGTATGAGACAGAGAGAGAGAGTGTGTGTGTGTGTCGAGGTTAACGCGCCAGCCGCTCTCGTTCGCAGACAGGTGCACACAGGTAGGTTACCTACTTTTACATCGAGCGCCGCGCACAAAAAACCAAAAAAAAAAAAACTCCCCCACGTTTTTCCCTCTCCCGCCCCCCTTCCCACCCCACTCCCAGCGACGAAACCGGGAAACCCGTCCTCTCCTCCTCCCCTCCCCCTCCTCCCCTTCCCTGCCCTCCCGCCGCGACAAGGGCGGTAGGCCGTACCTACCTATGCGATGGGCGCGCGCATATACGTAGGCAGGCAAGCCGACACGCCGCAGCGCTGGTGCGACAGCCCCTAGGAAGGGAAGAGGGGGGGGGGGGGGGTAGCCGCACGAATGAGGCGGCGGCCGCGCGGCGGGTAGCGCGCCACGCCGCCGCCACGCGAAGCCTCGCCGCCCGCGCCGTCGGGCTTTTCGAGAGAGGAAAGGGGAGGGGGGGGGGAGAGAAAGCGTGGGGGTGGGGCGCACAAAGACGACGGCGCCGTCGCAGAGAAATTTTTTGTAAAAGAAAAAGCAAAGAAAAGAAAAGAGAAGAGAAGCGGGTGGGAGGCGCGAGGAGAAGGCATGGGAGATACCTGCTGAAGTCGGCGCGTAGACTGCCTTACCTGATAGGTATATTAAGGCGTGGGATGGGATGTACGGCTGGCTGTGCGACGAGGCGCGGTAACTCGGTTGGCGACTAGCCAGCCTTGCCCTCGGCTGCTCGCGGCGGTGAGACTACGACCGCGACCACGGACAAGGTCGTGAAGTTTCCGGGGGGGGGGGGGGGGGGGAGTGGGCGAAGATCGAGGAGGGCACACGCGGTACGCGGCTGGGGATAGGGCAGATAGGCCGGGTTTGAAGAACTCGCCCATGGTATAGTGATAGGGGCGTCTAGGGGCCGGGCCGGGGGACGATTATTCCCGAGGGCCTGGAACGGGCGCGGTCGTTGCCTGGAACACCCGGAGACGAGCAGTATCTGATGGCTTACGCTGAGCTCCGTGCTACATCATGTCACAGTCATGAGATTCCGGTGGGTAGACGACGTGTCAGGCCGCGCCCAGAAGAGTTATCTGTAGATTCGCGACACCTCCTCCTCCTCCTCCTCCTCCTAAGGATTGCGAGTAAAGGGCCGACCGGCGAGATATGCCTGCGATAGACCCCAAACGAAGCAGACAGGCAGTGAAGCGTATCCGCGCCTCGGACCTGGCCGAGTCCAAAACGTGCCATCAGGCTCGGGACGAATTTCTGCTGCACGTAGGCGGCGTAGCCTTAGAGGGCACTTCTCTCCCCTGCTCTCTTTCTTGTCCTTTCCCCTCGCCTGGCCACCGCTTGTCGGATGAGGTGTGGCACTGCCCGTCCCGACCTACCGGAAATGTCCCGTGCTCACGTTGCAGCACTTCAGGTTTTCACACAGCTTCCCGCACGGGATCTGGCACGTCGCAGCCATCGCCGCCGCCGCTGCCGCCGTCTCGGGCCGCCGTCTCCTAGCCGACGCGCCATCATTAGCGGCGGTGGCGGCGACCGCGCGCGCGCTTGTCTGCGCTCCCGCCTGCCCTACAAACATCCCAGAGCTTCCGCCGTCCTGGGTATTGCGATCGGTGTCCTCGGTGCTGCTAGCCCCAGGGACGGCAACGGTCGAGGCGGCGGAGGAAGAAGAGGTCACTGCCGCTGCCGCTGCCGCTGCCGAGAGCTCCGGCTGCAGCGTCGCCGAGTGAATGCCGTAGGCGTGCAGGCACTCGGCGACGGTGCGCGCGCGCGCCATGAAGTCGGTCATGTGCGCGTCCGATACGACGACGTGTGCCGTCGCGATCGCCTTCTTCTGGTCGAGCCGCCAGATGTGCAACTCGTGCACCGATTCGATACCGGGAATCTAGTGGGAGAGAGTGAGCCGAGGCCCACAGGCAGACAGACAGGAGAGTTAGAAATTGTAGGGGGCGACGACGACGAATATGAGGAGATAAGATGGGGAGGCGAAGGAATAATGATGGAGCTAGTACGTCTCTAGATTTAGGGGGAGGGGGCGCAAGTCCACGCATAGCCGGGGAAGCAAGCGAGACACCGCCACCATAGACACCGCCGTTATGGACACGGCACCAGTCATAGTAGGGCGAGGAAATAAAGACAGCGGCGACTCACCTTTTCGAGGTCATGCTTGACGTCGCCTAGGTCGACGCCGTGGGGTGCACTCTGCATGAGGATGCGGCCGCTGTTCTTGACGAGGGGAACCGATGTGGCGAGGATCATGGCGGCGATGGCGGCGCCGACGGCCGGGTCGGCGTAGAACCGTCCCGGCGCCGGTGCCGCGAGCCACACGGTGAGCGCCGCAGCGATCACCCCGACGTTATTTGCCGCGTCGCCTAGCACGTGGATCAACACCCCCATCATCCCCAGGTCCCGCCCCGGCGACTGCAGCGTCGTGATCGTGTGCCGGTGCTCCGCATGCGCGCTAGTGGGCTATATGTTTTGACCCCGCCGCCCTTCCGTGTCAGTGAAATGGTCCCGCGGCGCGGGGAGCGTTTGGCGTGTGGGTTGCGTGGAGAGGAGAGACTTACCGTAGGGGGTTTGTCGTCGTCATCCCGGTCCTGGCTCGAGACATCTGTAGTTCCTCCTATGCCGGCCTCAATACATACCTGGTTGCGGCTGTGTCCGCTGCCGTCGCCCTCAGCTTGGCCGTGGTCATGCGCGTGCGAGTGGCCGTGGCCACTGTGCTCGTGCAACACAGCCGCGCTTATGATGTTCAATGCCAGGCCGACACATCCTAGGATGAGAACGAGCTTGGGGTTTTCGACGGCTGTAGCAGTTGGTCAGGAAGGTAAGGGAAGGGGAGCAGATTATAAGACACCCACGTTCGAGGAAGATAAACCTCTCGATCGACTGGAGCAAGATGGAGATCCCGAGCGCGAAGAGGAAGACGCCGTTGAAGAAGGCGCCGAGTAACTGGGCGCGCGCCCACCCAAACGAGAAGGCCTTCGGTGACTGCGCAGATTCCGAAATCTGGTATTTATCTTAATCCCGTTCTTCGAAAGCCATCCCAACTTCGAGAGTAAAAGGGTAGAGGGGAATATTTGGAATGGAAGAACGTACAACTATTGCAACTAAGGCAACGATAAATCCGATGAGGTCGTTCATCTGGAGTTGTGTTAGCTGGGCACGGACTTGGCGGGCGGGCCGAGTTTGTCATCGAAGCTAGCAGAGGTCCGGCATACGTAGTGGAAGGCATCCGCGAGAAGAGCTAGAGACCTGGTGTAGAATGCCACTATAACAGCCGAGAATCAGCATGAAGTCAACAGGTAACTGATACCCAGAAGGTACTAAAAGAGGTCGAGCTTCGAGCCAACGTACCAACAATCTCGGCAATGAAGAATGTGAACGAGATGCCTATAGTGATATATAGCGTCTGTTTCGACGAGAGCCGAAGCCAAGCCATGGTCATAGGCAATTGCAGGGTGCAAGTTTGGAGCCGGAAACAGGATGCCTGGAGGATTGACTGTCAAGACTATCGGTGATGATCGCCGAGTCTTGGACAACGAGGGGAGCGGGTAGGTGTTCGTTGATAACCGCGCCGAATGCCTGTTATAGGTACTTATGCGCCAATACAGCAGAACCTGTTCGGGCCTAAACGGTGGAAAACAGATGTAGAAGAGGCAGTGATGCTTCGCAACCCTTTACTAGGAGGTAGGCAATTCGGTTTGAGTAGCCGTGGCGACGAGGTGTTGCTGCTTGAGCACGTTAACGGGAGTTTAATATAAACCGCCTCATGGAAACAGCAATACTGTGGCAACGCCTTCCGCGGTCATTTGCAGGGCGGATGGAGATCGAAGAAGAAGGAGAGATAGAAGGCCCGAAGATGTTGGCTATGCTTCTAAGCGAAAGGATAGCCTTCGCGAACATATCAGTTCCCGTTCGTCGGTCGAACAGAGGCATAGTAAAGTGTTCACCTACCTGAGAATGGATGGTTCCCGAATGCGTGTGCTGTTTCTGGATCACCAGTGAGACGTGAAATCCCTAGCCTTGGGGGGGAAAAGAATGGCCTCTGCGCTGGCAAAGACAACGGAGCCCGACGGCGTTGTGGATGCAGATAAACGTGTGTGATTTACGGATCCGCCTGACTTGGATATGACGAAACGACACCGGCTAATGACAACGTGTTGACTGGGTGGCCCTAAGGTTGAGATCCCCTTTATCTCTCTCTTTTAGCCTGGGGGGACTTAGTAAACGATAGAACGCGAATGCACTCATGAACTATATCAATATGCCAAACGCCACGGATATGTATAAATGGGAGCGTGAACATATACGCGTGTCCATGTCCCGATATATGTGTATTATAAGTGTGTGTGTGCCCCTGTGCTCTTTCCCACGGGAACCGGCCGTTCCGGTGTCTGGCAGACCTATCGAGCACAGCCAACTCACCGGGTTGCTAGATAGGAGAGGGCGGCATACCGTGGACAGTTGCCGGATTCAGTTTGCCCGCAGCGCATCTAGATCCCTCCCCGAGAGCTAGGTATGCGTCGGGTTATCGGAGAATGGTAGCATTGCATGCATCTCGCTTCCGCGACCTGCCTTAAAGGCCGTCCTGCCCGAGTAGGCCTGACGTCGGTGTAAAATGGCGAGGGGTGAATCGATAGGGAAAAATTGGTCGGATAGAGTTCAAACCTGGAGGATTTTGTGACGAGTCGAGGTGGGAATCTAGACACCGCACTTACCCTTGAAGTGCATGGCCACCGTGTTCTACTCGCTATATGATCGCGGGATTTCGAATCCGTAGGTGGGACGGAATCATGGTAGAGTCACTCGAACAACACTGCGCTACACGTCTGACGTATGCCGGGTGACAATACCGCCCCCGTGAAGGCATCACAGATCAACGGGGGAAATTTTGGCCTTGTCCACCACATTGATAGTGGTTGGTGATATGGCAATCTGCAAGTGAGGAGTATTCCGCGTGAACGGCACCGAATACCCGGCGACTAAGAATCTTCGGGGGACGTGAGGGAGAGGCGTCCGGGTACAACAGTGAGCTTGATTGGAGAACGATTTCCGTCGACACGTGTGTATCCTCCCACATATCCAGTGGCGGGCGCGGCTGGGCGTCTGTAGTGCGTTACACAGCCGAATAGTCTGACCGTTGCGAGGAACGAAATCTGGAGCAGGTCGCGATGTTTGCTGACGGACGAGTCGTGTATGAACTGGGGACGACTATGAGGGACGAGGACGACCGGGGTCGTGTGCGTTTTCGTAGTGTCGCCGAGTTCTCGTCGAATAGCTCTACGCATAGGGCTTTTTCCCCTTTCTTGATCTGGGTATGATTTTTGACCCTGGAGACGGGCGTAGAGGAATCGACTACGGGTACGTGCTTGCGTTACCGAAGCGCAAGACTGTCAAGGTCTCCATACCGTCTCTTTTCGAGGATATGATGGCGCAGAATGCCGAAAAATTGGAGGCAATAAGGCTAGGGTAGGAAAGCCGATCAGTTACAGGTATGCAGGTGTCTAGTAAGCAGCCGGATTCGCGGACGGGAGGGCATGCTAGGTAGGTAACACCGAAAAAAATCAAGATCACGGCCCTCGAGTCCGTCTGGTGGCTATTAGCTCGGAGCTCCAATCTGGAAGTCCGAGACCACTAAGCCCTGGAGTTCGATACGGACTCGGAAAACCTCGCCATGGCGTCTTGTCGGTCGCATCGAGCGTGGATAGCTTCCAGACGACAATGAACAGAATCTGGGTTCTGATCATCAGATATTCGATGGCCGGTAGCGGAGGCGAGATATCTGTCGATTCGTCTCCCGAGTGCGCCGCTACTCGCTCTCACCCGCGCCGTCACCCAACCCGCGGATCGTACCGAGGTCTTGGAGAAGAGGGTTCGAGGACCTGCAGCCTCGAGCTGAGATATCTTGGGCCCCTTTTGTTCGATTTTCTTTTCAGGATGCGGCGCGAGCAGCGAATATGCGTGGGGATGTTGAGATACGAAAAAGGAGCGAAACAAGTGCTAATCCCAGGCCCTGATCTTGAAAGACGTGCAAGTTTACCGACCAGTTGACAGAGGACCTCTATTTGAGAATATATCTCAGTATGCAATACTAATTCGTTACATATGTAATCGATTGAGATATGGCATGGTGTTGTGTCTTATCTGCACGTGACTCGTTGTCAATGCAGGCCACCGCCCAGAAGGCAGATCCTCTCGCCGCATTCCGCGAATACCGTCAACTCCTTTTTTCCGTTTCACTTCTACATATGTATGGGCAATGTGAGCATCGCCGCACCAACCGATGACGCGATAACTGCAATACCGAACACGCACCACGCGGGGGAAGCACTCTGTCCTCCTGTAACAATGCATCCTGGCGTGCTTGACGTAGGATAATAGAGGCGCAATGTCTCGAAGCACCAACTTCTCGCCCTCGGCACCGCGCCGAGCCACGCAATGGACGTCACACTTGCGACAGTTCAGCAAATCGAGCTTCGACAAGACCTCTGCCGAGTCCTCGATTGCTCCCGATCCAGCCGCTCCTACCGGCTCCGCCTCCCGAGATACCTCGTCGTCGAAGCGTGTGAACGAACGGATATGCAGCGTGACCATTAACGAGTCCGTCATTTATGATGAGGTCCTCCTCAATCTCGACCTGTTCGGAGGCACCATCCAACCCGGCACTCTGATGTCTATCGTTGCGGTCAAGTCGGACCAAGACCGAGCACCGGTTTCTCAGTACGGGAGTCTGAGGCAGACACCCCATTACCGGGGATTCGTCCCTGCTGCGGCTAACGAAGATCCCTCCAAGCTCGATAACGATGCGGGCCAAAGGTACATCTTCGTCGCCAAGGACGTCTCGAAGGAACTGAAGGGTAGACACCCGAATATCGAGGTCTACGTCTCCAAGCAGATCGGCGCCGCCTTCAATATGAGGAAGGGAACTCAGGTTGTCCTCTCCCCGGTTGACCGCTTCTCGCCTGCCAATGAGGCGTCCCACGTCGAGCTCTCCTTCAAGGACATGTATCTGTCCCGCGCTGACATGTGGAGGCTCGCCGTCACCGACTTAACAGACCGAACTGTGTACAAGGGCCAGGCGGTATACTTCCTGGGAACCATCAAGGCTACCGTGAGTACCGTTTTTGTAGAGGGTCGTAAGGTACAGTCCGCATTCTTTGGCCGCAACACGCGTCCTATCTTTCGAAGCGAATCTGCCAGATACGTTCTCTTCATACAGATGGCGCGCGAGATGTGGGACTTCGACTCCGATGCCTCGGGTGAGATTATGTTCTACAAGGTCGTCAACGGATTCCTGCCCGCTTTATTCAAGAAATGGGCACTGCTACAAGTCAAGCACTTGGTCAGCATTGTGCTCTTCGCTAGGGTTGAATATGACACAGGCCTGAATATAGAGTTGGCCGGTTCGGATCTCCATAGCCATTATTATACTGGCTTCCAGACCTCTGGGGACAGACGCCCGTTCAAGGACTTTTACCGAGTTGTTGTCAGTGAAATGTCTAGCGGGGAGTGGACCAAGATCCTGCACCAACTCAAGAAGGAGTTCAACGATTTCCGTCGTGATATTAGCCTTCACCACCGAGACGCGATGAGCAGTGCTACGGACGGTCCGGAGGACGTATCCGCTAGAGGCACATCGGCCGCCAAGATCAAAGCGCAGTCTTCGCTGGCCATGTATGGAAATTTTCTCGAGGCCATCAATATGGCGTCGTCTTTGTATGCGCACGACTATATAGATCGGGACCTGCTGCGCACCGGTATATCCATAGTAGTCATCAGCCCTGGGCCAGGCGTCTTTGAAGTGGAGTATGAATCCTTGCGGCGGACAACTGAGGCTCTGGTCGGCAACGGGATCGGCATTGATCTGATATGTATCCCGAACATACCTCTTCATTCCGTTCCTCTATTCCGGTACCGAAATCCCCACTTTCTCGAGGCTAACCAGAGGTCTCACTCTCGGGGGGTGAGGAGCCGCGAGAGTACCCCCAAACAGCCAACGCCTCTGGCTTCCAGCCTTACCACGCTGGGCGAATCTGTGTCCCCCACGAAGGCGGGTGATCCGTCTAGTCGGGTTGATTTGGCAAGCTCTACGACGTACGCAGACGAATGGGTCTTCGCCGTGCCACAGTGGTTGCATATATCTTACTGGACTGGAAAGTCTGAAGAGGCGTTGTCTTATCAGGGCATCACTCTGTCGACCTTGAACCATTCTCCAAGTGAGACTCTGGATGATTTCACCATTCGATGTAGACTCTACGACCTCCAGATGAGAAGCGTGCTCGAGACTAACGAAATCGAGACAACTCCACTGCATGCCGATCCCGCTTATTCAAGTACCGTCGGCGCCGTTGAGAACGGGAAGAGATTGCTTGGTAGTGGTGCTCGTCCGTTGGCCCCTAACAATAGCCGCAAGGCCACGGAAACCTTGTTTGAGCCAGTATATGGCTTTCTCAGATTTAATCCCGAGAAATTGGCCAAGACGGGAGAAACGCTGCTATGGAAACAGCTGCAGAGCTACGATGAGACAAGAGCTCGGCTTCCGGCGCGTCGACCTTCAACGCTGGCCGACACCTTTCGAGAACTAGACGAGAGCGCCGGTAAACAACTGGTAGAAGACGCGAACCTCTTCGGCACCTCAGTCGGGGACACCCGAGGAGCGGGTTCGTCGGTGTTATCCTCGAGTGTTACGTCGACCAGGGTTAGGATAGATGGGTCCGCATCGACTGCCGTTTCTCGACGCAATTCTACGGTCAATTCCCAAGCTAAGCTGACAGCGAAGCAACCCAAGATTATGAGGCAGATTAGTCTCGGCCAGCGCGGCTTCGGTATCGCGGCTCCCACGTTAGCAACAGCTGAGCTGAGAACAGAGACTGTTTCTGGCGTGGGGACAAGCAGCGCACTCCAAGTCGCTTCCACCCCGAGGCTCGTCCCCGGGACGCCCACTAGGCCCGCCACGGCTCGGCCAGGCTCCTCGAAGGCGACGGCCACTACTGATATCCTACAGGCTTTGGACCAATCTGATTCCTTGGCCGAACTCACGCAAGCAACACCTAGTCGCCCGATCCAGATTAGAATTCCTACTCAGCCTCTCGATCCGATCAGCACGTTGAGATCTGGCCAAATGCCAGCAACACCCGTCGCCAGGAGTGTGCGGCTCGACGACCGAGACCTGAGGTACTCAAATGCGCTCAGGCAAGAAGATCAGAAGAGGCTCTATAATTCGAAACTACGGGCCGGAGCGGTGCCCGAACTGCCCTCAACGCTGTCTCCCACCACTGCCATGGCGCCGTGGCTGGTGGTTCTTAATCCGTCAAATCCGGACGTGAACAGGGTCGACGACTCGATCCTGTTCAGTCGATGGCAGCACGTCTTTCCGCGGCCATCCGAGATGAGGGTTATGAAGTGGAAATCCTTGTCGTGCCCTGCAGCTGTTCCGCTAACTACGGAATATTTTCCCACTCGGGTACAGTTCAACACCGAGTACCAGCGGCAGCCGTACAATGTCTCACAAGAGATAGACGAGGATCTCGTCGAGCAACCCAAATCGCGCGTAGAATTTCTGAGAGAGCTAGTTAGTGCTCGGCTATCTCACGGGTTTCAGATCGTGATCGGCCCGTCGGTGGCTAAAGCGTTTGACCAAAAGGCCGTACGGATAGCGGACGTCTTCTCCATAGACAAGACAGTCGGCGATGGGACAAGCATCTTTATGAGCGTCGGAAATACCATACATCAATTGTCGTGTGTTAATGGCACCGAAGTCGAAGTAAACATTTACGTACGAAAGCCGACCGAGCCGTCGACACCGATGAACCACACGTCTCTATATAGACCGGCCATCCGGACCCTGCTGGATAAGACATACGATACCGTCGATATCGACATAATGACCCCCAAGCCGGAGCGCAACTGGAACTATATAGACTACTATCTCGCCGGCCACAATGACGAGATGATCGAAAACCTGAGGTACTGGCGCGCTCGATTCGTACTTATACCCATGTATCCTAGGACGCCGTCTGCTCCCGTCGCACAAAACGAGGATGACGAAGAAGAGGTACGCCTCGAGGGAATCAAGAGACTTGCCCAGTTTTGGCAGCGACATCGATTTCTTTCGCCCTCTGAGCGGCAATTCCAAAGTTCTGGGGCTAGGAAACGGGATCCGAACCCTCTCGACATCACGTACAAGACCGAAGACCCGTCTGTAGTAATTTCTGCGGAAACGGAGCCGGCTCTCTCTCTCTTCGATCACGCCGAGCAGACGCATCGCAAGGTCCTGGTGTCGAATAAGGAACGATTCTCCAAGACCAACTTCAATGTTGCCACTCTCGCCGAAGCGATACAGCTGCCCGTTGACCTAGGAGGGATTCGGATGCAGACACGACGCTGGCATTTCCGAATCCACTACCACTGCTTCATCGGGTCTGACATGACGACCTGGTTGCTGGACAACTTCGAGGATCTCGAAAGCCGGGAGGAAGCAGTGGAGCTAGGCAATTCCCTAATGGTTTTCGACGATGAAAAGTCGAAGGATAAGGACGGTAGCGGCAGGGACGCCAAAAAGGACCGCGACCGCGGCATCTTCGTCCACGTCGAGAAGCGACACCCGTTCCGCGATGGTCAATTCTTCTATCAGATCGTCAGCGATTATGCGAAGCCTCATTCGCTCAGTTGGTTCAATCCGAGGAGAAGAGACGTCTCGGTCCCTTCTACGCCGTTATCAGAGAACCCCCCGAAAGACTCGCCGCGACCTAACCCGGCTGGGATGCAGCGGCCGATGTCGATCCACGAAGAAGGCTCACCCGTTTCGGGCAGCACGACGCCGACCCTGGCAACGGCTGGCGGGGCGCGTCTAAAGGTGCTCCTGAGCAAGATGATGAAGTACGACGTAGACCATCGCAAGAAATCGTATCGCCCCGAGCGGATCAATCTGCATTACGATCGGCTCCATAACCCCGATAACTGCTACCACATCCGAATCGATTGGATGAACGTGACGGCGAAACTGATCGAAGATGCCCTCAAATCCTGGGCGGCGATAGCCGCGCAACATGGCCTCCGCCTCGTCGAGGTGCCCATCGCGGAGATCAGCCGCATCACCAGCGTCAACCCCTTCCGCCGGCCGTACCATATCAAACTAGCACTCCAGCCCCCTGCCCAACGTCCTACAACCTATTACGACCCTGGTTCGTTCGTTCCGCAGACTCATCCTGGAAAACACTACTACCAGAAGGCTCTGCTGAGGAAGTTTGACTACGTGCTCGACGTCGAAGCCGCGTCTAACTTTCCGGGCAACGTGGATGTCGGTTACTCGTGGGGCAAGCCGGACTTCCGGTACTCTCAATACATACATCGCTCAGGCATGATTCTGGCAGAGATCACGGATGAAGGCGATTTCCTACTCCTAGCCAACAGGCTCTACAGCAATAGGACTGCCGCGTTCCAACCTGCCCAGCCGCGCGTCGACACGACGGCGCCTGCCGAACGTCCGTCGCGACTCATGACTTCTGGCGTCGGGTATACCAACTATAATCTAGTCGAACCTACTCCCATCTCGTCGCCCATGTTCAGACCCGTCCTCTTTCCGTCGCCAGCCTCCCGGATCCCGCCCGAACCGTCACCTAGCAGCGGGGCCAGCGGGCCGCGAAGCTCTCCGGTACCCGGCTATGGTCTGAGCGAGCCCGAAGCACTCAAAGACGCGCTCCTCGATTTCTGCAGCAACGCGAAGCTCCTCGAGGCGTTTTACAAGGAGACGCTGGAGAAGGGCGTGACGGGAACGCCCATGGTAGGGGCGGCGCCGTTCGGACCCGATGCCGTGCCGGACGCCAATATCCCAACCCTAGTCCTCGGAGGCAACAGCGCCGGCGGCGAGCAGAGCACCAATCCTAGCTCTCGCGTGCCGACGCCGAGTCTAGCGGGCTCCCTCTTTCGGCGAGGCAGCATTCAATATTAGGCAGTTGCGGCGCGATGCTACGATGTGACCCCAGCCTCGTGTGATTTGGATTGGCGATAAACCCTGTGACGAGAACACGACGCCCTGTTTAGGGAGGCATACGTGCATGCACGCATAGGGTTAAATCTATTGCAGGCATGGTACCATGACGGGGTGCCTTGCTAGGCGTTGACGACACCTGCCTCGCGTAAGGCGATATCAATGGAGGAAAATGATGTATGTGTAGTAAGGGTGAAGAAAAGAAAATCTTCATCACGAACTAAGCCACGGTCGACACGCGGGCCGTCAGCGGGCGGTGTGCTTCCTACTCGTACGGGCGTCTAAAATGAGGAATCGGCCTACGCAAGAGATGTCTATTATGCAGGACTTGCCAGGGTCCAGAGCGTGCATTGTCGTAATACGTAGGCATGGCGACGGCGGGCACCCGCGGATCCCGGATGATAGGCCTCCCACCCTCCTCTCCGGGACCGCGGACTTGGGTGGGGATGCGATGCGGTCGGGGGCTGACGGACGCTCTCCTCGCTCGGGCGCCTAGTTGGTTGGGCTGTCTGTAGACTATAATTGGTGCCGGCTTGGCGAAGTGCATACTTGTATGCGCATACGCCGCTGGAGGAACGCGCGGGCGCGCAGGCTGGATCTTTCGTTTGTAGGAGCAAACGCCCACGAAGGCGGCAGCGGATGGATGCACCGTGTAGGCGCCGCCCCTCGCGCCGCGACGACGAGCGACGACGGATCGAGAGGATCTGGTTTGCTGTGGGCTTTGGGGTAATAGAGATAGGCAGGGTGTTTGTCCCCGACGGGACAGCGCAAGACCTGGACGTGGAGGGGTGATGTGTGGGATGGAGTGGTGAGCTTATCGCTTTGTAGGTATCATTTGCTGCTTGCCGGGGCCTATCAGGGCTGGTCCGACAACGGCCTACCAACCATCTCTAGGCGCGAAATAGGAATCCGCCATCGCGCGCGACTGCGCCACCTCTGGATTGACGGGGAATGACATTGGCGCCGTTGAAGGGTGCGACGCGGTGATGAGGTATATATGTGCACAGGTGTCACGCATCTAGGTGTATTCACGGACGGGTTGCGCTGGCGACAAGAAGTGCGATGACGGGGTTGGTTGATTGGGAGAAGCCAAGGCAGATTAGGTGCCGAGGTACACACCCAGCTATTCTGAACCAGCGCCACATTTCGACCTACCAAGGCGTAGGTCCCCACCGGCTACCCCATGACAAGCTTTGGGACAAGGCCCGAAAGTGTCTTGGAATGTCTTGGAGATGCTTGTTGACACTACATGCCTTGGTTCGGGCCCGGGACGCTGTAATTATATACCCACGTTCCGTCCCCTTTCAGAATCACACATTGCAATCTCCTGTTTGGTAGCGTTAGGCCGAGAGGAGAGCTGGCCGATCGGCCCATCACTACCGCATCGCTGCACCTTGTGCACGTTGGGACGTAGGTAGGACCTGAATATGTACCGCCCGGTGGGTGTGAGACCACGAGTGTCGAAGTTCGCGAATCAGCACGACACCGACACGTAGAGTTGGCAACATTGGGTGCCAGCGTGGGACAACGTGACGACGCCGCGGAACGACGGGATCCGGACCCGCGAAACAGGCCATGCACGCGGGACGGGTTGGCAGCGGTGAACAAATCACGGTTGGCTCCGGTCGGTCACTATATTATCAGTTTGTCGCTGCGTAAAGCGGTGCCTCTGTGACTTAGGGATGATGGATTGGGTCGGGCATTTTGGGGACACGTTGTCTCTGTCATAGGAGTCAGTCTCCATCATGGCGTTCGCCGCGGCTTGAGGCAGACAGACCGTTCGTGGACAAGCAGGGAGGAAGGGAAAGAAAAGAGCAGAGCAGCAAGGGAAATTGAAAAGGGGTGAGGACAGGATGTGGTGGTGGTGGTGGTGGTGGTGGTGGGAGAGAGGACGCGAGGGGGTAAAACCCTTGAAGGTGTTTAGATTAGAGGTACGTACGCAGCAGGGCTCTTGATCTAGGTACCTACCCTCCGGGGTAGCCCTACAGGTTGGGAAGATGACCGCGTTGCGAAGCAGATAGTACGCGTTGGTACCTATATCAAGGCACATACCCACGTAAACCAGCGCTTATAAGCTGCATGATTCCACTGTCTCTGTCTCCGTAACCCGACACGGGCATGATCCTGTATATAATAACCATGGAGGGCAGGAGAACGCAGGTGAGGTATTAGGTAATATACCTACTTAGGTATCTACCTAGGTAGGTATCTACAGCTTGGACCAAGGTGCCCCCCGCCTCCCATCCTTGATGTTGAGTATATGTTGCGCCACCCCGGTCCGTCATGCGATCGGGTAGGTTGAGTCGCTGCCCCCCAGAGCAAATCGAATCCCAAATATTAGACCTCTTGTCCTGTTTAATATCGTCGAGACAAGGTAGGTATCGGTGGCATCTGCCGTGGTGCTGGTTAGGTACCTACCTAAGGTATTTGGTGCACTGGGCTGTGTTACGGTTACGGCTGATTACCTGGGTCGGACTTTTGATTACCTACCATGTATAGGTATAGGTACATGCACACGAGAGGTAGGTAGGTGGTATACCTCCCGAAGAAGGTGGTTGAGGTCCCCTAATCTACCAACCGTGTCCCTATTCTCTCTGTCCTCCCCCATTCCCTTCACAAACACACCCCAGCAGCCAGGAATTTCACCATCCTTTTTTTTTTTCCCACCTTGCCGTCATCTCTGATCCATTCCTATCTCAACCGCCTTCTCTAGCGTCCCCAACCGTGTCGTCGCGTACTCAGGTCTGCCTTCGCCTATGAATTGGCCCGGGAGAAGATCCCCCGGCCGCGCATTCAAAGCCGATCGATAAGACGGTATACAGCCTCTCCAGCTTGGCGACAACCCCCCTCTACTTGCATCTCGGAGCCGCGGCATTCGGATAGCTACCTACCTAACCCGTCGACCTTCAGCCCCCAAAGCGCAAGGCAACCAATCCGTGCCCTTCTAGGAACAACGCGTCTATCGCTTTCACGTTCCCGCACAAGGCTTTACAAGGAGGCCTATCGTCGTCGAGGCTGATAAAATGGCCGACGAATGTAAGTCGAATTCTCGCTCTGTTGCCTGTTCCCCCATCTGCCCACGCGCAGTCCCGTCCGCAGCAACGTGCGTAAGGTCGAGATGGATCGTTCGCGACGATATACCTATATATACCCACCATGCCTCTCGGGGCACGTCAATTATGCGTGCGCCAGAGACGGAGGCCTTTTAGGGTTATTAGGGTTGCTATATCCACTAGTCTCGCAGCCACGGCGGAATAAGCAATTCGCGATATTATTCGTGGCATGGGTTCGGCTCCAAGGCTCAATGACCGTTATACATATGGCCGTGCCATTGTCCTCCCTCCTTGATGCTTGGTACCCGCTACTCTAGCATTATTAACGAGAACAAAGACGGATACGTTGTTTGATAACTATGTTCTGCTTCGCCCGGCGCCCAGCGTGCTTCTTTGTTTTCCCGCCCTCTACTTATCATGTTTACTTTATCCTCGTGGATTTTTGCCAGTCGTAGCGAACTGTTCAAAATATCTCACTTGCTCGCACCATTGGATATCCGCTTACAGTATGGACTCACAACTAGTCAATCTCAGGAAGCTGAAGGCGAGGGCTCATGCTCTGGGTCGCCGCGACTCCGGTGGTAGTACGATTCTTAATCCCTTCAGGCGCATCAGCTATGGACCTCCACCGCGCAGTAAGACCATGGGTGCTGCAGAGGAGGGTAAAGCAGGCGATCTCGGCCTCGACCCTTCGACGGTTGCCGCGTCGGCGACAACCCAGGGACGAGCTGCTAGGAATAGCAATGAGTTGAGAGGCGCCCGCGGCGAGCAGGGTGACATATTCGAATCTCAGGCGACGACGACTGTTGGAAACGATACGGCAAGCACCACCAGCATGCGACATCGAGGGGGGCCAGAGAACCACACCGACGACCTAAGCAGCATCCACGAGGAAGAGCCGGAAAAAAAGAAGAAAGACGGCTACTTCTTCAAGCATATCGAGCCCGCGACGCCTTTCACCACGTGGAACCAAATCCAACGTGTCTTCTTCTGCTCACCCATCAATATCCTAATCCTCGCCGCGCCCGTGGGAATTGCTCTGCACTTTATTAACTATGACGGCCGCGTGGTGTTTGCCGTAAACTTCATCGCCATCGTCCCCTTAGCAGCGATGCTGAGCAATGCCACCGAGGAAATCGCCATGCGGACAGGCGAGGTCCTTGGCGGGCTTATTAACGCATCTTTTGGGTAAGTTTCCTCGCTCATATTTTGCTCTTAACTTGTACGAAGCGTCGTCCTGTGCTGACTGTAACTAGGAATGCCGTGGAATTAATCGTGGCTATCATAGCTCTCACCCAGAACCAGATCAAGGTCGTGCAGACGTCGTTGGTCGGCAGCATCCTGTCGAACCTCCTTCTCGTCCTGGGCTTCTGCTTCTTCTGCGGCGGCATCAATCGCCGCGAGCAATACTTCAACACGACGGTGGCCCAAACCGCGGCCAGTCTGCTGGCCCTATCCGTCGGAAGCCTGATCGTGCCGACTGTTTTTGCGCACACGGACGATTTGAACCAGGCCGATGTTACCCTAAGTCCTGATGCCGTCCCTAGCATATCCCACGGCGTTGCCCTCATCCTGCTGATCGTCTACGCTTCCTACCTCTTCTTTCAGATGAAGACCCACGTCACTCTGTTCAATGAGGAGAGCCAAAAAGTGCCCTCGAAAAACATTTTCGGTAAAAAGGGGGTTGACAGGACGGTTGCCTCCGCGATTACCATGACGGGGGCTAGCAACGCCGGAGTTCGTGACGAGAGCGGCAAGGTGAGGGAGGTGATGCAGACCCCCGAGCCCGTGGAGGAAGAGGAAAGTCCCCAGTTGAGCTTTCTTGTCGCCTTCGTCACTCTGATCTGCGCTACCGTCGTTATCGCGCTCTGCGCCGAAGGGATGGTGGGTGGCATCGAGGCCATCACGTCGTCCGGGGCCATCAGCGAAGAGTTCGTCGGTCTTATTCTCCTCCCGATCGTCGGAAACGCCTGCGAGCACGCGACAGCGGTCACCGTGGCGATCAAGGACAAGATGGACCTCGCCATCGGTGTCGCCATCGGATCCTCGATGCAGGTGGCGCTGCTCCTGATCCCACTCCTCGTTATTATCGGCTGGGGCATGGGCAACCAGGACATGACGCTCGCCTTTGACACGTTCCAGATCATCGTCCTCTTTGTATCCGTCCTCCTGGTCAACTACCTGATCGGTGACGGCAAGAGCCATTGGCTGGAAGGCCTGGTTCTGGTATGTCTATATGCCATTATTGCTACCTGCGCCTGGTGTAAGTTAACCTCCCCTCCCCCTTTCTCTGTTTCTCTCGCCTTAATTTCAAGCGGAAGCTAATTATCTGCCTTAGTTTATCCTATCATTAATGAGAGTACATCTTCGTAGGTGTACTGTCCGACGAGTTCCTCGTAACCATGGTGTCGGAAACACAACGCTCGACTTCGGTTCTCGTACAAACGACCGACAAACGATTATTCTAATTTGTCCAGTCGTCGCGATGCGCCGTATCATTTGCCATCTGGCCCGTCTGTCTTTCTCACTTCCAACCCCTCTCTTTCCCGGTCCGCCGACCTGACCAAAACTTGGCATGTTTTATTATTATACCCCGTATCACAGAAACGATATTGTGATCTGCCGTTTCGCGTTGCTTTTTCCCTCTATCCTTCTCGGCCAGGCTATTACATTCGGCCAGGCCGGGATGTCACTACAGAGTGAAAAGGAAATAAACTCGGGTGCCGTTTTCTTTGTTGCTTTTTCTTCATCCCTCTGAAAAAGAAGTTGAGTAATGGAGCTTCAGTGAGAAGCCTAACCTCTCACAGTTTGAGAACTAAGGCGTTAAGGCGAAATGCTATTTGTCTGTGGCGCATAGACGGTTAGCCAGGCTAAGCGGGTAACCAAGGCCTCGTTTAGGGAAATCCCGAGAGAGCAAGGGAGGGTGCTCTTGGCAATCAGCCAAGTTCGGCACTAGATAGGGAATGCCTGGGGCAAGTAGAGCTCTGACTGAGGTGATGAATTAAACGGGATTAATAGCATCTTTCGACTTTGTGTGCGTGGTTCATGAGGCGTTTGCAAGCACGACTCTGGGTGTGGCTTCAGCCCACAGGGGTTATACTGCTTGGAGAAGCTATCTACCTACTTCATATTTGCTTTTTGCTGTCTATCGTTCCTGGGTCACAGCAGTACAGGCCACTGTATACCCGACAAGAGAGCCTACCTTCCTACCAGCACGCTCTCGACCTCTCTGTCCGCCTCAGTTGATAACCGACTAGCCAACCACCTACATCGGTTATACAGAGGCGCTACGTACGACCGGGGTCACCTCGGGTTGAGTAACACGCCGCGGCGGCGTTCTTATCTCCGGGGCCCCGCGTGCTAGATACGTCGGCCCGATCCTTTCTAAATCTTGGCTGACTGGCTGGCTTGGTCGCTCGTTATGGGAACCTGTATGTGGATGCGGTAGCCGACCCGTCATCTACCCGGGACACAATGTGGATAGGTCCGCGTGCGCAGACCGAGGCGCGTCAGAAGAGGTGTAATAGGCAGGCAAAGGTGACGTATCTGCTCTCCCCTGTCTCACCTCCTTATCCTGTTATCCCCTTCTCTGCCCCCGCCTCGTTGTTGCCGCCTCGTGCCCACGTGTTATCGATGTGCGCATGCATACGTACGTGGTGCGGCGGGCTAGACGTGGCGGTGGGCGTCTCTTTCCTATCTCCTTTCTAGGCTGTCGATCCGTCAGACGCCTCCGCCAACGACTGCCTTGACTGACGGACTTCGGCGGGCGTGTGGGATGTGACGTGCATCCTGAGCGCGATCCACAGACCGCCTTTCGCAGGTAAGGAGGCCCGACACATCATGTTTTTTTCATCCTGTTTCTCCTGGTCCGCCCTGATTTCTGCGCCTCATTCGCTGCTCGCTGGTAGGGCAGAGCCTGCTCCCGCGCCACGCAGGTTTCGGCGCAGTGCTGGCGACTGGGGAGACAGCGCTGCTTCTAGAGCGCGGCCACGGCTGTCCTGCTGTCGCGGGTCGGCGTGAGTTGTCGGACGGGACGCCGCGGGAAGGTTGGGCATCCAGTCGTGGCGTGGTGTGGCGTGGCGTGGGTGCTATTAGCCATAGGGAAGAGGGGTCGCGCAGGCAAGGGACTGCAGAGGGGGTGGACACGCAGGTGCCTGAGGCCAGGAGGCGCAGGAATCCGGATCCCGGGTGTTGCATTATGATTCATCGATGCCGCGTACGAGTGAAGCCCGACGTGACTTGTCGCAAAGCCTGCGGGATTGATACCGCGTCTATTACCTATAGCCTCTGGTTGGGTGTGGGCGAGACGGAAGATCCCTCGCGTGCGTGACGAGGATGAGGGAAATATTATCAAATAACAATTACCAGGGGTGGGGTATAACAGGTTGACCTCGGGCTGGATCGCAGATATAGGGGTAGTTGGATACTCGCAGCGGTCAGATAGACAAACGGGATGGTGTGTCGGTAAGAGGAAAGTTGTAGTTTGTTTTGGGGGGGGGAGAAGGGGATAGAACCTAGGAGAGGAATAGGGGTTGATGGTGAAGGAATAGTTAAGTTACTATTTACGGACCTCGTTTGGGCACTCAGCTTCAGTGCTGGTGACCTTCTACTTATTACCCAGCGAGCATTATGGGCGTGCCTGATCTTTCGAGCGAGCTAATACATACGCAGAGATTTAACTCCTCCGGGGCTGCGGTGCAGAAAACTCGGAAACAAGAATCAATGGGCAATTATTGATTACTATCGCTAGTTCATTGCATGCAGCAATATTATAAGAGTACTTCTGGTGCCAGGCGTAAAGGCCGAAAGCCAAGTTAGTCGGTATAACGAAAACGAATTCACAGCCAATCCGACGCTCTAATGTGTCTAACCGCTATCGTCGCATTCTTCTCACCCCGCCACATCGCAACTCTACCGCTACCAATTATACCTTCATCCTCCTCCCGTACTCCTCACTCCTCCTTGATCCTCAGGACGGCCTTGCCAAAGTTCTTCCCCTCAAACAGCTCGACAAACGCCTCGGCGGCGCGGTCGATGCCGGTCGTGACGTGCAGGCGGGCGCGCAGGCTGCCGTCGGCGAGCCAGGCCTGGACGTCGCGCTGGTGGCGGGCGGCGTAGGCGGGGCCGAAGTCCGGGTCGGAGACGAAGAAGCCGCGCATGGAGAGGCGCTTGAAGAGGAACTCGACGAGGTTGCGGACGCCGGCGCGCTGCTCGAGCGGGCGGTTGTAGTCCTGGATCATGCCAGAGACGACAACGCGGCCGTGGGTCTTGAGGTGGGCGAGCGCGGCCTCGAGGTGCGCCCCGCCGACGTTCTCGTAGTACACGTCGATGCCGCCGGGCGCGAGCCGCGCGAGCGCCGCCGCCGGCGCCTCGCGCTTGTAGTTGAACGCCGCGTCGAAGCCGAGCTCGCGCGTGACGAACGCGGCCTTCGCGTCGGACCCGACGGACCCGATCACCGTCATGCCCTCGCGCTTCGCCAGCTGCCCGACCATGGACCCGACGGCGCCGGCGGCGGAGCTGACGAACAGCGTCTCGCCGGCGCGCGGCCGCCCGATCTCGTACAGCGACGAGAACGCCGTCAGCCCCGGCATGCCCAGCGGGCCGAGGAAGTACTCGGCGGGCAGCGCGTGCGGGTTCGCGAGCACGGCGACGCGGCCGAGCTGCGCGGCGCTCACGGCGGCGAACTGCGCCACCGGCAGCGGCGCGCCGACCACGTCGCCGGCGCGGAAGCGCGCGTCGTCCGACGCTAGCACGCGCGCCACCGCGTCATTCTCCACCGCCGCGCCGACTGCGAACGCCGGCTGGATCGACGGCTCCGCCGGGTCGCGCAGTCTGAATCGCAGATACGGGTCCAGCGACACCGAGAGCACCTCGACTACCAGCCCGCCCGCCGGCACCGCGGCTAGGTCGATCTCTCGCTCTTCGATCGCCAGGTGCTCGCCCGGCACCGGCTGCGAGGTCGGGATCTTTTTGAAGACGAGGGTCTTGTTGGCGACCATGGCTGTCTGAAGAAGGGGGGGGGGGTTAATTATAAGGGGTGGGTATAATACGTCGGAAGGGGGAAGGGTAGGAGTGATTTGGATGTCTAGGCGACTTTGGTCTAGGCCGAAGCTGTGCTATGATGGCGAGTTGCTCGAATTCTGCGGCTCCCTTTCCGTTTTGGACCGCCGGAACGCCTCCTTATATAGGCACCTCCCATCTTTGTGCTCTCGCCTCTGATAGAACAACGGCGACTTTCGCCTTCGGATACCTACGTGTGCATGAGTAATCAATGGCCCCTCCGGCGGACCGAGCTCGAAGCCGGGCTGCCTATCCCACAGACGCAAGGCCTGCCGTCGGCTAACCGCAGCCATACACGGCCGCGCCGGCTTACCAACGAGGGGAAACACCAACGCAACCCTCCTCAGGTGGGAAGTTGGTCCGTTTCGGCGATGGCTCGCGGTTTGCCCGGTGTTGAGCGGCCCAGCAGCGAATAGAAGCCGCGCGCATATAAAGCTGCGAGGTCATTCTCGGGGTGGTTCGTGGCGGGCGGCCCGCGGTAGCTGTGTCTTGGGTAGGTAAGATGACGGCACCGGCGAGGGTGATTTCAAATCCAAAAGGGGGGGACGGCCGAGGGACCCGCTACGGCGATATGTGCACGTAGCGGAGCAGATATATATAGTAAACGGGTAGTGATTGCGCGTGTAAGGAGATTCCTTGGTTCGGCGTTAGGCTCTTTAGTCGCATATCCTCGCCAAGCCTCTAACGCCGCGGCGATAACCTCCCCTTATGCTCTGTCATTCTTCTTCGCCGCGTTGACAACGTCTTGTGGGACGCTGATTTGCGGGCACTGCGAAGGAGAGTATCGCTTCGAAGACCGAGTTCCTTTGTTCTATCTAGTGGGCAATTATTAATAATGGTGATTTCATTTTGGACGTTGAGGGAATACATGCTTCGAGACACGCTTTTGTTGCTTATCAGGCTACAGCATTCCCAGATCGGCACCGGTTACCGGCAAGCCATATAGACTGAGCTCAGGTGTGGGGTGGAGAGGGTGGTAATGGGGTGAGCGGTCCTGTCATGTCGTCGCTGGATGTCTATCACTGGACGAGGGCGTGTGCAATGAGAAGCTTGGCATCCGGCGAAAAGGCTTGCCTATGCTGACTTTGGTATTTCGTTCATAGGCAGCGATGCCGCAGACGAGAGAAGTATGGGGGCCAGGGGACGGAGAGCTGTTCGGTGTTGAGGGACGCCTCACCGAAGACGCGAAGCCTGGGCTTCCCCCTATCCCTACGCTTAGCCTCCCTCCCTTTATAGTACAGTAAGTAACTGAAAATGACTGAATTTCCGACGAATAAACGACCACTAGATCAGGTCGGATTCAAGAACAGGGCTTGAGCTCGGTTGTCTCTATATACCCAATCCTGTTTACCCAAGTAGGTTACCTATTCTATAAGTTACTAAGTAACTGCTTTGCTAAGGAGTTACTTGAAGCTTGGCTCCGTCGTGGTAGTTTAGGTATTGGTGGCGTGCTTTGGGGTACTGCGGAAGGCATCGATGGCCACATCTGCTTAAATTTCTTGTGCGAAGCCTTTTGCCTTCTAATCTCTATCTTGCTCGTGGTCTGAAGTAGCTGCTCGTCGGTTCTTTGTTCGAGCGGAAGATACGATGAGCAAGGCGTGTGATGATATGTGGATGTGTGGGAGCGGGAGGAATCGCCATACGGGATGAAGCTGAGCTGCAGCAACGAAGGAAGCAATTGGAAGAGGATGGGGAGGCGCTAGCTCTGGTCGTTGGGCATCTCAAAGGTGGCCGGAGTGATACCGGCGGCCAGGATCGCACCCGAATACCAACTCTCGTGAAACAGGCCGCTAATCATGGCGCGCTCCTTCGGGCAGCATAACTCGGATAGAAGCGAAGAGGCACCCGTAATAACGAAGAGAATCCCAAAGCCGAGGGGGAACCGAGTGACGATCAACATAGCACCTACGTCAGTATTGTACCAGCCCTAGTTTCCCGAGATACGCGAAGTGGCGCATGCATACCGCTAATGAAAGCAATTTGGATGAAGACGATGACGACGACAATAAGAGATCCAAGCACGATGTTGAACTTCCGGCTGGAGCGGCCGTTGACCCACGGTACGATGGGAAATGACTCTGATGGATCTGACATTCATCATTGCGAATATAATACCGAGGATAGCGCCGTCCGGGTGACCGAAGTCTGGAGACGGGCAAGGTAGTTAGTTAGAGGCAGATGGTAGTGACAGTAGGGCTAGGTGGCTTTTACCTCGCTTATATCCCACCGCTAGGAAAAGACTAGAAAAGAAAGGTAAGAAGGTAGCTAGAAAGGCATAGAAAGAAAGAAGTAAATAGCTGTAATTAGTAATGGCTATAGGTCTAAGTCTAACTAATGAAAATATAAGTATGCAACCTATATAAATACACATCTAAAAGGCTACGTAGCCTAGATCCACCGCATCACTACAGTATATAATTTATTTTTAATATGTATCTTAACCGTAAGGCTAAAAAGTATATAAAAACCAATTATATAACTATAACTGATTCTTCAATATATTAAGATAAGTATTCTTACTACTTATTACTATTAATGAGTATAGCACGGTTGTAATAAGAAGGAGTAAGAAGCCACATATAGATGGCTCTCTACGTGAAAATAAATTATATTACTCAACCAGTAAGACATGGAGTCGCCAGAACGCAACCGACGCGGAACTACCGACGGCGAATATTTTATTATAGGATCTAACGGTAGGAAGAAGTTACTTAGAGAGACCAGTTCCTAGCCTATCTAATTGTCTAGATGTAACAGAGTAGTTATATATATAGCTTATATTTAGGAACGAGAAATGGGGTAATAGGGAAGGAGGGGAAAGAGAACGAGCGAGACGAGAAAATAATATTATATTTTCTCCCCTTTTATATTACAACGAAGACGTTAACACATCTGCTCTTAGGTGCCTTTTAAGTTCTATAGTTCTAGCTATTTCACATTCTGCGAGGCATGTTGTCAGTTCACATGTAAATCGTTTCTCTTAACGAGGTGAATCATGGGCGCGGATTAAGAATCAAATTCACACAGAATAGCTTACTTCTTTAAACAGACTACCATGCTTAAACTCTTTTTCTATGGTAAGTCTACCTCCTAGAAACTCCTTTGATTATTATACTCTGTTTACATCTCTTTCCTCTACCTGAGGCTGGATAATCCTTCCTATATCTAGAGTAAAAAGACTCCGTACATTGGCCATGTCCATTTGCACCTTGAACTGATGCTCCTTCTCCGCCGAGACGGCTTCTTCCATTAGCCTCCTCCGTTTATTAGGCGAGAGCGCGATTCTAGCGCGGCGGGCGACCTCGGGTGAAATCGAAGCTTGGTCAAAGTCCACGATGACCACATGCCCAGCTGGATCCTGCAAGACATTTGGCAAACGGATATCGGCGTGAGCCACTCCTAGGCGATGCATTTGCTTCAATATGGTAGCAACGTGCTTGATAATGCATGCCTGCGCCTTAGAGTCCGAGGGCACCCGAAGCTTGGAGCCTCCGTAAGATAAGAGAAGAAAGTAGACGATGCGCACGTCAAAGTAGTAATACAGGACCTGACCTAGGCGATGGAGGTCGATAGAGCCGAGACATACGGGGATGTGGCGACCCTGTAGAGGCTGTAGCTTTCGGTAAACGGCTTCTTCCTGTTGCAGCATGGGTGCGCAGCGCCCCGTGGCGCCCTTGGCGACGAAAGTGTATCCATACTGTAGAAGCGTAAGTTGGAACAGAGCGCCGCAGGAACCCTCCTGGCCCAGTTTTCTGACACCCTTCTCTAGGCTTTGAGAGAGCTGTTGCTGAAGAAGTGACATCCAGTCCGTATACGAGACGGGGTGTCGTTTTTTGTCAGTTACCCCTTTCCGCATATGCAGCTGTATGTTTGGGCACTTCATATCCGGTGCCCAACCATGCACGAGTGAAAGGAGACAGTCGGTCGTGCAGTAAGGCATATTTTGCCTAGATCTGCCACCTTTCTCATCCCTACCTCCGCTGCCGCTCTGTGCTGATGGTGTAGACGCCGAGTCCCCACTCGGTGCTTGGCTGGCGCCGCTTTGTGAGATCGACCCCGAGGCAGCACCACTCCCTTGGTTTAGACCGCCAGGGCCCTCTCCGCCAGGGCCCCCATCATGCCCTCCGCGTCTGTGGTAGGATGGAAAATGACCATCCCGCTCGCGCTCTAGCTGCAGCTTTGGGTTTCTCTTTGTCTTCTTGATCGGCTTCGGCAGCCATTCGGGACTGCTTGGCGTGCGACGGTGTTTCTTTGCTTGCGGTGTTTTTGGGCCGGCTTCCTGTGCCTCTCTCTCCTCATTTTGAATGACTTTATCCAGGATATAGCTAAAATCCACTTCCCATTTATCGCATTTACTAGTCGCGGCCGTGCGCTCGTCATTGCCATGCGGGCTTCCCTGCAGAGCAAGGAGAGTAAATGCCAGCACCTGCGAGACAGCATTGCTGTAAATGGGATCTTCGTCTACCACAACTTCACGTGAAGGCTGGGCAAGATGAAAGAACAGCACCGTCGGGTCGGCCCAGTCGATCTTCAAAAAGACAATAGCTTCCCCATTCGTCAGATAGCCGTATTCCAGCCCAGCCTCCAGCATGTAGTGGTATGTTTGTGTGACGGCCGCGGTGGAGAGAAGCTCTGCGTAGTGTTTGAATTTGTCAGGTTCCGTGGTCGGGATAGTGGGCTTGTTTACGACTTCGTATGCAATGCGCATCTTCCGCAGGCCCTGCTCAAGGTGTGTCGTGTGGAGTTTGTGCGGTGCTTTGTATTCGATGACATAGGCAATTTCTCTTTGGCCGCTGGCGTCTCGAAAGACGCAGATCTGGTCCGTCCTGAGCTTGCTGTCTCGCTCGGCTGCCGCATCTCTACCATCGGACTCATCGCGGAGGTTGCTAGCTGTTGTTTCGAAAAACACGCCGTCGTGGATAAAGAAGCCGAGCTGCGATGACTGGAAGTTCTTGAGTTCGGACAGAATAATGCGAACAGGGTCCTCAACACAGTTGTTCTCGATAAAAACGAGCGAGGACTCACTCGTCACCTGTCGTGCGTGAGCTCTCTCGCCAATGGCCTTAAGCGAGGCAATGTTCTCAAACAAGCGCTTGTCGCTGGGGAGAGTACAGGCCATCCTCTGGAGCATGTCAATCTGCTTGTCGAGGAAATCGTCCCACGGTTTGAGGAGGCAAGGACAGTGTTTCTTAGTAGGATTTGTGGTAGGCACTCTTGAGGTAAGGTAGCCATCAGTAACAAGGGTAATTTTGGTTAGGACGTGCTCATGGCATGCTTGCAGATATTCTTCTAGGGTTGTCTTGCGGGTTTGGCGTAGCGCCTGTTCTGCTTGCGCTTCTGCTCCAGCCGCTCGCGCTTCTGCTCCCGCCGCTCGCGCTTCTGCTTCTTCCTTCTCACGTCTTAGGCGCTCGTTATCGCGGTTCCTTAGCTCTTGAAGTTCTCTTAGCTGACGTTGGAGGTCCTCTACAGTCGACATTGTCGGCAAACCTGGTGCAGTCAGGAAATGTATAGTCGGGCGGGGACTGCCTAATTTAAGGGCTCGTGTACTGACGTGACTCCTGCGATTACGATTTTTGGGGGGGAAAAAGGCAAGTTGGCGAAAATTTGAATGCCTTAGGCATTAAGAGGTCTCTGATCAGCCTAACTAGTCCCCTGTACCTTACACCAACCTCTAACCGGATTAGGCCATTATGCCGAGCTTTTTTCCTACTAATTAAATAGGATATATCTATAGGTATATCTCTTCGTGTATCCTATAGACTCTCTAATTTTAATCTTTCTAAAATTAAAATATATACGAAAGTTCAAATTACTTACCTATATACTAATTTTAATCATTAATCGATTAATGACATGTTTAAAATCGGTTAGATGTATAATGCTTAACGTATTATATTTTATCCTTCTTTATATTTATATCTAGGAATTAATTTCTAATCAATGAACAGGAGCAGCGTAGGCACGCTGTGATGGAGGCACGAAAAAGACTGCGTAACTGCCAACAACTAGCCCAGTACCGATCAACCCAAGATTACAGCTGTAAACAGCTGTAATCGGTTGATCGGCCAGCTGAAAACGGCAGCTGGGAAAGGAAAGAAAGAGAAGGGAGGGGACTAGAAACGGGCAGCGAGGATAGCTAGAAAGGCATGGCAAGAAACAAGTGAATGGCTGTAGGTCGTGATAGTGTAGTGGTGCGGTGGATCTAGGCCACGTAGCCTTTTCGATGTGTATTTATATGGGTCGCGCACTCATATTTTCATCAGCTAGACTTAGACCTGTAGACATCACGACCTACAGCTATTCACTCCTTTTGCCATGCCTTTCTAGCTATCCTCGTTGCCCTTTTCTCAGTTTCCCTTTCCCAGCTGCCGTTTTCAGCTGGCCGATCAACCGATTACAGCTGTTTACAGCTGTAATCTTGGGTTGATCGGTACTGGGCCAGTTGTTGGCAGTTGGGCAGTCCTTGTTTCGTGCCTCCGTCAGCGTGCCCACGCTGCTCCTGTTCAGTACTTACGGGAGCTATAGTTATTCTATATAGGTATAAGGCCTATCGTAGCGTGTTACGTAATGTATCAAGAGGGCATGTCTTACCGCACCACTACAGTAATCAAAAGGATCTTACCCTAACTAACTAATGGAGTAAGGTCGTAGGAAAGAGCCAATAGAATCTTTAGGAAGCCGTGACCCGCTTTGGGGTAAGGTTCAGGGGACTAGTTAGGCTGATCTATAGACTTAATAACTACGATATCGTCGTGACTTTTACGCCGTCGCCTGCTTAAATTTATCATTGTTTCCTTAGGCGCAGAATAAGAGGTGGGGGAAGAGGAGTGTCACGATGGATACATATCTAGGTATGATCAATGCTGTCACGTAACAGTTGAACCAGCCCTTATAAGTCTACATATAGCAAGTCGTAAATGTAAGCGTCTACGTTTTACGCAACAAATGCATAAAGTGCAGGAGGGGTATGTATTTACATGGTGGGAGCAGGAGGTCTGCAGAGCTTGAGTGAAGGAAATTAAGGCAGCGTTCGTGGACTACGACGCAGTTAGTATGGAAGCCGTGGGGAATCTAAAGTGCCTACAGGCGTATTACGCGCAGGAGAGTCTTCGCCTTAACTAAGATGCGATTGACGGGTTGCCGGGCGTGAGGCCGGGTACTGTCGTCGGTGAGGCGTATGTTCCTCGAGGGGTATTAGATCTCGTTGCCGCACCTTAGAGTCCGTGGGCTACTTCGGAGAATTGCACCTGAGTGTTAACACCAAGTTCGACCAGGTGCCCTATCAGATAATAACCTACTTCGCCACGGCAAGAAGCCCACGCTTCTTCGCCGGCCCGCCCAAGTTTCCTCCCCAACGCTGGTTGCTGCTAAATGATCCCCGTTTTAATTTAATATATCATAGATGTGGCAATTTTCGGGCTTCGGGGCCTTTCGGTTAGAGTCTGGAAACTTGTCCTGGACGGGCTGTAGCTCTAGAGGTGATCTGATCGTTTGTCGCGAAGGTTTTGTGGCAATTCAACTTAGAGACAGCGCCGGGTCAGAACAGTCTGTCTATTGACAAATATTTCACGTTCCTCACATTTGGCAAGAGGCCGCGATATAAGGTTCGATTTTGACCAGGTTAAATTCCTAAATTCTCACCACCCGCTGCGGGCAATATTGCGTTTAAAAGATACCTGACATTTTAATATCCTGTCAGAGGGGAAAAAAGTGAAGTATGCTGCGGAGGGACAGAGAGGCCAAGTCAACCCTGGGGTAACATTCGGCGCTGCATATGACGTGGGTATATGAGGACCTATCCCGTTTGAATCTAAGCATGCCTGGGACAAGACGTAATGCTTCGTAACGGTGAAATCAGCAGAAGGGAGAGAACCCCGAGTTGAATGGCGGTTAGTAAGTACATCTCAACATCATGCTCAGTCCGACTTACATTGTGGTCTTGGCACGGTAGTTACGCAGTAGGTTTACCTAATAATAATGTTGTGTATTAGAGTCCATAAAGCTGTTGCCATATTCCACTGGTTGCCGCGTAAAACGCAGAAGCCTACGTTCTACGACTTGCGTACGTGGGCACATAATACGGGCTGGTCCCGTACGTCACCCTGGCCTATAGGAAATATTACGCGCCGAGCGGAATGAATCCGTGCCGGTCGGCATGCCGTTGATAATATCATGCGACCTCGGTCCTCATCTTCCCTCGCGGCTCGCGGCTTACTAGGGCTCCGGTGTTCCGGGTTACGCTGGGCATGCATCGGCCAATGCCGGATATAGGATACATAAGAGGAAAGCAACTCGAAGGGATATTAATGCATTTTTTATTCTCAATTTCGCCCCTGTTTGTCGTCGTCGTCTTAGGCTTTATTAATACGTGAACAATGTTGGTTTAAAGCCAAAGGCAGTTCCCTGGTGTGGATTGGCACGCGATCGTCCGTGGTTACCTAAGTAGATAGGTATTATTAAGACTTATTCATCTTGGGCCTCGTTCATACTCATGGAAAGGCGCACATGTCGCCCTCAATCCTGTAAGCATGATCGAAAGCGACAGCTCAACGTCTGTTGTGTCGTGTTGGTTATGCAGCCTTGGAACTTGCCCGTTGGGTGATTCTCGAACGTGGTCATGCCCTCTGGGCAATGCAATCAGTGTTATTACGGTACCCGCGCCCACATATACCTAGGTATGATAAATCCGCCAACTAGACATTGAGCCTCTAAGTAGTCCAGAAATGACTCTACAGCATCTCCGCTGGGGTCTAACCGCCGGTAGACCTGCGGCGCTGTGTCTCCTGCAAACTAGACTTCTATTATTCTTAGTGGGCCCCAGGAACAATCCGTGGTGGCAGTGCCGTAAAGATGTTTACATGGATAATGTCTTGGCGAGGGTAGCTCATAGCTATGTAGTTGCAACGGTTATTACGTAGCAGTAAGTGGTGAAAAGAGCGTGGCCTTGGACCACCCCCCCCCCCCCCCCCCTCTTGTGTCCTGTGGTAACTGGGACCCGGAAGCATTTTGGGCAGAGTGCACCATGGGATGTAACTACCTACCTATTACCTAGAGAACCCTGCTGTTAGGTGCTTAGGGTATTACCTAGGCACCTATGTGTAGCAGGGCGTTGCAGAGCTAAGATGGGCCAGCCCGTCCCCAGAGCTGTTGGGGGCGCACTCCGGCGATAACGCACGACTGAGCGAGGTCGACATGGGGATGGTTCTAGGAAAGCCACATTGGTTGGGGGAGAAGGACAGAATCCTGGGGTAGGGCAAGCATGGCGATGGGTGGGTCGGTTAGTCAGCCACATCGCGGTCGGCTGCAAGCGGGCCACAGCCAGTTGAAACTCCCCAGCGTCCTTTTTCGCGCCATCTGGCTACACTCGGCCCCTCGCTTTTCCAATCCTTGCCACATCCACCGATCATGACAGCATTTTTTACTCGCACATAGGCAGTAAAGACTTACTACTGATCATCGCGGAAATGCCCCCGACTCGTCGCTCGTCAGCGTGGCCTCCGGCTTCCAGATCTTTAGGTTGGGGGTCAAGCCAGTGTACGGGTCGACATTCACGCCTCAAGCGATGGCGCTTTCTGGCCCTCCTCGTAGGTAATACCTACGAAGCATTGCCTAGCTCCGAAAAGACATCGCACGTAGATAAGCGGCACTCCGAGCGACGTCTATGGCTTGTTCCCGGCTGCTCTAGGTATAAGATCGAGGAACAATGCCGTTTTACTTGTAGCTAAACTTTCCACCGCCACTGTACCCATAAACCCGGTCCGCAGTGTTAGACGATATCTTGTTCCGAATCAGCGCCATGTCTTTTGCCGGAGAGCCCATCGCCATAGTTGGCACTGGTTGTCGCTTTCCCGGAGATTCCAATACGCCGTCTCTGCTCTGGCGCCTTCTTCGTGAGCCTCGCGACCTCTTGGAGCCGCTTGCAGAACGGTTCAACGCAGAAGGATGGTATCATGACGACGGAAAATACCATGGACACTGTAATATCAAACAGTCATACCAGCTCGCAGGGAAGGGGACTTGCCGTTACTTCGATGCTCAATTCTTTAATATCAATGCTATCGAAGCCAGCACCCTGGATCCGCAAGTGCGCCTTCTACTAGAAACTGTCTACGAGGCCCTGGAAGCTGCCGGTATTCCCATTGAGACCCTCCAGGGTTCCGACACAGCAGTTTACACAGGCGTAAGCAAGTTTACCTCTCATCTTCAGGCTCGACTGGGCGCCCTCAAACTGTCGCTACCTCTTGTCTTCCGGATGTGGAGCACTGTCATGGGGATAGCTATACGAGTCGAAGATGGGACACATTAACCGAACGATATACTAACATAAAATCTCTAGATGATGACAAACAGCTACAAGACTGCCATGGAACGTGACGGAGATAGCATCGGAACCTATCACAGTACTGGTATAAGCCGTGCTATGATGTCTAATAGAATATCCTATTTCTTCAACTGGCACGGCCCTTCTATGTATGTGGCCTTGGGCTCTTCTTCGCTTTTCAAAACGTCCTTCGTCATAAATTCTTGCGTCCCGGCCATTGGCTAATTCACCCTCACAGGACCATCGACACGGCATGCAGCTCCAGCATGGTTGCCGTCCATCAGGCCGTCATGCAACTTCGCACAGGTCAATCACGCGTTGCAGTCGCTGCCGGTTCAAATCTTTTCCTCGACTCTGCTGACCATGTTTCGATGAGCAAGCTCGAAATGCTGTCTCCCGAGAGCCGTTCACGGATGTGGGACAAGGATGCCAACGGGTATGCGCGCGGAGAAGGTGTTGCAGCTGTGGTCCTTAAAACGCTGAGCGCTGCCGAGGCCGCTGGGGACCATATCGAGTGTCTCATCCGCGAGACGGCTACCAACCAAGACGGGCGGACGCCAGGGATCACAATGTAAATCTACTTCAACTTGCTGGTGGGCAAAATTGCTGATGACATATTACGCTGCAGGCCGAGTGTCGCAGCTCAGACGCAACTCATACGAGACTGCTACGCTCGCGCGGGACTAGACCTAGCTGACCCTGCACAAAGGCCCCAATACTTTGAGGCTCATGGTATGAGATGACACCAAGTCTCCGTAGACAAACCCGTGCATCGCAGAATGCTGACCGTAAACATAGGTACCGGAACGCCCGCAGGCGACCCTGCGGAGGCCAAGGCAATCCACACGGCTTTCTTCCCCCACGACAACGGCTCCGTACCGTCCGAGCTGGCTCCCCTTTTGGTTGGCAGCATTAAAACCGTCATCGGCCATTCCGAGAGCGTTGCGGGATTGGCGGGACTGATAAAGACGTCCTTGGCTTTGCAGAACGCCATAGTGCCGCCAAATCTGCTGTTTCGCGAGATCAACCCCAAGGTGGCGCCCTTCTACGGGAACTTGCGAGTTCCCACGTCAGCTGTCCCTTGGCCGGTTGTTCGTGACGGATCTCCTCGTAGGGCCAGTATAAACAGGTGAGTACTGGGCGTCGTGCTCGGATGTAATGGTATATCGGTAGTTAACAACGCCCTTACTAGTTTCGGCTTCGGCGGCGCAAATGCGCACGCCGTTCTCGAAAGCTATACGGGAAAGAAGCAGATAGTGGGCAAGAGAGACGCTTGTTTCATACCTTTCGTCTTCTCGGCCGCCTCCGAGGCTTCTCTTTTTGCGAACCTGGCCGCGGTACGCGACCATCTGCAAGTCAACAGAACCAACATGAATCTGCGGGACCTAGCAATGACACTCCATTCTCGAAAGTCACGGCTTCCATTTGGAACTGCTGTTGCAGCCAGCACCGTTCCGCAACTCTGTGATAAGCTTAACGAAATTTGCCAGAAGAGAGGAAATAACACAGAACAGCATGTAGGCACGCAGACTTCGGCCCGACAGTCTAGCGACCGAGGTCGGAAGGCAAAGGTCCTCGGTATATTCACTGGTCAAGGGGCGCAGTCAGTACGTATGGGGGCGGCTCTCATCGAACAATCCGCATCATGTGAGCGCATCATCGACAAGCTCGAGGCGCGGCTCGCTGCGCTTCCATCGGAAGATCGCCCATCCTGGTCACTCAAGCAAGAGCTACTAAGGGATTCCACAGCGACAGTTAACCAGGCCGCCCTATCACAACCATTATGCACCGCATTGCAGATTCTGCAGGTCGATCTCCTGCGGGTGGCAGGTGTCGAGTTCTCCGCTGTTGTGGGTCATTCCGCGGGCGAGGTTGGCGCCGCCTACTATGCGGGCATGATCTCGGCTGAAGATGCCATTTGCATAGCTTACTATCGAGGCCGTTATGCGGACCTAGCAGCGCGTTCCGGCGGACAACGAGGCGCGATGCTGGCTGTCGGTACCTCGTTTGTGGAAGCACAGGAGCTCTGCAACGAACCGGAGTTTCAAAACAAGGTTTTCGTGGCAGCTATCAACTCTTCAGCCAGCGTGACCCTGTCTGGTGATGAAGAGGCCATCAACAAGATCAGGATGATTCTCGAAGATAAGGGTAAATTCGTTCGCCGTCTCAAAGTCGATATGGCGTATCATTCCCCTTACATGGCGCCGTGCTCCAGGATCTATCTCCGGGCATTGAACAGACTCGGCATTCGGCCTCGCAAAGCTAATAATACAACATCCTGGTTCTCGAGTGTTGATGAAGGGAAGCTCATGTCTATGGACGAGTCTTTCAAGCTTCAAGCCACGTATTGGAACGAGAACATGATGAAGCCAGTTATGTTTATGCAAGCCGTCCAGGGGGCCTGGAAATCCCGAGGTCCGTTCGACCTAGCTATTGAACTTGGGCCGCATCCTGCCTTGAGAGGCCCAGCGCTTCAGACTCTACGAGAATGTTCGCTGCCGATAGTTCCGTACACTGGCGTTCACGCGAGAGGACAGAATGCCGTCGAGTCTTTTGCAAACGCCCTTGGCTATATCTGGAATCATCTAGGCACCATTAACCTGTCGAGCTACGATATGTTCGTAAGTGGCCACATCAGCTATGGCCTTGTTACGGGACTGCCCTCATACGCTTGGAACCATGAAAAAGAGTACTGGCATGAGTCTAGGTACACGAAGGCTATTCGTACTCGGTCTGAACCCGTGAACGAACTGTTGGGTCACCTCAGTCCGGATAGCACCGACCAAGATATGCGATGGAGAAATATTCTTTATCCCAAGGAGTTGTCCTGGCTGAACGATCATGCGCTGCAGAATCAGCCAGTTTTCCCAGCTTCCGGGTACGTTGTTGCCGCAGTTGAGGCTGCTGCGTCCATGACAAGGGCAAGAGGTCTCTCGGCTTCTCTGATTGAGGTCTTGGACCTTGATATTAGCAAGGCTTTGGCGTTCGACTCTGATGATTCACGGATAGAGACGATCAACTCTTTAACTGACATCCGGCAGCGTGGTGAGAATATCGAGGCTCTCTTCAAGTTCAACGCAACACCGACATTCGGAGGAACTACACTCACTCTCCTTGCTAGCGCCTCTATAAGAGTTAGATTGGGTCACGGCGATGAAGCGGCCCTTCCTCCCAGAGGCCCCCGTATGATCGGCCTGTCCAAAGTTGACTCTGTAGACTTCTATGAGTCACTTTCGAGACTTGACTGTCAGTACACAGGCCCATTCCGTGCGCTCTCTGGCCTCGAGAGGAAGCTTGGTTCCGCGACTGGATACATCAACAACGAGCGATCACGGTTGCTTATCCACCCTGCCGTTCTGGACGCTGCTTTCCAATCTCTTTTTCTCGCTCATTTTGCCCCTAACAGCGGCGGCATCTGGTCTATTCAGGTTCCCAAGACAATCAGGGCCATTCGGGTGGATCCGCTTCTCTGTGCGGCCAGCGCGAAAAGGGGGATTCCTATCGCGTTTGATTGTATGCAGCAGGTAGGCGCGCCAACTCTCGAGGGCGATATCGAGCTGTTCCCCGGGACCGACGGCATCCAGCATACTATGGTTCAGGTAGAGACGCTTCGGTGCACGCCGCTTTCGAGACCAACTGCTGGGGACGATAAAGAAATGTATTCGAAAATAACATGGGATGTAGCGACGCCGAACGCAGAACAGGTGGTGTACGACGGCAAGCCAACCAAGGAGCAGGAGGAGCTTGCTCGTCTACTCGAACGCATGGCGGTCTTCTTCCTGCGCCGCCTAGACGTGGAGGTTCCCAAGGACCATCCAGCCAGATTTGAAGACACTTACCGGAATTTCTTCTCCTTTGCATCATACACTCTGTCCCGTGCCAAGGAAAGAAAGCTTCCTCTCTGGTCCGTAAAATGGGAACATGACTCTTCGGACGACCTGGCTGCAGCATATGCTCCTTACTTACACGTCGTGGATGTCAAGTTACTCAAAGCCATCGGAGATAACGTTGTCAACATAGTCACAGGGCGGACCCCGGCAATCGAAGTAGCCATGGAGGACGAGATGCTTTCGCAGATATACCAACAGGGCCTCGGTTTCAGGGAATACACGAAATTCGCGGCTCGCCTAGTCGGACAAATCGCTCACAGGTATCCGCAAATGAATATTCTCGAGGTCGGCGCAGGTACGGGCGCTGCCACGAAAGAAATCTTCCACGAGATTGGACACAACTTCTCCTCGTATACATACACCGATATATCCTCTGGCTTCTTCGCGAATGCCGAACAGACATTTACTTCTCGATGCCACAAGATGCTCTACAAGGTACTGGATATTGGTAAAGATATAAAGCAGCAGGGGTATAATGAGCATTCATACGATCTCGTAGTTGCTTTTGCGGTCCTCCATGCGAGTAAGTATCACACTAGATACCCTAGGATCTGCTTAGAAAGACTAACGATCGGTAGCTCCCAGTATCCAAGATACGCTCGGAAATGTGCGACGTCTCCTCAAGCCGGGCGGATTCCTAGTTGTGCTTGAGCTCGATATCGCCGACCTTACGAGAGTAGGAGCTATATTTGGGGCCTTGCCTGGTTGGTGGCTGGGTGCTGGCGAAGGCCGCACACTATCCCCGTGCGTTGATATGGCAGAATGGGATCGATTGCTGCGCACCACAGGGTTCTCAGGTTGCGATACCATTACTCCCGCCAGGGATATTCCTGTGATGCCATTGAGGGCGTTTGTATCCCAGGCGGTCAATAGCCACGTACAGTTTCTACGGGATCCCCTATCTCAACCAGAATCACTCTTCCAGGACAACAGCACAATGGCGGCACAGGAACTTATACTTCTGGGCGGAGACGGCCCACAGACGTCGGTGCTCATACCTCAGCTCAAGAAAGACTTGAGGCGTCCGTGGAGACAGAACATCAGGACAGCTCGTTCTCTAACGGACGTAGCTTCTCTAACAATTACCTCCGATACGACAGTCTTGAGCCTTTTGGAAGTAGACACACCCGTGTTTGAAAACCTCAACGAAAGCAACTGGGAAGCCTTGAAATTCCTCCTGCAAAAAGCCGGTACAGTGTTGTGGGTATCATCAGGCCGTCGGGTGAACAAACCGTATGCAAACATGATGGTCGGCCTGCTCCGCTCGGCAAGGAAAGAGATCCCGACGCTCGAAATCCAGTGCTTCGACGCCGACGATGACAAACTTCTGGACGCGCGCGAGCTCGCCGAGACGCTTCTGCGACTGAAAGCTGCTACGATGTGGAAGCGGCAGGAGGATCAAGATAGCCCCCTCACGACAGTCGAGCCGGAGTTGGTGCGCGGACGCAACACGGCACTACTCATCCCTCGATTGGTCGCGAGCCAGGAGATGAACGACCGGTATAACTCCTCGCGGCGTCCTATCTTCGCTCCCGTGCCTGCCTATGGACCGGAGACGAACCTCGGAATCGTGAGACCTGACCAGCAGGACACTTACTTGCAAGAAGTTCCGGGGCCGGAAGGAGGGAATGGGTCTGTCGTGCGGGTCACTCACTCGTTACGCTCGGCTGTCCGCGTTTCTGCATTTGGCTATATGCATCTCGTCCTGGGGCGCAGATGCGATTCAGATGACCAGGTCGTAGCCCTCACCAGTCAACATACGCTGAAGTCGGCCCCTCGCGTCGGACTCACCATTTCCGCGTCGGTGCCACCCGGCAGCGAAAGCTCGTTCGTGGCCCTGCTGGCGTACCACTTACTCGCCAGTCTGTTTTTCGAGGGCCTGTCTGAGGGAGCGACCGCCATTATTCATGAGCCTGAGGAACAGTTCTCTTCCATTCTCGCAGACGAGGCAGGGCGGCACGGCGTAAAAGCCGTATTCACGACTACGTCAACGACCGTGGCTGGGCCCGGATGGGTCACAATCCATCCCATGTCCCCAGACCGCACCATACGTGCTCTGATCCCCCCCAACACGGCCGCACTGTTTGATCTCGGTGCGGAAAACGCCCCGGGATCCGCCGGGTCTCGTCTGCGTGCTCAGCTACCGAGTCACTGCCGTTACCATAGCTTGGACACAGCTTTTAGCGCCTCATCAACATGGGAGCCACAGGGAAAGCAGATACCCAGCATTCGCGCTCGGCTGGAGGGTTGCATCTCCCGTACCTTAGCACGGTTGGCCAGCCCCTGCGGCCCGACTGCGACTGTTTCCTTGGATACATTGGCCCAGCTGAGCGGTGGTGTCCCGCACGCAGTCGTTGACTGGTCACTCCCTCCACTGGGCCTGTCTGTCCGCGTGCGTCCTGCTAGCTCAACGATTCAGTTTTCGGAGTCCAGAACCTACTGGCTGGCTGGTCTCAATGGAGGCCTTAGTGTCCTACTCTGCGAGTGGATGGTTCGCCACGGAGCCAAGTATTTTGTCATCTCTAGCCGCACGCCTAGCGTTGATGAGACTTGGATAAAGAACATGGAGGCTGCTGGCGCTGTTGTCAAGGCTTTTTCATGGTGTGTAACGCCTTTTTGAACACTTCCAATACCCCCTTCCGGCATATCACCGGTTAACCTGAATTGGTCTATAGTGACATCACCGACGAACTCGCGGTGTCAGATCTGTATAGAGAAATACAGTCAACACTGCCCCCTGTTGCGGGAGTATGCCAAGGTGAAAGTAAGTAATGTTTCCGGTTCTGGGTTTTCTCCTACAGCACTGTAGTGGTAACACCATTAAAATAGGTTTCGGGGAAATCGTCCCTGAAGATATCCCTATCTATGACATGCCTCTAGAAGCCTTGCTCAAGGTTACGAGACCAAAGGTTGAGGGCAGCTTACACCTCGACCAACTCTTCCAGCCTCAAGACTCGGACCTCGAATTCTTTATATTCTTCTCCTCTGTCGGCTCTGTGACAGGACAGCCAGGTCAAGGTAATTATGCGGCTGCCGATCTTTTCATGACTGCTCTCGCAGAACGCCGCCGACGGCGTGGCCAGGCCGCTTCAGTAATGCATATCGGCCCCGTCTTAGGTGCCGGCTACACAACCCAACAGCCACTTGACTCGGGTTCCAAATTTATTACAACTGAAAAGTCGATTTCCCCTATCTCGGACAGTGACCTTTTCCAGCACTTCGCCGAAGCAATCATCGCAGGACGCTTCGTGTCTCAGACAGGCACCTTTGAAGTAGCGACTGACTTGGCCAGATTCGAATCGGTACAGGAGGCAGGCCCGTTGTTGAGCCACTATTTCACCCAGAATCAGGCGGAGAAGGCCGCGGATGAGCCTGTAGTAAAAGCAAAAGTGTCGCTCACATCAGAACTCGCGGCCGCACGGGGGCGGGCACAAGTGACGCGTATAATTCGCGAAGCATTCTTACTCAATCTAAGCTCCCAATTGCAGATCGAATACCCGAAGCTTGAGAAGGCGGAACCGAAAGAATTACGTCTCGACGAACTTGGCATGGACTCGTTAATAGCCGTGGAGATCCGTAAATGGTTGCTCAAAAATTTCCAAGTCAACATATCAGTGCTGAGGATCTTGAGCGGGGCACCGGTCGCCGACCTCATTGATACGGTAACAGAGGAGATACCTCGCCAGCTCGTTCCGATGTTTGACGAAGGACCGGATCATCAGGCGAATGAGCGAGATCAGCCTGTGCAGAGAGAAGTCGAGCAACCATCACGGCAGATACGTCATGAGGAGAACTAGCCTCCTCGCTGCCTCGGTACCGTTCCTACGAAGAGACGTGCGTACGTAAGCACGCACTGGGCGTAGGTTGGCAGGGCTGCGCGTGGGATGGAAACGAAACTCGGTTGCGCGATTCGTGGTGTTACCTATAAATGTGATTGTTAGCGGCGGGATGCCAGACGGGCGCCGTGCCGGGCTCGCGCTTGGCCCGCCCTGCCAATGTCGGCTTGGCTGAGTAGCGCAGAGGCTACACGGCATGGCGCGCTGATAGTAGGCATTCTAATTTCCTGTCATCCGACAACATTCGAAGAGGTTGTTAGCGCCGGGCATGGCAGACAAAAAGGAACGGACCGTATCGGGGCCGTGAGGACGGTCTCCCATCCGACCCTCTCTCTAGCCCGGTTTACGTTAGTGTCGTCGCGCGGTCCCTTGCCTGCGTAGCGGACGAGGAGGGTTGATGGGGAGAGGAGAGGAATTGAGAATGAAAATATGAAGGCGAAGCCACAACCTGCCTGCCTACATAATACATAAGCGTATCTATCCACGTTATAAGAACATAACTGAGGTTGGTGACCCTTGGTGGTAGCCACATGTACCTGATTCGCCCGTCTCGGTCTCGGGGCGATAGCAAAATACATGGCATTATATGCCTGGGGCGGGTGCAGGCTAGGTACCTATTTCCGTGCTGTGCGCGTGCTGGTAGACAATGAAGTACCTACCTGCCTTCGGGTGCCCCCTGGCAGGCTGCCCTGGCATCATCGGCCCTCAAATGGCGTGCTCGACCGATGGGGCGTCTTTGTTGCACCACGCCGAGAATCTTGAACAGATACGACGCCTGTCAGGATCGATGGCGCTGGTCACGTCCGGTCAAGGCCTTTCCCGCCTCTCTCCAAACGGACCGATATCGTGATACACCTGGCTGAGATGACTGTGTCAATTACCTAAGTGCGCCTCCGCGGTGAGCAGTTGCGTGCTTTGAACCCAAAGTGAGGAGAAGTTGCCGGGGTTCGCTGCTCCATCTCTCTCCGGTTCTCTCCCTCCCGTCAGCGCCTACATAAGATGGCCGTGTCCAACTCCGTCGATACGCGCGAGGAGTGTAAGCGCAACTCGGTTTCACACGTCGTGCCGTGCCGTGACAAGCCAAACTCGCCTCTGCGACCAGGTCCATTAAGCGTGCCTACGTTAGCAGGATTTGGAATTAACGCGGCTTCCGACAGCTGGTAGTAATCGCCGCTCGACTCCTCCCACGTATATGAGAAAGCGATAAATCAAAGGCAAAAGAGGGAAAGGGGGAGACAAGCAAGATGGCGGAAATACCGGAGAAGGGCAAAGAGACCCTGGAGCCAGACGTGGTCGAGGAGCCTACGCGAGTTGTGTCGAGTCTGGATTCCGCGACCAAACCCGTCCCGCCGCCGGCCGTTCACCGACAGGCCCCGAGGGCCGGCGCGGATGCTGCGCTCGAGCTGCTCAGGGAGACGGGTGGGCTACGACGGCCGGTGGATCCCGAGGCGAATCGGAGGCTGGTGCGGCGCATCGACACGCACATCATGCCTCTGATCTGCATCGTCTGGTAAGTATCACCGCGAAATGTTACCTCTCATCCTCGGCCTCGTCGTAAGCTAACGCCGTCCGCAGTACGTAGCGTCAACATTATCCATTCCGGCCCTTGTCTTCCCTCCTGTGCCCTATTACGTAACCGGGGGGGATTGGGGGGATGAGAGGAGAGCGGAAGCCTCGACGTTCGTTGTTGTGTTTCCCTGCTAACATGAAGCAGACTTCCTCCAGTACATTGACAAGACTGCCATCTCGTACGCTAGCGTCACCGGCATCGTCGAATCGACGGGGCTCAAGGGAAACGAGTTCAACTGGGTCGCCTCTATCTTTTTCTTCGGCCAGCTAGCCTTCGAATTCCCCACCATCCGCCTCATCCAGCTCTTCCCCCTCGCCAAGTATGCCTCCATCAACATCACCCTCTGGGGCGCCGTCCTCGCCTGCCTCGCCGCCTGCAAGAACTATGCCGGCCTGCTAGTCTGCCGCTTCTTCCTTGGTGTCCTCGAGGCCGCCGTCGTCCCCGCCTGGGTGCTCTTCACCTCCCAATGGTACACAAAGGAGGAACAGGCCTTCCGCGTCGGCATCTGGTTCTCTACCTGCGGCGTCGCCCAGATGTTCGGCGGCTTCTTCGCCTATGGCGTGGCCGTGCACGTCGGCCGGGACCCTAACGCCCTGCTGCGTGGCTGGCAGGTCATCTTCCTCTTCCTCGGCCTGCTCACTGTCGTCACCGGTATCGCCTTCTGGTTCATCATGCCCGACTCTCCCGCCGTCGCCGGCTTCCTCGACAAGGAGGAGAAGGGCGCCCACCTCGAGCGCATCCGGCACAACGAGCAAGGCATCGGGTCGCAGACTTTCAAGTGGGACCAGGTGCGGGAGGCCCTAGGCGACAGCATGACTTGGCTCTACGCGTTCTGGATCTTCGCCGCCAACATCCCCAACTCGATCGCCACGTCCTTCGGAAACATCCTGGTCAAGGGCATGGGGTACTCGAATGAGCAGTCTCTGCTCCTGGTGACGCCACTCGGCGCGTGGGAGATCGTGGCCCTGATAGGGCTCACGTACGGCGCCATGAAGACGCGGCAGCGGCTGTACTTCTGCATCGCGGGGCACATCCCAGCCATCGTGGGGGCGATCCTAATGGCGACGACGGACCACGTGCCGGCGCTGATCGGGTATTACACGAGCGGGGGGATCCCGATCGGGTGGACGACGATCCTGGGCCTGCAGAGCTCCAACGTGGCCGGGTCGACCAAGAAGGTGACGGTAGCCTGCCTCGGCACGGTCGCCTACACCATCGGCAACATCATCTCGCCCCAGACCTTCCAGGCGCGCGATGCGCCACGCTACCTCCCGGCCAAAATATCGATCTGCATCATCTACGTCCTCATCACGCTCGACCTTGTCCTCATGCGCTGGGTCCTCGACCGTCGCAACCGCCGGCGCGACGAGGCCAAGGCCGCGGAAGGCGACGCCCACGAGGCCGAGGAGAACCACGAGTTCCTCGACCTGACGGACCTGCAGAACAGGGAGTTCCGCTATGAGCTGTAGACGGCCGGAGACGGTCGGCGAGAGGCTGGCGGGGTCGCTTTTGCTCAGGAGGGACGCGGGGCACGGCACAGACGGATGTATTGTTAGTAGCGGGAGTCGCTCGGATGTACAACTAGTAGAGCGAAGAAGGTCGGCGCATCTACCATTCCTAGCTAATGGGCAGGTAGTGTAGCGATGGTATATGCCGGGTCGTGTGGGATGAGAATACCCCCTGTTTACGCGCCGATATATCGTGTTGATTCTAGACTTTGAAAATTAGCATCGTGATATATACACCCTATCTCTCGAGGTTTCGTTCGTTGACCTGCTGCGTGCGTGTTTCCTACGACGGGTCCGTCCCAGAAGTATGAGGTCTACGCGACACCGTCGGCTGCGCCACGGCGAAAGGCTACCGGACCCCCCGAGGGGACCGGTGTTCAGACAGAACCCAGGCCATCGCGCTCAGCGGCCCAGAGCCAAGCAGGCACCGCCTTAGTTGCCGGCCCAGGAGGTTATGGGGGCTGCCCGGGGAAGGATGGAAGAGCGCGGGGGTCGGATGAGGGAGAGACGAGCCAGGCACGAGAACTGAAGTCGGCGCGTAACACTATGCGGCCATTCGCCGTAGGTGGGGACGTAGAAGCAGACCGTGGTCAGCCCAGCGGCCGCCCAGCTTGCTGATGGCACGCCGGAGGTCCGGTTACATAGAGACCGCCTGTCAATGGATGTATGTCTTCAACTAACAAGTTTGTGATGGGAGCTCTGCAACCTAACTCTGTAGCAGCTAAGGACTCCCGGGTCCAACGGCTTGTCAGTGCTCCCTTCTCCCTTCAGCAACGCCAACAACACCAGGATTATTGTATCGGATATCGAGGGCTCGCTGTGGCGATTCGAGACGAGTTTGAGAAGAGTTACGTCCGAACTTCTGCTTGTAGCGGGTCGACTACTTGCTGTGAGCTTCGGCATCAAACGAGACAACAATAGTTCCCCCGCTGGTGTGAAAACCCAGCATGTCTGCTGGCATGATGATGAATGTCGGTTACTTGTCTGTGCACGGCGGCTATGTTGGTTTTTTATGTTGGTCACGAAAGGTCGGAATGTGTATCGAGGTAGCGGGTGCGAAGTCTTACGAGAGTAACACGAAGGCGCCGTGAAGAATCACTGCCGTTATGCCAATCGGGGGTGGCTTGACCGCCTCACATCGTGGCTGGCAGCAAACGATGCCCAGGCCTTTCTCCGGCCCTCTGTGCGTAGATGAACGGGGGGAGACGGAGGAAGCAGAGTGAGGGGCTGAGGCTCGCTGTTTTCATCGCTGCGGCCTTCCATGGGTTATGGGTGCGACTGCCCGTTAGAAGGGCTACTGCCCGTCGCACTTGCCGGCTTTTGTCCCCTGATTTACAGTTCCAGAGAAGTGCCGCGGGCTAATGCCGTGCAACGCAGCCTGCAACCGGTTGACATCATCGGTGAGGTGATGCCACCTTAGAAGCTCGAGACTTCCTTCTCCTTCCATCCCGTCTTCTCAGGTACCTGCCTGCCTTTTCGCACGTCAAGCTCCAGCAAGCGGCATGGGGTACCGGAGAAGATGCAATGGCCCGAGAGCAGGCGCTGTCCGGGGGCCCACCTCCAAGGCGGTGACCGCCAACTGCCACACATCATCACGTATGTGGCTCGCCGTTGCTTATTCGGGCAAAGTATGTTACGGGCAGCTGCCAGGAGAGACCGGTCGACCGTGCGTCTTCCTGAAGATATGCCGTCATGCGGCTGGTAACCAATGGATAGGCTCGCAAATGGCACACAGAGCCCTTATCGGTCGGGTCTGACTCGCTCGCCATGTGGGGACCTGGTGTCTAGCCATGTCCCATCTCCTACCAGACTTTGCACCCGTCCTGTCGGCCTTTCTTACCTCATGTGTAGTGCATAGCTACCTACGCATTGCCGCATTGCCGCCATCGGACCGTGCCTCTCTCTCTTCTTCCTTGCTTCCCACCCTCAGACCTGCCGGGCAAACAACGGCGGACCAGGTAAAAGGCGACACCTTCACCCTTCTTCTTCCCTCGTCCATCTCGCAAGCACTGGCCGCCGATACTAACCCGCCCGGCTGCTTGAGTCTCGACAATCTCCGTCTTGGAGCAGCGCCCGCGTCGCTCCAACCAAGACGCTGCCGTCCTACCTCTGATTGATCCTTTAGGTAGTCTCCCCGGATAATCCGATCCTTCTCACAGTGCGCTGCCGTGTCGCCGTTTTCGAGCTCTTGGGCCTCCCTTTGCTCCTCAAACAACGCCCGGAAACACAAATCGCGTATGATCGCACCGAGCCCGATACCTTAGAAACCGCTTCTCATAGTCGAACTCGCCGTACCGGGCTGGCTCTCCAAATGGGCAAAGACAAGATGCCGACTGATGTCCGGCAAGATCCCAAGGATGTCTCCGGTAGGTAACGCAACGTCCGCCGCATGCGGGAGTTCTGCGCGGCCTCGTTGGAACTGACGAGGCCACATCTGCAGATCCTGGCGTTGTACCTACCCCTAAGATTTCTGGGCCCTGGACGGTCGAGAAGGTACTTGCGACGATAGGACCTGAAGCACCTACCGAGGGAGGGAGCTCTCCGCTCCCCTTCTTCCACGTGCTGGAGCGATTGAAGACGGGCAAGCGAGAGGGGTGGCGGCGGTTTGGTATCGAAAGGTGAAGAAACACTTGCGAGAGACCAGTCGGAGGTTAGGGCATGTTAACATTGATGCTAGGGGTGAATCGATTGCCGATCATATGTACCGCATGTCCCTGATGACCTTGGTATGCCCGCCGTCGCTCGCACCCAAGCTCGATCTCAACAAGTGCATGAAGATGTGCCTCGTTCACGACATGGCCGAGTCTCTCGTCGGTGATATCACGCCGGTAGACGGCGTGCCGAAGCCGGAGAAGAGCCGACGCGAAGCGGAGACGATGGACTATATTTCTAAGAACCTGCTGGGAATGGTGCACGGCGGCCTGGCCGGCGAGGAGATTCGGGCGATCTGGCAGGAGTATGAGGACTCCGAGACGCTGGATAGTCACTATGTGCACGACCTAGACAAGATAGAGCTGTTGTTGCAGATGGTGGAGTATGAGAAGCGGACGGATAAGCGTCTAGACCTGGGCGAATTCGCGTATGTCGCGACTAGGGTCGCGCTTGCGGAAACGCAGGAGTGGGCCGAGGAGATCCTCAAGGAGCGCAATGAATTCTGGGGCGCCCAGTCGCACACCGACGGGTCTCTCGGCCTGGATGGCGGTGTGCAGGAGACGACGACTAAGGGCCAGGGCGCCTACTACACGAACGTATCAGGGTGAAATAGAAGAACGCGAGTGCGAGTGGTATATGAACGTGGCTTGCGGCGTCATGTCGAAACCGGAGATTCCCCTCAACTTGTTCGGGCGACGCGTTGAGCTGAGGGGACGGGGCGTGGACGACGATGCATGCCATCCATAATTAATACATATACTATCACCGCTACCGTCAGACATGAACCCCCTTGAACGACAACGAGCAGGATTCAGCAGGTTAAGGGACGAGTATAAAGTGCCCATCCCATTTTCTGATCGATCCGTTCCCTTTAGAATTCTCGATAATGCATGACGTTCCCGGCGCCAGCGACGTCCGTTCACCTGCACAGATCCTTGCATGATGCCTCCCCGTAGGGATGCCTGCGGTATTGCATGTGTGTGTACACGCTACATCGCGAGGCGAGAAGTCCATGCATGCGCATAATGCACCTATGTTGTCAGCGCGGTATTTTCGCACGCAAAAGCTGAGTATTTGCGCCATTGTACCGCGTTACAGTACATGGCAGCACGTATGAGTAGAATGATGCTGTAGAATGATGCTGGGCGGGAGGTGTTCACGATGCGACGCACCCCCTTCCCTCGGTAACACGCCGAGAACCCGACGGGCGCCGGGTCCGGGCCAATCAAGTGGGAGTGCCCCCTGTACGTGTATATACTGCGTCGTATATACATGTATATGTACTTTTACTATGGAGGACACGCAGGAGAGGTACCTCTAGCGAAGGTATGAATGGGATTGGCGGTCACCACTCCACCGCCCGTCTCCACCGCGAGGTCTGGGTCCACTGTTGACTTTTCTCGGGCAAGCGAATCTGACCGGGCAACGAATGATGGCCTCGGCCAGTTTGCCAGGACGGGCCCGGTCCATAGACGAGAGAAAGACGAAGAGGGAGAGAAGAACATACTCATAGGCAATCTCGCACCGTACGTGGAAAATTCCGCCACTGATGCCATCCTCTCCCTCTTCTCTTTCAGCGCCGCGCTGTGCATCCTCGCAACCCAACCACGGCGTGAAGGGCATTTGTCCTGTCCTGTCTTCGCATAACAATGTATAAGCTCTCGCATTGCCACGTCCCAAGTTAGTGATAGAGGAGACGCCTTTTATCATCCCAGTAGGCTCAGGTCGAGCTTGGTGGGCGCTGATGAGCGAAGCGGGCCACACCGCATTTCATCGACGAGCTCTTGTTAGAAGGGCCTTTGGAAGGGGGGAGGGGCGTAAGGGAAAAAAAAATAGTGCCCGTTCCTACGACCAACCGTCCTTCGACAAACATACATCCACGGCAGTCTAGGCACAGCAGAAATTCGACGTGGAGGCTGCCAATACGGGTAACCAACAACAGAAAGGCACCGTCTACTACCTAGGACAGTCGGGGGGGAGGAAGTGCGGCCGGAAGAAACAAAAAAAAAAAACCTCGCGAAACAATACGAAAAGCTACCGGGGTATAGCTGTTTATATCAGCGACGGGGACAGCTTAAGGTTGAACCTGGGGGGAGGGGTGATTGATTAGGCCCAGACTCGGACCGCTTCGCGGCGTCATCTCACACTTGACACAGAGAAGACGTACGAGACGCAGGATACGAGACACGAGACGACTCGCGAGATAGGCTCAAGGTTGACCCTCTAGAAGACCTTGTGACGACAAGCTCCCCAAGATCGATTCCGCCGCTACACACAACCTTCGCCCTCTCACTTACCACCACTTTCACCCCCACTGACTCGCTCTCATTATTCACCCGGCCATCCATCCCATCCTTCCATTCATCTACCCTTTGCCCAGGTTTGCGGGTTGCTTGCGTGCACCACAGCCATTTTCATTACGCTCGATTTTTCTCGCCAATATCTCTCCGTGCGTCTACGAAGCTCTCGTCTCACCCAGCCCGCCAGCCAGCGGCTGCGACGATCCGGGCAGTAGGTATTCGCACTCCTCGCATCTTAATACGTGCCAACCTCCCACCATCAATTCCCGCTACAGGCAATACGGCACGGAAAGCTGCAGCGGCGTCCATCGCAAACAGGCCTCTGTCCACCCGTCGATCTTCCCTCCTCGCGCGACACGACAACAGGTATCTACTGCTGTCACGGCGTAGTGACGAACAAATCATCGCATAGCCCCGTATCGAACCAGCAAACGCACCGGGGGGACAGTAAAGGATTGAGGGAAAGGGAAAGGAACCCCGCGCACTTGTCCTGACCTGCCCTGCTTACCCTCGCTCACGCTTACAAGTACGAGCACGAGCTTCCCCGTGCTTAACAATCGGGTTTGATAGACCATCCGCCATCGCACCCGAATCGACCGACCGACTCCCCGCCGCACGATCGTAACATGTCATTTGGACCGCAGGTCATCATGCCGAGTGCCTTTCATTTCGAGGCCCCTAACGGCGGCTCCTCCCTCACTGGTGTACACCCGGGCATGTTTCGACCGCCCATCTCGCCCTCCGCCTCCAGTTCGGGATACCTTGGACGATCGATAGACAGTAGTAATGCATATGCCGACCCGTCAGCGCCAGGACCGACCGCGAAGAGGAAACGCCCTCCGGCCCACAACTGGACCGGGTTCGGCATCGGTGCCTCGGCACAGGATCATCAACGATCCGACTTTAGCGGCGATGGACAAATGGGGGGCATAGGAGGAGGGGCAGAACACCGATATGTCCTCGCCGGCCACATCGAGACGCTGAACGGCTTCGCCCCGACCGACCCCAAGGACGCGATGGACGATAGTTTCTACTCTGACGTCGACTACCGGAAAGCCCTGGGCTCGAAGCGCCCACACCACGAGACAGAGTCGATACGCCTCAACGCCGACGGTGCGGACCCGACGCTTCCCGCCTCACAGACTAATAATAACAACAGCGGCTGGGGATCGTTCGCCCTGAGCACTCTCGGCGGGGTGGTTGGGAAGGTGTGGGAGTTCTGCAAGACCGGCGCGTTCCGCGGGTTTTACGCCGGCGGTGGGAAGGGCTTCGACATAGCAAATGGGGCCGCGACAGGAGCAACGCCGTCTCAGCTGCCGGCCGGCCAGGTCTGGTATAACGAGCACGATGTACCCACGCTACCACCGCTTGAATCAGGCGCGACGACGACCAGTACGGGGTTTCCGCAGTCGGATTTGTACTATCACGATACCGACTCGGCCCCGGCCACTTCCTCGTTCGGCTACCAGCAGAGGACCGCAATGGAAGAAGAAGGGTCCACAACACCACCGCCGGCGGCGAAGCGACGGCAGATCAGCCGGGAGTGGAACACGGGGACAACGACGCCCGGCGACGAGCTAAACCGAAACTGGGTCGTGGTGGAGGAGCCCGCACCCGCGGCACCCGCGGCACGCCGGAGACGGCAGGGCAGCGGCGCCTCCCGCGCGACGATGGCTTCACCGGATGTCTCAGTGCTACGGCGCCGCATCGTCGGGCGCCCCGCGTTCCCGCGGTACCACGCGTCGTCGTCGTCATCGTCGTCGTTGGGGCGAGGTGCCTCATCCATCAGCCACGCAGGCGCGGCAGGTCTGTCGACACGCGAGCCCGCAAGCTTCGCATCTCCTCGACCCCAGTCGCCCAGCGTCGGCGCACCGCACTACGGGCAGTACGGGGCGGGGGCAGCATCCCCGGCCTCGGTCTCGACGCCGGCCAGCCGCATCCCCGTGCCCAGCGGCCGTCCGCAGACGCCGGCCGCGTTCTCGCCGCGCCTGTCGATCGGCGGCGGCTCGCACTCGCACCACAAGGCGTCGCAGCTGCAGCCGTCGCTGATCCCGAGCCCGAGCGCCGGGGGACCGCACTACTCGTCGCCGTTCGGGTCGCCGGCATCGAAGCCGGGGTTCGGCCCCGGGCACCGGCGCAACCACAGCGGCGCGTCGGCGGCGTCGGGGCGGCTCCTGCCGCGGCCGCGGGACGCCGAGCCCGCGAGCGGCAGCCCCTTCGAACACACCGGCGCCGGCATCGCCGCTGCGAACAATACCACCGCCAGCAACACCAACAGCCCGCGCCTCGACGCTGAGGCCCGCACCCTCGCGGCGCGCCGCGCGCGCGCCGAGATGGAGGCCGACATCCGCATGAACGACTTCAACGCGCGCATCCGCGACATGATCCGCCAGGGCCGCGAGGCGCTCGGCACGACGGTTGAGGTCGAGCTCGACATGGAGGACGTGGACGCGGACGAAGGCGGGGTAGGAGCCGCAGGAGGGAGCCGCAGGGGCCGAGGCGGCGTGGATATTTGGGAGGACGAGTGAGAAGGTGATCGGAGAGGACGGCGAGCTATTCGCCACGCGCGCTGCTGCCCGTCGGTCGTCACCGCGGGCGCCGCGGTGCCCTCGCTGCTGCCGCCGGGAACGCCGGGCAGCTGCCTGACCTGGCTCGGTCTGAGATGTAAAAAGACGCGTCTTGAGAAATGCATGTTTTTCTTGTTCCCGCCTGCCTGCCCGCCTGCCCGCCTGCTTGCTCCCTCACTGCTTTCAGCGGGTGGCCGGGATCGGCACGGCTTGTCCGCAGGCCGACGCTTTAGGGATTGGGCCCTCGGGCCCTCTCCCGACGATGCTACGGCTGCGCTAGTACGCTTTCCGGGAACCAGGACGGACGCGTTGGGGCGAGGTACAGGTGCTGCTTGTATATATAGTTGTGATGACGCCCCGCGACGAGGTGCTGACTAGGTAGTGTCTTACGTGATTGACGAAATGAATAAGTCTTTTTGCACTTCCGTCTACGGTTTTGGGATTGATGTGTTTTTATTTCTAGGGGGGTTCGGTCGTTGCGGTTCTTCGGGAGTTGCCCTTGATAATGAGAAGTTGCCTTGTAAGATACATTAGGAAGGACTTCATATGACCCTGTATTCTCTTTGCTTCGTCTGCATATGTCTATATATACGTTATGTTGGTTATGATTATGGATATTCGGATTTAGACTGTTAGCCAACGTGGCCAGAGTCATTCGCGCTAGTGTTATGGGAATGCCTCTTTTAAAGTCGCGTTCTTGTGTAGAACTAGAGCCTGTTGTCGTTGAAGTAATGGTGCTTTACGTTTCAAAGTTAGTGATTAGTTCGGTTGACAAGTCGAGTTTGGAACAGCTCTCAGCGTAATGAGTCTTCGTTATTTCTATACCATGCCCCTTTCCCCCTTCGCTACTCTTCTGGAAGTTGCTGTCAATAGGTGGAAGAGGGATTTATCGGGTGACATTCGCCAGGACCTGTTCGAAAGCTTAATGATGAGTGATCAAGCATCGACTACTAAAGAGAAGAGAAAAGTGCGGCGCCTGAGGTAACGGCCGTTGGAACAACCCTCCAACACATATACCCACAACCTTAAAGGGCCTCATCTGATTAAGGGGCAGCGCAGCTCTAACAGGGTCCGTCTTCATACGATCTCCACTCTCGCCAGCACTTCATAGAAGCGCGCCTATAGGAATATTCTTTCCTTAAGACACAACCAATCCGGGTCCTGGTCTTTGTACCCCTGACAGGGACGGAAGAGAATTTACAATAGGAACAATATTTTTTAAAGGTTACGATTCCCCACGAGTGTAGTCCATAATGGGCCTCGGAGCTACTATTTAGAACATGTTACTCGTGATGCTAACTTGAAGACAAAATATGAAGTTGCATTCTGTAGTCTGGGTCATCGGGACCTTGCAGGACATCGTGTCCGGGTATGCCAACCCTGAAGCTTGCTCGGGTACTTGCGTTAATGCGCATGACCCGTCCGTCATCCGGCGATCTGACGGGACGTACTTCCGCTTCTCGACCGGCGGCAAGATAGCCGTCCATACCGCGCCGGATATCATGGGCCCGTGGACGTACAAAGGCGCGGTGCTCCCGTCAGGCTCCTCGATAGACCTCGACGGGAACCAAGATCTCTGGGTAAGTATTAAGCCACCAAGTTAGCGATATCTTGTGCTACCATCGAAAGCTCTTTAACTGATCCCCGGCCTCTGAAGTAGGCACCGGAAGTGGCTTTAGTGGGGAGCGCGTACTACTTGTACTATTCTGTTAGCACGTTCGGCGTGCAAAACTCTGCCATCGGCGTTGCAACGTCGTCTACCATGGACGTAGGGAGTTGGAAGGACTTGGGATCCACCGGGATCAGATCGTCGCCCGGGAAGCCGTACAACGCGATAGATCCGAGCCTTATCATCGCCGACGGGACGTACCTGCTCACCTTCGGCAGCTTCTGGAAGGACATCCACCAAGTTCCTCTGAAGAACCCGCCCAAGACGGTAGCCAGCGGCGCCAGCGCGTACCAACTCGCCTACGATCCCGCCACCACGGCCGAGGAGGGTGCCTGCGTGTTCAAGCGCGGGAGCTACTACTACCTCTTCTACAGCAAGGGACAGTGCTGCGGATACGATGCTAACAGGCCGCCAGCCGGTGGCGAGTACAAAATTCTGGTCTGCCGCTCTACCTCCGCAACTGGGGGCTTCGTGGACGCCCGCGGCAACGCTTGCAGCAGCGGCGGCGGGACCGTAGTTCTCGAGTCGCACGGATACGTGTACGGGCCGGGGGGGCAGGGCGTCTACGATGACCCTAACTATGGGCCTGTAAGTCTCTCTCTGCCGAAATTCCTCTTCCTCCCCGCTCGTGTCACTTATGCTGCCGTTTGCAGATTCTCTACTATCACTACGTCGATACGAGAGTCGGGTACGCAGACGGCCAGAAGCGGTTCAGGTGGAACACTATCAGCTTCTCCAGCGGCTGGCCTGTGGTCTGAAAAGGTGAAGTAAGCGTTATTGGTAGATTCGTTTCTTCCGTGCTTCTTCCGTGTTTCTAGGCTGGATTAGCTGTTTGGGTGATGGCGGCTTTTCTGAATGAGACATGTGTTAAAGGGACTACTCGGAAAGGATCCGGTTTCCTAAACACTCGATATGTGTTGCGAACAGGAATACAAGTAAAGTATTGCCACCAATATCAAAGTCCCCCCGAGGATTTCATGCCCACTGGATGTAATCCCTTCGAACATGAGCGGGGTGTAATATCCCCTTTAATTCCGGCGCAGCCGCCCCTTTTCCACGAGTCCGTCTCAGCTGTCCGCCGCCTCCTGGGCCACCGCCTTAGCTGCGGCTACCATCTTGGGCACCCACTCATTCGCGTACTGGCTGTCGGCGAAATTGAGCACATCGTCCACCTCCGAGCCATCCGGGCTCAGCGTCACGACCCAGATATACTCATTCTGGTACAGGCCCACGGTCGTTTCGGAGTGCGACTTGAGATGCATCACGACCTTCCGGCTGACCTCGTCGACTAGGGGGTCTTCCCCGCTCACCAGCTGGAGCTGGAAAGTCCGCGTAATGCGCCCAATCAGCCCGACGAACGCGACGCATTCGGCCTGGGATTGTGGCACCATTTTCACCTTCGCCGGCGCCGTCCGGAACGTGAAATTGGGGCTGAAGTGGCGCACGACCGATTCCGGGGTCCACTCGTTAACGGAGTCGATGAAGGCCCCCGCGGTCTGTAGGAGCCGCTCGCGAGTTGGCGCCATGATGATTCTGGATAGTAGCTAGCTTTTGGCGTAGGATTATATTCTTAGCGTGATGTCCTTTCTCTCTCTCTCTGCAGCCGATAACCGGGTGTGTGCTGTGTATTATATAGTCTTAATTGTAGAGATCCGGGCCCCGTAGACCTTCACCGTGTGCCCCGAACACCCATCCCAACCTCCTCGGCGCGACGTAGGTGTCACCTATACGTCCGTAAGACGACGTGCGGGACCGTTAACACTGACGGCCATGTCAATTGAGTTCACCAAGTTTTCTTCCTTGGTTACACGGATTCGTCACTACATCCTGCTCAAATCGCTGATAGTTGAGGTCGCGTATACGTCGATCTCATAGATTCATCAGCAGTATAAAACATTGGCGGGATTTTGCTTACTGTTTCTATCTTGACTTAGAGATATTATTGGACTGGCGGCTTATTTGGTTGTTTGGTCGAGTAATGATGCTTATCCTTGGCTGTTGGCGGCAGAGACATAGAGGGAAATCCCTGCCATCTTACTGCTTCGAAGAAACCTACACCGTAATTATAGACACCCAAATTTCCTCCGTATGAATAGAGGCCGCTGGGAGACATATTTGGTAAAGGAGTTGTGTAGATATATAAGTAATACACTTGCCGTCTAATATCTAATATTACATAAGTACGGGGATATAGTCTGTTCATAAACATCTACTGGTAGCAGCAATGCCCAAAACGGGCATCGGAAAGAGAGCCGGAAATATTCGACGCGCCCACCATCACAATTTCACTCGCCTGGAAACCTCCTTCTCGGCTCTCTCCGAGTTCACCATCTCCGGTACCAGCTCCCCAACGTGCCTTGCTCCCGCCAGCGCCATGTTCGTCTCGACTTCGGTTCTCAAGATCTGCACTAAGCGGCGCAGGCCTTTATCGCCATAGCCGGCACACATAGAATACAGCACTGGCCGGCCGATGCCCACCGCCGTGGCCCCTAAGGCGATGGCCTTGATAACGTCTGTGCCTCGGCGAACACCACCGTCTACGAATACTTGGAACTTGGTGCGGACTTCTGGCGATAGCAGGTGTGGCGCGTGTCGGCGGATCTCCAATAACGTGAGGATCGGCGCCTGGGCCGTGTCTTGGGAACGACCGCCGTGATTGGATAGGACAATGCCATCTACACCTCTGCCGTATGCAAGAACCGCGTCCTCCACTGTCTGGACGCCCTTCAGTACCAAGGCAAGCCTCGTTGTCTCTCGAATCCACCCGAGGTCATCCCACGACAGTAAAGGATTTAGCAGACCTCGCGAGGATACCTTAGCGACCCCTCCCGAGGTGGGCGATATCGTGTCCTCTCCGGCCGCAGCCCTGACGCGGTCGTCACGTTCACGCTTCCCCAATACCGGTGTATCGACAGTCAAGAATATTGCCGCGGCCCCAAGTGCTTCCACGTTGCGGATGAGCGCCTTCGTACGCTCCCTATTGCGGCCCGTGTACAGCTGAAAAAACAACCGTTGATCTGAAACAGACCGCGCTTTGAACACGGCTTCGCGCGGAGCGCTCGTGGGCATACAATAGATGAGATTCTCCTTGCCGGAGACGGCGGCGATTATCTGCTCGGCATCTCGGTGGGCATATTTCCCCATGCCGGTCGGACTAAAATAGACGGGCAACGAGGACTGACAGCCGAGTATAGTGGTGCTTGCAGAAACGGGTTCCACTGGCCGGAGGACTCGGGGCCTCATGGTCATCTTACGAAAGATTCGAAAAGCGTCGCTGATACTGAATTCGTCGTCCGCCCCAGAGGAATAATATGCCCAGCCTGCAGACGTAAGGTACTTCTTGGCAACCGCTTCGAAGTCCGCGAGGCTAACGATAGCGTTCAGCGGAGGATAAGGAAATCCATCCTGGCCCTCGACAGTGTCTTCTGAAGATTGCCGCCGCGGTAGCGTTGAGATGTCCACGTTTCCAAGGTAGCTTTCCGGAGGTAGCGTCTCTTCAACCAGACCCCGGTCGTGAACCTCATCGTACGACTCGGTGGCATCTTGGCCGGCACATTTGAGAATAGCTCCCGCGCCGCCCGGGTGCTCATCTACGAAGCCTGAGAAGAGCATCTTTAAGCTTAGTTCGGCCACGTCTGTCAAGAAAGAAGAAACATACATACCAGTTACATCCCACACCTTGCCATAGATCACGACCCAGCACGAGTCCTTCCCACGGTGCTTGGAGACCTCTTCCGCGCGTATAACGGCCATGCTGATGCGTCATTGATCTGCCGTGGAGTTCTAGCTTGCGAGGAGCCTGAAATAGGCTTAAATCAACAGACCCTCAAATCGTGCTATCGGCGAGGAAGCCTGGGGTTAGGTCTTAGCTTCACCAAGAGCGTTGGGGGACATCAACACTGGACGGCCCCAGAACGACCCCAGAATAACCCCAGAATAGCCCCGGACCAGACAGCTTCCTGTCAAGGTGTCCCCCCACCGTGTTGGAGGCCCATCGCCCCACTGACCCAAACCAGGATCGCATCCACGCGAGGGGAGAGCGTGATCAATGAACGACCTAGGCGAGGAACGGCGGCTGCAGTAATTTTGACACCCGGTTAGCGTGTGGGGTGATACGATATTTCAGGACGAGAAATCTTGTCTTGGACTGACCCCCACGAGAAGCCTAGCTAGGAGAGAAGCAATAGACCGTTCTTGGTGAGGCGTAAGGGGACGGAGGCAGATACGCAGCGTTTCGGGTCTAGTCGCTGGCGCGTCTTTACGTCGCTTTTAAGATATATTTTTTTTGATCTGCGCGACGGCAAGATCGAGAACTTCTTCGCCTCAGTCCGCAACGCCTTCCTGAAGGCCGGCCTCACGCAGAGACCCCGCAACAGCCTACGCGCTGCCCACGCCACGATGGACGAGAAGAGAGAAGCCAACTCGGACCAGCTCGAGACGGTCGGGCCGAAGCGCGACCGTGTCCTCGACAGCGTCTCCGTGCCGCCCAATCTCGCGGCTCTGTCGAAGGCCGACTACGACAAGCTCGGCCGCCGGGCGACGCTCAAGATGGACCTGATCATCATGCCGATCGTGGTTATCATGTACGTCATGAACTACCTCGATCGCCAGAACATCGCCAGCGCCAAGCTCGCCAACATCGAGGCGGACTTGAACCTGTCGCCCGTCCAGTATCAGACCGCAGTCAGCATCCTGTTCTGCAGCTACAGTATGTCCTAGCCAACCCCCGCACGTTGCGTCGTCGCGGGTCCGAAGAAATGGAATTGACCAGTGTCTCGCAGTCCTCTTCCAGGTGCCCTCCAACATGATAGCCGGCCGGATCAAGTGGCCCGGCCTCTACATCTGCGCCAGCATGACCGTCTGGGGAGGCGTTTCGGCCGTCATGGCTGTTGTGAACAATTTCGCAGGCCTCATCGTTGCCCGGATTTTCCTCGGAGGCGTCGAGGCGGTGTTCTTCCCCGGGACTTTGTACTTCCTTTCTATGTTCTACAACCGCAAGCAATTCGCCCTCCGGACCGCGATCCTCTTCAGCGGCTCGCAACTCGGAAATGCCTTCGGCACCTTGTTCGCCCTCGCCGTCATGAACTTGGATGGAGTAGGCGGCCTTGCGGGTTGGCGATGGGTATGTCTCCCCCCCCCCCCCCTTTCTACCTACCGCTCTTTCTTTCCTATGTCGGCCGCTCTCGTTCTGTGCTAACACGACCCAAGCTTTTCCTCGTCGAGGGTGTAATCACTACCGGTCTCGCGTTGTTATTCGCTCTTATCCTCCCGAACTCGAACCAGAAGGTCATCGGTCTCTCTAAGACCGAGACCGAGTGGGTGCAATGGAACTATATCTCGGATATGGGCCAGAAAGACGACTCTCACGAGACGTCTTCTTGGGCAGGTTTCATGATGGCCATCAAGGACCCCAAGACATGGTTATTTACCGGCATCTTATATTGTGTCAGTAAAACCGACCCCATCTCCCTCGCATCAGCGTGGATGCAGCTTTCTGACACATCTTTCTTATAGACATATATCGACGGCGCCGTAGCGAACTTCTTCCCCAGTGTTGTTGGCGGCCTCGGGTACGACCGAAATACGACTTACCTCCTATCGGCGCCTCCCTTTATTCTCTGCGTTATCTGCATGCTTGCCAACGGTTTCCATTCGGACCGCACGCAGGAGCGCTTTTTCCACATCGTCGGGACTCTGTCGGTGACGCTCGTCGCCAATATCATCGCCGTCGCGACCACCAACACCGCCGCACGCTACGTAGCTATGATGCTGCTGCCCGCGTCCTTCTACGCGTCGGCCATCGTGACGCTGTCCTGGATCACGGGCTCGCTCTCGCAGCCGGCGGTCAAGCGCGCCACCGCCATCGGCCTCATCAACTCCATCTGCAACACGCCCAATATCTGGTGCAGCTACCTGTACTACGGGCCCCCCACCTACCTGACGGCTTTCATCGTCAATCTCGCAGCCACGGTCCTGGCCATCGCCTTCGCCGTCGCCACGCGCGTCTACCTCCGCCGCCAGAACGGCAAGCTTGATCGCGGCGAGGACAGCGGCCCGCACGGTCCGACGCCTGCTCAGGTCGTGGCTGGTTTCAGGTTCATGCTGTGAGGCGGATGGCACACGAGCGTCATCCGTCGAAACACAATCTTCTAGTCTTCTCGGTAGATAATTCGCCTGTAAGACAGCTGTGGGTCAGGCTGAGACGTTGGCAAACGAAGTCTCTTTCTTCGTCACTTCGTTACGTCTATAACTTTCTGCTATACATACTAGTTTTAGATTTAACCGTCTGCGACCTATTGATAAAACCGTGATGGCAATGCGAGATACACCGAGTTCACTTAGGATCGCTTACTATGCTTTGCCTCGGTGAATGAAGCCGCCAGTAAACACATTTGCAACGTGTAACCGGTAGGTGTGTGATTACACATGAGATACTATCAGTTCCTGTTCTCCGAATCGGCCCTTCATAATCCTCGTGTCACGGTTTATTACGGCATTGTAAGCAAGGATCTGCTCAGCAACAACTCGAGACCTGCGGATTTGTGACAAGTCCTAATCGATCTCTCACGATCTTGAATCTCATCCAAGCATCTCCGTCCGTGTTCTTCTAGCTAAGAAACCACCGGTCGCTCGGCCTACAGGGACAATGTTCTAATAGGGAAGAAGAAGGCATCCCGGTATACGGTACCGACGTGGCATTATGGGATCATGATGGGATCATTATGGTATACATGCAGGCATGTGTTTTCGGACTACTTCTGAATACCTGACATATTAACAACCGAAGGAACGCAGATCCTGGCCCCGGTCCTCCGCAGACGTGCCGCCGACGCGACGTCTTTAGAAAGCGGAGTAACCATGTCGAGCGAGTGGGTTTGGAGTAAGTTAAGTGGCCACGCGAGTTGGAGCCAACTCGCCGGATGACGGGATCCTGTTCTATGGGGGTCAGAACAGAACCCCTTGCGTGGGGGAGGCGGAGACAGCAAGACATGTGACCCCGTCGTGGGTCAGAAAGCCCGAGACCAGCCAGGCCAACAGGCCGAGCGTCTTAGCTCCAATACGTATGTGAGCATCCCCTCGTAACGGCGGTAAGGCAGGCTTAGTCTTGAGGTCTGACTAATCACTAATATCATGCAAATTCTTGGTTTGCCTACCTCGATGTTTTCAGTTCGTCTATCCCGTTTCCTCGCTGCTTGGTAAAAGGGAGCAAGAAAGAAGGCCGTCTTGAGTATCTAGATTTACTTTTTTTTCTCTATTTTTGTATTCGAATAGTACAAGATGCCGAAGATTCAGTCCATCATCCACTACCGCGTCAAGCCTCGCTGGCTGATGGTCAAGGTTGTCGACGAAAATGGACAGTACGGCTGGGGTGAGGCAACTCTAGAAGGCCACGACCTCGCGGTTGAGGGCTGCCTAAATGAGATGATTCCCAGGCTTATCGGTAGAGAGGCAAAGTAGGTTCTCCGTTTGATTCCGGACTCTATGACGTCCGGGGGTGAAGGATCCGGTGGAAGAATGAGCCACAACTCTGCCTTGTCTTCTTTCCAGTAATCCATCTACCAAACATTAACGTGGGTGCTTTAGCGAAATCGAGAATATCTGGCAAACGTTTTGGAGGCATGGATTCTACCGCGGCGGCCCCGTCTTCATGTCGGCCATGTCTGGAATCGACATTGCACTGTGGGATCTCAAGGGTATGGGGCTAGCGTCGTCACGTAACCGTGGAATTCTGGCGTGGTCTACTAACACTGATGTCTTCAGGACGGAATTTAAAGGTTCCCGTTTATGAGCTCCTGGGAGGCAAGGTCCGTACCAAGGTCCAGGTCTACTGCTGGATTGGTGGCGATCGGCCGTCTGATGTTGAAGCGGCAGCGTAAGTCACATTCAGCGGGGGTGAGGTGCTCGCCAACTTCTTGGTCTGACGTTTATCTAGGAAGAAGCGGATTGCTCAGGGCCTCAAATGCGTCAAGATGAACGCGACAGAGGATACCAACTGGATCGATTCCCCAGCCGTCCTCGATGCCACTGTCGAGCGGCTTCGTCAAGTCAAGGCCCTCGGGCTCGATGCCGGCCTCGACTTCCACGGCCGTCTCCACAAAGGAATGGCCAAGCAGCTTGCCAAAGCTCTCGAGCCGCACAGGCCGCTATTCATCGAGGAGCCTCTCCTGTGCGAGCACCCCGAAGCCATCAACAAGCTCTCCGAGCAGACGACGATCCCAATCGCCTTCGGAGAGCGCCTGTTCACGAGATGGGACGTTAAGCGCTTCTTAGAGGACGCTAGCGTCGACATTCTCCAGCCTGATATCGCGCACGCCGGGGGCATCTCAGAAACAAGGAGGATCGCCTCAATGGCCGAGGCCTACGACGTTGCCATCGCACCCCATTGCCCTCTCGGACCGGTGGCATTTGCTGCGAGCGTGCAGATAGGACTCGCCACGCCGAACTTTTCCATCCTCGAGATGAGCTTGGGAATGCACTACAATACCGAGGCCGGCGACATCGACCTACTGACGTACTTGAAGAACCCGGAGGTGTTCGACATAGAGGACGGCTACGTTAAGGCCCCATCAGGGTACGGGCTCGGGATCGAGATTGATGAAGAGCTGGTGAGGAAGATGTCGAAAGAGACCGAGCCGTGGCAATGTAAGGCTTTCCACGGACCGGACGGCAGCGTCAGGGAGTGGTAAAATGGAAGAGTAGATAGTCGAAACAGTGTACACACCATTTATTAGAGACACATATTAACATCTTGTCACATAGCAGTTGAGCCAGCCACATATGCCTACATACCGCATAGCGTAATGCAGGCGTCTACGCTTTACACGACACATCTTCTTTAATAACTACCGACATCGCTATTTTTGTCACAGGAATTTCCGAGAGTTGATTTCCAAGACTCGTCCTCCTGTGAAGCCATTTTCGTAAGCCCGAGGAAGAACTGGCTCCCGATGAGGAGCCTGGATATCTACGAGGAGCCTGGATATCTTGAAGTAGACAGTTGAATATCTGTGTAACTTCTTAGTTGTACAGCATCTTGGGAAAGCATTCCGGGGCATAATCATCGAGGCGACGCTTACTATGCTACACTCTCAACTGAGAGATAATAAGCGAAAGCACCTAATCAGCTTGAAGCCATCACAACGGACTTACTACCAGTGCGGAACCTATACGTACGACCCATTATCCACAATAATAGGATAATAGGTGTCTACGACGTTACCGAAAGAGATGCCCGCCGAGCTGAAAGCAGCGAGACCGAGCAACGGTAGATTCAGTGACGAAAAGGGCAAGGAGACGACCCCCACGGATGCTCGTTCCCCATATTGATCCTTGTCTCAATATCCCCGTTCGCCCCCCTAACTATGACTTCAAAAGACGCTATAGTATGGGGTCTCTAGTGGTTCTCCAAGCAACCAGGACCAGGGAAGATATGACAACGCGGGGCAAGAGAGCGGTCAGGCACCCAAGCCGGGCCCTCAATCTTGGCTGTGTGGGGTGATACATGAGAAACATCAAAGAAACTATGCATTGAAATTGAGCTTTCTAATGCTTCATATTACATGATATTAATTGCTAGGACAGTCCCAACTGGAGTATGAGTTATAGGAGTAACGTAACCTAAAGCTAGCTCCTTTCTGGTTTCCATTAGTTAGTGGAACGAGAACACCGAGAGCGATCACCATGTCCTCTGTGCTACTCGGTTTTAAGAGAAGCATACGTCCCTTCTGGTACTTTCGGTTTGGCCTCATGCTCGCTAAGGTTGTAGCAGATAATGAAACAGATAGGTAAGACCCTGTATTGTACACAAGTCCGTATAGATATACCCTGCTATCCTGATGTGCTGCCCTATCTGCCTACGTATCCCATACATCAAGTAACGTCCCACGCGGGGCCCTGCCCATGATCTCGTCGTAACCCTACCGCCCCAGCCAACCGCCGTCGACGGTCAAGAGCTCTCCGGAAACGTAGAGGCTGCCGGCGCCGGCCAGGAACACGGTGGCGCCCTCGAAGTCCTCCGGCTTTCCCCAACGGCCAGCCGGGATCCTGGCGAGGATGCTCGCGGCGCGCTCGGGGTTATTGATCAGGGCCTCGTTCATATCGGTAGCGACGTAGCCGGGGACAATGGCGTTGACGTTAACGCCGTGGGAGGCCCACTCGTTGCTCAGGGCCTTGGTCAGCTGGGCGACGCCGCCCTTGGCCGCGGCGTACGCGGGTACGGTGATGCCGCCTTGGAAGCTGACGAGCGACGCTACGTTAATAACGCTACCGCGGTGGCCGGTCGCCGGGTGCGGCGCCCGCGTCAGCATGTACGCGCCCAGGTCGCGGCACAGCGTCCATACCGCGCGTAGGTTCACCTGCAGCACCTCGTCCCAGTCCCCCATCGGGAACTCGTGCGCCGCGTGCCGCCGCTGGATCCCCGCGCTCGTCACCAGGATGCTGACGTCGTGGCCGTCGCCCAAGATCCGCTTCGAGAGTCCCCCGACCGCCTCTTGGCTCGCCAGGTCCGCTGTGTATACGTGCGCCTTGCGGCCGAACGCTTCGATGCTGCGCTTCGTCTCCAGGTTGCTCTCGTCTCGCTAGCCAGAGTGTTTAGGGTGCTGCGCGTGCTGGGAATATCGGTGCCGGATGGGCTTGCCTACCTGGATCAGGATGATGTCGGCGCCGGCCTTCGCGAGCGATATCGCCATGGCTTGGCCGATCCCCCGGGTGCCGCCTGTCACGACCGCGACCCGGCCCTGTAGCGAAAACAGCTTCTCTAGATACGCCGCTGCCATGCCTGCGGATGCCCTAGCTGTCGGGATGAGAAGGGGCATCAGCTCGGGATGGTTCAGGGAGGCGAAGATGATGAAGACCCCGTGCCCGACGACAGTGCCGAGACCCAATCCACGATGTCGGATCCCGGCATCCGCGCAAGCGCTTTTGATGTCTTTGAGGGCTCCGCCGCCGGGGTCCCCCTCTTCAAGAATTCGAGGCACACCGATGTGGAGCGCAGCTGATGGTGTGCATCAGTTAGGTAGTTGGTCGAAGGGCACGCCGTGGTTGGACGGAATCCTCACTCCGAATCGAACCATTCCCCTTCTTCTGCACCGCCCGCACGCGGCAGGGAAACGCTAGTAACTCTTCTCTCCACACTCATAGAAACCGTGACGCTCTTCAGTCTAGCTAAGCGACCGGAACTGGTGCGTGACCTATTGCCCCTTTTCGGGACGCGACACCCGGTCTACTGGAAACGTGGGGGACAGGCGTAGCGATGCCTTCATTCTCCACAATCTGGTGGAGTGTGGGGGGTAACATGTGGGTTCCAACAGCTCTGTTTCCGAGGTATTCTACCGAGGTATTTCGTGGGGAATGTTGCGCTCCCAGGCCTGGTGGTCTGTTGATGAAGCGCTTCCCAGTGGACTCTCATGACTGTCCTGCCAAATGCTACCCACCCATCCCCTCCGCGCGACAGTGGAGAGGAGAAGAGAGGGGGCAAAAGAATGGATGAAACCCAGGTGTCACGGGGGAATGCAAAGTTGTTTCCCCTCGCATGCGTGGCACGCCGTCGGTAGGCAGAGGGAGGCTCCTGGTCATCTGGAGACGCAGGCGGCTGCTGCACAGTGAGAAGAGAGTTAAGAGTCGTACGTGTAGTGGTACTGAGTAAGTCTATATTGGGAGTACCCCTAGCTGAGACAAGCCTGGACGAGTTTCTTGTCTCAGTTAGAGAACTTCCCCCCTTTAGGTATGTCGTTCCAGGAGTATTCGCTGGACGAGGGAGGATTACCCGACTAGCCAGATTTTCTTCGTAAAGCAGCAATGAAAATACAACAGGCTAGAGGCTTGCCTTGGTTAGGATTATTACTCTCTACGGGTACCCCGTCGCGGCTCTCTAACCACCAATCCTATCAAATTCTCTCTAAACATAGCCACAATGGCACTATTTCTTACTGTTGCTCATTCTACTAATACCAGTTAAGAAATGTCTCGCCTGTTACTAAATCAGCTTAGTAGCGTGATGTGGTTGTAAGAACTTCCCCAGATGGCTTTACTAGGGTCATTACTCGGCAAAGGGAGAGAAAACCGATCTAGTTTCATAATTGACAATCTAAAATAGTTACTCCATAACTTAACAGATGTTTCTTAGCCCTTCGATGTATTAAAAGTACGCGACTTACGACTCCAGCGTTTTCTCAACTTCGACTAGCTCGGCGAATTTGCTGAGCTGCGCTCTCAACTTGTCCCCTTCTTGAAACTGACATGGCTCCCTCGGCCCCGCCCCGTAACCGTAGTACTCCCGCAAGGCAGCCTTAACGGAGATAAACCCTCCCTGGATGGCTGCCCAATCTCCTCTAGCGACGACGGCTTGCAGGGACCGTGCCTCGCTCAACCTCCCCTGCTCCCAGAGCTCTATAAGTCTCAAGCATGCTCGCGGCGCAATATTGGCTGTGCCGCCGATGATACCGTGACCTCCGACTACGAGAGTCTGAAGTGTAAAGTCGACGCTGCCACCGAAAGTCCGGAACGGATGTACTGAGGCCGTGTCGCCTTTCTGGGTGGTAGCCGCCGCTACACGGGCGAGTTTTCCCGTGTTCCCGCAGGTGAGCTTAACACCGACGATATTGGGGTGCTCGGCGAGGGCGATGATGACGTCTGAGGATAGATCCAGGCCGCTACAGGCTCCGGGGAAGTTGTAAATTAGGATGGGTATGGGGCTAGCACTCGCGACGGCGCGGAAGTGCTTTGATATCAACTCGGTAGAGAGAAGACTGCCATAGTATGCTGGTGGAAGGACAAGGGCATAGTTGCCACCGGAAGCGGCTGCTTCCCGACAGAGCTGGATAGTCTCTCGCGTAGACTGAGCTCCGCAGCCGACAATGAGAGGCAGTTCTGACTTCCCGGCGGCGTCTAAGGCGGCACGTGTTGTGCGGTTGATAAGCTGTCGTTCAGCATGATCAAGATGTACGGCCTCGCCGTTTGAACCGTGCGTGACGAGCCCCGTAACGCCCGCCCTGGCTAGTCGAGTAGCGTGGGACGCGGTTGTTTCTACATCGACGGTATCATCGTCTTTGAAGAAGGCGACCGTTGGCACGTAGATACCTGGGGCGAGAGGTGGTCTCAAAGCACCGTTGGCAGATGCGTTAACCCCATTGCTATGGGGGGCAGAATCGACAGACGGAGCCATGGCGGGTTTATGATGTGAAAAAGTCTCGGATTTCCGGTAAAACGAAGACTCCAAGAGCATGGCCCGGGCCATACGAACTTATTAGTCTTGAGCCTTGAGTTGGCACGCATCGCTAGGGCCGAAGTCCTCGGGATAACGTTGCCTCCCTAGGTTCGAACTATCCTCCTCGTAGCCAAGGCCGGTTGCAAGGTGTGGGACGCCCTTGACAAAGAACGATCTCACCCCCACGTATATCCATTTTAACCTAGGCGCTTGACATCTTACGAGACTAGGATCACGTTGGAAGGGGTTGGTCGAAGCTATACTTGTATGTATAATGGGAAGAAAGAGGGCCACAGTTAGCGAGGCTACCCCCGGGTCAGCCAACTGCCATTTAGTTAAAAAGTGCATGTCGATTATAACGCGCCCTATACAATCCACCTGTTCCCGATGACTCTCTCATATTGTGTATTTAGTTATGTGGATCTGTTAATGCTGCTTTTGCCCCCCGACACTTGTCGCTTCTTCAGCAGGACTAACTCGCCATGCAGGCTCTGCTTGACACGAATCGCCATGAAGTAAATAGGGTGTTAATACCAACCATCTGCTCAACCTCACTATTATACAGGCGATGTAACGTAAACGTCCAACATGCTGCATGTGCACATCCACACGTCAAGGAGGTGCGGAGTCAATGTACCCAGGCCGTGCTAGGTTGCTCATGAATCAACTTAGTTCGCCAAGTAAATATCACCAACTGGCACTTGACCCTCTAGTTACGTGGGGGGAGAGGGAGGGGTTCCGAATAGCTCCATTTCGTTGGGGGGAGGGAAGGGGACAGGTGACAGGGGATTCTTCAACCTGTACAATATCATCGTAAGACGAGCCAGCCCTGGTGCATCATTGCCAAGGGTTAGGAGGACACCGATCTCGTTAACCAAGAACAATTCTTACAATGGCTTTTAAATGCCAAGATCATAATATTGACGTTCTCCTCTACGGACTAGGGGCGTAAGTAAACCCTTGAAAAAAAACAGAAGGCAAAAGTCCGCAGCCGACAGACTTGAACACGCTGACGTGAAGTTTCATTAGCATCGGCTCCTTCTACGCCTTCATTATCAGCAGAGAACCTCGTGTTAGGCTGACCGTAATCGCTCGGTCCAACTACGACGCTGTTAAAGAGAACGGCTTGGAAATAACCAGCCAAAAGCACGGCAACCATGTCGTCCGACCATACAAAGGTTCGGATGAGCAGCGGCAGTCGTCGGGGAAGAGAAATTAACCTGAGGCAGTATTAAGGGACGCCGCCGAGGCAGAGACAACTTTTGACTTCGTCGTTTGTGCCCACAAGGCGATCGACCAGGACGCAACGCCGGCCCAGATCGCACCGGCAGTTGACGAAAAGAAGACAACTGTCGTCATCATCCAGAATGGCGTCGGCAACGAAGAGCCTTTCCGTAACCGGTTCCCCAACCTGACAATTATCTCCTGCGTAGTGAGTGCAGTCGTCTCAACGAGGATTCGAGGAGACCCAAATGCTGACAGAAGCAAATATCGATAGACTTGGACCGGCGCGATTCAGCAAGAACCTGGGAAGGTCACCCAGAGAAACAATGAAGACATGCAGCTCGGCCTGTACCCCAGCGACGCGGCCAATGAGGCCATGGAGAAGGAGAAACTGGCTCGGTTCGCTTCCCTGCTGACGACTGGAAAGACAGTATTCCAAGTAGTCCCCAACGTCCAAGTCCAACGTTGGGAGAAGGTCGTGTGGAACGCCGCCTGGAACTCCCTTACGACGCTCACGCTCTTGGACACGCACGCCTGGCTCTCATCCTCGGCCGAGGCCACCGCGCTCACGCGGCGGCTGATGCACGAGGTGATCGAGGTCGCCAGGAAAAGCGACGTGCCCATCGAGTTCGAGCTAGCAGACCGCCTCATCGACAAGATCTTGGGCATGCCGCCCATCGGGAGCAGCATGCAGACTGACTACAAGGCGGGTAGGCCGATGGAGGTAGATATCATCCTGGGGACTCCGTACAAGAAAGCGAAGAAGCTGGGCATCCCGACGCCCACGCTCGACACTATATATCTGATCCTGACGGCCGTGAATCGCCGGCTTCTCGGGGCGTCGGGCCAGAAGTAGTGGTGAATATATGTGACATCAGCTAGCTACAATGCAGACGGAACCGTCAGATGTATATTAATTCTGAAGCCACTTCTTACCGTCTAATCCCGTATTTTCCGTGCTGTGGTTTCATTGTCACTTTTCCTTTCGCCTCATGTCTTTTGAAGGGGATCGCTGCCACGGTTTAGGCAGTTTCAAGGCCGGGAAATTACTTACGCGTCTATCCGGCGCACGTCATGCTCCCGCACCACCACCTACGATGTCTCGGTGCGCCCCTCACACGTACCGTAGTTGGAGTGGCCGGGGCATCGGGTAGACGAGTGACTCGCATGTCTAACGCCCCTAAGCGAGTTCGGGTGCGAGACATAATACCTACGGAACGACGTAGGTACGTAAGCCGGGGTCTCATATGGGCAGGTTGGGAGGGACCGGTGGCGTTCTCAGAACCAGGTTTTCTTGCACATGTTGGGAGATTCCCCGGGATACCCCGGGATACCCCGCATCACCAGTAAACACGCCACCGGGTTGTGTACCCCGAATACCCCGGAAGCCCCGGACCTCCCATCCATCGCCTACGCGAGCGTTCGACCCCCACCCAACCCCCAACCTCGGCCAGGGCTGGGAGGAAATACACTGGTCCCTCTCACAGGGGGGCCATGGCCGAGTCGACTAGCTACTGCCGGAGCAAGTCGAGAGGAGAATCCAAGACGGCAACCCTGTCACCCTGTCTGGGGCGTTACAGTCGCTCCAATGCCAAGCCCGATGCTCCAGGTTTGGCCAAGACGGTAGTTAAACCTGCTTTGGGCCAGGATTCCGGGTTTTGGGGGAGGGAGAGCGGGGGGCTTGGAGATGGTACGAGTCCCTCCCTGTAATAGAGGTAACAGTAAACCGCGGGTTATTGGGTAGGTAGGTAGTGATGAGATCAATGGATGGTAGCGGTATGTTGGCGGTAGTGATATTCGGGTACGATGGGAGAAGGAGTGATGCCTGCAAACATCCATGACGACGATCACACGAATGGGAGAAGAGTATAAGGAGGCAAAGGCGACACGTAATCAGGATTTTGACTGGCTCGACCGACCCTTTCAACACCTGCCACACGGAAACCTGACCCCGGTGGGCTTTGAACGTCGACGTCGCCGTCATGGAGAATTCCCCCAGGCTCGAGGAGGCCATACGCCAGACACACACTGAGGATACCGAGGCCGATGTCAAGAAGCCACAGGCCGGAGTCGGCGGGGGGGACCTGGCTGCGAACCTCATCGGCGACCAGACCGTCGAGTTGACCGAGGAGGATGTGAGTAATAATCCCGGCGCCGGTTGAGCGCGCTCCTAATACCGCGGATCGCTAACCACGCCCCCGCGGCGCAGAACAAACGCATCCGCCGGAAAACCGACAGGCACATCCTGACCGTGCTCGTCTGGGTGTACTTCCTCCAGATCCTCGACAAGTCCGCGCTCGGCTACGGCGCCATCCTGGGCATGCGCGAGGAGTGCAACCTGACGGGCAACGAGTACTCGATGGTGGGCTCCATCTCGGCGATCGCGCAGCTCGTCTGGCTGCCCTTCTCCTCCTGGCTGATCGTCAGGGTCCCGCACCGCATCCTCATGCCCGCCCTCGTCTTCGGGTGGGGCACCGCCCAGGCCTGCATGGGCGCCTGCAACGACTACGGCGGCCTCCTCGCCACGCGCTTCCTGCTCGGCCTCTTTGAGGCCGCCTGCCTGCCCCTCTTCTCCGTCATCACCTCCCAGTGGTACCGCCGCGCCGAGCAGCCTATCCGCGTCGCCGCCTGGTACGGCACCAACGGCGTCGCCACCATGTTCGCCGCCGCCGTGTCCTACGGCCTCCGCGGCATCGACTCCCCCGTCTCCTCCTGGCGCGTCCTCTTCATCCTCGTCGGCCTCCTCACCGTCGTCACCTCCGTCGTCGTATTCTTCGTTCTCGACAGCGACGTCCCGTCCGCCCGCTTCCTCACCGACCACGAGAAGCTGCAGGCCATCGAGCGCCTCCGCGCGAACCAGACCGGCACCGGGTCCCGCGAGTTCAAGTGGCCCCAGGCCCTCGAGGCCGTCGTCGAGGTCAAGAGCTGGCTGTTCATCGGCATGGCGCTGTGCCTCAACGTCACCGCGGCCGTGACCAACATCTTCGGCCCCATCATCCTCGGCGGCTTCGGCTTCAGCCCCGCGATCGTCTCGCTCATGAACATCCCCTTCGGCGCCGTGCAGCTGCTCGTCATCTTCCCGTCGTCGTACCTCGCGCACCGCTTCCGCGTCAAGTCGCCCTTCCTCCAGGCCGTCTTCGTGCCCGTCCTCGCCGGCACCATCATGCTGTACCTGCTGGAGCCGGGCCGCACGGCGCCGCTGCTCGCCGCCTACTACATGCTGGCCTTCATCTTCGGCGCGAACCCGATCCTCGTGTCCTGGATGATCTCCAACATCGGCGGCACCACCAAGAAGTCCGTCATCATGGCCCTCTACAACATCGGCGTCTCCGCCGGCAACATCGTCGGCCCCCTGCTCTTCAACCAGGACGACGCCCCCCGCTACCGCCCCGGCCTCCAGAAGATCATGACCACCACCTGCGTCCTCTTCGCCATCGTCGGCCTCCAGGTCGTCGCCCTCTTCGTCCTCAACAGGATGCAGGAGCGCCGCCGCGTCCGCAACGGCAAGCCCGCCAAGCTCCACGACGCCAGCATGGAGCACCGCTACACCGCCGCCGCGGGCCGCGACGACGACACCGACTTCCGGCTCGGCGGCGACGCGTTCAAAGACCTGACTGACTCCCAGAACGACGAGTTCGTCTACGTCTATTGACAAACGTGCTGTTTGGGAGGCTGTTGAGCAGACTAGGCCGGCGAAGCCACATGCGCCAAGCTGTACAAATCGAAAGCCGGAGCACGCGCTCTGCTGGTCGTGTAAATATTCAGCTTATTGCGCGCGAGGCTCGCGTAAATCCATCATGCCCATGTATTTATTTTCTATAGATGCAGACGCTTAGTAGCAAGATAATACCAGCATGTTTCAACTGTTGAGTCGCGTTTATAATACCTAGGTGCCGTGTATGGGCACCTAGCCCCAGATGGGTAACGGAATATCTGGTGGCTACTTATGCCACGCAGATGTGAGACGGAAAAAAGCACTCGAAGAGGGTTGACGGATGAGCTCATTACCCTAATCGCGACACCCAACCTACAATATGGTAGGGGCAAACAAGTCAAAGTCTGATATGCTGTTCCCAGTCCTTCTCCATAGCCTACACACATGATCACTCGTCAATGCATCATCCTAGAGCAGCGTCCGGCAGTCTCGTGCTCTAACCTCGTCGACCAACCTGGGGATCTCTTTCACTGCTCGCATCATTCATTGATCTCCTGCTTCTGGAATAACCCTTTCCAAGCGGTCAGCACCAATGGCCCACCCCACTAGCGGCGAGAGTATGGTAGCGAGGAGGCAGTCTCGATAACAACACCGAGATAGAAATGCGAGCTTACCTTCTATTTCGGGCATCCAGGGGTCTCGTAGCCGGCAGAAGAACTCGCCCCGGGGTTCGACCTGGCCGCGCGCGTGGTCTTCCAGCGTGCCGTAGAAGACGTATATGTTGTCGCCGGCGTTGGGCTGTGTCATCTCGGGGTGTCAGCTAGTTCTCGATCTCGCACACCCCCCTTTTTCTGTCTCCCATCGACTCACCCCGTACTCGAGCAACGGCCCCCCGCATACGCCGCAGAACTCGCGGTGCAGGGCACTCTTCCGCCCCCCTCCCGCCTGCCCTTCTCCTTCCTCCCCGCGGTCTCCGTCGCTTCTGCTGCCCATATCCGCCTCGTGGACACGGACGTGCTCGGCGCCGCGCGTGAAGGCGAACGCGGAGCGCGGCACGCGCGTGGTAACGGCGTGCTCACCGCCGGTGAACCGCTTGCAGGCGTGGCAGTGGCAGATGCTGGTGCGCGCCTGCGCGTCCGGGTCCGTCAGCGAGATGACGAAGCGGATCGCACCGCAGGCGCAGCGGCCAGGGAGCGGGGTCATCTCGAAAATACAGCCCTCTCAGGGGTGGGTGTGGTTACAAAGCTTCTGAGGGAGGTAGTAAATAAAGAAGCGTCGTCGTAGATATGGCTTGCTGTTGTTGTGAGATTGGTAGATTAGTCAGGTTGAGCACCGGTCGTCGGCGTGCTCGCATTAGGAGTGAACTCAAAGGCCGCGGGGCGTCGGGATGGAGACGCACTATGTTGATTATCTTCATGTATGTTTTACTAAGTCTCGTGACATGTGGCGATGGGGTTGATGATATGGAAGATAGTCAGGTTCGACGAGAGATGGTAAGTAACCTCTGCGTCCGGGGGTTCGTCGATGCTGCGTTGTGCGGTTTAATAGCGCCACAACATCAGGACTGTTGCCCTCGACCGACCATCACACCACGATGGTTCTACGCACATATCTCGGCGTGATCCCGGACTTCAGTAGGAGAAATGTATAGAGGGTTCTCGTCTTTTCGCCGCCGTTGGGAACTCGGATATCCCGACTCCCTGCCCCCGCCGATGACGATGGCTCGACGTCAGAGGAATCGGAGCCGGTGTCAGTCCGGTCCGTCTTGTCCCGCCTTCTCGGCACCGGATCCGGAAACAGAGCGCCGCGTCAGAGCCTAGCTAGCGAGCCGAATTTCCCATCGTAGAGTGGCGCGCGTTAGTGCATAGGGGCGCCACATGGCCCTTGGCATTGTTATCGATCAGTAGAGCGGTATTATCGACCAAGACGTTGAGATATTAGAAGTAGTTCTAGAGCTAATATTGCGAGATTGGATGGAATTACAACTACGGGTTGCGGGCGCGGTAGCGGTAAACCCTCGCAGCCATGGCATCTGCGGAGCGCTTTCACCGGCAACTTTCCGCTATTATTCGCCCTCCGCCGTAGAGTGTATTGCCTCCCGTCTGCGCAGAACCGGCTGGCCGTTCTTCAAGCATTCCGGGCACGTTCTGCCAACGAAGCCGTCTTTGGACTGTTTGTCCTTCTTCTTCCCGCACTCTCTGCAATGGAGATGGCAGTAGTACAGGTCGCAGTTCTTGGCAGGGCACTCGACCTTCCATCGACAGTCCTGGGTGAGGTGTTGCCCCCCGCAGGGGCACTTCTTCAACGAGCACTGCCTCCCGCAGTGTCCTCTCACTCCGCACATGCAGCAACGGTGAGAGCATAGCATCGCGGTCTTGTGCTTGAAGTGTCCGGGAATGTGGGCTGCCCCGCACCGGCGGCTACATCGAACGAAACACTCGAAAGCTGTGTGAAACTGCGGAAAAGGCCGGCACTTGCACCGGTTGTTCGCCTTTATCTTGCAGTTTCTCGATTTGTGGGAACTCGACTTGCAATAACCGCAGGGAAAGGGGCAATCCGACGTCTGATGGGTAATCTCGGCGCAGTTAGCACACGCGTGTTTGGCTTTCGCCGACGCGCTCGCTCTACCGGAGCCGTCGGGCACTGGCTTCGGCCCGTCCGTGAACATGGCTCGGATGTGAGTTCGGCTCAAGCTTCTCCGCCGCGACAGTTTATCCAATTCGGATATGCGTCGGCGAGGGAAGTAGACAAACCACTCCTCGCCCGGTAAATTGCCCTCAATCTCCACTGCAGTCCACGCCTTAGGCGAAGGAACACTTGAAGACCGCGGTGGCCTCTTTCGCCCCAGCCACTCTGTTGTGACTAGTGGGTTTATACGGAGCCGGGGACTCATGACACTGCCTCTCCTCCACAACAGAAGATTTGCCATCATGAACCAGGTCATACCAAAGAACACAGGGTAGAGAGGCAAGCGAAAGTAAGAAGGCGGGTCGATAGGGATGAGGTGGCCACCAGAATATAGTAAATAGCGATAGTGTGTTTCCGAGAATGCCTGATACGCCTTCGCATGTTCGACCATGCCCTTCTTCCACTTAACCTTTTTCTTGGGGTGTATATGCTTGAATTGCTTCATCCAGATCCGCGTACCAGCATCGGATTCGAGGTAATGCCGCTCGACAAATCCCACAACGACGGAATCTAAGGTTCTATCCTTCGTAGGCCACATGAAATGAAGTATTTGATCACTAGGTGACATTCCCCGCACAGGTGAGACCCAATTGAACTGCGTGTCCAGGAGCCTTTCCAGCAGAGACATATCGAGACGTAACTTGGGCTCATGATCTCTGAGCTGCTCGAGACTCGCATGCGTCCAGAATATAGTTCGGTAGGCGCCCGGCGTCACGAGACGCGGAGACATATAGTCCTCCATTATCCGGTTGACAATAATGTCGCGAGGGCCGAGAGGCCTATGGTCGTAGCGACTAAAGTCCATGTCGATGCCGTTCAGGGGATAATGCGGAACCGGGGCCATACTGAAGGCGGTGGGAGCTCCGGAGAATCCCCCCGAATACCGATGCGACAATACTTTCGATGTCTGGTCATTGGTTGACGATAGCGCACGAGTCCGGGTCGGATCTGGTGGGCGACGGATTTCCGAGACGGGGCAGGGGTGGGAAGGTTTTCCTTTTTTTTTCCAGCAGAAAAACCAGCGTGACTCTAGGGTCTCGTCTTCCTGTCTTCGAGCATACAGCGTTCCATCAAGCAAGGCCGAAATATGAACTCTTCGTCGTCGTCGCCGCTGCCGATGTGTTTCTCGACTCTCAAGCAAAGACGGGGAAGGCTAGTAGGATTGTTGGGGAGAAGTCTCCGTCCACTGCGCCGTTTGCCAGGGAGCGTTGACAGCTGGCCTTAGATACCTCTGTAGAAGCATGCAGGTACCCTGAGTGTACAGAGGTACTAAGCGATGTGCTTACGCGACCACGGTTCGAAGGCCCGACGGGTATGATAGCTTAGCCGGGGCGCAGGTACCGGGGTCGGCAACGATACGCGCGATGTACATGCTCGCAAAATATCCGGGCGCTGAGACGGGTGGCTTGTGGCTTGCCGTGGCTTGGCTTGCCGTGAGACGTAGCGTGGCTTGGGTTACGTCATCTGGTTACGAGATGCAGCGCGGAATGACCTCTTTTCGGCACCCTCCTCTTCCCCATCTCCCCCTGTCCAATGCCAACCATCCACCGTTTCCTCCTTCTACTCCTTCGCCAGGTATTAGCAATCCCTCGTCGCCAAATGGCCGTCTGACGACGTGGGTATGGCCGCGGCGATCGTGGAGGGAATTAGAGCTCCCCCCAGGTACGGTCGCTAATTTCGGCCCGTCCACCAGAACGACGCGCTTCCGTTTCACGATACTCCGTCGACCGAAGAGGCAAGTCATCCTTGGCCAAGGCATCCTCGGTCAAACCTTTGATTCGATATTCCTTCATCCCATACCACCTTGACTGCTGGTGGTCCCAGGACGGACCGAGAGGGGATTAGCCCTCGCTGCGAGCCTCCACGCCCTGCCCATTCGGACGTTTTCCTTCGACTTCTTTTGTCAGCACAGATGGGACTAGAGATGCCGCCCGTCCCCGGCTGGCCCGTTGGGTGGCAGGCAAATTCCAGAACACCCATGACAGGGCAGGGACCCCTGATTTCCGGCCCTGGAAACCAGAGTCGGACCCGGCTCCAGGACTTCTCACCCGCATTCTACCCTACATCTTGGGCTCGCTAGCTGGTGAAACTGACGCAACTGGCGAACCCTCCCCCGGCGAGCTCTTCACAGAGGCTCGCTCGGGGTCATGCAGAAGGGATGCCATCGTGATGGTGGCATGCATCGAGATACAGGGTCGAGAAATTCCTCCTATCATGACCGTTGTGATGATGGCGAGTGCCCACCAGGGTCTTCTTTTTCTAGATGCCTGTCCGGAATGACTTTCCGCGAGCCCAAATGTGCTCGTCAGCCTCAAGATGTACTCGTATTTAAACGCGGTGCTTGGACCTGTGCCTCTCTCCATTTCGGACCCCTCTAACCTCGTGGTCTTCATCGTGGACGCATCTGGCTAGGACATTGGAATCATGGGTCGTTTCGGTCCCTTGGGAACGCTGCTGCTCGCAGCTGGGCTGAGTCAGCTTCCCCCTCCCCCCCATTGCTCCCGCATTCTTACTGACGTGGGTGTAGACGTCGAGCGATGCCTCGGGCAACAGGGCACGCCAGCTGTGTACACGGACAGCGAAACTGGTATCATCTTCAACACTTGGACGGTCCCGGACAAGGCAGATGGTGCTACCGGTGTGTCGGCCTGGGGTGGGCTGACCTTCGGTGTTGCACTACCTGAGAATGCTCTCTCGGTCGATGCTACCGAGTTCATAGGATACCTGGTAAGCAAACCGAGCTGGATGTGAACAGAAAATGTTCGCGTGCTGATATTCTGGATAGAAATGTGGCTCCAACGGCACGACCTGGAACTCCTATTGCGGTGTATCGTTCGGAGGGCCGATGACAAACAGCCTGCTCCTTATGGCCTGGCCGTACGAAGACGAAGTTTTGACGTCGTTCCGTTTCGCCAGTGGATATACTAGCCCCGATCTCTATACCGGCAATGCCACGTTGACGCAAATCTCATCTACCATCAATGAAACACATTATAGTGTGATTTTCAGATGTCAGAATTGTCTGGCGTGGGACCACGGTGGTGCCTCCGGCGCTGCATCGACCAGCGGTGGCTCATTAGTGCTAGGTTGGGCCGCTGCGCTTCGCGCACCGACGAACGCTGACTGCCCAGCCGATAGTGTTGTTGCGTTCCACAACAATGGCGAAAGTATCTGGGGGGCTACTTTGAATCAGCAGGCGGCGAATCCGTCGTATTCGAGATGGGCCGAGCAAGCCACTGCTACGGTTACTGGGAACTGTGGGAGCACGACACCCACATCGACCTCCTCCGCGACTGTCCCTACCGCTACCGCTACCGGTATCCCGGTGCCAACCGGCACCTACGACTACGTCATTGTCGGTGCGGGAGCCGGCGGGATACCCATAGCTGACAAGTTGAGCGAGGCGGGTAAGAGTGTTTTGCTCATCGAAAAGGGACCCCCTTCCTCGGGACGATGGGGAGGGACGCTGAAGCCGGAGTGGCTGGAGGGTACCAACTTGACTCGTTTCGATGTCCCGGGCCTATGCAATGAGATCTGGGTCAACTCGGCCGGCATCGCGTGCACCGACACCGACCAGATGGCCGGTTGCGTGCTCGGCGGAGGCACGGCCGTCAACGCCGGTCTGTGGTGGAAGGTATGTCGCATGGGAAGTAATATGATCTAAATGGAAGCTAACAGCAATGATCAGCCCTACGCTCTGGACTGGGATTACAATTTCCCTGACGGATGGAAATCCAAGGATATGGCTTCGGCAACCAATAGAGTGTTCTCTCGTATTCCGGGAACAGACACTCCTTCGACGGACGGCAAGCGGTATTACCAGGAGGGCTTCGAAGTCCTCGCTGGCGGCTTGCGATCTGCAGGCTGGAGCGAAGTTACCGCTAATAATCTCCCCAACCAGAAGAATCGCACCTTTGCTCATTCGCCCTTCATGTTTTCCGGCGGCGAGCGCGGTGGTCCCATGGGCACTTACCTCGTTTCTTCTAGCCAGCGCACGAACTTCCATTTATGGTTAAACACGGGAGTGAAGAGGGTGATTCGGGATGGCGGGCACATCACTGGTGTCGAGGTCGAGCCCTTCGGAGAGGGCGGCTATACTGGTGTCGTCAACGTCACACCCGTTACCGGCCGCGTCGTCCTCTCTGCCGGTGCTTTCGGGTCGGCCAAGATCTTGTTAAGGAGTAAGTGACATAGCCAATCTCCGCGCTGGCGGCCACGTTCCTGACTTTCTCAGGTGGAATCGGGCCAAACGATCAGCTTGAGGTCGTCCAGTCATCCACGGATGGTCCGACGATGATCACCAACAGTTCTTGGATCAACCTGCCGGTTGGTTACAACCTAGAGGACCACACGAATGTATGCTTTTGCCCCCATTTCCGTTAGTGACGTACGCTTACCCTCTTTTGCAGACTGACACCGTCGTTACGCACCCCGACGTCAAATTCTACGACTTTTATGAAGCTTGGGATGACCCGATCCCCGCCGACAAGGATCAATACCTAGGTGAGATGCGCCGCGCCACGTCATAACAAAGACGCAGTCCTAGGCTAACCCATAGGAATAGGTTCTCGCTCGGGTATCCTGGCTCAAGCAGCGCCAAATATCGGACCACTGTAAGACAAATGCAACAGACGTAAAGGAGGGCACGGGGAGATTTTGGAACCGAAGGCTAACACTAGGTAGATTCTGGGATGAGATCCAGGGCGCCGACGGCGTCGTCCGACAACTCCAGTGGACAGCTAGAGTTGAAGGGAGCGCCGGTACACCAAATGGATGTGAGTTGCGATGATAACCTGCGTACGGCCGCAATCTAACGGAAGTAGATGCGATGACCATGAGCCAGTACCTCGGGCGGGGGGCCAAGTCAAGGGGCCGTATGACGATTACGAGGGCGTTGACAACTGTGGTGTCGACAGTGCCCTACTTACATGATCAGAACGACGTGGCGGCTGTTATCCAGGGGATCAAGAACGTCCAAGCAGCCTTGGCGAACGTCGAGGGTCTCGTTTGGACCTATCCGCCGGCGAACGTAACTGTGGAAGATTTCGTCAACGATGTGAGTTTGGCGAGTCAGGTGTAGGTAGCGGCTATTCGCGGCTAATACGTTTTTAGATGCTCGTCTCGTACACCAACCGGCGCTCAAACCACTGGATCGGTAGGTTTTTATGAGCTACGCCGTCCTCATATATGTCACATGGCTGACAAGTTGCTTAGGTACCGCCAAGCTTGGCACGGACGACGGTCGGACAAACAGCGGTTCGGCGGTGGTAGACCTCGACACCAGGGTGTATGGCACGGACAACCTGTTCGTCGTCGACGCGAGCATCTTCCCGGGCCACATCACGACGAACCCAGCCTCGTACATCGTGATCGCAGCTGAGCGCGCTTCGGAGAGGATCCTGGCCTTGGCGCCACCCCAGGCCCAGCCGCAGTACGCGCAGTGCGGCGGAAAGCAGTGGACGGGCAGCTTCCAGTGCGCGGCGCCGTACACTTGCACGGCCCAGAACGAGTACTATTCTCAGGTGAGCATATTCCCACGTCCCCCTCGGCGCTTTCGACCTCTCCAGCTGACTCGGTTCGCAGTGCGTCTGATGAGATAATTGTGTATACTACTTATCCTACGAGCAGAGCTCTGGTTCCGAGATCCGCCCTCGCCGCGTGGTAGCCTCGCCTCGCAGCTCTTGTAATTGCTTACTAGTACCAGCCAATAGAAGTACGCTACGATAGAGATAGAGACTATTAGAGTGGACATTCCGCTGCAGCCCAATATGTGCATGCTGTCGGAGTGTGTAGCGCATGGAGCAGCGCCAGCCAAGCACCACCCCGTTCCCCGATAACTACCACGACTAACTTGCTCGAATCGGTCCGCTATGTACACTCTGCAACTGTTATCAACAGTTGTCTTTGGTGCTTCTGATGGGAAGAGAGTGCGTGTAAGACTCGCCGTGTAGCACATTTGTTTGCACCAGTGAGAGTATCATGGTGTCTGTGTCTTGCGATTCAACCCAGACCAGACGACACGCTGCTCACCCCCCCCCCCCCCCGGCCCTCCCTCTCACTCATCACATTCCCCCAGGCCCGTACACGAGGTTCGCCATGATTAAACTCCATACGCCAATATGAATAGGGGCCTGACGGAGAGGGCGAGGCTTCTTCTCTCTGTGTACCAGCGGCCTGTCGTATTCGTCTCTTTCCACTTCGGGCTGATCCATTCTTTAATTTCTCAATTTTGCAATGTGTTTGCCTCCCTGCTTCTCTCACGGCAGGCACGCACCTCCCTAAGTCACGCCTTCCCAGAACCCTGGCACGCCTAAAGGGGATGGCAGCGCCCCGTCAGGCGCAGCCTCGTGCCCAGCTTCTCTCGCGACCAAGCACGACGCGCCAGCATATCTCGCTACCGACAACGCGTGGCAGGTGTACGCCGAGCAAACCCCGTCACTGCCAACGACCTATCGCGACAGCGCAAGGCGCTAGCCATGGCCGAGCGCGTGTTCCAGATCTACTCGGGGGAGCAGCTCACGGCCGAGATGGTGGCTGCCGCCGCCGAGCTGTACAGCCGCAGCTACGGCGTCTGGGGCCCCGGGGCCCCTCGTGAAGGTGCGCGGGAGCCGTCCGGCAGACCTCCCGCGCGATGTATTTTCTTTTTACTCACTCGCAAGAGGCAGGTAAGCGCATCCGTATTAGCGCGCGGCAGCTGTGCGCCGAGTACCTCTCGCACCCGCGGGAGACGCTGTACGCGCGCGCCGTCGTCGACGGCGTGCTCGCTGGCCAGGTGCTGTGCACCCGCTGGCCCGGCGCCGACGGCCGCCTGGTCTGCTGGGTCACGCTGCTCGTCGTCCGCGCTGAGTACCGCCGCCGCGGCCTCGCTGCCGCCCTCCTGCGCTGCGTCCAGAGCGACCTCGACGCCGTCTACGGCCTCCTGAGCCCTAACCCCACCGCCTGCCTCGCCGCCGCCCACGCCTTCGGCAGTAAGTGCATCACCCCCCTCTTTCGAGGCGTAGAACCCCTGTGTCCCGGCTCTGGTGCTGACCGCCGCGTAGCCCCCCTCGACAGGATCAGCCTCGAGTTCATCGCCACCAACGCTGAGGCCGTCCTCGCCGCCTCGCCGGTGCCGCGCCTCCGGGGCGTGCGACTGCGCGGCACCGTCTTCAACGCGGCGACTCCGGGCAGCCTCGTCGCGGGCGCCGACACTCAGTTCTTCGTCGGCCGCAGCGAGCTGCTCACGAACCTCCACCTGATCGAGGACCAGTACGCCTGGCCGCTCGGCGAGCTGCCTCCCGGCCACGAGTTCCTCCTGCTCGTCCCCGCCCGCGACCGCGGCATCTCCCCGCCCCGGCCGTTTGTGCCTCAGCCGGTGGATTAGAGCTCCACCGTTGACGAAGAGGAGGAGGAGGAGGAGGAAATGGAGGAAGAGGATGACGAGGACCTGGGCCCGGTGGTGGAGGTAAAGGAGATGTTTTAACGGCGGCAGAGAACAACGACCGACGTCTTGCGATGGCGGAAGCCGAAATGTGGCGCGGTGCTTGCTCTGGAAGAGTGGCCCGTCGGACAGGAAGACAGCCCAGCATAACCCAGTCGAGTCTGCAAGGGAGGTGATTCCCGCCACGCAGTCTCTATGCCTGCAGCCGTAGTATTTGCGTATAGTTGTACCCAATACCTCACAGAGTGTATCCCCCCTTGGGCACCAGCTGCGGTAGAAATAATAATATTCCATGCTATAGGCACCACGTGCATCAGTTGAATATGGTTGCTTAAATATAATCGCGAACCATTGCCGTAGTTGAGGCATAGAGGATATGACACAAAACCTGGAAAGATTTAGTTATACCCATGAGCTACAAGCACCGGTATAACTATAATTTGTTGGAACTCAAAGCCATCAGCTCTCTCCTAACACCATACCTCTTCCGCTCCACTACTGATAATCTAGCTTCCCGCAGCTATCCAACACCACCGCCGAGGGAGAAAATGTTGTGGCGTTTTAGGGGGTCGGCAGCAGCAGTGCACGCTTCAACCAAAAACCTCTCGCGGCAGTGCTGGGGCCCCCAATCTAATTAGCACAAGAGGCATTAGTTCCTGCTCGGCCGGCGGGCGCTCTTCTCTCTCCTAGTATCCTTAAGCCTTATAAGCCACACGGGTAAGTGATGCGATTTCCCGTCGGCTCGAGTAGCTGCTCGCTTATCTCGTCCATCTCGTGCTGGTCTGACGTGCCCGGTTGACTCAAAAGCTCCGTGATAAACGCATCTGGCGCGCCCTCGGGGCCCCAGGTTTGTTGTGAGCCGGTACCATCTGCGAACGCGACCGCGCTCTCACATGTCTGTATGCCACTCTGGTTGAATGTGCTGTTTCTGTCGGGAATAGGTGCCTTGTTGTTTCTGTTGCTATCTGTGCTAGTGAGAAAGCACCAGTGAGGTCGACAAGATGAATGCCCGCTCCGTAGTCAGAAAGAAGACTACGGGGCTGGTCGAGGAGATGCCCGTAAATAGATCCTCAGACGGTGAAGACACAATGATGACTTTTGCGGAAGATTGCTGTCGCGCTCCGTCGTGAGATTTCCTGGATAGGAAAGAAAGACTTTAAGAGTAGGGGAAAGAAATGGCCGAAGGGGCGTCAATGTTGGTTGCCAGAAGAGTAAAGAGGCCACAAGTGGTCGATCACGAGCATGCCTGTCATGAGGTGGGTATTCGACCTCACTGTCACCATTGCAACGACGGGTCATCTCCTGATGAACGAGCATTCGTTGTAGACGAGGTGCTTGGGACCTTCGCGGATGGCTTCTTGAAGGGGGAGGTCCTAAGTGTACGGATTAGTAGGGTCTCGTAAAGACGCGTGTAGAGACGTACCATGACGCGGGCCAGCAAACGTTGAATCGAATTGTTTTGCCTCGACGTTCCCCAGGCGAGAGAGGTCGAGTTTGTACGAGAGCTCGCGACCCTTCGTCCACTTAGCTCTCAGCTCAACGTCGCGCATCCCATGGAGGGTTGGCTGGAGTCACGGCACTGTCACCTTGAAGGACACTAGGTCTGAGGAGGAGACACGGCAGAGTATACGTGTGCTTGTGGCAAAACCGGCCGGGCTAGCCCGTGCGATTCGGCTTGAGCTGTGTGAAAACAGACGACAGTATCACAGCGACATCTTCCGTGCGTAAAAGGCTACGGGGATGTATTGGATGCCATCCGATGTTGAAGAGACGGCTCGAGCGAAAAGACGAAGCCATGGCCAATCGTCTAGCTTATACGACCGTTGAGGGTGTTGTAACCGTGGGGTAGAAGTACGGCCACCACAGAGAAGAACATGGCGACCATGACCACGGCCATGAAGAAGAAGAGTTGAAGCTGGGAACGGATAGAGCTTGGGAGAAGTTGGGCCATGGGAGGAGATGGATTATGGGAGGAGATGGATTGTGGGAAGAGTTACTCACAAGACTGCGCATGGGAGGTAGGCAGGCACCCAACCCCATGATCGGGGCAATGGGCCTTGTCCATATACCCACTCCATCTTTGTAGCACAGGCAAACCGGCAGATGGTTGACTACCAAGATAGTAGCTGTGATTGCCCCCTCTCCTCGCCAGTAAGAGGTATCTAACGATATTCCATGCATTCCTCTACGCCTTTCTGCCTGAATATGGTCAGATCTCTGGCAAAGAGAGGGGCGCCTTGGGCAGTTCTGCCTACAAGTCCCTCTCAATAGCTGTGACTAGTCTTTTCACTCACCCCCCCCTTTCGCAAAGCCCACCCCCCTTCCCCCCCTCCCCCCCCACGACTTCCTGTGCCCCTACATTACACCAAAAACGTCATAGATGTCCCCTCATGTCCAGAACCTGTGGAAGGAACGTCCCCTGAGGCAGAAGAGCATGGGGACAAACTGTGGACAGCCAAATATGGCAGGTTTGTCCATTACTCAAGAGGGACTTTTGGAACATGACATGTTAGTTGCTTACTTGTTACTTGTTGATGCCCCAGATGCAATGTACCTATCCAACACAGTCTGCGGGTGTGTGTTTGGGAGGGGGAGAGAGCTTGTAAGTGGTATGTGTTATGTAATATTATCACAGGCCCACTACAGAATAGGTAGTTGACAGCAACTTTCCGCCAAGGCGGAAGGAAATGCTGCTTCCATGGGTATTGCCAGTGTTACTGAATCATCTCTGTACGGTATGCCGTCTATTTTCTACATCCGAAGAGGAAGTACGCCGCTGTCTCTTACGGTTCCCCTTGCCGACCTACCTACCGGGGACCCCCTCGGTGCTCTGCTGGACTCCTTCGCCCCGTCGTGTCGACCGCCTCTAAAACTTTGCTGCTCTACCTACGTGTAGGTAGGTAGGGATTTTCTCTCCAACCGCCGCGGTGCAGAGCTGCCAGAGAATGAACCCCCCCATAATACCATAGATATACGACTCCCCAACGAACTGGAAAGTCCCAGGTCTTGCTATACTCTCCTGTAGGATGAATAGAACTCGTCCACCCTTCACAATAGCGACAACGTTGCCGGTTCGGGCCGTCTTCGGCGCGATGCCAACATGCCCTTTCTCCGTAACGACGAACCTCCACCCGTAAACGGTCTCCTGAAGTGCGGCGATGTAGCCGGTGCTCTGCTCCTGAGGTGAATCGCCGGTCCCCCGCCTAACCGCTGTGCCATGGGCTATGGGCCAATCCGCGCCGTTGACAGAGCGGCCCCTATTTCCCCTTCTACGTTCCATCGATATGCGTCCCGAGGGCCCTTGACGATGACCCCAAACCAAAACTTTCCGCAACGGCCACCTTTGGGTACGACACAGAAGCAATCGGTACCTACCACTTCAGGTCCTGGCATGACTCTCGGGAGGGACCCAGGGCCGCAGAATCCGCCATTCCATCAACTTCTTTGAAGTACTCCTCTTAATATCCCGCTCCACAGTTGACGATCCGCTGATCCTCTTGACAACGTCCAGGCCGTGCCGCTCAACCGTCACCTTGTCCGTCCCGGGAAAGTGATTGATTGTGGCGAGGAAATTTATAGGCTAATAAGCAAGATTGCCCTGCGCTGACAACAAAGTCTAGATGGTAGATCTGGACGCCTATTCTCTTTGCGGTTTGGGGCCCGTGACTGTCCCATACTCGATGACAGCGATAGTCATCCGAGCTAGCATTGTCGAGGTCTCTTACAGTATTAGATGCTGCCCAAGTTATCGGGTCGTTTCTTTTGCTTCGAGGGGTCCTCCTCGGCGGTTCCGCGTTTCTATCGACTCGAACCCCCCAAGGAGGACGGCGTTGACAAGACGCCTGCCCGCCAGCTGCAAGCACTGCCGACCCCCGAGACATCTAGGGGGCGATGCCGGCTCGTGGCCAGTTGCTTCGGTGTGCTATATACCGACAATACGTATGCTGCACGCAACTGACACCTCGGGCGCCTCATCATCTCGGGATCCAGGTCCAACTGATGGCGTATACTCGTGTGATGCATGAAACGGAAGCCTCCACATTCTACGACTTGGAATAAAGGCTTGAAATACGGGCTACGTGTGTACTACTACGTTGTAATTTCCGAGGATACGAAGAATGGATAGTTCAGCTTAATATTGAAACGCTGGATACGTGACAAATCTACTAGCAACCCGGTACGCCTCCCGACTCCCACCCCGAGGCTCGTAGAGAAGAATCTATCCGGGCTGGCCTCCCGGGGCCCGAGCTCTACGAACTGCCCTCATCTAGACGTGGCCGCGTGCTCTAGGGCCGTTCTATTCGGTGCTAGGACATCGGCCCCGCGGAGCCGCGTCCACTCGGCCCATCACATGCCGATCTAAGTCTACACCCCACGTATATTTTGCCTATCTAATACATGTCGTCAAGGAAAACCCTGCGGACACACGGAGTAGTGACACTACCAGCAGTAGTAATAGCACCAGTAGCAGCAGCATCTAGGCGGCGCCGAGGCGCAGCAGGGCAGGGTCGGGGCGGGCGTCGGGGGCGTCGGGGCGGCGGGCGGCGGCGGCGATCTCGGCGAGGCGGTTGAGGTAGCTGAGGTAGGTCTGCCAGCCGATGGCGGCGACGCCGCTGACGACGGCGCGGAACTCGGGGGGCACGAAGGTGAAGCTGAGGGCGGTGACGGCGGGCCAGAACTTCCAGGCGTTGAGCCAGCTGACGGGGACGGCGCCGCGCACGCGCGCCCACGCGGCGGCGACGCCCTCGCCCGCCAGCAGCGCCTGCGCCGCGAAGAAGTAGCTGTTGAACGTCGGCGTGAACACCAGCTGGTTCACCACGATCTTGACCCCCAGCGACACCGCGTGCGACCCGTAGTTGAAGTGCCGCGACAGCCAGAGGAACCTGCGCGCGCCCGTGTTAACGGGCGCTTTTCCCTTTGCAAAGACCGAAGGGGGGGGAAAAAAAAAAAACTCACCACCAGTACATTGGCAGCGCCGCCACCGTCCCGATCGCCATGTTGCGCGCCGTGCGCTCGGGCGCGTAGTCCTTGCCGCTGATGGCCTGGGCGCTGACGTCGGCGACGGCGTAGACGGCGACGGAGCTGAGGATCTGGGTGGCCCAGGGGCGGGCGCGCTGGGCGCGGGCGTACGCCTCGCCCGCGCGCGTCAGCGGCCCGAGGCGCTGCCACCAGGCCCCGGGTATCGGCGCCGCCTGGGCCGTCGCAGGGGAAGAGGAGGAGGGGGCCGCGGTGTCGCCGCTGCGCTTGGGCGGGGCGCTGGACTGGAAGCGCCGCGGGGTGACCGGGGACCGCGGGGCGCACGGGCGCCGGAGCGCGACGCGGAGCATGGCCGGCGGTGGGCGGCCTAGGAGGCAAGTCGTCGGCAGCGCAGGCATCGCGAGCGGGCTTGTGCTCTTGGCCGAGCCAACGACGAGTCCGGCGGGGTGGTGGAGATGCGGAAGCGCCCCGTGGTAGGCGTCTACAGAACCAGGGCCGCGAGGGGAAAGGCGGGCTTCTTGCTCGCGTAAGTGTAGGTAGATGGACTAGGCGGAACAGGCGCTAGAGCAGGAGACGTAAGAGTGAGCGGGACGACGGGGTGTATCCAATATGATCACGGCGCGCAAGAGAGGAACAAAGGCCCTGCGTATGTCCCGTCGGTGTATTTCCCTCTGTCCTCGCGTCTTAGGCCTGGGGAAGAAGAGCGACAAGTACCGCAACACCACGGGGTAGAGTGAGAGGATAAAATCGCCTTAGGGACTATCCGCAAACCAGAAAAGAGAGAGGAATCTAGGAAGGGCGAGAGAGACAGAGAGAGAGAGAGAAATGACCCTGGAATTCCAGCCCTCTAGTGATTTTTTTTTTTTGGAGTCGCGCATCTCACCTTTCTCCATACTCCGTTGCGTCACCCCGTCTCGACTCCTTCTTATACCCTCGAGGGCCACGGCAATTGGCTCTCTCGCCTCGGTCGGCCGAGGGCGGAACTCCGAGAGGTGGCAGGGAACAAGATCTAAGACGGGCTTCAGCAGATTTGTCACTGAGACATTTTTCTCTCCTTTCCGTACAGGTACCTTGGTTGCTGTGGCTGCGGCCATGATTACATCAGCTAGGTAATAGTACCTAGGTGCTGTGGCGGTATTGTCAAGCCACACAGAGTCGGTACAACAATACGGCTTGGCCACTAACCCCTTTCTCAAGGGCCGTCGATGTAGGGCATAGTAGGGACCATATTATCGTATCTCTCCGGCGCGTGAGCCCGGTACTGGTACGGCGTAATTCATTCTGAATGAGTATGAGAGGTACGTGCCTCGTACCTACAGGTACCTACCTACCTAAGGAAGGCAAGTTAATCAGCTCGTTATGGCGTCTGTGTCAGGGGGTGTGTGTGAATGTCCTCCTACCCCCTAAACATGAAAAATGCAGAGGCGCGAGGACGAGCATGGAGATGGTTCCACCCTTGAAAACGCCGATAAGACCCCCGACGCACGAGATGAAAGCCCAGAACTACAATTTTATGGTGAATATGCCCCGCCCCAACCCGCTAGGCGCGGCCGTGTGTAGAATCACCACCACCACCCCCTGCCATCGTCGAGTTCCACGCCTCGCCAGGTCACCCGCCCCTTCGGCAAACCTCCCCGGCTCAGTCCAGCTCGCCCTGCACGTACCCGATCTGCCGGCGGGCGCCGGGACCGGCGCCGGCGAGGCTCGCCGCGAGCGCGCCCTGGCTCTCGACGAGCTTGCGCTGCTCCTGGATGCGGCCGCGCAGGCGGACGTCGGCCTCGCGGTCGAGCCGTTCGAGCTCCTCGCGCTCGCGCACGCGGATGCTGCTGAGCTGGGCCGCGTTGCCGACGCGCTCGCCGCCCACGTCGCGCTCCCACTGCAGCGCGCGCGTCTGCCGCTGCGCCTCCGCCGCCAGCTCCGCGTCCGCGATCGCCTGCGCCCGCGCCAGCCCCGCCTGCGTCAGCGCCTCCTGGTGCGCCAGGTCGCCCGCCTGCCGCGCCCGCTGCTGCCGCATCGCGCTCGCGAACAGCTCCTCCTCCGCCCGCGCCCGCTCCTGCAGCGCCGTCAGGTCCGCGCTGTGCGACCGCTTCTTCCGCGCCGCCTCCAGCTCCGCCTGGTGCGCCCAGATCTGCGCCTGCACCGCCGCCAGCTCCTTGTTCCGCTGCAGCGCCAGCGCGTGGTCCTCGCTCTCCTTCTGCAGCCGCGCCAGCCGCGCTTTGCGCTCCTGCTCTTCCATCTGGATATGCGACGGCATGCCCACCGCGTCGTCCGGCTGCGCGCCGCTGTTGGCGTAATACACGTCGACCCCGCGGTTCGCTCGCAGAAGCGCCAACAGCTGCGGCTTGTTGTCAGACTCGGGCAGTACGCGCTGGACGTACGTGGTAGGCGAGTACGTAAATTCGCCGTCTGAATAGTAGTTGAAAGGTTTGTTGATGTGTTTCCACATATCAGCTCTCAGCAGTACCTTCGTCGTAGTGAGCGGGTCGGCCGACTCCAAGGCTAGAAGGAGGACTGATTTTCCTTCGGACTGCAGGGTAACGTCGGAATCACTTTGGAGCAGAAAAGTAATCGCTTTTTCCATCGCCTTCTCCCGGCGGGCCGTCATCTCGCCCGAGTCTGCCGCATGAAGACATAACTCGCCGAGGGCGCTGCGACCGCCGTGCAAGGGGCTCGGGAAGTCGGGGTCGTGTTTATATTCGACTAGGACCTGCATCGCTGGCAAGTTGAGTTCCCGCGCCGCGTTGTGCAGCGAGCCGTCGTTCCTCGACGCCCCAGCGGCCAGCAAGTTCGACATCATAGTGATGGACAGCTCGCCGCCGATAGCTGACGCCATGGACAACGGCGACCTCCCCGTCGCGTCGGCGACGTCGACCTCGGCACCCGCGAGCAAGATAGACTTGACGAGATCTTGCCGGCGAGATTGTATAGCAAGCATCAATGGAGTCACGCGGGAGACGGGGGACTCGGCGTTGACCTTGGCTATAAGGCATCGTCAGCACGCAGATTCAGCAATAAGAATGGATTGTCTCCACTGACCACCTCTATCAATCAGCACCTTGATCACAGCGCTGCTGATTTTCTTCTGGGGTTGAATAAGAGCCCACATGAGCAGCGGCACCGGCTCGTCTTCCTCCATCTGCTCCATCACCCTGCAAGTCGTCATCTGGTCGTGGTAGAATCCGGCATCTAGCAGCGCCTCGAGCACCTTCACGGATCGCGGGAACTGCGTCAAGGCCCTGACAAGGACGGGCTCCGAGCCAACGTGGGTAAACAGGACATCGACGTGACTATTCCCGTCGCTGTATTCAATGAAGAGCGTCACTAGCTCGTGGATATCGTCCTCCGAGGCTGCGGGACTGAAAATATGCGGGAATGCGAGCGTCAGCGCCTTCGAGTCCGGTTTCTCGCGTAGTAGCCTCCTCAGGAGGTCGGGGTCCCCTTGCGCAGCCGCTTTCTGTAGCGCCTCTCCGTGGTTGTAATTAACGTCCGCGCCGTGCTTCAGGAACATCTCCAAGAAATCGTTCGCCAATTTTCCGTGAGTCTCAGCATACAGGCTCAGGACTGCAGCGAACGCAGATCCTATTGCATCGCCGCTAGCGCCCCTATCGAGTAGGCACTTGGCGATCTCGTACCCCCGGGTAGACAGCCACGACGACACGCTGTCGGAAGCAAAGGCCTTAGTAAATGCCAAAGCCGCGTCTTCGGGGCTGATATTCGAATCCAGGAGCTTTTCAAAGGCTGATGATGACAGGGTCTTCGTCGCATCGATTAGGGTTTGGCAGCTATTCGCTGCCGGCGAAGCACGGTGGGAGATCAAAAGCTCGATCAGCCTCTCGTCCGGCTGTTCCTCATTCACCGCCCGGTGCAGAGTAGAATGGATGGCATGCGGGACCGGCTTTCCCGCCTGGAATATCCAACTCATGACGGTGAATCTTGTGTCCCTGTTAAGGTCCCAAGACGCCTCTATAGCGCGAACCAAGGTATGAGAAGACGGTCGTATCTACTTTTGCGTTAGCACCAATCTCGAAGCAGCGTTTGATCGTCGTAAATGCCCTACCTGACGTCCACCCACGTCAACAATGCCCAAAAGCATCTCCAGGTTCCCCAAGAACGCGCTCCTCGCCGCTTTCTCGACCGCCTCCCCGTTGTTATAGTCGGGGCTTGCTCCGTACATGAGCAGAAGCTCCACCAGGTGTTTCGCGTCGTCGCCGTACCTCTCCGCCGACACGAGCTGGGCGTCGACGATCTCCCCCGTAACCCCCATCTGGAGCAGCAGCTTGAATATCTCCGCCCGCTTCTTTAGGTCCCCCACTTGCGTAGCTGCCTGTAAACCTCTCTGCAGCGTGCCCTGGCCGACCTCCACGTTCCCCGCGAACAGCATCGCTAAGACGTCAACGGCCCCGGAGCGGCAGGCCTCTATAATTGCCTGGCCGTCCCTGTGCTCTGCGCTCCCGCCGTTCTGAACTAGGATCGTGCCGAAATCCAGGTCTCCGTCCGACGCGGCCGCCAGAAGAGCATCCGAGACGACGTCGCCCGACGCGCCGGCTTTCAACAGGCTGCCGCACGACATTCTCCTCGAGACCTTACTCTTGGCCCTCGTCGCCTGAATGAAGCCCGTGTTGAGAATCTCCGTCGAGAATTTCTTCTTGCGCAGGAGAAGCTCCACGATATCTGGCTTCTCCGCCTTGACGGCTTCAATCAGGGCCTGCCCGTCCCGAGTATCAGCCCGAGCCAGCAACGTGTTGATGAGCGGGATATCCTCCGGGTACGTGTTCACGGCGAAGATGAGGGCTCTATTCACTTCGGTCGGCGGGATGCCGCCGTCGAGAATCTTCTCCGCGAAGGTTAGCCGGTCCATGAGGTCGCGGATTCGTAGGGCGTGAGGCATGGCGAACGCCATCGTCGTGGGATTCGGGTTAGCCGTGAAGAGGACCTCGACTAGCTGCATGTTCGACGCTGCTACGGCACGGCACAACGCCTCAGCGTTGAAGGCGTTCACATCAGCACCGTTTGCCAGGAGGGTTTTCACCGACGAGAAATTCTGCTGCTGTGGCGGCGTCTTCAAAACACCCATCACTTCCTCGAGGAGGAGGGCGGTAACCGTATCCTTGGACTCAGTTCGACGCAACAATCCGTTCAGCTTGTCAGTTTTAGCAGCGGATGCAGGGAGTTTCACTAGGCTCTTCAACCCTCGTTCCAGAGACGCGGCGTTCGGTTGGCCCAAGCCCAGAATCATTTCTAGAACTTCCGGGTCGGAATGTAATACGGCGTGCTCGACGGCGATCCCCTCATCGACGTTAACGTCAGCGTTGCCTTGCTGGAGTAGAGTCTTCAGCAACCGCTTATCGAGCGGGTTCGCTTGCAGCACAGCACCGACCGCTGCGGACACTTCAGGCCCGCCTTGGGACGCACCGGCCGCCAGGAGCATATTCACAATCTGCAACCGCAAGGGAATGTCATCGATACCCATGGCCTTGGAGACCGCTCTAGCCGCCACCTGGATAGTCGGCTTACTCTTAAGCAGCCTATCCAGCAGTCTAATGTCTTTCTGCATAATAGCGGCCGTTATGGCGTGACCTTCGTTGAAATTCACGTCGGCGTTGTATCGGAGGAAGAGGGCGATGAGTTTCTCGTCGCGGTGAGGTGGCTGCTCGTCGATCGCGTTCTCCAGAGCAGAATTGACAGTCGGTCCCGTCAGTCCCGCCCGGAGAAATAATTCGGAAATCTGGTATCGTTCAACAGGGGGTAGGTTGCGCACACTGGGGAAGATTTGTGCGAGGGCGACCGGGTTCGGTGGCTTGTTAGACAAAATGAGGCCTGCAATACCGGCGTCACCCTTCTTAACAGCAAGTTGTAATGCTAGGGCACCTTTGTGGTCCGTCGACGCGACTTCGTGTCGCTCGAATACCATACTTCGCGTTCCGCCCCGACCGCCTTTACTCTCAACGACCGTCCCGCCGGGAAATAGAGGCGTAAGTAACAGTCGTACCGCTTCGATGTCGCCGACCTCCGCCGCATCCACCAACGCCTCATCTAATGGCGGGCCGGCAGCGCCTTTTCGGAGAAGTAAATTTAGCAAGGTGTGCCGTTCCTCGAACCTCATCTTCTTGGGCAGTAATTCAACGCATTCGGATGCGTAGTGGGAGTTGAGTTTGGATTTCCCGCCCAGCATGACCTCCACCACGTCAATCTTGCCCTTCGACACTGCCTTGCGCACCGCAATCGCATCCTGGTACTCGATTGAGGCGCCATACGATGTTAAAAGGTGAACCATTTCCAAGAAATAAGTAGAACTGGCTTGGACGAGGGCCTGCGACACGGGTTCCCCTCCAGCCCCCGCGCATAGTAGAACTTCTGCTATGGCGAGCTTCTCGTTCGGGTTTATGTTTTGATGGTTCATGAGCTGTTCGAATGCTTCGTTGAGGCTAAGCTGGGCCGGCGGTTTGTTCCCGAGAACGACGGCGAGCGCTATATCCTTCCGGCCTAACATCACGGCCGCTTTCAGCGCGGCGCCGCCGTCGTGATTGCCGTCCGCCGTCGACAGGCTGAGATGCTCGACTGTGCGGAGACACCCAGCCTTTGCCGCCTCGACCATGGATTGGGAGACCCACTGCACGGACGGTCGCCCATCCGAGCCCATGACCAGGGCTACCAGCTCAGGCTGGCCGCCGCCGGCGCAGATGTTGCGGAAAGCATCTTGGCCTTCGGCTGTCTGCGCCACGCTGGCGCCGTACCTCACGAGGAGTCTCGCTATAGCCAGGTTTCCCGCCCGAAGCGCGATCGGCAAGGCCGTATCCAAACTCAAGGCGTCGGCATAGGGCAGGAGAACCTCGACCATGTCCACCTGGGCGTTCTTTACGGCGATCTGGAGCACTTGACTCCGCTCGGCCAGGTCGAGACTCTTTCTCCTGCTGAGCAAGCTGGTGCGGCTCTTCTGGGCCAGATTCAGATTGCCGCCGGCCAAGTTGAGCTTGGTGATGAGGGATTCGGCAACGCCCGGGGATCCCTGGTTGGTGATATGAGCGACGAGGGCGCTGTATATCTCTCGGTACTCCCAGCCCTTCTTCTTGGTCGTGAAGGCGCGCGAGATACTTCCCTTGTGCTGGTGGCCGTGGGATTCGGTGGCGCGCTGCCCCTTGAGCAGCTCCTCGGCCGCAGACTCGTCATTCGCCGTCCGGTAGGATGGCGCCTGGTCGGGTCTCGGAGAGGGGGAGGGCGGCGGCTGGCGACTGAGGGCCCATTTCTCAGCGAGCTGCTCCAGTCGTGCTAGCCGGTCATCTCTAACAGGAGGTTGCTTCATGGTGACGACGGCGAGGTTAGGGAGACACGGGACATGGGGGAAATGGGATCTCCCCTAGTAGAGAGGGCGATGGTAGCACGCGGCCTGCTCCGACGGGGCGGGGAGCAATCGATGTAGGTCGACGGTTGGACGCTGTAGCTACAGACTGAGTGAGTGGTCAACGATGAGGACAGGAGCTTAGTCATCGAGACACTCGGACTGTGGTTCCCAAGAGGTTGGGCATCACAAAGTCTTTCTTTGGGGTTAGCCTGCTGGGTCCGAGGTTCAGAAGTGGGATCGACGGATCCTTACCGGGAAGACCAGACCAAGACGAAGATGGGACAAACAACAGCTAAGCGGGGCGACGTGTCGGCCGTTTTGGGAATGCAAATAAATGGTATGGGTACGGGCTCGCGGTGGTTTCGCCCGTTTGGGTGCCGCGCGTTAGAAGAATGCTAGTAAAAAGATACGGGACGAGTGAACGAACGGAGAATTAGCAGATGCAGAAGCAAAAAAGAAAGAAAGAAGACGGAAGCGAGAGAGAGATGAGAAAACGGTAAACGAGATGATGTTTCGAGGTTGAGACACGCCAGGAGGTTGCAGTGCCATGTCGAGTCCACCACTTAAACGACCCGGGCAGGGACAGCTTCAGCCACAGCGTAGCACCACCGCTACGTAGCTAGCCCAGCCCGACCCAGCCGTCCGGAGCGATCCCGGCTCGAACCCGCAATTGTGGCTGTGCCGCGCCAGACAGCGCCGGCACCAACAGAGATACCTTGCCAGATACCTGACCTGACGTGGTGTACGCGCGGATGGTGCCGGTAGTTATGAAGTTACCCAATGTACATGTAGACCGTTGACGCAGTCATTGTGTGTTAGATAGGTAGGTAGGTAGGCATATGCGATGCAACGAGGGACCTCCTCATCTCACCTCGTACGTACGTTGTCCGCGTCTCCCTTGCGCAGTCCGCAGACAACCCACTCTACTACTCGCAGCTCTCTATGTTTCCTCCCTTCTCTGTCTGCACTGCCTCTCTCCCTCGCCCCTCGGCTCCTATACCCACCCGGCCTTGCCATTGAACGGGCATCCTCCTCTGCGCCGCCCCGCGACCCAGACACATGCAGGCCGCGCGTTGCTTCCTACCACCCATCGCGTATCCGCGGGGTGCGGGCGCGCGATACAAGCACGCACCCCAATTCCCGCTACGCTTACGTATTTACGGTAGCAGCAACAGCATCTAGGTAGGTATATAGATGTGCCAGGTAGGCTAGCTGGCGAAGATGCGGGGAGGGCGCTTAACCCATAGACCATAGACTATATACTCTACTTACCTAGCCTAGGCACTTAAGGGGTAAAGAGGTAAGTGATAAGAGATGCCTATGTATGACGCACATATACATGCCTCACACGAGCACTTCCATCGACAACACTTATGTGTTGCATCGGCGCGCTGGCTCGGGAGAGCGCGGGCGTATTCGTACTCGTCACGTAGGTACGTAGATTCCGCCGCCGCGAATGGTAGGATGACAATATATCGTTCGCATAGCGAGAAACGATACATAGTGGTTCCAGATCATCGACGTTCCCCTTCCCCTCGACCAGGCAGATTCGTGAAGTCAGACTCGGTGTGGCTGTGTGCAGCTCGGTAATACAGTCTCCCGCATCAACCCTCTTTCCCCTCCAACCGGCCTCCTCCTAGGTACGGTCCCAAACACGAATCAGGCAATCGTTTCTTGCTTCCTGCTGAGAGCCTGTCACATTCTAGACAAATAGAACCGTAAGTATTTCATTAATTAGAATAGAATAGCGCAGTCCGGCGAACCCCCACCCCCACCAAAAGAAAGAGGTCTCTTCGGGGCCGACTGGCTGACGATCTCTAACATACCTATAGCACGTAGCTCACACATGACGATTCGATGACAACTCCGAGGGTGTGGTTGTTAGCTTGGGGTTAGACGTCCCGCAATCCTTCCGCCGAACACTACCGCGCACCTACATTATCACTCGACCTTCCATTCCGCCTCCTGCTAGCTTAAAATTGTCGGGGTGAACGAAGGCCTGCCTAGATTCACGGCGTATTTTCGTCTATTCTAGCGAAAAAATCAAAAATCGAAAATCTGCAAACCCTTAGATCGCCGGGAGGCAAAGCAAGGCCGCGATCTAGTCTGGTCCACGACTCCGTCTTTTCAAACAATGGATCAATTACCCTTAATGGCGGCCAACAGCTCGGCCGGAGGTTCTTGTCGATACCCCTTAGGGTTGTTCGACACCCACCTCCAGAGGTCCTCGCACGCCTTCTCCATGGGGATCTCTGTCTTCCAGTTCAACTCCTTGTTCGCCCGCGTCGGGTTCGCCGTCAGATCCAGCACATCGCCCTGTCGTCGCGGTACCACCTCGTACGGCAAGTTCCGGCCCACGACCTTGCTGAATGCATTGATGATCTCATACACTGTGCTGCCTCGTCCGGAACCCAGGTTCCATGCTTTGACGCCGGGTTTGTGCTCTCGGAGATAGTTTAGGGCAACTAAGTGGCCCCTGGCGAGGTCAACGACGTGGATGTAATCACGGATGGCGGTGCCGTCTCGGGACGGGTAGTCTATCTCGCATGGCCCAATTAGCTTCCCGGGGAATGAAAGAGGGGTTTAAAATTTTATTATTATTAAGAAAAGCTTGCTACTTACCGTCGCCAAAGACCAACAGCTTTGGCCGGTCGCCAGTTGCAACCTTGCCCAGTAACGGTAGCAGGTTATACGGGACGCCTTGCGGGTCCTCGCCCATAATACCGCTAGGATGAGCACCGCATGGGTTGAAATAGCGCAAGTTGGCACCGTTCCATTGCTCAAACGGCTGGCCTGCCTTCTCGAGGTTCTGACGCTGCGCAGTGATGAAGTCCTCGATGATGTTCTCGACTATGGCCTTGGTCCGGCCGTACGTGTTCGTCGGGCCGATGGGGCAATGCTCGGGGATGGGAATCATGTTCTCGAAGCGCGTGGCATCTCCGTACACAGTCGCGGAGGAGGAAAAGACGATGTTGGTGACATTGTGCTTCTTCATCGCGCCCAGGAGGGAAATGGTACCACCGACGTTCACGCGGTAGTACTCGAGGGGGATCTCGCCAGATTCACCGACAGCCTGGCACCAAGGTCAGCGATTCCGCAAGACGACGGGCGGCAACGGGAGGGGCTAACCTTGAGGGCGGCGAAGTGAATGACGCTGTCGATGCCTGGGTGTGCGGCAAAGACCTTCTCGAGGCCTTCATTGTCGGTCAGGTCGACCTTGTGGAAGGTCGGGCGCTTGCCGCAGATGAGCTCGATGCGATCAAGAGCCACCTCGGACGAGTTGTACAGGTTGTCGACGATGATGACCTCGTAGCCATGCTGGAGGAGGGCGAGCGAGGTGAAGGATCCGATGTATCCCGTGCCACTACGCGCGCGAGTCAGCAGCCTTGGAATCAGACGTCTTCGGCTTCGTTTCCTGCTCTTTTTGCTTTCGCGCATCCCGCTGTCGGATGGCCCTCTCTCTTGGTCTATGCTGGCGAAATGCACAGGGGGGCAGAGCTAGCGGGATTGGTCACGGACATCAATCGATAACAAGACAACGTACCCGGTGATCAGAACAGTTCCTACAGCCATGGTTAAGACTTGAGGGGGACCAATTGGTATGCGGGGAAGGATTCGAGAGAAGGGTTTGAGAGTCGAGCCGTGGTGATGGAGAGGATCCGTCCGATGTTGGTGGGCGTGTTTCGGGGGAGGGGGGGTTAAGTTATTGCGGTCAAGACGGTAGGTAGCGAGTAGCGAACAACAAGAAAAGTGATCTTCATTTTAAAATCGGACGAAATTGGAGGGGTCGCAAAATTGCCCCTCTCGTCAGCTCTCCGTATCCTAGCTAGAGCGTGGTTGTCACAGTGCACAGACGTTGTCTCTGCACGGTGTCGAGGCCAGGGCCGTGACGACAAGGTAATTTGCCGATCGGGCAGGCACACCTTCAGGTTAAGATCAGGTACCTCAGGTACCTCGCATAGCCGATTACGCCCAAAACGATATTGGTTCATATTGCCGCGTAAGAGGTACCTAAGCTGGAGTGTCTTAGAGGCACCTAACCCAATTACCTCTGTCAATCTCAAGTACCTGTCTCCTATTGAGGTACCAGGTAGGTACATTCAATGGACATCCTGGCTTGCGTATTTTACAACTGCCTTGACCTATCCATGTAAAGAGGCATTGAGCGCCTACCTTGGGTACTCATATAGACGAACAAGCTACCGCCGATACTCAATTCATACTATACAGAGGTATGCACGTATTTCCTGATCGTGGGTACTGGCTTAGCCATGGGTAGGCTTCCAGCACACACACACACACACACACACAGAGAGAGAGAGAGAGAGAGAGAGAGAGAGGGAGAGAATATATGCACACTTATAAGCATATATGTCTTCGAATAAGCAGTGCTCGGTCCAATAGAGGTATCCCGACGAAGCTGCAGGTACGCGCCAATAGGTGAGGGTAGGCAGCTCCCTTATGGTGACTGAGGTCGGAATCACTTATAGGTATGCGCCACTGCTCTAAGAGCTGTGAGAGGTACCTAAGTAGGTACCATACCGGGAGGGGGGGGTCTACGGACAGTATGTCAGCAATAGAGTCGGGGTACGGACACGGTAACTAAATCTGGTAAGGGTTACCTATTCTTTCGAAAGAGCTAAAAGAATTACAGCAAGGGTCGCGGTACCGACCTTATTACCTTCCCTTCTTATAATTTCAGGATGGTTTTTATAACTACGTAGGAACTAATGTCCAGACGGATATGACAATGTCCAGACGGATATAATGTCTATATATTCCATAGGTACCTACCTACCTACCTACCTACCTACCTACCTACCTACCTACCTACCTATCTATCCACCTAGACCTACCTGTTGTCTTCATCTTTTTTCTACAAACACCATGATCTATTACCCATCTACGAACCTATCTGCGAACCTATCTTCGAACCTATCTGTGAACCTATCTACGAACCTATCTGCGAACCTATCTACGAACCTATCTGCGAACCTGTGGGAGCTAGTTCAGACGCGTGGAATCTATCTATCTATCTTTGAACCTATCTTCGAACCTATCTGCGAACCTGTGGGAGCTAGTTCAGACGCGTGGAATCTATCTATCTATCTTCGAACCTATCTGCGAACCTGTGGGAGCTAGTTCAGACGCGTGGAATCTATCTATCTATCTTCGAACCTATCTTCGAACCTATCTGCGAACCTGTGGGAGCTAGTTCAGACGCGTGGAATCTATCTATCTATCTGCGAACCTATCTTAGAACCTATCTGCGAACCTATCTGCGAACCTGTGGGAGCCAGTTCGCGCGTAGAATCTATCTATCTTCGAACCTATCTTAGAACCTATCTGCGAACCTATCTGCGAACCTATCTGCGAACCTGTGGGAGCCAGTTCGCGCGTAAAATCTATCTATCTACGAACCTATCTGCGAACCTATGGGAGCTAGTTCGCGCGCGTGGAATCTATCTACCTATCTTCGAACCTATGGGAGCTAGTTCGTACGCGTGGAATCTATCTATCTTCGAACCTATGGAAGAGAGGTAGGAGGTAGGTAACAGACGTAAAAGATACAAAGGTACAAAGGTACGTACTTAGTAACCTAGAGGTAACCGGGTAATCCTATGGAATGTACCTTTTTTTAAAATAAAGACATTATATCCGGATGGTAACTATGTCGGGAAATGGTAATAATGTCAGCCTAGAGTTTAACTCCTTCTTATCACGAGGTAGACACTATGTCCAGTCATAGAAAGGGTTGCTGACATAGTGTCAATAGACCCCCCCCTCCCTGTATGGTACCTACCTGGCCTGCCTTGGGTACCTCTTAATAAAGCTACCCTCCATAGGTTATTTAGGTACCTAGGTACCTAGGTACGTGGTAGCCGGGGTAGCGGGGTTCGGTCCCTGGCGCGCTGGTACCTGCCAGAACATTGCGACGTGTGGCGTCGCGCGTGGCCTGTGGCGGTGTGCGCGTCTCGCCCCGACCGGGTCCCTTCTTGCTTGCCTGCTCTTCCTCTCCTTCATTGTGTCCAACGACGCCTCTGGCTATCGATTGGATCCTGGAACCAGCCAACACTGCCCAGGAGGCACGCGACGCGACTGACCGGACGAGATGAGCCGAGACGCATTCTTGGAGCCTCCTCTCAACCCCGGGCAGATTTGATTAGCGCGAACGAGGCTACGGTTCTCACGGTCCATTCCAGTCCCTCCTTTGATAAGCCCCCCCCCGATCTACCGGCCTGCGAGCGAACCAAGACAGACAAAGGGCTGCCCGGCCATTCACCATTGTCCACCCATGTCCCAGGCCGCCTTCGGAAAATACCAGTCGAGCCGCAGCTCTCCTCGACCACTCCGGCTGGTACCTTTATGCATCCCAGAGGAAACCCACATGTGTTGCCGGACCCGGTAAGGCTCCCGCATGTGTCTACCGTCGCGACTCGCAACAAAGCCTGTCACCAGCTTCGCGTCTGGACGCTTTCAGCTTCGCGGCGCTCGAATAAGACGTCTTAGGCACCGTGGCTGGACCCTGACAGAAACCATTCATTTACCCATCAAATCGTCGACGCCATACCCTTCCCGCTCCATCACATCGCCATCTCCTCGCGACTCAACCCCCTCGCTCACCTACTTCTTCTTCTTCGCAGACGAGAGAACGGCACCAGATAGGAATCACCTACCTTTCCGCTTAGCATCTCGCGCGAGCTGGTCGCCGGTGCGATTTCCATTTTTCAAGCCCGGCGTCATAATCCACAGGTGCGTGCTTATCATTTTCCTCGCATCTCGACAACCGTGCCAAGCATCCCATCGGTGACCCCATTTCAGATGCCACCCATGGGATGAATCCTCGTCTATCTTTTAACTTCATGGCTCTCTATTGCCTCTCATCCTACCCGACTTTCACATCCCATCGTTCGCTAACGGCGCTCGGCAGGCTTGTATTTACTATTGTGAACATTCGTTTGGCTCTCCCGGGATTGCATTCATTATGACGGTCAGACGCAGTACCAGGGACAAAAGCCGTGCACTCGGTACCGGTAGCGCAAGCGGCGGAGGCAGTACCCGCGGCACGCCTACTTCCGCACAGAGGGTCGCTTATCACGAGCCACCAACTGCAGATCTTCCCGGCCTGTTTCCGGTACATGACGGATCATACGGTATCAACACGCATGTGAATCTTGACCCCGTCAAAAGTCGGCGGCGCGGTCAAACGGCCAAGTCTGGATTTGTCAATGAAGAGGAGGAGGACAGGCGTTTCGTCAGACAGGTCGGACGGAGGAGTAGGCGCCACGGCATGGAGGATAACCTGAGAAGGGTCGTCCAGGAGACCGTTGAGGAAGCAGAGAGAGACGAGGACAATGAAAACCCGGAAGAACCCCATCGCCAACCCGGAACGGCTAGAGGAGAGCCGGGCAGACGACATCGGCCGCAAGTCTCCAAGACAGGACCTCCGCCTCCGTATGACGATCGTGGAAAGAGAGGGGAGCCGGAACGGCAAGAGGCAGGGGAAGAATACGAAGAGGAAGAGGAAGAAGACTATGAAGAGGAAGAGGAGGACTATGAAGAGGAGGATCAGGGAGGGCAAGGACAGGAGCAGGAAGAGAAAGACAACAAGGGAGACACCCAGGGCGGGGGCGACCGGATACCCGATGCTGACCTCATATACCAACCGATGGCACCACACATACCTACCTTGGGACAGCCTTATGAAGATCGTAACGACGACGGATCGAAACCGCCATATACGGCTGTCGAGTATAGCTCCCCGGATCCATATGCACTCATTCACAATAGCAATCCGACTGGGCCATCCTTAACGAAGCGCCGATTCTATGGTCTGCCTATTGGACAAGGTTCCTCAACCTCTAAGGATCCAGACGTTTACAGGAGGGGCTATAGCTACGAAAGCTCACTATATCGTGAAGCAACTGTTCGAACGCCCAGTCCCACACAAGATATGGGCCGCCGAGCACCCGCACCCGTTCCGCCAGCAACGAGCGGCCCAATGGGAGACACTGATGACATCTGGGATTGGGAGGCTGAAGAAGGTGATACCGGCTCGGCGGCAATCGGTAGTAAAGAGGCGCCCGGTCTTCCGGAAGCGCTCGACCCCAAATCCCCCAAACCCGCGGGTCTTGATATTTCGTCGCTGAGCCTCACCGAAGAGGAGTCGAAGATGATGCAGAGGGTACTCGGCCAAGTTCATGCATCACCCGGCCAGACTCCCCACCAAATTGTTTCCCTAGACCATCTGACACTCGAGGAGAATCGGGCGGCGAGATCATTGATCCGGGATATGGGCAGAGACAAGGATACGGTAAAGAGAATCGTCGACGAGTTGGACAAGGCAGCCGCCAAACGGCTCTCAGCCCACCCCGCGCCATCCAGTCTATTTGGCCCGCCACCTAATAAGTCTAGGACCTATCCCCACGGTAAACAGCCGGTGGACAGCAGCTCCAGCGCTCCCGGCGCCCCCGGTAATCTGACCCCCGTCGTCGACAGAACCAACCAACCACCCCGTCGACCCACAGACGATGCGGCCATCGGAAAGAGCTCAACTTCCGGCCAATCGACCAGCCAGGTAAAGCCCGACGTCAAGAAATCCACTGTCCAGGCTGCACCACAGCCGCCGCCACCGCCGCCATCGCTGCCGCCTAAAACACGGGGGCCGAAAGCGACAGTTATTAGTCGAGTCAAATCCATGTCTCGATCCTTGATTCGAGCTCTACGGGACCTAAATATCGGTGGCGTCCCAAGACTGATATTCGTGTTCCTTAGCATCCTAACTGCAGCCTGGTTGCTTCTGACCTTGCTCAATGGCGTGTCCATGCCAGTGAGGGATGACTTTTTCTCCGGCGTCGAACCCTCCCGCTTCGGATGGAACAGCATCAAGAATCTCATCCCATCTAGAATTAAAAGTCCATTCAATGACTTGAGCCCCCCTCGCTCAGCAGAAGACTGCTGTGGCGGCCTCTCGAACACGCTTCAAGGTCACAAGTCGGCAATAGCCAATCTCAAGAGATCCGATGACGAGTTGTCGAAGCTTATGCAGGACCTGAATCGGAGGATTCCCGCAAAGGTCTTTGTCGAATTAGACAAACGGGGCAAGCCTAAGATATCAGAGGACTTTTGGCACGCGCTGAGGGATTTGATCCGAGAGGATGACATAATTCTCACACTGGAAAATGTCCAGAGAGAGGATCCAAAAATATCAGACGCACATTGGCATGCAATTCAGACCCGTCTAGAACAGGATAGGTATTACACCCTGCCAAAAGAAGGGACTGGTAAGACCAAAGTCTCGCCAGAGGAGTTGGATCACGATATAGACAATAGAATATCACGGTCATGGCAGAACTGGCTAGACCAAAACGAGGGCTTACTGAAGGAAATGGTCGCTGGCACAGCTATTACCAAGCATGAGTTTATGAAGCTATTCCAGGACCAAATCCAGGTACACCGGGAAGAGATCCGGAGGGAGTTTGCAGACCTAGAGAATCGAGTGCAAGACCTTGCAGACACACTCTCGGGCCTCCGCGACTCGGCGCCGCCGGCGGGAATGACAGCAGAGGAGGTGCAGAGTCTCACCGATGCCGCGATCAAGAAGGCCTTGCAGCACGCAGTATTCGACGCCGTTGCTTCTGGGGGGGTGCATAGCCACACCAACGATGTGCTCAACAACGCGGTCAACTTCTTCTCCCCTGCCTCCGGTGCAACCATCGATCCCGACCGTACCTCGGAGACCTGGAGGCCGGCAAAGCCCGAGTTCCGGGCCGACGACTGGTTCCGTAAGACTGCCTACCCACCCCTACCTCCTCTGGCGGCCCTGATGCCTTGGGATGACGAGAGCGAGTGTTTCTGCGCGGGATCCGGTGGTAAGGCCCCAGGAGGTGGTTTAAATGCCCTCGCGGTGCTGCTGAGCTACCCCATCATCCCGCAGCACCTTGCGGTTGATCACCTGCTTCCGGGGGCGACGCTGGACCCCGGCGCGATGCCGCGGGATATCGAGGTGTGGATCGAGATCGACGACCTGACGCTGCGGGCCGAGGTCCTCGTCTTCTCGGCCAACAGCTTCCCAGACACGCCCCGCGAGACGGCGCTGAACGAGGCCTTCGTGAAGGTGGGCCACTTCACGTACGAGGCCCGGAACTACGGCGACGGCGTCCAGGTATTCAAGCTGAGCGACGAGCTGACGCGCCTCGGCGCCAGCACGTCCAAGATCGTCGTGCGCGCCGTCAGCAACTACGGCGCCGACCACACGTGCTTCTACCGCCTGCGCATGTTCGGCCAGCTGGTCGAGGGCCCGGACGTCGTGAGACACGAGGTCCCGCCGCCCCGTCCAAGGAGCTGGTGGTCGCGACTACGAAATGCACGCTTCCGGGCCACAGACTAGAGCAAGCCTTCCCCCCCCCCCCCCCCTTCTGGCTGAAGCGCGATCCCCCAGGTCTGCCAGGCAGTCGGGCGGAGAGCTGCTCGCGAGTATGTATGTAGTACACGTAACACCGCCCCCGCCACTCCTCCTCGCCTCGCTACCGTATCAAGGCGCCTCCGGGGCGGCGCCCGGGCGAGAACGCGCGCGTCCGCATGTATCCATCGTCACCGCAGTCGTCTTTTCTCTCATCCGCTCTCTCTCGTCCCCCACCCGCGCGCGGAGGGACAGACGAAAGGGGCGAACGGAGTTCGGGGTTTAAGAGGGTTCTTTTTTTTGTTTCTTTGTGTGTGCGTTTCCGCTTGTTTCCTTTTCTCTCCCCGTCTGTGCTCATGCATACACCGGTCGAGCCACCGCCGCGGAAGGAGAACAAGGCCGCGGGTGGTGGTAGAGGAGGGGGAGAGACTGGGGGGGGGGGGCCGGAATGGCGGGAGTCGGGACCGCAGGGGCACGGATGATACCACGTTCCGGAGTGTTGTCGTCGGTTAGAACTAGCCTTGGATTGCTTCGACGGTTTTTTGCTAATACGTGCTACACCTACATACGTACATGCCTTGCTTCCCGCCTCAACGTGACGTAGATGCCCAAACGCGTCGCGCCTCGCTTCTTGGCCCCGAGCATGGCCGCCTAGCGCAACTCGCTGGCCGACGATGCGACGTAGTGGTAGTAGTAGTATCGCATAGGACGGAGCGAGATACCAGGCGGTCTACAGCGGGTCGGGCAGATAAACAGGAACGCGAGCGGAACGCTACGCGAGACCCTCCTTCCCCGACGGGGCCATCGTACACCCGTCATCTTCGCCGCCGCGGAGTTCCTTCGCGCAGCGTAGAGTGTGTGTGTATAGCTCTATATATTGATTACCCATGCGAATGCGTCTTCTCTATACCTATGCTAGTAGCTGCCCGGCCGTCGCCTCATGCGTGCGTCGCGTCGAGAGAGTCTTCGCTGGTCCGACGGGGCGGGTCGGATGCGCTCCTGCTGATCTGCCGCCGCCCGGCGATCGTGGTTTGCCACGGCTGCCCTTCGTCACTTTACAGGCCCCCATACAGTAAGTACACTGTGGGCACGTCTCTCCCCACGAGACAAATATCCTCGTGTATTTCGGGAGGATGGTGGAGTGCGCAGGGGTTTTTTTTTTTCCCCAGCCCCTTTCCATTTGGCTCCCGCATCGGCCCATACCTGCCTACCTCAATCGCGGCGGCGCTGGGACAGAGAAATACCGTTGCACAACCCTCTCCCCTGCACCTTTCCTTCTAACCGTCCTTCGCACCCCTTCGCTTAACTTCCCCCCGAACGAGAAGACAACAACCTGCTGTGGAGATACCAGAGGGGGGGCCGACCGCACTATCGGTCACGGCCTAATCGCTCTTCCCTGTCCTCCAGTAGCTCGTATGCGGGGCGGAAAGGTTGCCCGTCGGCGTCCTGGTTCGCGCCCCGGCCGCGCCGCAGCGCCGGGTTCGGGTGCGTGTCGTCGGTACCACCTAGTGACGTGTACCCTTTGTCGTAGAGCGAGCAGTAAGGGATTCTCAACGCGCGGATGAACTGCACGCGAGTAACCTATCAGTCGTTACGTTCGGGGAACGGGAGAAAAAGAACTTACCGCCCAGACCTCGCGGTAGTGCCAGTCGATGACAGGGTGGATACGCATGAAGGAGGGCCAGTCGCTGTCAGTCTCGTCGAAGAAGGTGAGTTGGGCGCCGTGCGGGTCGGTTCGGCGGGTGCCGACGAAGACGGCTCGGATGCTAGCGTGCTCGCGTAGGTAGCTGGTCAGCGCGGGCTTCATAGCCTCGGACGACGTCGTCAGATCGAGGTGGTAGGTGGAGGATGTCTCCTCCACAAAGGCGTCGACCTCAGCGAACGGGAGCGGTGGCTGGATATACAGCGCCTGCAGGCGGCGTGGGAAGGGGTGTGATGCGGCTGCGCTGTGGGTATGGGAGGCGGAGGCGGGCAACGAGGATTTGAGAGAGGAGGAGGAGGAGAGAGAGGCGAGTATCAGGATCAGAAGTACAAGGCAGTCCTTGCCGCCGTTATATGAGAGCGAGAGCTCCTCTGGTCTGTTTCGGTAGTGTCTTGTCAGCACCGACTCCGTCATATTTGCTCCCTTATCACTCTTCTCCGCGACCCCCCAGTGTCCTGCCACACACATATATACCCGCAATATTTATTTTTATATACCTATATAACTGTGGCATCCTGGCAAATGCCGCCCCAAAAGGGAGAAGCGAAGGATAATAAGGCAAGTATGAAACACTAGACAGGTCACACACCTATATCGCTGTAGAGCCTCCTCGATGACGCCTAGAGAAACGACCACTTGGCTCTTGACCGACTTCAACAACGGATCGCTAGTAGGCGTGTTCAGAAAGTTGTCGACCCTGGTCTTGAGCTGCCGGCACAAAACCTCAAGCTCGTTGTTGTGCGTGGTGCCGTTGGTTATGACGGGAGTCTCCACATCGATTGTCCGTAGGCGGGACGAGTCTGCTTCGAGCCCCGGCATGGTGGCTGTCTGAGTGTTGCTTGTTCTCTCTCTATTTCTATTTATTTCTCTCTGGCTGCTCGGGGCTATTTGCCTCTCTGCTCTGGTGGTCTGGCCGCTTTCGATTGCGCCGGTCGTTTCCTCGAGACACTTATCCGTGGCCTAGGAAGTAGATGGGAGAGGGTGGCGGGATGCTATAGCGCGGCGCCGCTTGCACCGTACTGTTCTACCCGGCGCTGTATATACTATTTTCGTCTCAGGATAGGCCTACGGAGTACAAGGTGCCATGCTTCGCCCGAGATCAGTCGGTGGGGGGGCGCGGGCGCAAAGGAGGGATGATGAATGCTGAAGAAAGGGGGGCGGAAGGACGGGTCAGCATATGAATTCGTGGCAGGATAAAAGTAAGCAGTTGTGTTGATCAATCGGCCGATCGTCTGCGAGTTCTCGGGTATGAGTAAGACGGCGGGATCTGGTCGGCTCTTTGTGTCTACCGATCCTGCTGGGCCTGATGTAGGTATGCGCCAGGAAGGTGAGGCTAGGCACCTAGTCGAGGAAGATGGTGTCGGAGTTCAGGCTCGGTTGGGCTGGGCGGTGTGGCGGGCGAGAGCAAGACGGGGAGAGAGGGAGAGGAGAGGTGGTGAGGATGTGAGGATGTGAGGACGTGAGGATGCAACCGGCGAAGGCATCCCGGAAGTCCCTCTGAGAAATGCCCGCGGTCGCAACCCCTTCATTCATCCCCTTCGCTTCCCTTCCATCGCCAGCTTGTACAGTAAGAAAACATGTGGGGCCGCCAGTACATCTCTGCCAGGTACTGCAAAGCCCGTCGTCGTGCTAAGCGACGGGCAACAGGTACACGCATCCCAGGTACCCCATGGACCCTTTCGCGCGTGTCAAGTACCCGCCCCACCCGAGCGGAAGAAGGAGGGGCAGCAATTTGTTGCATAACAACCCCACTATGCCTACAGGGCAGTACTGGGCATAAGAATAACCCGCCGTAAACGGAGGGCCTATGTACCTGCGCCTGTCTGCATACTACCGTGTATGCAATATATATATACACAATATATCACAACACCATCACTCGTCCAACAGGCCGGCTGCCAATGCCTCGTAACCCTCCAGTGTGTCGGGTGCGTCAGCCACCTCGATGACCTTGCCCTGACCCCTACCTTTCCTGCCCTTATTTCTCCTCGCGCCTCTCGCCTCCTCCTCATCCGCCTCCGAGTCGTCCTCGAACCATTTCTTCGCCCTCTTCGCCGGACGTCTCTCTTCCCTCTCTTCCTCGTCGCTGTCGGTGCCCTCTCCCGCCATCGGCAGCGAGGCCATGAGGGCGAGGGGATCTTCTCCCTCGCCGTCGTCTGTCGCAAGTCTAGGCATCCGGGAGCCCGTTCCCGTCTCCCTCTCCATTGCTTCTCGCGCCTTTCGTTTCTCCTTCTTCTCCCGACGCCTTTCCTTGGCGTGCAGTTTATCGCTGATGTCGGCCTCCTTGACCTTGACCGTCTCGTCCTCGACGAACTTCTGCCGTTGAGCTTCCGCTGGCCCGGCCTGCCGGAATTCTTCTTCGTCCTGGATTTTGTACGGGTGGTGCGCGTTCCCTTCGTCGTCGAACACCACTTTGTCGCCCTTGCCCTTGAATTTAAGCATCTTCTTCTTAGATTTCAGCATCTTTTCTCTTCGCTTCGAGTCTACTACGAACGGCTCCTCGCCGCCGAGCCCGCTGACGATCTTGGCTCCTGGAGCTAGACCGTCGCCGGCCCCCACGTCTAACTCGTCGCCTTCTAGAACCCGCCTCACCGAGAGGAAATCTTGATCGTCGTTATCACTTTCCTCATTCGCCTCTTGGCCTTCCTCGCCAATCATCTTAGTGTAATGACTAGTCAGCACGTCTTGGTTTGTCCTTTCGAACATCCGATCGTATTTCGTCCGCACTTCGCCCTTCTTTCGCTTTCTCTTGGCATCGTCGGGCTCGGGCTCGGAGTCGCTAGAAAGGCCCGCTCGAGGTGCGTTCTTCAGCTTCTTGACATCCTCGCCTTTCTGAAACCGAATCTGCGGCGCCCCGGGCAATCCCAAGCTAGCAGCATAGGCATCTAGGTCCAACTTGTTCAGGTCGAAAACTTCTTTGTCTTTCTGCAAGTGGACGGAGCGAGTGTAACTGATGAATGCCTTTTGGCCGAGATACTTGAGATCTGGATTTTTGAAGCACATGTCCTGTATCTGGTTTTGTATGTTCTGCTTCTTCTTTTCCCGTATGCTGACCTTCTGTATGGGGACTTTCCGCTGCTCCAGTCGCATCAGCATCCCTTCTTCGCTCGGGTCCAGGAAGAGGACTGCCTTGCCGTCCCTCTCGTAGCGTGCCGTTCGTCCAACTCGGTGGATATAGGTGTCTGTGTCCTCGGGGCAATCCATCTGCACTACCCAGTCAACCGCGGGGAAGTCAACACCCCGTGCGACGACGTCGGTAGCGAAGAGACAAGAGTATTTGGCTGCAGAGAATCTCGAGGTGATTTCCAGCCGCGCCACCTGCTTCTGCCTGCCGTGTAGATGCAGAAGCGGGATGCCAGGCTGCAGATGGCGAAAGCTCTCGTAGATAAAACGGACCTGCTTCCCCGACGATAGAAACACGATCATCTTGCTTTTCAGGTTTGCCTTGATAAACCCGTACAGAGTCTCCGTCTTCTCCGGCAAGGGCGTTATGAGGTAGTGCTGCGCCAGCGTCGCCGGAGTAGCAGCGGCTGCGGCCTCGTGGACAGCGACGTATTCGGGGTCCTTGAGGCTCAACCTAGCTAGATCGGAGACTTTTTTGCTCTGCGTCGCGCTGAACAGCATCGTCTGTCGCGATGTCGGTAGATGCTCGACGAGCGCGTCTACGGCGGATTGGAACCCCATGTCCATGATACGGTCGGCTTCATCGAGGACCAGTATCTGCAAATTATCGACGTCGAAGCCGGCCGTCTGATCTAGGTGCTGCAGCATGCGGCCCGGAGTGCATACGAGAATATTCATCCTACCCAGCCGCTCGGCTTCCTCACGCAAGCTCTTGCCGCCGATAACCAAGCCAGCAGAGAAGGTATGGTGCCTGCCGATCTTGCGCAGGACCTCGAATATCTGCACGGCGAGCTCGCGCGTGGGCGAGATGATCAAAGCGCCCAGCCCGTCGTACTCGGTCCATTGCGCGCGGTAGAGTTTCTCGAGGACAGGGACGAGGAATGCGAGGGTCTTTCCAGAGCCGGTCTTTGCCGCGCCGAGAATGTCACGACCCTTTAAGCCGAGGGGGATAGCGCGAGCTTGGACGTCGGTCAGGGTTTCGAAATGCGACGCTTCGAGGCCGGAGGCGGTTGGCGCGGAGAGAGGCAGGGCGGAGAATTTTGTCACGTCCTGGGACTTGGGATCCTACGAAGGGAGTCCTGATAAGATCACCTGGCTCTTATCAAAAATAAGGACTCGATATCTTACAAACTCATCGACAGCGCCTTGAAGCTTCTGCAGGTTTTCCTGGTCCCGTTTTCTCTTCAGCGACTTCGGATTCTCCGTGGGTTTCGGTTGCTTTCGCGGGACACGGCTACCCGTGCGGTGGCCCGGGCGAGCCGCAGGCATGGCAAGCTTCGCTGGCAATGTGTCAGCTGGACGATGCCTGCACGCAGGTAGACGTAGGTGGAATGACGACGACTTGGAATCCGGGCGGATAGCAGACGGGATGGTGGATGGGCTCCCTAGCCCTGGTAAGAGGTCGCTAGGAAATTTTTAATTCGACCAAAAAAAGTTGAACTGGGCGAATTCTGCCAGGATGGTGGCTGTGCAGATACCGGTTGGCGTTTGACCGCTTTCCAGCCACTCGTACATAGCCTCCTCATTATACGCATGATCACTTATGCATTGCGTTCGGTACATACATAGGTACCTACCTACCTAGGTAGGTAGATACCTCTACCCAATACCTGTGTACATCCCCCGTCGGCTCTGGCACTTTTCACGATGGATACTTGTCGTCATTACCAGGCATCTGTGCATCCATATCCACTCTCTTCCCCGTCATATCGCCGACTTACTATAGACTAGTTTTCCTCCCTCTCCCAGAGGTCTCAGATCAGCCCAACTAGTCCCTTGTACCTTACCCTAACCTCTAACCGGATTAGGCGATTTTGCCGAGCTTTTTCCCTGTCAACTAAACTTTATCCCTGTTACCTAAACTTTTCGTATAAGGGTTACTAAATTCTCCTTTCTAACTACCGTACGAACGTATACTTGATTTATTCTTTTTCGCGATTAAAAGTTACCCTAGAAACATTTAATAAATAATTAACTAATCGGTGGTAGTGGTAGTAGTGGTTTAGTGGTAGTGGTTTAGTGGTGCAGTTGACTTGGTAGTGGTGGCGGTAGTAGAGGCTTAAGTAATCAAAAGGATCTTACCCTAACTAACTAGTGGAGTAAGGTCGTAGGAAAAAGCCAATAGAATCTTTAGGAAGCCGCGACCCGCTTTAGGGTGAGGTTCAGGGGACTAGTTAGGCTGATCTGTAGACTCCTCTCCCACGATCACACATCAACTCCTAACCCAGGCCGTAGACTTCGCATCCACCATTGCTTGGATGTTGTGTGATACTCTTTACAGGCGCTCCCAAGGCGGTTTACACAAATGTTTGGCTGGCTTTGCCTTAGATATTGCTCTGTTCGCAACCTTTTTATTGTTATTTTATTTTATTTTTCATTAGGTATTTCTGTGCGTTGTCGAGCTCCAGAATTCCCTGCATTGGTAGGTATTATCACCAATTCACTCGTCCTCGGAGAAGAAATCCACTCAACCCAAACAAGAGCTCCTATCCAACCGCCCGACAAGACACCTCCTGTAATAAGATGAGAGCAGATCCAGCTTCGAGCAAACCTGAAAGCATCCCTAGGCAAGCCTGAACATCATAGCCTAGCCCTTTCCTGACCTTTAACCTCCTCAACAATCAGCTCGGCAGCCCTCTCCGCGACACCCAGCACGGTCAGCATCGGGTTGATGGTGGGGATCGTTGGGAATACTCCGGCGTCGACGATGCGCAGATTCTTCAGCCCCTTGACCTTGAGGTTTTCGTCGACGACTGCGAGGTTGTCCTTGGCTGTGTCGCCCATCTTCGTCGTCCCGCACGGGTGGTAGACGGTGTGTGCCGCCTTGCGCGCGTAGTAGCTGAGGTCTCCGTCCGATTGCACGTTCGGTCCGGGCGCTACCTCTCGCTTGATCCAGTCTTTGAATGGCGCCTGCTCCGCCACCTTGCGCGCCGCCCGCATGCCGAACACCAACGTAGCCGCGTCGTAGCCCTCTGGGTCTGTGAAATACCGGAAATCAAGCGCGGGCTTGACCTGTGGATCTGCTGATGTGAGGTAGAGTCGGCCTCGGGACCGCGGTCGCGGGATGTTGGGCGTCATGCAGAAGGCGTAGCCGTCGGGAATATCAGGGTACCCGAGCCGGAGAGTGTTGAGCGTAAATGGAATCTGGTAGCAGTGCATCATAACGTCGATTATGTCGCCGTCCGAAAGACCCTGGGGGTTCGCGGTCGACTTCTTGGCACCGGCGCCGGGCGCTTCGCGACGCAGGAAAATCCCCGCATCCGAATCCATCGTCGTCTGGTTCGGCGGCACCGGCTTTTTCAGCTCCCACATGATTATGCTCTCAGGGTGATCCTGGAGGTTTTCGCCGACGCCGGTGATATCGCGGACGACGGGAATGCCGAGATCTGACAGCTGTTTCTTAGGTCCGAGGCCCGAGAGCAGCATAAGACGCGGGGTGTCTACGGCTCCGGCGCACAATATCGTCTCGGCTTTGGCTTTAACGTTACGCGAGGAGCCATTCTTGAGCGTAAGGCTAAGGCCGCTAACGCTGTCGCCGCTGACGTTGATCTTGGATACCCACGCATCGGTAAGGATTGTAAGATTCGGCCGCTTCTCCTCACCCCTCAGGATCGGGTGAATGTATGCGACGGACGCGCTGGATCGCCTTCCATTGTCCGGATTGTAGCTGACGGAAAAGAAACCGACGCTGGGCTTCAGCGACCCGTTTTCTGCGATGTGCGCATTGAAATCAGGGATGACCGGAATGTCGAGTGCGCTGCTGCACGAGCTGACCCAGTCCTTACACAGCTGGTTCCGATGCCTCGGGTGCACAGGCTGAATGGTGTTCTTCAGCTTGTCAAGCGCCTTCATGAAGACCGGAAAGGTCCATCCGCGGGCGCCGAGGGACTGCCAAATATCCAGGTCATATTGGAAAGGCCGGAACGAGATCAAGGTATTGTGAGACGAGCAGCCACCCAGGACCTTGGCTCGCGAGTGTCTGATAAAGGAATTGCCTATCAATCACGGTCAGACAGGAGGGACACGTTTGCGCCGAGCAAATATGAGTAGCCCACCCATCGGCTGTTCGGTGGTGCCGTAGTCGAAATCGAGCTCGCCGCCCAGCAGGCTCAGCCATTGCTTAAGATCCAAGACGCGGTCGTCTGTAAAGTCACTGGGACCGGCCTCGATCAAGAGGACCTTCTTGTGCGGGAGATACTCTGCCAGTCTCGCAGCAACGACGCAGCCCGCCGTGCCCCCGCCGACGATGACATAGTCATACTTGTCAGAATCCGAGACGGCGAGCTGGGTAGTAGTCATCCTCACGGCAAGAAGCACGAGTCGGCCACCAGGTCGAAAGAGATATGCATAGGATATATATTATATCTAGGCGGGGAGTTTTCTTTTCATAAGAAAAAAAAAAGAAGCTTTCGGTTACGACTGTTCCCACGACCCGACACCCTCATCCTAGAGGCACAATCAAGCGGCAGCGGACAGGCTTTATAGCCGCGTTATCTTACTTTCTAACAAAGGCAAGCTCAGATCATCCTTGGTTTCTTAAGGTTCCTACTGCGAACCAAAGCTGCCAAGCTGAGTTTGGGGCTCGGTCGAGGATCGCGGACGGCTAGTACGAGATGCGAACTGTCTACCATTGGCCCACCGCCTTGCTGCCGCGCACAAAAACAACGAGCGCCCCTGTGCTTGCAGCCAGGCTTATGCGCCATAACCGTGGATGGCCTGACTCGGCGATGAGACCTACTTATCTACGCTGCCCTGCCGAGATAGGCTACCTACCTACCTCATAACATAGGTACCTACCTACCTCTGTCCGTGCCTAGGCTAGGAGGTAGGTAGACAGAGGCACGTGTATGCATGTGTGTATACGTGCGTATGGGCACAGCATGGGGAAGGCCAGTTTAAAAGCTACTCGAGTCCCTTTCCCCTCTCCTGGCGGCTGGATTCTCATCCCTTACCTACTCTGCTTTCCCGTTCTGTCTATGGCCCGGGATGATGTTGGCTCCTTGTTAACTTGGCCGAGCCTGCTTTGCTACGAGACTAACCTCGACAGGTGCAGTTAGTTCACCCTTTTACGAAGTATTTAGGTGTGGGTGGGTGTGTGGGTATGGGTGTGGGCACATGACATGGGAGCTGGCAACTTGTCCGGTCCTCAATAGGTACCTAGCTATCTATATGCCGACACTTCTCCGCTGCCGCCGCCGCAGGCCGTGATCCTGCCAGCAACGAACACGCAGACGCAGCGGGCTCGCTTATCACTCGAGGCAACCTGCCAGCCGCCCGAAATCTACCGAGATCTGCCGTGGGGACAGAGATAGGGATTTTGTCACCAAACGTCGTAGCGACGACGCCCATCCCGCCAAACCGGTTGGGGGCATGCCGAGAGCCGCAGCGCACCGAGCTGAGACCGACCTCTCGAACGACTTTCTGGAAGACGGCACACGTCCGCACGGCACCGACACAGCCTCCCCCCTGCTTCCGCGTCCGAAGCTGGCACGTTAGGCAGCGAATACATATAACTGTGCTCTGGGCTCGCTGTCGATATTCCTTCCCGACAGGACGAGGGTTGGCTCGTCTGTGTCTGGAAATTGGCCTCCGCTGCTCTCTTACGTCACACTCGAGCCACATCACCCCCATTGTCTCGGCGGACCTGGACACACGACGACGTCGCCAAGGAGAACGCGGCGCCCTTCTCACCTCTACACCAACGATCCCTGTCCGTACCGCTAGAATTGCGCCTGTGGAAAAAAAAATTTACAAACGGCACAATTACCTACATAGCATCCGCGTCTCACATCGTATTACGCCATGTTGTACCAAGAGGCGGACCGCGTCGCCTTTTACGGAGGAGCGTCGCGACGAGATTCGGACGTAGCCGGCCATTTTCAATCGTATAACCCGTCAAATGACGAGCCTATCTGTCGCATCGCCATCTCGTCTCACCGAACAATCGACCATGCCGTCCTAGCCGCGCAGGCGGCTTTTCCCTCCTGGTCCGCCACGCCCCCAGTCGAGCGAGCGCGTATCCTGCAGCGGGCCGTGGCTCTCCTCCGCGAACGCAACGACCAGCTCGCGCGGGTTGAGACCCTCGACACCGGAAAGCCCTTCTCGGAAACGTCGACGGTAGATATCGTCACCGGCGCCGACGTTCTCGAGTACTTCGCTAACCTGGTGGCCAGCGGCGGATTGAACGGCGAAAGCTTCCGCCTCCGACCTACCGCTATGGTCTACACTTCTAAAGAACCTTTGGGCGTGTGTGTTGGCATTGGCGCGTGGAATTATCCGATCCAGATCGCTCTTTGGAAGTCGGCTCCCTGCCTGGCCGCGGGGAATTGCATGGTTTACAAGCCGAGCGAGTTTACGCCGCTACACGCCGAGTACCTGGCCAACATCTACAAAGAAGCCGGCCTCCCTCCGGGCGTCTTTAACGTCGTGTACGGCGCCGGCGATGTCGGAGCCTACCTGACCTCCCACCCGCTTGTTGCCAAAGTGAGCTTCACCGGACAAGTCAGCACCGGGAAGAAGGTTGCCGGTACCGCCGGTGGCGGCATGAAGTACGTGACGGCGGAGCTAGGCGGCAAGAGCCCGCTCATCGTCATGCCGGATGCCGACCTGGAGCGCGCCGTCGACGTCGCGATGATGGCGAATTTCTTTAGCACCGGACAGGTGTGCACGAACGGCACGCGGGTGTTCGTCCCGCGCGAAATGACGGAGTCGTTCGAGCGCGCCCTGCTTGAGAAGATGCAGTACGTCCGGGCGGGCGACCTCTTCGACGCGGCGACCAACTTTGGCCCGCTCAACAGCAGGGAACACTGGAAGAAGGTGACGGAATATGTGCGTTACGGTATCGAGACGGACAAGGCGAGGCTTCTGTGTGGCGGGACCGACGCGCCCGCGGAGCTACCCGCAGAGCTGCGGAAGGGGTACTGGGTCCGACCGACGGTCTTCGCGGATTGCACGGACGACATGCGGATCGTAAAGGAGGAGATCTTCGGACCGGTGATGAGCATCCTGCCGTACGCGGGCGTCGACGAGGCAGTGACGCGGGCGAATACGACGCACCTGGGGCTCGCGGCCGGGGTGGTAGGTCGGGACGTCGGGCAGTGCCACAGCACGGTGTCGCGGCTCGAGGCGGGCATCACTTGGATCAACACATGGGGGGAGTCGCCGGCGGAGATGGCGGTCGGCGGTTGGAAGCAGAGCGGTGTCGGGGTGGAGAACGGGAGGAGGGGACTCGATGCCTGGGTCCGCAACAAGAGCACGCTCGTCGAGCTAGAAAGCAGCACAGCGACGGTGTTCTCGAAGCTTTAAAAACAGAAAGCTTTGGGGGCTCGCGAGGTGGATAAATATGAAACTCGAGGGCCACTCTACGTTATCTGATCATTGAATGGTAAGGTTACGCCTACCGAGCTGGTATGCGTGGCTATCACTCTCCAGCACAAGTTACGGTGACAGTCAGTCGTTGGATAGGTACAGCTCGCTAATCAACCAGACACGATGCACTCCCTCCCCCTTCCCCTTGTGTCAACGTATTCGAGAGCAGCCGATATACTGGCAGGGTCCAGGCTCTACCTACCTATTCAATCCGCACTTATCATTGGCGCTTTCTGCAATCTCCGGTATGATGGATGCCGAACGATAGGATTAGGGGGGGAATCCCCTCTTCCTCCCGTTTTTAACCTCTGCTAGGCTCTAGTTATCGTGTCTTGGTTTTTCTCCCCTCTCCTCTCTTGCCCTCTCTTTAAGGCGCGGATCGCGTAGCCTCGAGTCGACCTACCTACTCCTGGTTGGACTTGGCCAGTCAATAAATGTATCCTATAGCGCACATGCCTCCTGTGGAAGTTAGCTACGGAGACGGCGTCAAAGATGTAGGCGGTTGGTGGGTCTCCAACGAGAGCATACGAGCTGTTGAAGCTTCCCTTTTATTCCCCCTAAGACGGAGTGGGAAGGGGCATGGAGGAAGGACAAGACGAGCAGTCTCAAACGACGACGAGCAGCAGGTGAGCCCCAGAAAGACCGCCTCCTGACACAAGGAGAAGCAGGGAGCTGGAGCCCATGAGAGGGCCCATGGAAGGGAGCAGACAGAATACATATAAACCGAGCAGACACGGGAGAATTATACCTTTACGAAATACAGGTCTATTTCCTTCAGCCCACCTCCTCCACCATCACCCTCCAGCTGCCTTCTGCTAGAGCCAGCCTCATCCCGTTCTATTTTTTATATTCATCCATTGTTATCGGTGAAGCAGTGGAGATTAGGGAGTATCATTTCTCTGTATCACCATCATGTCTGACCTCGGGCTGGGGAGTATAGGGCGGCGAGAGGAGCTAGATCGCCAGGAAGAGTCGAGCCATCAGCGCACAGAGGCTAGTAATGCCGCCAGGCGGGAGCTCGAAGTGCTCGACGAGGGTGCTCGGCCGCAGTCCCTCACCCAGTACCTCGACGCTTGCCGCGCGCTCCGAGCTGCTGCACGCGTAGTCCGTGAACCTCTCCCCAATACGCAAGGCGACACCAACCAGCCCGAAATACTTATCCCCCAAGACTTTATCCCGTGGGAGGATTTCAGAGAGGACCAGGAGGAAATTTGGCAGACACTCCTCTCGAACCAGCGCTTCTCGTCTGAGCCCATCTTCCCATCCACAAATGAGATGCTGAGCTCGTCGTCTGCGGCGCACGTGATACGGGCTAAGAGGCCTCTCCGCGACCGCGAGCGGCTTGCCGTCCAGCACCCAGTACAGACGCTCGTGAACGCAGCGCGGAACGACGGGTTCCTCTGGGCTGACCTCGGCCTTGACGCGGTAACGCTCTGTAGTGACTTCAGTGACGACTTCTACATATGCGAGGCTCCGGTCGGCCCCAGGACCCTCAAGGTTGCCGTCGAGTATGTAGCGCCGCACCAGCTAACGACTATCATGGTCGCAACCAGCCTGGATTCCCCGTTCAAACCGGAACCGTACCTTCGCGGGCCCCACCTCGGCGGCGCCGGGGGTGCGGACGCCGTGTCCTGGTCGAGGTCGCTCGTGGCCGACGTCGTGAGCCGGACTTTCGGCCGCATGGTGGCCAATGACGTGCAGTTCGGCTACGTGTGCACGGAGGAGGCGCTCGTCTTCCTCCACATCCCCGACAACGCTGCTATCGTCCACTACTACGTGTGCATTCCAAACATGGATGTCGTCCTGAACGAGGAGAACAAGCTCTACCACACCGCCGTGGCACGAGTCTTCGCTTTCGTCATCCAGGCCCTCCGTCTGTCGCCGCCCCCCGCAGCCTGGCACATCACTGCCACCCAGCTTCCATCCACCCGCTGCTCGAACTACGACAACCTCTTCCGCGAGATCCAAACCGCCATGCGCCAGAGTCCTCCCTGCTTCGACCATCCGGGCTACGACTTCCGTAGCCTCCTTCTCCCAGAGAACTCGCCCCACGCGCTGCAGCCGGAAGAGTCCGCCCGCATTTACCAGCCCTTCGCACACTCTTCCCCTCACTTCCCCTCTTGCTGGCCCTATGAACCGCTGCCGGACGGTCACGAATACTGCACGAACAAGTGCCTCCTGGGCCTCGTGACGGGGGCCCCGGTGGACCCAGACTGCCCGAACGCGGCGGACCACGGGTCGCGGCACCCGAAGCTCTCGCGAGTGCTTAGCCTCGTGAGGCTCCAGCTTGTCGACGAGGGGGGCCCGAGCGCCGGCAGTGAGGCGGGTGGGGTTTTCGGGTCGGTGGGAACGCTCTTCAATGTGCGGACGCCGGTGTACGGCTATACGCTGGTCGCGAAGGGGGTGCAGCGGGAGGACATGATGTTGCTGCGCCTGGAGCATCAGATATACGACTGGCTGCGCAAGATCCAGGGCGTGCACGTGCCGGTGTGCGTGGGCAGAGTGCGGCCGGGCGCGCCGTACAAGTGGAGGGGGGGGTCGTTCGTGCTGTTCCTGCTGCTCAGCTGGGCGGGGACGCCGCTGGTGGAGACTCCGGGCCTGGACGCGGCGGCGAAGCGCGAGCTCGTGCAGGACGTCGCCGCCGCCTACGGCGCGCTCCACAAGCTCAGAATCCTCCACGGCGACTCGAACCCGTACAACGTCCTCTTCGATCCGCGCTACGGCCGCCCCGTCATCATCGATTTCGAGCAGTCAACGGTAATGCCCGGCCCGCCTGGTGACGATCCCGATTGGCGCCTCCCGCGCGAGTGGCGCCGCGAAGTCGCCCAAGAGGTCATGTTCTCCGTGAGCGAGCTCGAGGCCGGACTCGGGCTGGGCTCCTCGACCCCGTCCGCCGGCACGGCTGGCGAAGGCCAAGAGAGAGCCGAGGGCGACTCGAGGTCGACCCAGAGCGACCTGACGCGAGGGAGAACAGGGTCCACTGATGTAGAAATGTAATATTCGCCGAGCGAGCCATGAGTTAGCACGTCGTTCCTGTCAATCAATAGACCAGCGGTTCTTTCGGTAGTCTCTCGGTTTCGATCTCTCCACGTAGGCACGTTCGTGTTCTGTAGAGCGCGCACGTGCGTGTGCGATGTCTGGACCTAGACTTACTGAGTCGGCCTCGCCCCGAACATCCTTCCCCTTTGCCATCCCCGATTTCCCGCCGACAACGCCGTTCCCTCATACTGTCCGCGGCTAAGCTGCCTCGGCTTGAACGTGCTGGGTCGTCGTTAGTTAGGTAGGTAGGTAGGCAGCCAGGTATTACTCGACTGCGCTGCTCGCCAACCCCCGACCTCGACCCGGCCGTTTTGCCTTTTACCTTACCTTCGGTCGAAGGAATCGTGTTCAATAATAACGGCTTCTGATACCCATATCGATATGCCTTCACACTTGACAGCAAGAAGACAGAATGCCCCCGTCCTGGCGAGAAGTCCTAGGACAAGAGTCGTTCGATCAATTCCTGGTTGTACCTATGGTTAACCTAACACGGCTTTGCCCACCACGCCCCATGGGAGAGACTCTGTAATAACTGAGCACTCGCCCATCTCGCATACGAAGTTACGTAGGGAGTCCTACTTATATTATTATCCTACATAAGCTACGAGGAACGTGTGGGTATATATGTTTTCGCGTGGCAGACTCGTAAGTCCAAGGGTTGCCGAAAGTATCGAGCAATTAATTCCTCAGTTTGATGTTAGTATCGGCACTAATGTTAATATTAGGTATTTAATATGTATCACGTAGAAAGCCACCTATACCTAGCTCCCTACTTCTTCACTCCTTTACTCATTTCCTTCCTACCTAGTTAGCTAGTCAGTCAATTCAATCTCTTCATCCCATCTTCAATCACTCCCACAGCAAAGCAACCTCAGTCCTTACCTATCTCTCCCGATCTACGTAACATTATTATTTCTAGTAATATCGGTACCGATGCGGCCGATCCTACTAGAATCACCATTACCATTACCGAGGGCGATCTGATTGCTGCTGTCGCCGTTGTCGCTACCACCGACCGAGGCGGCCGATAAAGGTGTCGTTAACTTGGCTCGATATTATTACCGCCGGACTGTTCGAATCCGCGGTATAAATGACGATATTGGAGACAATGTACGGGGGGGCTTAGATATTACGACTGCGAAGAGCTACGGAGACCGACGGTCGGTAGCGTCTTGGGGCTTAAGTGCAGCTAGAAGATTGCGAAAAGGCCGCAGCATCGCCGGCCTAAAACGGACATCGAGCCAGACTGGGGCTTTTTTACCGCCGAGTAAGCGATCCTGTTCCGGTTCTTCGGCAAAGGCAGCTAGCAGCAGCAGTCTTACGCCGAACCGAATACATCGGCGTAGTACTCCGAGATTACGGGAGCCCGATCTATCAGGCAAGCTCTCGTACGGCTTTGCTTTCCGCCTTAGAAGGCTGCGTGAAAGGATACGAGTCTTTACGTAAGGCCGGCTTCCTCCGTGGAGACATTTCCGTTAATAATCTTATGGTCAACGAGGAGGACGATAATCCTCGGTGGTCTTTCTTCTTAATCGATCTCGACCTCGGGTTAAGGAGGCGCGGGTGCGAGCTTCTGAGGCGACAGGCAAGACTGGCACGAGGGCCTTCACGGCAATCGGAGTCATTCTCGGCGAGCAGCACCCCGTTATGCACGATCTCGAGTCATTCTTCTGGGTGTTGTTCTGGATATGTATCCACGACAACGGATCGGGTAAGGGCAATTAGATATGTTGCGTAAAACGTAGACGCCTACATTTAGGCTGTGCGGTGTGCAGGCATATAATATAAGGGCTAGTTCAACTACTACGTGACGAGATAACTGAATCCCTCACACCGTACTACCAGCCGCTGGTACGATGTGTCAACAGATTGTGGCGACAAGTATTTCCAATGGGCAGGCCGTGGGAACGGGAAGACCCAGAGTTGTATTCTCGCGTGAGGCCAGTCCCCGGAGAAGCACGGGAGGATCCAGAGGTTTTCTAAGAGAGAAAGTCAAGATGCGCAGTAATGTTATACCATGGTGTTTTCTATTAAAAAAACAACAGCGTGTGCTTCCTCTGATACCTTGCCATCGTCTTCGCAAGTCTGTAGGTTGGTGGCAGCCGAGGTGCCACAGACCTTTCTGCGATTTGATACCAGGCGGAGTTGAGTACGGCTTCATAGCAGGGTCCCCACATGACTGTCTTCCTCAATTGATGGGACTGATCTGGAAATCGGGGCGCTCCTGGGCGGAAAAACATCGACCGGGACGTTCGATAATATCACCGAGTACAACTGCGCCTAGGATTTTGATGCTGACATTTATCCCCGAGCAAGATAACAGCTGTTGAATTGCCTTCGGACACTTGCTAGCTATTATTAGTCCTCAAACTTTGGCTTGTCCGGCCATACGCGAATCTTAGCAAGAGCATAATATGTCATGGAGCTTCTCTGACGTGGTATAGTCTTACGTATTATTCCTCGTCGATCCATTCCTTATTAGTCCCCCGGCTGGTTGTCGGCTTCTTGTCCATCTTGCAAGAAGAGCCTAAGTCGATTAGAACCGGGCATCCCAGCCTCGCGGACCAGAACGTTTTCGGTATTGAGGTTATTAGGTATGAGTCTAACCATGTGAGTAGATGTGGTGGATGGCTGACTCGAGGGCCCCCGAGAAAGGTTCCTTGTCAATGACAGTCCCCAAGCCAAGAACGAGATAGTTCGCCGAGTCAGCGGGATGTCGGCCAAGAACGAGACCAGCAATACGCCGGCGCCGCACCTGGCAGGCCGGAATATTAGCGGGCGATATCAAGGTAAGGGTAACGCGAAAGCACTCCTACAACTTGAGCCGCCTCCATCAGTCCTTAAGAAGGGAGACGCGAGTGGTCGGGAAGAAATGCCGGGTTTGGGAATGTTCGGCTAGCCGAAGTAATACACAACATCATCGCGAACGGGTGCAAATGTCGTGTACCGGAATTCGCTAGTTTCCGAGTCGGATTCCGCGGACAGAAATGTCGACTCTGTCCCATGTGCAACTTCTGGGGACAGGGCAATGGGACAGCAGATCTGGCTAGATATCAGAGGTGGAGGCGTATTAGGTAGGTAGGTATTGAAACGGACTGGGATAACGTTGAGCTCGCGGCGTTAGGAGAGATATTATTAACATTACACGTGGAATGAAGCGCCTTGCAGCATCTGTACATGCACACCGCCGTATTATGGAATCAATAATATTGGGGTGGGCCGCCGCCGGCTCTGTTCCTACCATCTTACCTCTCCCCTGGGAATAACGGGAACGAGGAAGACTAGGTGGTAGGTAAATTTCTCCCCGTAATAGGTAATATCTGCTCGAAGAATAACCACTACTTTCCCCAGTCTTCCCTGATGTCTCCCTGCAAGTATTATTCCCTCCCTCTATCTTCACCTCCCTTCGCTCCTATTGCTACCCGTCCCCCGACTGAAACCGCAGTTCTCCTACACGATGCCCAGGCAGCCACTTCGCGTTCCAGCCACCAGCTCCGGAGACGACACTATCACCTACATCGCGGGGTCGCTAGGGACGTGTGGTTGCGTAGAAGGAGTCTGCTTCGATCCACGAGCAAAGGCTAGCGACGCAGAGACCGACACAGGCACGAAGTCGCCCTGCAGCTCGGCTGAGCGCTGGCCGGTCGCCGAATCGATTGGCTGTTGCCCGATTAGGAAATACGAGATTCCCAAGCATTGCATGCGGTGGCGTAAAAATAGCCTCAGCCCTGGAACGGCGGGGCTTGGACGCGCCGTCTCGTCTAAGTACAGCCGATCCTTCGCAGGGGGGCTCGCTCCGTGCCGTACGGGCTCTGAAAACGTGTCTTAGATGCAGTTGATAGGCGCTGACCAGTGGCCGTCGAGGCCGCTACGATCCTCGCGAGCCCCTGACGGCGGCGCGATGAGGATTCCCGCCTGACAGCTGGGGTCTGCTATGAAGGCTCGTTCCCTACTCAATCGACACCTCGACGCTCCTAGCTCCCGGGACGGCTAAATTTAATATCTAATGTCGGCCGAAATAGGAAATGTAGATTCCAACATCCCATACACGGAGTTGCTGGCTCTATTACACCTAGAAGCATGCTGAAGGGGTAGGTGATATCGACAACAACCACCGTCGAGGTCTATATAACCGACATATCTCAGGCCGTTCGTTGCCTTTTACGATGGCCATCACTACCGCATTCACTCTCAACTCGACCAGGTGTCCTGTAATTTCAACTGTGTTTCCTTATTCTCTATTTGCTTTCCACCCCAGCCGGAATAAAAATTAATAAACCTCAACCCTATTGTCTGCCTCTCTCTCGATTCCCTCTTCCTTTACAAACTCACAATGAGGGCAAGCATTCTCGCAGCTTTGGTGGCGGCCGAAGGCATCGCCGGCCACGTTATCGAGCGCACTCCTCACCCGCCGGCCGAGGACCCGGCCTGCGCGGCCACCGGCAAGGCCGTCTACTTCATCACCAACGACGCGACCAACTCCATCGTCGCCCTGCCCATCAACGAAGATGGCACGCTCGGCGAGGGCACCATCACGCCGGCCGGCGGCGACGGGACCAACTCGCTAGCCGGAGAGCAGAAGCTGCCCGCGGTGCCGGATGCCCTCGTGAGCCAGGGCGCGCTCACCGTCGCCGGAAACGTGAGTGCTGACGCCGCCCCCCCGTCTTCTTACCTATCCGCGCATGCGCTGACAACTATCACTGCTGAACTAGTACATCTTCGCCGTCAACGCCGGAAGCAATACCCTCACCATGCTGACCATCTCGAAGGAGGACCCGACGAAGCTGGCAGTGGTCGGCAAGCCGGCCAAGGTCCCGGCCGATTTCCCCAACACGGTGGCGGCGTCGACCAAGAATGGGCTCGCGTGTGTCGGGGCGAGCGGCGCCGTCGCGGGCATCACCTGCGCGCCCTTCACGAAGCGCGGCCTCGGCGCCTTCGACAAGCTGCGCGCTATCGACCTCGGGCAGACGACGCCGCCGCTGGGCCCGCTCAACACCGTGTCGCACTCGTTTTTCTCCGAGGACGAGGCGACGCTGTTCACGACGGTCAAGGGCGACCCGACGGTCGGCAAGGCGGGCTTCCTCTCGTCGCTGCAGATCGAGGAGACGGCGTCGTGCCGCGGCGCGAAGCGCAGGGCGGCCGCGGCCCAGGACCTGCGCTCCACGCCCGAGGGCACCAACGTGCTCTTCGGCTCGCAGGTGATCCCCGGCACCGGCAAGGTGTTCGCGACGGACGCGTCGTTCGGCGCGGCGGTCCTGCAGGTGGACCGCGCGACCGGCCAGGCGGTCGTCGCGGGCAAGACCGCGATCGAGGGCCAGGCGGCGACGTGCTGGGCGGCGTTCGCGCCGGCGACGGGCACCGTCTTCGTCACGGACGTGGCGGTGCCGCGCATCGTCGAGATGAGCGCCGACGACGCCGGCGTCGTCGCCCAGCTCGACCTGTCGCCCGACGCGCCCGACGCCGGCTTCACCGACCTCCTCGCCTCCGGCAACTTCCTCTACGCGCTCGCCCCCGGCAACGGCACCATGGACGCCGCCATCGTCGTCGTCGACATCGCGGGCGGCCCCGGCTCGGCCAAGTTCCTCCAGCGCTTCTCGCTCGAGGGCCTCGGCGGCGCGAACGCTCAAGGCATTGCCATCCTCAACTAGGCGTCTCGATACAAGGGGGGAAGGGTGGGAGGCGTATCCGATCCACTGCGATTTATTAATTTTTTTCCGGGGTTTTTGCTTGCATTTTCTCTCCGGTTGCACTTTGTATAGATATCATACCTCTACTGCTGAGCATTAGGAGGGGTTGCTCTTTTAGACATTTAAGCGATCGTATGGGCCATCTGCGTTGCTACCTACCATCTATTACATGACCACGGGCTACCCCCCCGCGGGCCACCCCTTAATATATTAAAAAAGGCTAAAACAGGCCCTTTTATAAATTAAATAGCTTACTTAAATAAATTTAAAAAATTATAAAAACTAAACCAGATTAATGCCCGTTACTTAATTAATCCCTAAAGCGCGCCGGAGCCCTAATTACGCGCGGTAATCGGACGCGTTATAGTAATTAAGTATCCTACTTATCCTCGCTTAGTAGGCTTATAGCCTCCTCCTAGGCTACCGTTACTACTACCTCCTTTTATTGCTATTATTATTCGATTACGGCTTCTAACGTAATATTAGGTAGCTATTAGCTATCCTAATCGTTCGCTAGTATTTCGTAAAGGGATTAGAAGCGCTTATTTAGGTTAGGAATAGCCCTCCTTCTCGGCTAGCTTTTTAGCTCTAATTAAGCCATTAACGAGGAGATCTAGTAATCTTTAAAAGCTAGCTTCGTATAAAGGTCGTAATAATCGTTAGTAACGTTCCTAAGCGTTACGCGAATATATAAAGATCGATTAACGGCGAATTTCCTAGCCTTATTAATCGCGTTTAACGTCGAGACCTAAACCTCTAAGCTTTCCTTTTTAAGGTTCTTTCGTTAGCTTATTTTAACTATATCTTTCTCTTATTAAAGCTTAAGGTATACTAATGCCTTATTACGGCTTATTAGTTAGTTCTTAATTACCTTAAAGCCGGTATAAACGTTTTTCTCGGTAAAGGCGTCGATTTTCGCCGCGTATAAATAACGTAAGAAGTTTAGCTTATTAATCGGCGCGGTATCCGTTAAGGAGTATAACTAGCTTAAGTACTTCCTATAAGCTATTTTAAAAGCGTTAAATAAGTTATTATCGAGTAGTTATAAGCCGTAAGAAATATACGCTAGTAGGAAATATAGGTAAATATTATACCGAAAATAAGTAGCTATAAATTTATCCTAAGATCGTAATACGTTAGTAATACTCGCTTATAAAAAATCAGAAAAAAATCGTAAAAATACGAAATTAACGTTAGTTAATTAAGAAATAAATAAACTAATAGTTATATAGCTTTTATAGCCGTCTAGGATTAATAGGCGGGCGTTAGATTCGTAGGAAAGGAGGTTATTCGTTTCCTTAATAAATACCCCCTTTAATTACTCTAACGCGATATAGCTATCCGACTAGCCGTTATTTAAGGTAATAAAGTATTAATCGGCGATCTTCTTAAATTAATCTATAAACTAAGTCGTTTAGAGCTCCTTTCCTTTAAAGATAATACCCGGTTAAAGAGTATAGCCCGTAGCGTTAATATACTCGATAAACGAGGCCTAAGTCCTAAGCTAAGAGCTCTTAACGATCGCTTTTTTAGTATTTAAGCTCCCGAGAACTAGGCTATCGAACTTTAATACCTTAATTAATATAGAAACGGAAGGATAAGGCTAGATAAGGCTCCTTACCTTAGCTAAATATAATACCCCCCTTATCGACGTTAAAGGTAAGATAAGGCTTTATCTAGCCGTATTTAGCCTCCCGGATATCGAAATATTAATTTATAGCCTTTTAATTAAAGTAATTAAAACGCGAAGCTTTAGTTTTACGCCCGGATTTTAGCGTAATTAAAGGGTTACGCTTTAGGAAGTTATAGAGCTAATTCTTATTAAGAAGCCGTAAATCGCCGCTCGCGTTTAAAATATCCTAGGTAATTCCGCGAATAGTACGGTAATTAGGAGCTAGCCCTAGCGTTTCTTAACGTAAAACCTACGAAGCGAGCTATTTCTCTTACTTATTCGTTAAGCGCTATAGAAATTAAAGCTCTAATAACGCTAGCTTACCCTAAAGCCGAACCGCTAGCGTAATTCGCGAAACGCCGTATATAATAACTAAACGGCGTATCGAAACGCCTTCCTAAGTAATAAATCGAATAGTAAACGCCATAAAATCCTCGTTAACGAATTTCATAATAAAAGAAGCTTATTTAGTCGAGATCTAATTAATATTTACTCGTATTAATTAGGTAGTAGTTTATAGCTATATAATTCCATTTACCGCCGTTTTTAGCTAATAATAACCCCGGTAATACGTATCCGATTTAATCTGAAAAAACGCTAGATTAATAATAAAGCTCTACACGAACTATATTTATAGTATTTCCTAAATAGCTTTAAAACTAATGGGAAGCGGTATAATCTAAAATAACCTATTTTAACGTTTTTTAGTATATTAAGGGGTAGCCCGCGGGGGGGTGGCCCGTGGTTATGTAATAGATGGTACTTGGCATAAATTGTTCTTCCTAGTTAGTGATGAATTCGACGAGGTTGACCGTCGACGTGACCAGCTCCGGGCAGGTTAAGAAATGACCTCACGGCAGAGGAATCCGTATGGGAGAGCCGATCCCCCCCTGACTTGGGGGCATCCGTACTGGACTAGGTCAATCGATTATTCCCTGTGGTTGGTGACGTGGGAGCTGCTCTTGCAACAGGGCGACCCGGCTTGGCTAGCAGGATCTATGGTGGTGCATCGTCTCTTCACCTTCGGGGTGCCGAGGGTTCGGTTCGGGGCATAGAGGCTGTCGTGGGTCGGTCGACAGCCGAAACCAATACGGCGGTGGTCGTGATTGATCTCGTTGACGGATTGAGGAAGAGGAGGTAAATAGAGGGAGAAGAGGGAGGAGACAGAAGACAGAGAAGGTTGAGAGGAGGGATTCAAATATTCAAGTGAATGGCAGCGGTACCTAACAGACAGCGGATTTACGGATTGCTTTGTGAAGTAGGTCGGGACTGATGCGAGTGCCATATAAGAATTACCCGAGTCGTGTTGTTTTAGTAGGCGCCTGTCGCATCAGCTATCGATGAATTGCAGCAGGTCGCATTTCGAAAACCGCCTAATCGCCATGGCAGCACCGAAGAAATCAGAAGGGAGCAATAAGAATTGGAAGATGTATACGTGTAATATGCTCAAGATTAAGGGATAAGTCGGCGTCCGGACGTTAAAAAGGAGGGTCGCATGCCCCCACACCGGATTGAACGATGGACCTCATCATGTCGCAGATGCGATACGAGTGATGCGCTCTACCACTGAGCTATAGGGGCGGCTGATGGGTGACGTGCTTTTATGGTCGCCTATATCACAGCTACCCCAAGGCGCCAAGCCCAGACGTGAGCCCAGCCCAGTTTAGACGGTGTCACTCCCGCTCAGCCGGCATGTTTTCAGTTCTGTTCTGTTTCGCATAATACCGGAACGAAAGGAGCCAGAGGCGAGGAATCCAGCGTCTTCTCGCCCTACAATACATGCAATACTCTGGACAATATACAAGGATGAGGCGATGCTTGGGGTTTCTTGTAGTCTGAAGGATCGCGGTGTTACCCTAATCGGGGATGACAGTGCTTCGTACGACGTGCAGCTTTAACAGTTGTCTATTATTACTCTCTGCATGCAGCAGAGAGTTGTCTCTAATCTTGCAGTCGAGAAACCCCCTGCTACGTTTCGATAGCCTCCTCCTCTCTTCTTCCTAGAGCCGAGTGTAGTCTCTACATACTACTAAGAGCCAACTGAAAACACCAGTAATAATCTCTACCAACCAACTAGCCAGCGACCAATCCTCCCAACTACCCAACGTCACCATCCCAATGCCAAAGTCCATCCAACGCCCCCTGCAACGCTAAGGGTTAGCCGCCAGCTAGAAAGCGCAAGGCGAGCACGGGATGAGCAGGAGTTGAACCTACCGCTATTTTTGATTACGAGAGTCGGTAACAAGCACCTCGGGGCCTCCTGCGTCCAACTCCGGGGTGTCTGAGTCATCCTTCGTCTTTTCGGGATGTGCGTCTCCGTCACGTCTAGAGGAACCGCCAAGCTCGGACTCGATGTCGCTTGTCGGGGTTTCGACACCGCCGTTGCTTGACTGCAATGCCTCTCCGGCTTCCCTAGGATGGCTAGTCTTGCTTGTGGGGGTAGCACGGGTCCGTTTCTGACGGGTTGAGGGGGGAGCAATCTGCGGGGATGGATCTGTACCGGCGGCTCTCTGCGGCGGCTCATCACCGAGCAGGTCGCTGAGATCTTCAAGTGTTGGGCTTTTAGAGTGTATAGAGCTCAGAATTGGTGGCAGTGGCCAGGACTCGATTGAAGGCGAAGGGCTCGGGGCAGCCGATCGGCGGCTCCGACTCTGGTCCCGGTGCCCCTGCTCTGCAGCTTCTGACGACATCCTGCTCCAGAATTAAACGCAGTCAGTAGGCGGCGGCGGCAGGGATGGCAAAATCGGGACACCAAGAAAGCCCCTGGTTGCGGCGGAGTGTTTAAGAGAAATAGGAATCCAGAGAACGGTAAGAGGCGGGCGGGAGGGACAAACAGGAGAGACCTGGTTATTATATATAAAGGGGGGCAGGGCCTGGCCAGGACAACGGTTGCAAGAAAAGAACAAATCGGTCCCTAAGGTAAAGGGGAAGGTTAAAGTTGTGATTTTAACATCAGAAGCGCGGTGATCGGGATTGTGGCAAGTACACACTACCTACCTGACACCCTGACAAATAACAGCACAAGTAATATTACCGACCTATACGCCAGATGGATCAAGTGACGATGGTAAACATGGTGAATATACGAAGCCGGTGTTGCTACCAGGTATTACAAGCAAACACGTGTAGATACCAGAGAACATTACAAGTATCGAACCAGGTACTTCCTAAGGGGTTTATTATATGTACATATACCTGTGTATATACCTGTGTATATACCTGTGTATATACCTATGTATATCTATATCTCGATTCTAGGGAAAGTCGAGATCGAGAGATATATATTAATATTACAACCTTGGGGTACTCGGTAGCTAATACCTAGTATCCGTCACTGTATCTGTTACTGCTGCCTTTACAATCCAGTGTATTCCCGGTGTGTGCTGACCGAGAAGAGGACCCCTCTGTCGGCAGGCAGCACAGAAGCAAGCATATACACCAGGTGGTCATGTTGACATTGTCTCGACACGGGCAGGTTATATACTGTCAAACGTCCACCTCGAATGCCTCCCACCCAGGCGCGGTACTTGGGTCTACCTCTTATCGTCTGAGGTACATGGCTATATATACATGGCACTGGGGACAACTGATACTATCGACGGTTGTCGAAAAAAAAAAACTCGACCGTCGACTCCGGTCGAGCCTTCCCTGTTGTTGCCTTGTGTTGGCCACTGATCTTGATACACGTTTTTCGCCATCTCGTTGTGGAATTTGTCCGCTGGTTAAAAAATTCCCATCTTCTTTTTACTTCCCTTCACCTCCCATCTTCCTTTCACCTCCTGTCTTCTTTCGACCTCCCGTCTTCTTTCGATCTCCCCACCTGTTGTTCCCTATCACTGCAACCTCTGTCTCTGGGAATACCAATCTTGCGACGACAGCGATACGGGCATCTTGTCTACTATCACACCATTTCCCTACCTTCTCTAATACGTTCTCCGGAAACCGACGATAGATTCAAGCCACACTCGGACCCAGCCAGTCTACCATCACTCATCTCATCTCATGTTTTATCCCCAGGCAGCTGTGGTCTCCATTTCCACACCCTAACATCCAAACTCCAACACCACCCATCTCTCTTCCTATTTTGCCTTCCAATCAGTTTCTCTGCCAACCTATCTCGATCTGCCTGACTACGTCAGGGTATTACACCCCCTAACCAGCTATTCAGCAGTCCGTGGGCTTCGCGTGGGTTGGACGATGTCGTCTATAAATCCGAGCGAGGTAGGCTCTCAAAGCATCGAATGGCAGAAACGGTACCTACAGAATGAGCTCCAGAAGCTTGGCGGTCTTGCCCTTGGTGCTTATTACAAACTCCCAGGTCTGAGATGCTTTCTCTATCCCCACCAGCTGATTGCAGTCTCTTTCATGGTGGAACGTGAAAAGCTGCTCGGCCCAAAGGGCGGCATCAATGGAGATACCATGGGGCTAGGAAAGACCGTTGAAGTATTCGGTTGCCTCATGTCCAACAAGCCCAGTACTGCTGACGTCCGCAGAGGCTACAGGACTACCCTCTGGGTAACCCCTCGGTCTGCTCATAAGCAATTGATGGATACGATAGAAAAGGCCTGCGACAAGGAAGAGTTTGCAAAGCTCAAGTTCCATAACTACGGCGAGAAGGGGACCAAGAGAATGCATCCTAATGCAGCTGTATCATACCTCGAGCAACACGATATAATGTATGCTTGACGACTGTAAAAGTCCCACACACTACTGTATACTAACATAGAATAGAATTGCCTCATACGAGGACATACGCGAGGATATCCAGGGAGTGGTTGCGAAGAGGCTCTGGAAGAGCCAGCGCTCTGTCGCCACCCTTTCCGAAGAAGGTTACCAGAGCCTTGGCGTCTTGTTTAAGATGGGGTTCTTCAGAGTTGTCCTAGATGAGGGACACCTGATAAGAAACCACGAGACTCATAGTAAGGTGTAAAGGAAGACGACGGTCAGAAAGGTTGCTAACAAACCTCCCACATAGTCTTTGCTGCTGCGTGGTGCTTGGACGCTAAACACCGTTGGGTGGTTACTGGGACCCCCTTTGTGAATTCCATCATGGGTATTACGTTGAAGCCTTCTCCCAATATCGACAAAATGCTAACACGCATATGAGAATCCTACGCTTACATGAGCTTCCTCCGGGTCATATCCGTGGAGGATTATAAGGAGTTCAAAATACAATTTACAGAGGAAGAGGATGTAGGTATTTGTGAACCTCACTGTTGACACCGCTAACAGATAATACAGGAGGATTTTGGCCTCCTTCACGGGCACCTTGATAGCCTGATGGTGCGACGGTTCGTAACCCTATGAAAAGTCAAGTCCCAGAGAAAGAATAAAGCTGAAGAAATGGTCTAGAGTTGAGGACGACCGGTGTCTTGGGAAGAAGTTGCTAGATTTGCCTCCAACCCACAGAGAGAAGGTTGAGGTCAGGCTAGATGAACACGAGGAAAGGATTTACAGGTAAGAGACCCCAACAGCCCATCCCCACTCGTCTCTCTCGTTTAGGATATGAAGCAATGCCTAACTCATGTGGAATCAGCACGTTACGTCGCCTTTTTCAAGATATTAACAAGAAAGGTGCCGAGGATACCGCAGACTCCCGAAAGGCGAAACACGACAGATTTTTCGCCATCATCATGCGTCTCCGACAGGCCTTGTCACACCCTTATCTGCTTGAACACATGATGGAGTACGAGGACGAGCGTCAGACGTTATTCCAATTACTTGATGAAATTCCGTACCAGTCGGGGCAGAATCCGTTCTATGACATGATTGACCGCTGGTGCGGGGGCGCCAAAGCAGCAGAACGGAAAAGTCACGAGCTATGTGGCTACTGCGACTGCACTCCAAATAAGCCCGTTCGGATCCCTTCGGTAAGTTCCCAGATATAGAGATCAAGTTTATCGTACTGACAGCAACAGTGTCCTCACGTGTATTGTGTCATGTGTCTGTCCAAGCACGAGCAGACCCAGTTGGACCAGGGCATACGGCCACCTCGTTGCCTCATATGCCAGCAGACTTTCAAGTCGGCCGCTTCGCTATGTATTACAAAGCCTAGAATCTCAAGACATGGCAGGGATGACCAAAAACTGGAGCTCAAAGTCGCTGCTACTTCCAGGAGCCTTTCCTATCATGATCGAGAGACGTTCGACGAGATGGTGCTCAGCGCCAAGATGAGAGCAGTGAAGGCGACCGTAGTGCGCTGGCAGAGGGAGGCTCCAAGGGATAAGATTGTCATCTTTACCCAGTTTACTCTTGTCGGCAGCATAATCGGACGCATCTTACGAGAGCTTCGTATCCGGTTTGTCTATCACTTTGGCGAGATCAGCCAAGAGAAGCGAGACGCTGCGCTACGTTGTTTTGAGAAGAAGAGAGACGTTAAGGTTCTGGTTAGTATCGCACTGACGCAAAGGACCCAAGAGCAGGCTAACTTACAGCAACTGGGCAGATTGTCTCGATCATGAGCGGCGGTATCGCGCTAAATCTAACGATGGCAAACCGAGTCATCATTGTCGAACCCTGGTGGAACCGTTGTGTTGAAGACCAGGCCTTTGGTCGTGTCTACCGGATCGGTCAGACGAAGGAGACGTATCTGGTCCGGATCATGGCTAAGGATACGATCGACGAGAAGGTTTACCAAGCCCAGGTGACGAAACACAAGGCCATCTCCCAGATCTTGAGCGAAGAGCTGGCCGCGGAGGACAAGACGAGTCTCAGTCGCGCAGAAATGATCCGGATCATCGACAACCTCACCGCCGCAGATGAGGAATCGGACGACTTGACCCCTTGAGTCGCCGGGGGGCGGGTGAAGATTGCCGCATTCCGGGCGGGGATCTCACATCGCAGTAAATGAACGTTGCATGACACCAGGTTCGAGTTGAGCTGCGGAGGTATTCCAGAGGCCTTGACAGTCTCACCCAAGCCCGTCCTGTGTTCTGCAACTCTTCTTGCGTTGTCGGACTTCATCACACGGATGGATGTGTACACATAGTTGTCTAAGGACTCTGCGTTTTTGATTTTTCAGGCGTTCGGTTGGCAGTTCCGTTCTCGTATCTCACATGCGGAATCATGAGGACGATATTAATTCGCGTCACGTCAAGAGGGCGTCTAGTTTAGGATGCTAGATCTTATTGACGAGTAGGACGAACTAAATACATGATCCGTTTTCTCTCATGCCCCTCGGCTAGCAAGACCTCTATACTGATTGATGGTGGTGGTGGTGGTGGTGGTGGTGGTGGTGGTGATGCTACAATTGTGACCTTGTCTTTTTTTCCGTTTTCGATGGGTCTCGCGTGGAGAGGAGAAGGAAACCCATCAATATGGCGAGAGCATATTCAATTCGAGCACTGGGGCTAAATTGTTAGCAACATTGAGATTATTACCCGAATCTGCATAGAAATCGCGCACGATTAGGAGGTAAGAGAATCCTCATTCCCTCGCATCTCCGTCTCTCGAAGCTTCTTCCACGTGGGCCGCGACCGATTCTTTCTTCGCCGCCGCCGCCGCCATCGCTTGTGTGGTGACGCAGACGTAGGTCTTGAACTTCCGCGCCGGGACCTCGGCCTCGAACATCTCGTGGATCTCCTCGAGCGTGCGGTCGCGGGTTTCCGGGATGAAGTACCAGGTGAAGACGAACAGGATCGCGTTGGCCCCAAACCAGATGTAGCTGTCGGAGGCAACTTGGTATTAATAGCTAGAGCTTCCAAGCCAGGGGTAGGAAAAAGGAGGGTGGAAGTGGGTAAGAACAAAACAAGGGGATGATTGTTCGGCTGACCCGTATTTGGCGCTCCATCCCAGGCTCGCCGGGTTGATGAAGTAGGGCGCCGTGAACACGCCCAGCCAGTTTCCGAGGAAATTCAGCGCCGTGCCGAGACCGACGGTGTGGCTTCGGAGATGGTTGTTGGGGTATTCGCCGCCCATCAGCCAGGCGTAGGGAGCTAGAGAACGTCAGGAAAGAGCCAGTCTATCAAGGGAGGTGAATCTGTGTCTTGCCGTAGGCGACGTAGAAGAAGGTGAAGACGGAGATGAAGGCGACTATGGCCTTGGCGGCCGGGGTGGTTCCTGCGGCCGTGGTCCACGCCACGGCGAAGGCGAGCTGGCAGAGACCGCAAGCAGCGACGCCGATCAGGACGATGGGACGACGGCCGATGAAACGGACGATGAAGAGACTGGTCAGGACCCCGATGAGGCCCATGCACGTCACCATTACAGAGTACGCAAACGCCTCCGTGACACCGGCGACAGTTAGGAAATACGTCGTGTAGATGTTCAGCCAGGAAGAGCCTAGGGAGAACCGTTAGCCTTCTATTAGAGAAGCTGAATCTGCGAATATCGTCGCACCATTAGCGCAGTGGAAGCAGATGATGGCGATAGAGAGCAGCGTCCGGCGACGCTCAGTGCCCTTCCACATCTCGATCCACAGCTGCTTCCCGGCGTGCTGGCTGATCTGCTCTGCCGTGGACGCCCGGATCTCGTTGAACTCGGCCTGGAACTCGCCCTCGTCGATGCTGCTGTTGCGGAGCGCGCGGAGGGAGGCCTCGGCGCGCTTCTCGTCGCCGTGTATCATCAGCCAGCGCGGGCTCTCCGGGAAGAAGAAGAGCGCGACCGACTGGACGGTGGGCGCGGCGAAAAATACGGCGAGCGGGATGCGGTACGCCTCCTTCCCCACGACCTCGCTGGTGCCGTAGTCGACGGCCGCCCCGACGATGGAGCCCACCGAGAGCTGCGTCTGGTAGATGGCAAACACGACGCCGCGCAGATGGGCCGGCGCGGCTTCGCTGATGTAGACCTGCGCGAAGGTGAGGAACCAGCCGACCGAGATGCCTAGTTTCGCCACGTCAATGAGTAATGGCCCGCCTGCCGCTGAGATGAGAGCTTGTGTCGACCGCAGTGTGACTCACCGAGGAGGAATCGCGCAAAGTACAGCGCTCCGAAATTTGTCGCTCCGATCATGATCGCCGTCGACACGTAGTTCAGGGCGCAGGCCGCCCAGAGGCCGTGCCTGCGGCCGAATCTCGCGCTGAACGGCCCGACGAGAAGCGATCCGATGAACGTGCCGATGGTCATGAGAGAGGAGATGAGCTGCTGAACGGTGGGATTGATGGCCCATCTGGCATTGGCCTCGTCGTAGTACCCGAAGACCTGCAGGAACCCAGGCATGGCCATGAAGCCGCCCACGAGGGCGTAGTCGAGGCCGTACTGGAAGCTGGAGACGGTGATGATGCAGCAGATGGCAAGGCACTTCCTGTGGCTGAGGATATCGAGCCGCAGAGGATTCGCCGAGACGACGGCGCCGCCAGCCATCTTGCCGACCTGAGGGCGCTGCTGCTGCTTCCGTGCCCTTGTGGCCTTTCTTTGAGATCCCGCTGCTTCTGATTACGGGCGCGTGACCTCCGACGATGCTCAATGGCGGATTTATATCACCTAGACGTCTGGGAAAGAGAAGACACAGTCGACCATATAACTTCGGGTCGAGGCGACCCGCCCGTATCTGCAACTGCACTGCCGAAGCAACCCCACAGACGGCAGACATGCTTTGTAGAGGCGGGGAGAACGACAGGGTGGGAGTAATTCCGGCTCCCATCTTTGCTCGCCTCCTCGTTAGCCAATGCCGGCCTGGCATCTACTGGCAGAGCTTCGGATTTCGCACTGGTATTCTCCATCACAACTCCAACGACGATTGCTGTACGAATCCAACGTTCCCTAGCTGCTCCAGGAAAGCTATAGTGAGGGACTCGCCAAAGATATCGGCGAGGTCGACATGGACGTCCGGCAGCGTTACATCGCAGAGGCAACGGCCCCTCCGGGAGTATCTGTACCTCAGTAAAGTCGTATCAACGGGGACTTCTATTGGTGAGGAGGACAGACGAACATACTACGTAGTATCAAGCTCTCCTATGATTTGCTTAGCTAGGAGTAACGATCCCGTGGGGTTCGCTAGGGAGAGGGAGGGGGCCAGCCTGAAGGCATCGCCATACCGAGGACCCCTGACTTCCTCGACTAACTAGCACCGAGCAATATTACCAAGTAAGGCTACAGTCGAATTTAAGCACCTATAGCTGTTAGGCTCTTGGAGACTGGAGATATGCCGAAGCCGTCTTCCCCGCATTTGCTACCCCGGACTGAAGCTAATGCGTTATCTATCCGCCGAGTATAGCCTCTTGTTGTTGTATGAGTGATGACCGCTCTCGGGCGCATCTCGCGTATTAAATCGGCAATGCGCACCGCTGGTAAATATTAACCTCGCAATCTCCCAGTAGCTTATTATCTCAGGCTGGGTTTCCTCCCTCTCGTCAGCTTCTCCTTTTGTTGCCAGCTGAGTTTGACCGGAGCCGACCTCGCTTAGATGCTAGCGAGGGGAGACAGAACAGGAAAAAAACGGCAATACAAGGCAGAACTCGCAGAGACCATGGGTTCGCTGGGCGCGTCTCGCCTGATCCGCGAGCCGCTGAAGAGAGGCACGTCGCTCGACCACCTCGAGTACGTCGACATGACGCCCATCATCGGGCGCGAGTATCCCACCGCGAAGCTCAAGGCGATGCTCGAGGCGCCCAACGCCGACGAGCAGCTGCGGGACCTCGCCATCCTGATCAGCGAGCGCGGCGTCGTCGTCTTCCGCGCCCCGCAGGACGACCTCACCATCGACGACCAGAAGCACATCACCGACCAGCTCGGCAGATTAACCGGCCGGCCCGCCGAGCACGGCCTGCACGTCCACCCGCTCTACAACGACCCCAACAATATCCCCATGGCCGACGGGACCACGGACGAGCACATGTAGGTGTCGACCACTTAGGTAATAGCAGAGGTCGTGGTAATGGGTCGGCCCAGGTTGGCTGCGGATCGCTGACACGTCTCCCCTCCCACCCCCAGCTATGTGATCAATTCCGAGGCCGCCAAGAAGCTGTATGCCACTATGAAGGACCGCCCTGGCGCGGCGGACGAGCCCCGGGACCTGGGACGCGAGTGGCATAGTGACAGTACGTCCCCCTTCCACGACTCCCTCGACCCCACGGGGCGAGTCTTGGCTAATCCACCCTTCTACCCGCTGTGCCCCTGTCGCCTTCTCCTTATCCTCCTCCCCCCCCCTGTCCCTGTCCTCCGCACTTTGCCCTAGCTAGCGCCGGTCCCGCCACTTGGGTAATTAGTCGTCCCGGCTAACCACGCGTGCGCGCGCTCAGGTCTGTACGAGAACGCGCCGTCGGACTTCTCGTTCCTGCGGATGGAGTCGACGCCGGCGACGGGGGGCGACACGCTGTGGGCGTCGGGGTACGAGCTGTACGACCGGCTGTCGGGGCCGTTCCGGCGGTTCCTCGAGACGCTGACGGCGACGTGCGCGCAGCCCGTGTTCGCGACGGCGTGCGCCGCCGGCGGCTACGCCGTCGCGTCGCCGCGCGGCTCGCCGCTCAACGTCGGCGCCGCCTTCGCCCCCTCCCACCCCGTCGTCCGCACCAACCCCGTCACCGGCTGGAAGTCCGTCTTCGCCGGCCTCGGCCTCCACGTCAGCCGCATCGACGGCGTCACCTCCTACGAAGACGCTCTCATCCGCGACTACCTCCTCCGCCTCCTCACCCGCAACCACGACGGTGTCGCCCGCCTCCACTGGACCCGCGGCGCCTGCGCCATCTGGACTAACGTCAGCACCCTCCACGCAGCGACGGTGAGTGAAAAAGAAGAGGAAAATACCTAGAAGACTACAGAACGCTTCTATTCCTTGCCTTCACCCTCTCTCTCTTTCCGCGCCTCACACAACGCTAACCCGCCCTTCAGCCCGACACGCACCTCGTAGACGGCATCAGGACCGGCGTCCGCGCGTCGGGCATCGGCGAGGTGCCGTACCTGGACCCGGCCAGCACGGGCAGGCGGGAAGCCCTTGGACTGCCCCAGTACTAAAGTCTCACAAAGACCGTAAACATACCGTAGAATACCCAAATAATGTATACCTAGCTAGGCAGAACAGCACAGCATGTTTGATCTCGTCTGAGGGGCGCCCACAAATTGTACCGAGTTAGTAGAACTATATATACCTTCCTGCCAGTCCAATAGCCGTCTCTCTCTTTCTCTCATCTCGTCCCGCCTCGTCCACCTCAATTTATTTCCTCCCCTCGTAGACTCCAATATCCCCCCCTCCTCCCTCTTCCTCCCTGAAACCCCGCTCCCCAACCAAACCCACCACGCCACCAGCCCTCTCCGACCCACCATGTACTCAGAGGGGGGACACGTAATCGTACACGACCTCGGGGAAGTCCGGCGAGGGCGTGTCGAGGAGGGGCTCGTCGCGGCCGCGCAGCGCGGCGTCGAAGAAGGCGCGGACGTACGTGTTGAGGATGAGGGTCTGGCGGGCGCCGTCGACGGGGCCGGCGGCCGGGTCGGCGCCGGGCTGCAGCGTCTTCCAGAAGCTGGCGTCGCAGAAGTCGCGGTGCCGCGAGCCCGTGATCAGCAGGCGGCGCGTGGGCGCGCTCTGGCGCGGCGGGAACGTCAGCCACGACACGTCGCCGCCGAACGGCGCGCCGTGCGCCTCGTTGCCGAGCAGGAACGTCGGCGCGCGCGCGTCCGCCGCCGGCCCGTCCTCCGCCGGCCCGCCGAACAGCGTCCCGTCGAGGTCCAGCGCCGCGGCCACGCGCGCGCCCGCCGCGCCCCGCGCCTCCTGCTCGCGCTGCAGCGTGCCGATCGCGGCCGCGCCGGCGAGCGAGTACCCGAGGGCGCCGAGGCGCGCCGTGCGGAAGGGCAGGCGGTGGCGCGCCGCGAGCGCCGGCAGCTGGTCCAGCAGCGCCGCGTTGTCGACGAGCCGCGTGTCGTAGATGGCGCGGATCAGCGCCAGCGAGGTGTAGTCGATGGGGACGCCGGTGACGACGGTGCCGTTGGGAAAGCGCACGAACGGCTGCTCGTACGGGTGGTCGAGCGCGAAGACGGCGTACCCGTGCGACGCGAGCTCGGCGATCAGGACGGTGTCGCCCTCGGTCGGGGGCCCGCCGGCGCCCGGGCCGAACAGCAGCGTCGGGTGCGGCGGCGCCGTCCCGACGTCGAGGAACGGCGCGTCCGGCTGCACCGTCGAGGTCAGCCCCGCGAGCGTCCCCGCCGAGTAGTTCCAGGACTGCTCGAAGAGCGCGGCCGTCTCCGGGTTGAGGTACGGCCGCGGCGCGCCCTGGGGCTTCTGCCGCGTCGGGTAGAAGACCGTGGCGAGGAACTCGGTGCTGACGTTGTTTGGCGCTAGCGGGTCGCGCGCGTTGTAGTGCTCGATCGTGTACTTCCTCACACCGACGTAGTACGGCCCCGTAGGCGGCGGGAGGGAGGCAGCATGGGTGACGGTCGACGGGGGCAGAATCGCCACCAGCGAAACGAGGACGGCGCGAAGACCCATGGCTCCTTTGGCAAACATGCTGTTTGGCTTCGTCGGCTCCTTCGCAGCAAACACGTTTGTCTATTTCAAGCGACGGTTTGTGGTTGTCGAAGATACCGAATATCCCACCATGGGCCTAGTAGAGGTGATAAATGATCTACCTCGGCCTGGGCTTCTACCACCATGCAACCCAAACACGGTCACGCGTAGTTTTCACACATTGGGAAAACCCCCTGCAAACTGCGCCGTTCTCGTGTGACGATGTCAGACTTTAGCAGCTCTACAGTAACGTAGGCTTCGACTCCGTATGGCTCGCAGGCTCTGAGGTCTCACGAGGTGTTCGCCACGGTAAGCCACCGACGATCCGACATACAGAGGCTGACAATGCCACTGCTCCCATTCGGACCGGTAGAACGACAGGATGGGGTATATGCAGCCTCATTTGGTTTTCTGATTACTCGATGAGGCCGACAAACCGACACAATCAAGCGAGCTTCATGCTGAACATCCAGCGTCCATTCTAGACCGCGCCTATGCGTCTGTGACAGTTAGCTGATGTAGCATGAAGACATCCTGCATGAACGATGGAAACATCGGAGCCACACTGAGCACTCTGGTCTCTGCTATACCCAGCAACGCATGTTTACTCGGCCAGGCACGCCAGTTTCCACCGTGGAGGGCCCGATCTCAACCCATAGGTTCGAACGTCCACACCTCTGACGTCCAAGTATCGATACCCCCGGGATTCGGAATTCGCGTAACATGGGGTCGTAAGGGAAGTCCTACGCTGACAGGGTAGGCCCGCGCATCCCGTAGGAACGCAAATGCCCAATAACCAATCCCCATGTCCCGAAGTCGAAGGTCACTTGCAAGCGACGTCCAGCTCAGCACCGTTGCGTACCATTTTGGACCAGGGACAGTAGCAGGGAGCAGGGGGGGCGGGACTCAAGGACCCGACAGCCACGGCACATGTGAATTGCTAATACGAATTGCTTAGTTGGCCAACAGAGCGTCGGTTCTATGAGTAATACCACGACGATGGCGCCGAGCCCGTTCGAAGCCCCATTCCGGAGATGTGGGGCCGGCGTCCTTCCCGACCTGGTTACCACGAACGGTTAGCGCTGTCAGGTACGTACCCTCAATATAGCTTCATTTCGCGTTAGCCCACGCTGTGAGTATTAACCACGATCAGTACGGGGGTTCGTAAGTCGACGGCGCCTGATCTCGCGATCCCTGATATTAAGCGATAGAAGGCGAATTCTCTCTGCTTCGCCTCTTGTTGGCTCAAGAGTCAACCAGCGAATTCAACCCCAGTCTGGCTCGCTCCAGCCGGCCGGCTCGTTAAGCCCTACCGGCTCGCTAAGAACTGCCGGCGAATTTCCACGCCTTCTAGTTTTCACCACGCGCTGTTACCTGTCATCCTGTTGCCCGCTACGTAAATACGAGGCCGGCCCGACGCTAACGTCATAACAATCGCGAATTCCCTTCTACCACCGGTCCTCGCACTACCTAATATCACCCGCCGAGAACAAGAGCCAAGTCAAGACTACATCAGCAGCATCACCACTACCAACCACCTCTAGCCGAAATGAGTTCAACGGACCTCTCGACAGGCACCCGCGTGATCGTGACGGGGCACAACGAAGCAGACGCGTCAGTATTCACATCGGACAGCGACGTCGCGCCGTTCAGGGCGTGGACCAGCACGTTCGCCATGGTGAACACGCGGGGGTGCCGGTGGCGCGGTCGCACAGGGGCGTGACGCATCTTGCCCGCAACCTCGTGGTTCGTGAGACATGCGCCTAATGCATAGGTAAATATTCAACACCTCGATCAATCTCCCTAGGCAGCCGCTAGAGTTTCCTTGAATACGATCTCGGGTCAGATAACACCCGGCTGGAGTTTTGGAAGAACGACTCAGGGGCACCTTTCCTTGTTAGACACCGGATTGAGGGCTGTTGCTGCTGGCCGAATTAGCGCTAGGTGTAGACTAACTGACAATTTAAATCCGCAAGGGACTTCGTAGAATTTTGCGTGTACCGAGCTTGTCGTGTAGGAAACGATAAAAGCCTGCTTCCGAAAAGCGTGGGCGCATACATAGGTATTTCCTGTGACGATAGAAGAAAGGGGGGGTAGGCAAGTACGCTTCAAGTCCCTTGGGCACTGAAGGGCATGAAGTTAACAACCTAAACGGGCTATTGAAAACTCTTGGCCGTGTATATCGTTGCGTTCCCTAATGAGCGTACATTTGCAGTCGACAGCTGTGCTCTTTAAGTAGATGCTGAGCCCGCAGCCCGCCGAATTCGTTGGTGAGTGAAGGCAAATATTATGGATAGTACTCAAGTTCATCGTTCATCTCCAGTATTACACCAGGAAAGTCGGGTCTCCTTTTCAGGAGACGCAGCGTATCATGCTTCCAAATCGCTGCGCCCATTGTAGTATTAAGTTGCGGCAATGACGTTTCCTCGGATGACTGTTGCCATCAGACGCGAAGGGGAGTATTAACGTAAATTCACCGACACTAGCCGCGATACCGTCACAGATCTTTACTCTATTGAAAATGTTGGTATGGTTAAAGATGGCGTAGCGTGTTAGTTGATGCTGGCGGTTCCAGCGGAAAGGCTTGCCCATTACCGGAACTCCTTTTGGGCCCCTTACGAGACGCTCAAAACTAGCCATGCAAGCACACAACTTCAGACTAGCCAGGCGTAGTTTCGATGGTACCGTGAATACGCCCTCTGCTGAATTTACCAACATACTCGGTAGGGTTCGGGTTGCCACTCCACACTAGCGCGACTCTCGATTAGCGGAACCAAGGTCAGTAGATTTCTACACAAACGAGCATTTCGGAACGCGACGTTGATGGTGGTAACTAAAAACTCTCTACTATCTGAAGGCAACTGCCGAACATTTCCTTAGATCCGGTAGAACTTCCACGACGATGGGACAGCGGTAGGCTTGGCCAAAAGATCGGCACCTAGAGTAGCGAAGAAGTCGAATCCATTATATTTTCGGTGTACGTCAGAAGAGAAGACGGAGCGGGTGACGACGGCGTGGCAACCAGGGATTAGGATGTCTCGGGGCGCCCCTCGCGCCGCTCCGCCTTAGGCGCTTCGAGTCCGTAACCTGTACGTAACCACAACGATCCTGTGAGAAGATCTCACGGAGGGCGGCCGGGATGTGTAGGGCATCTGTGACCAGGATTAAATTTTGGTGAGGATATTCGCAATACGTTACGTTTATAAACTGAAGCATGTCCAATCTAATGTTCGAAAACTAAATATGCCTGGTGGGACCCGAGGATTCTTAGGTAAAAGGTAGCGATGATGCGTCTTGGCGCAACCCCTTTTTCTTGGGACCTTGGGCCAGTCGTAGAAAGGAGGAAAATGAGGAATCGGGTATAAAAGGCCGAACCCTAACAAATATTATCCCTCACAGGCTGTTACCATACCGTATAGCATCCCGACTGCTCGATGTCGCCATCCGGTACAGACCCCGTGGTCGCCCCGAACAGCATCAACCCTATGGATCGCATGTCCATCCACCTAATGATTCCTCGTCAAGCCGCTGCCCCTCCAGAAGAAGGCTGCATCGCTCGCTAAAGCAGAATACCCCAGCTCGCTTGGAAGGCAAACTCGGAAAGGAAAATGCACGTATTCGTACAGGCGGCCTCTCCGTGGCTCGACGAACACCTTAGGAGGTTTATTCGAAAGCACGTCCCAGAGTCAGTCTTCTACGACGACTTCGACGACTTCCCAAAGGATGCCAAGACAACCTTCCAATTCTGCGATGGTTGGGCCTTGAACCGAAACTTTGCCGTCGTGAACTCTGCAGACAAGGCCCTCATCAACGCGTACCCTAGCAGCGATGCCTTAGCACGGAAGGACTACCTCTCGCGCGTGGTGGAGTATTGGACGGCGAAGACGCCGGACAGCATTCTGAAGACGCACTCTCCGCTCACGGTACGCTTGTCACTCGACTATGCCGAGTACGTTGACGAGGCACTGACTGCGGCGGACGACCTCACGCTTCTCTACTCACTCGAAGAGAATGAGAACAAGCCGCCCGAGGAGCGTGAATGGTGGATCCTCAAACCCGCATTGGTGGACTGCGGCGCTGGTATCCGGCTCTTCAGCACGTTGGAAGAGCTGGCAAGCCACCTTGAGCTTGCCGAATACGAAGACGACGACGAAGATGACGACGACGACGACGACAACGACGAATCGGATGGGGTGCTGGGTAGGGAGGAGACAAGGTCGAGTGGCAAGCCTACACCGGATTCGGAGTTAGACACTACGAACGAGCCGTCCCCGTGTCTAGCTTTCCCCATCCTCAACTCGCTGGATGGTCTTGTCACTGCTGTCGGAGACATGAAGCTCGACGCAGCTCCGCTAGGCGCCGTCCGCGCACCCAAGAAGCAGCCGTATGTCTTTAAAGAGGGCGGCCGCATCCCCTCGTCGGAGATGCGCGAGTTCGTCGCGCAGCGCTACATCACGGCGATCGCGGCGTTGGAAAAGCGCAAGTGGCACGTCCGTGCCTACGTCCTCTCCATCGGCCGCCTGAAGGTCCACGTCTTCAACGAGATGTTAGCCTTGCTAGCCCTAGAGGACTACGAGCCCCCGTGGCTCAACCCGAGCTTGAAGTCGTCCCTAACCAACACGGGGCTGCAGGACGAAGAGGATTTTCTCCGGATGGGGTCGATGCGGGATTTCTGGGCGATCCCAGACGATCTGCTTCCGGGGGACGCAAAAGAGGGCAAGACGTGGAAGGAGTGCGTCTTCGACCAGATTTGCAACGTCTCGGCGGAGTTGTTTCGCGGCGCGGCGCACACCATGGCGGACAAATTCACCACACTGGACAAGTGCTTCGAGCTGTTCGGGGTCGACTTCCTCGTCGACGAGGACGGGACGGCATGGCTCCTCGAAGTCAACGAGTCGCCAGCGTTCTACCACCAGGGGGTTGCCGGTCCGATAGCGCTGCGGCTCATGGAGTCGCTGATCCTGGTCGCGCTGGAGCACATGGGCCTCGTTCCACCGGGGGAAACGGAGAACGAGGCAGTCAGAAAGAGGATGATCGAAGTGCTTGATGAGACCAACAAGCTGGCGAAAAGCAACATCACGGAGATCACGCCCGAATAGTACTGGCGAGGCGTTGCACATTAGAGATTAGGTAGATTTAGACACAGAGAAAGGGTTAAATAGACTGGACGCAACTTCTTAGCGCCTGTCTGGAACATCGTGTCGATGCGTGGGTGAGGTTTGGGGCCCGACAACAGTGCCTGCTATTATATCAGGACGTAGGTAACTCTGTATTGTGCCGCGCACTGGATAAGCGCCTCACCACCGCGGGTTGTCGTCACGACCGTACTGAAATGCCAGGTTGGACGCCCTAAGTACCCAAGGCAGGAATCCTAGGTGTTTTTCGCGGGTGTCGTGATGCGCTGTGCCGTACGTCCTGCACAGATAGAATGATGATGAGAATCGTGAGAATCAGGAAGAGGTGGAGGTACCTAGGTATTTACCCAGGTAAGAACTTCGATCTAAGCCTGATAACACCGTGGAATGAACAGTACCTAGGTACATGACAAGGTACCTCCCAACCTAATGTAGTGTATGTACATAGGTAGGTACCTACATAGGTACCTGCCTACCGAGTAAGAACCCCACTCTTTGCCACATGCGGGGTGCGCTTGCCACTCGAGATGGACCTTTCTATAGGAGGTACCTAGGCACCTAGGAGGTATCGACCCGGGCAGGTAACCTCTAGGTAGGTACACCACAACGCTATCTGATACCCCCTCCCTCTACCGCCTCCCAGCAGATCGGCCACCATGCCTAGAGGTACGTGTACACCTACCTGTTAGGAGGTACCTTAGGTACCTGTCTCAAGGATCGGTAGTGAATCTGTACCTACCTAGGTATCTACCTACCTGTAGATACCTGTTAATTCCGTTGGCTAAGTGGAAGGTACTTAGGGATGTATACACATCCTCGCTGTGCCTTCCGTACACACTGGGTTGCTACCCTCTCGAGTTTGCTACATGTATTTTTCCTGCCTATTGAAAACGGTTAGAGGCACACGGGCTCAACTCACCGCTTAGGTACCTAGGTACCTAAGGTCGTCAGTCATGTGACGAATATCCTAGGAGAGGCCCCCTTCATATCTTGTGGCTTCGTCCAGGCAGACGATCACGCCCCGTTTCCCTCCCAAGCCCTTATTCCCGATTTGGCTTCTCCATGGTAACCGGTGTTGACGGGGTTGCTGGCATCCCAGATGGCAGAAGCGCTGACCATTCCTTTTGATCAGATCAACGACTGGTATTGTGCCAAGCCGCTTCGATACGACTCGGTCGCGAGAGGAAGGTAGAGTCGGTTTGCGGCATGTCATCTCGAGACTGGCAACTTTGTTCTAGGAGGACTGACGGGCAAGTTTGAGAATTATCGTCCCCGCCATGGGCAGAACAGAACCCATGTCTACCGCTGCCAGACCCCTGATAACTCCAGGCTTCTTCCATCCGATCAAGGTGCCGCCGGGATGGGGACGGGAGTTAATCAAGAGCTGTCACACCAACGACACGTGGTATACTAGACATTGCATCAACATATCAATGCATATACTACTTGGTAGCAAGAGCCCCCTTTTCTATGATCAATCACCTGCACAGGGGAGGTATCGACGGAATACACTAGAGGCAACTCCTTACATGCCGTATCATCCCGCAAGATGAAGCCCATTCTAAATTCTTAGCATCGCGAGCAACACCGAGAATCGGCGGCTTCACATCACCCTTATCACTATAACTCCACAAGTTTACCGAGAGATCGGTTACTCACGCCACCCAGGGACCTCGCCCCTCGCCGTCTCTCATCGCGGAACACGGCCGTCCTATCAAGGCAGCCCTATAGGTAATCATACTGGTAGGTAGTAGCAACCAGAGCTACGCCGGCGGCTTCGTCGTATCATCAACCTCTGGAATTGTCCAATGGTACCCTGTAGGGCGCGCGTCGGCGGTCCAGGCTAGGACGGACTTCGGCATATGATTCGCGTATAGATCTAGGGTTGCAGCCGGCGTCGTCGACCGGGGGGTCGTCTCCATTTCTTCCTCTCCCTCTCCCCACAGCCCGCCACATACGATCATAACCCGGAGCGAGAAGGAGGATCAGCAGCCAGAAATGACGTGCCGGTGACTAAGTGCCTCGAAGCTTCGGGCGAGCCGGCTTCGAGGGCTGTGCGAAATGGGGTGCTGGTGTAGCGCTGCGCATACGGTGAATCACTTCATCAGGAGACGTCAGGAGACGGGGGGAAGTGGAGTATGCCGGTCTCCTCTCCCCATCTTCTCCCCACAACCCGACTCGTGAGCAGTATATAGAAGAGTCGAATTCGCCTTCGCTTTCGTACTACTCTTCACTCTCGCATCCTATCAAGAAAGACAAATCACAATTCTCAATTGCAGAAAAGCAACATACAACAACCAACCAACCACATAAACAACGCAGCCATGCCTATGGAAGAGCAAGGACTAACAGACCGTGCGGTCATGAACGCCCACGACATGATCCACCACGCCGAGATGGAGGAGCACGAGCACGAAGCCGCCCTGCGGCGGGGGATCTCGGACGAGGCTGCCGAGGCCGAGTACGACCTAATACACGGCGCCGAGATGCGGGCCGAGCAGGCCGAGGTAAGCATGCATATAATTACCTCTCCCTCCTTTCTTTCCATTCTCGCCTCTGGTGATTTGATACTGACCATTTCGTCCAGAAAAGGCGCAGCGGATCCTTCAGCAAGCTTAAGAAGACGATAGAAAAGATGATGGCGGGGCGGCATTAAGGGGCTCGTTGACTTTTTAAGAGCCCCCCCGGTGCTTCGTCGGCGGACGCTGCTCTAATTCATGCTACGTTGCTGTATTACTATCATATATATCTACACGGGTTCTGCGTGGCGGTCATGGTTATGATGATATCCCCAGGTTGATGAAAGGTCGGGAGAGACATCTTGCACAACGAGTGCATACGGAAGCTCAAGACTGAAAAATTGCTTCGCTTAGGTATACATTAATATGTCATTGATATCTAAGATACTCACTCTTTTGTGACCGCGCCGACCCTGCATCGTCCCCAGATCTATTTTCGGACGCACCGTCGATTGCTAAACCAGCCAGTCACTAGGTGTCTTCATAGCCAGCAGCGTGGTAGCGATGGAGATAAGACTTATGCTAATGCATTGCACGGGTTTTACAACTTCTATCTTCGCAATTAGGTATCCGTTACATGCCACGAATACCCGAACGCTCGAAGACAAAAAGGGGCTCTGCTGATTCCACCACAGTAGGCGTACGTGTCTATCTACCTAACCTACCCGAACCATCCCCGAGAAGGTCCAAGGAAAACAGGATCGTATTTTACCAAGAGCCGCCCTCACGTCCGAATTCCCAGGAATAGGAAGCGGAAAGCAGCCGGGAGACTGGGCAAGTTTAGCCTATATACACAACACGACACAGGCACGCATGAGAACCGCGTCACGACAGTGGCAGCCCATACAACCACCCCTCTCTCCCATTCAACCCTGACGACCCCGCATATCTCTTTCTGAGCCGGAGATGAAACGACGAGAAGGGGAAAAGGGGGAGGAAAAATGACACGTAGAAAGGTTGTGTGCGCCGTCAGCCTAGGCCCGGCGCGTGGCATTAGGTATACCTATGGGCATCCCACCTTATCTGCCTGGTCTTGCCTCGCACGCCACGAAGGGAGAGGGGAAAGACTTTCTCTCCCCGACTTATTCGCCTACCCGTCTATCCGTCCACTCGCTCCCACCTAGGAGCTAGCAAGTCAGTCGACTGCCCAAGTCGCAATACCAACCGACACTCTGCTTGCCCCGCTGGACCGTCCCGCCCTTTCGCGCTCGCGACGAGACTTCGCTAGAAAGCAAGAGCGCGCCAGACGCACACCATGGCAGCCGCCGTCGCCGCGCAGCCTCCGGCCGCCTCCGCGCTCCCGGGGGCAGACAGCGGGCTGGCACAGCAGGCGGACGCCTCGCAGCAGGAAGAGCCGCGGGGAGACAGCGGCGACGTCCTCGCCATCATCAACTACTACAAGGACCCGGGCGACGGCTCGCTGCCGGCGCCGATCCTGATTGCCGAGTACGCGCGCATCCATCCCACCCCTTTTCCCGCTCCCTCCGCGCACCACCCACCACCGCTGCCGTCCCCACGTAGAAGAGAGAAAGCAAGAGACGCACGCTCACCGCCGCGGCCACCGCAGCAACACCGTGCGCAACGAGCGCCCGACGGTGCCGTACGAGCACCTGATCCGCGACGTGTCGGGCCGGCCCGAGGGCGCGTACACGCTCGACCGCCACGGGTTCCAGTACGTCGCGCACGCGAGCCGGCTGCGGGGGCTCGCCGCGTTCGAGGACGCGGCCCGCGTCCGCGCCGAGTACTACCCGGAGTCGGCCGCGCTGCTGCGCCGGATGTGAGTCTCCTTTCTTACTCTCTCTCTTCCCTCCTTCGTGAAGAAAAGAAAAAGAGAAATCTAGAGAAGCGAAGGAAAGGGAAAAAATGGGCTGACGCGGAAAATGCGGAAAAAAAAAAAGAACCGGCGCCGCCCGCGTCCACATCTGGGACCACAAGACGCGCAGCGGCCCGGCGAACTGGCACGCGCTGGGACGCGGGAACCGCGCCGCGCGGGGCCCGCTGTTCCGCGCGCACGTCGACCAGTCGTACGCGGGGGCGGAGCTGGTGCTGCGGCGGCACATGGGGGCGGAGGCGGAGGCGCTGGTGCGGCGGCGGTACCAGATCGTCAACGTGTGTTTTAACCCCCCCCCCCCTTTCCCCCTTTTCCCCCTTACCCCCCTCACCTCCCTTACTTCCCTCCACCCCCTACCCCCCACGCCCTCCCAGCCGCCAGCCAAAAGTAACCGTACGCGGCGCAGCTCTGGCGGCCCATCGAGACGGTCCGCGCGTCGCCGCTGGCGGTCGCGGACGGGTCCTCGGTAGCCGACGCGGACCTGGTCGCGGCCGCCATCGCGTACGTGCCGGCGGACCGCGACGAGACGTGGACGCTGCGGCCGTCCGCCGCCCACCGCTGGCACTACCGCCGCGCCCAGTCCCCCGCCCAGGTCCTCCTCATCAAGTGCTTCGACTCCGCCGCGGCCCCCGGCCTCGTCCGCCGCGCCCCCCACTCCGCCTTCGTCCACCCCGACGAGGCCGCCGCCGCCGCCGCCCTGCCGCCCCGCCAGAGCATCGAGGCTCGCGCCCTGCTCTTCTACGACGACTGAGCCGTCCCCCCCCCCCCCCCCGCCCCCCTTCTTTCTTTCTTTTGGAGAATGGGGGTTGGGAGCGGAGGATGAGATGGCGCGGAGAAGGAGGTACCTAGGTAAGTGCTTGTGTGCGTACGAGGAGGAGGAGGAGGAGGAGGCAGCTTGCTCTTTTTTTTGTTCCCTGTGCGAAAGGAAGAGAGGGAAAAAGAAGAACGCTGTCTCGGGGTGGTGTATTTGTGAGAGTTTACCTGGGGGGTTGGAGAGGTTGGACAGAGTCTCCGGCTAGACACGGAAAACGGCGAAGGAGAATGGAACGAGAGAAGGGAGAGGAGTCCTAGGAGACAGACAGAGTGAGGTTGATGGTCGAGAACATTGCGACATGAACATACGTACGCATATATACACATACACGTGATGGGCCGCCAAGAGAACGATACCTCCTAATTTATCACGCTCCCGTATCCGTTACCCGTCACCCGTTGCTTGTAATCCGCCTCTACTTCGAGTAACGTAAGCGTCGTCAGTGATACACGCACGCCCATACACGCGTATATACATACACACACATATATATAATCAGCACAAGGGAAAAGAGGCCTTCTTCCAACCCGTACACCCCTAACACTCACTCAGTCGTCCCCGTCCCCGTCCTCGTCCCACCTCTTGCTCGGGCTGGGCAGGGGGCTCATCAGGAGGCGCGGCCGGCTCTTGAACACGGCCTCGTAGTCCTCCTCGCCCGCCTCCAGGAGCTCCTCGACGATCGACGCGTCGCCGACGCCCTCCTCGGTCCGCGGGAAGCCGGCCTCCTTCCTCTGCGGCATCTTGCTCCTCTTCTCGGACCGCTGCCGCTCCAGCTGCGCCTTCTGCCGCGCCGCCTCGAACCCCGCCATCGACTTCCGCGTCCGCGCCACCAGGTCCTCGTATTCTTCGCCTCGCTCCGGCAGGTTGTCCAGCGGGGTCGGCGCGTGACTCGGCGCGTGGCTAGGTTTCGCCGGGGTTTCGGGCGGTAGGACCGCGTCCTCCTCGTTCTCGTGGGATATCGTTCGCGACATGGACATGCGCGTCCTTTCGGCCAGCGACAAAGCGTAGCGCGGCTTCTTCGTCGGCGACGGTGACGCGTTCGACATCGACGCCAGTATCTCGTCGGCCATGGCCTGAGTCGGGGAAACCGGGCGTTCGGGCGACGGCATCGGGTCGGCCACTTTTCTCGGGTGCGGCAATTGGGTACGTGAGACATCGCTTCGGGCCGTATTATAAGAGGCCGAAGCCTGAGTTCTAGCGTCCGGTTGGCCTGACTCCGGCTTATGGCCTAGGGGCGTTGTGTCGACTCGCGATACAGGCACAGGTGCCGGTTCCGGGACTTCTAGTTTGGTGGAAACTTTCGAAATTGGTCCCCTATTCTCAACAGCCGGTTCTGCAACCTTGTTATATGCTTTCCTGGGTACCCTTCCTCTGCTTTCCAGCCCAGACTTCGGCGGCGCAAGGCGATTACGATTCTCGACCAGAGGCTTCGCTGGCTTCGCAATTGGGAGTTCCTCCTCCGCCGGTTCGTCTTCCCACTCGCTGAGGTCAGAGATCGGCTCGGCAGGCGGCTGGTGGACCTCGAGCGACGAGGAGACAGCTACCCTAGATGCCCTCTTGGAGGCACCCAGTATGTTTGAAAAATTAGACATTTTTGGTTTCCCGATAGCTTCTAATTCAGCTTGCATGTTCCGTAAGATTTCAGCATACTCCGGAGGCGGCGCAGGAATAGGAAGGCGGTCCTTCGGGCTCAGTGTATCCATCTGACTGAGGCCTAGCTGTTGATGGGCAGCGAAGTCCAAGACAGCCTCTCTCGGCTTGGCCTTCTTCTTGTCCGCTTCTTTATCTGGCTTCGACGGGGTGCTGCCAAACATCCTCTTCCGAAAGTTATCCCATTTTTCTAGTCTCGCTTTTTGTGCGCGGACTCGGTATTCGAGCTGCTCCAAGAGGCCGGCGTTCTCTTCCTCGAGGTCGGTAATCTTCCCTTCCTCGACGCCGGCCCAGACGTCGTCAAAATTACTGCCAAAGAGCCCGCCTTTTCGCGGCTGCGTGTCGTTAAACAAGAGACTGTCGATCCATTGGTCGTTACCCGTCCAATTAGACTTGATTATCCTCTGCACCTCGTTCTTGGTCTTTTCCGAGGCCTCGGTCACGTCTCGTCCCACCCCGGCCTTGATCTGTTCTCTCCGCTGGGCAATGGCCCGCTCCTTGGAGGCCAGGAGATCTTCAAACTCGCGGTATTTTGCGCGTGCGGCGTCCTTTCTCCTGAGAGAACAAGTTAGGGAGACCTTGTGGGCAAGCAACAGGGCGTTGAGCTGAGTCCGGTCGCCTGAGTAGCCCCAGTTTTCTAGGGACAGCCTCTCGGAGATGGTAGGGCGGTACTCGGGGCCCGAGTTAAGGGCCCGTTCGGCCACCAGCTTCTTCAACACGGCAGAGGAGAATACGGCGAGGACTTCTTCGAGACGTTCACCCTTGCATTCGTCCAGCATAGTCTTCCGTACGATGGCATCTCGGCCGAGGACGCCATTTTTCTTGGCCTGTTCGAGGCTGCGGACGAGAGCGGAGCGCAGGTTGACGGATTGGACCTGGTCGAGGGGCGGGAAGAAGGGACGGAGTTTCTGAGAGAAGCAGTTTTAGTACGTTTTCCGTCCTTCGAGTTATCGGGCTGGGATATCCTCAGAAACATAAACAAAAGCACATACGTTTTGGGTCTCGTTGTAATCCCACAGAGTAAATAACTGATACAAGGCCCACTCGACGGACTGGATGCGCTTCCTCTGGCCGCCGGCGGCGTCCTTCGCGGAGAAGGTAGCGGGGGTTATACCGGGCCAGTCGGGCTCGAGGTCGAGGTCAAGCAGACGGAGGTTCGTCAAGAACAGGGCGAGATTGGAGGTCGAGCAGGGGATCTGGGCCGCCGCCGCGGCAGAGAGGGCGAGTGGAGGGGCGGTCAAGGACGACTTGGAGGGAGCACGGAGCGATCGCGTGCGTGTCACGGGCGGGTTGGCCTGGTAGAGCGACATGGTGGCATCGGCATCGTCGGCGGAGGTCGATAAGGTTATTAGATATTTTATCAGGGGGCAGGTGAGGAGTGTGGCGAGGGCAGGATTTGGAGCTGGTTAGCTATCCGCCTTCTTATGTATCGTTGCTGCAGACGGGATTCGTGTTGGTGGTGGGTTGGTGGGTTCGCCCCGGAGGATGTGGAGAGGGAAACGAGAGAGGCGAAGAAGAGAGAGAGTGAAGAGAGAGCGCTGAGCTGGACCCTGTAGGATGCTCGTATGGTCTAAGGACATATATTCATGTTAGGTATGTAGGTACCTCCCTCGCTGTTTTGTAGGTACCTACATGGGAGCAGATGACCGGCGAGGATACTTCTCTAGGTACTTGCCTACATAGCGCGTAAGCAGGCCGAAGTTACCTCTCCTAAACACAATAGGCATTATTTCAGGGAGCTCGGCGGCTCCCATTGATGCATCGCTGCGGGTTGCCGCGGCTTATCGATAACACCCCAGACCAACCGCTATAGCGGAGCCTTCCATCAGATAAACGCATCGTCTACCTACCTATATCACATCGCATGCCTACATTTCAGGTTCAGGTTCCATGACATCGCACCTCCGACATGAATTCGTGTGCACAAGTACCATATAAGCACCTAAGGAATAAGCCACGTTCGCTTGGTACCTACATAAGCATGCCTACGACTCGCGATACCCGTCCACACCCACCATTGAGCTCCCAACTCGTGGCATCCTCCCACGCAAGCAGGGTCCATCTGGCGATGGAAACGGGCATCTCTCGCCGCCCATCCCTCCCGTCCATTGGGCCACGGGGAGCTCGGCAGGCCTACCAAGGCAGCGGAGGCGCTTGGCCGAGCCCGCCCGACTGCGCGTGCGTTACATCGACGGAGGGGATGGATTCGTCGGCTGGCCTCTCGGACGGACCTTGCATGCTTTGGCACGATGGAGGACCGTTTCCGAGCACCCCATTTGTTCCCCTCCCGCCGGCCCGCATACAGGAACTCCCCTATTAGGGCACTCTGCCGCCACTTGACTCGTTCGGTATTGCCCACCCACCTACCCTCCGGACCACGGGTGGGAGAGTGCGCGAGTGAATGTCCCCAGAGGACAGGCCGTCGGTATCGAGACGTCCAAGGGGGCGAGATGGCGTTGAACGAACGAGCGCAGTAGGCATAGGTATATCGCAGCCATGTCCCGTAAAGCGAGCGGCACTGTGGTAGTAGTATTTAAGTGTCTTGACGTGCCCAACGCATGTAAGCGAACAGCAAGTCCCCGATCTATGCATTCCTTCAGTCGTTACATATACACGTCAAGTATTGTTCCTTACCTATCCCTACCTACTCTATGTTCGAGAATACCGCCAGTAACCAGAACAACAGCAAAACAACAGTGCATCCCGCCCCATCCGGTTTTTTATTTCTTTATTCATTTTCCTTTTCCTCTTCCCCTTCCTCTTCTGCCCATCCCTCGCGACCCTCTCCCTCGCCTTCACTCCCCGCCCATCCCGCACGCCCTCGCGCACTCGCCCACGCTCACGCACCGGCACGCCGAGCACGTGCCCGCCAGGATGATGGTCAGCTCCCCCGACACCGGGTCGCAGTGCGCGCCGCTGTTCGTCGCCGAGCACAGCGCCGTCGTCCCGGGCGTGCCGCAGTCGAGCCGCCACGCCGCCGGCGCTGCCGCCTCCGCCTCCGCCGGGGTCGGGGCGGCGGCCGCGGGGTTGTGGACGGGGGAGAGCAAGAGCGCCAGAAGCGCGAGGTTCGGGATGTACTGCAGGCGCGAGACGAATCCAATGTTTAGCTGAGGGCTCCCCTGGTTCGCGTGCGTGGGAGGGAGAGAGGAAACGGCATACCTTCATCTTGTCCGCCAGATCTGTCTTAGTCTATGTGGACTCGTCCGGGCTGCGCACACTCCGAGACGTCGAGCGCGTATTCGTGCCTCCGAGACGGTCTCAACCACCGTTGTATCTGATGCGAGCGGAAAGTTACGTCAGTTTGCTCCCTGTGGGCCGCGCTGCTGCTTTCTGTGTTTCGGCTCACGAACGTCGGTATGAATCCCAGCGGTCAGCGATCGATCCCGTCCGAGGGGATATGCGCGTTCCGGGGGCGTGGGATGCGAGCGGGAGAATAGAGAGAGGGAGTATGTGGGGGGGAGGAGACGGTTCTTCTCAGTTTAACTAATTGCCCTGCTCGAGCGTCGTCGAGCAATCCAGAAATCGACGTCAGACGGATGGGCCGTCCTTTATACGCCACCCGCTCGGGTACGAGATGAATATATATATATAAACACCCCTGCGCTCCCGCGGACCTGGTAGGTAGTCAGGTCTCCCTCCTGCTGGCCACAAGTTCTCGACGTGCCCACACTTCCCGACGCCCGGCCGTCCCGATTCTCTCTCTTCGCTGCGATCCCTTCCGTCTGCTGCTGGCGCCGAATCGCCCCCGGATGCAACCCAGCCGCAGGGAAATTTCGTGCACCCCCCCTTTCCCCTTACGAAGACCTGGTTCTTTTCTTGGTGTAGATATATACGCATACGTATGTGTTTATTTTTATACTCATTTCCATACCTTCGTATTCATACCTCTATATTAGCCCGCCGCCCCAGCCCTCTCGTCTGGCCTTGGCGGCGAGAACCGAACGCAAGCGGCATGCCCTTGGCCACCAATCTAGACGTCATGCAGGCGGAATATATATATATATGTACGTGTGTATATATGCATGTAATATATTTATATTTATATTCCTCTGCACCTACACCCCTATCGTCTCTCTGCACACGCGCAGCACCACCTCTCGGCGCTCGATCGACGCCGCAGCTGCAGCTGCAGCGTCACCGAACACGGGTCTCCGAAACGCCGTCTTCGCTGCCCGCAAGAAACCTGCTCTGCCCTCGGCCCGTAGCGCGGCATGCTTCGATGGGGGGGGCGGGGGCTAATCTCCAAGTACCCCGTCGCCGCTGGTCTGTGAACAAAACCGCGATCTGGGCCTAGTGTGGCGACAACGCCGCGCGCTCATCTCGCGTTGTCAAGGGGTCGATTTGGTGCATCTGCCACCGTCGCCCCCTCGATAAGTAGCAACAGAGGGGGGCGAGGGGCAGGTTGCGGTAGGTTGCGCAAGGGGACCCAGATCGGACATTACCCGGGGGGGCGACGGGCAGAGGCCGTTTAGGGAGGGCGGCGGACCATCCATCGCCCATTTATCCATATTGCCCGGGGCCAGGGCGTGGTAGCGGAGCAGCACGCGCTTACACGCACACACCCCTGTCTAGAGAGAAGGACAGAAAGAGGAAGGGGGAGGGAGGGAGCGCAGCCAGATCAAGAATCGAGAGTGGTATTAGTTAGTTAGGTACACAGGATACAGCGCGTGTGCGCGCAAAAAACAAGACTCTAGCAGACCTCCGCCCGCCCGCACATGTGGCGAGGCGACGAGGACACGATTCGCGCCGACGCCTGGCCACCGACCGGGGGCGAGGAATCCCCCCGACTGCGCAAGACGCGCCCCTACTCCGTACATCTGCTGCTACAGGACCAGCTGCCGCCGTCGTATCTCTTCGCCGCTTCCGACCGTGACACCATCCCCCTTTTCCCCTTTCCCCCCTTCAGCCCCCCGGCCGCCGGTACCCCAAGCCAATATTGGCAGACAAAAACCTCCCCACCAAAGATTAACGACAGCTCCGGTCCCAGCCCCCTTCGTCCCGCAATCCTAACTCCCCCTCCCTCCCTCCCCTCTCCCTCCCCTTTAACCCCACAACCTTATCGCGATCACTCAACGAATACCAAACAAGCCCTTGAGCTGCGCGAGCGAGAGGCGCCCCATACTGCGACCGTCCTCCTCGCTCAGCGCGGCGTTGACGAGGCTGCGCTTCGAGTCCTGGAGGGCGCGGATGCGGTCCTCGACGGTGCCGGCGACGAGGAGGCGGTGGACGGTGACGGGGCGGGGCTGGCCGATGCGGTGGGCGCGGTCGACCGCCTGGTCCTCGACGTAGGGGTTCCAGAACGGCTCGAGCAGGATGACGTGCGTGGCGGCGGTGAGGTTGAGGCCGGCGTTGCCCGCCGCCAGGCTGACCAGCAGCACCTGCGCGCCCCCTCCGTCCCGCTCCCCCATGAACCCCCGCACCGCCGCGTCCCGCTCCCCCGCCCCCATCGTCCCGTCGTACCGCCCGTACCGGAACCCCTCCGCCTGCAGCGCCACCTCCAGCAGGTCCAGGAACGACGTCCATAGGCTGAACACCAGCGTCTTCTCCCCCGCCGCCCCCGCCGCCCCCCCGCCGCCGCGCCCCCGGATCTCCCGCAGCAGCTCCATCGCCTTGTTGATCTTCGCGCTCGGCACCCAGTCCCGCCGCAGCCGCGCCAGGTACCGCGCCTTCGCCCCCGCGCTCCGCGTCCCCTGCTTCTTCAGCACCGCCAGAGACGTGAACTGCTGCTTCTGGAATCTCTTCTTACCCTTCTTCTTCTTATAATTATTCTGCCTACCCCCTGCCCCGTGGTCCCGTCCCGCTCGTGCCCCCCGGGCCTTGCTTTCCCTGCCCCCGCGCGGCAGCATCGCCGTCGGCGTCCCGTCGTTAGCCCGCCTCCGCTTGCTGCTGCTGCTGCTGCCGGCGCCGTACAGTTCCGAGGCTGCCTTGCGCTTGGAAGACGTGGGGCCCGATCCGGGCGTGGCTTTGACGTCGCCGGGCTCTGCGAACTTGTCCTTGATCTTCTTCATCGCCTCGACCCGTCTCCAGATGTCCTCCAGGGATGCCAGCGAGCCGAGGTCAGAGTCCCCCGCCCGATTTTCCGACGTGGAGCGTTTGTGGTCGGAGACGTCCTTCCATACTTCGTCGATGGGAATCGCGGCTGGCTCGGACTTCACGTGGCGGACGCCGTCGTAATAATTTTGTTTCTCTTCCTCTTCGTCTTCGTCTTTATCTTCATCCTCATCGTCCTCGCCCTCGTCATCCTCGTCGTCCGACACCACGAATCCTTTCAGATTCCCGCGCTTGTCCACGCTGTCGTCGCTCCAGCTTTCGAAGCCGTCCGGGTCCTCCTGCGGATCCTCTTCTGTGTCGGTCTGCCAGTGGGCGCTGTCAGGCGCGTGCACTTCCAGGAAGTAAGACCAGCAGATGATCATCTCGGGGTCGATGTCGACGTCGCAGTCCGGATGCGGGCACGCCGACTCCTCCTCGGCGCCCGGCATCGTCTGGACCTCCATCGCGGCGGAGAAGCAGTGGCCGCAGATAGTGTGGCCGCAGGGGTAGATGATGACGGGACTAGCTGTCTCCTCGTCGCAGAACGGACACTCGAATTGTTCCTGTTCCTTAAGCCTCGCGACGGTCGCTGGGTTGAGTCGCAGGGCTAGTTCCCGCATTTCGTCCGGTCCGAGCCGTGCACCGTCTGGAATGCCAAAGTCCCGGATGAGATGCGGGTGGCAGCAAGTTTGGCGCAGGCGCAGGAGCAGCACTAATATGTACGTGTACTTCTTCATCACCGTCCCGGCCTTGATGAATTCGTTCACCTTAAGCCGCTGCTTGTGCTCGAGGGCGTCGTAGAACGCCTGCTGGTCTTCGTCGAACACGGTCTTGACCTCCTCCTTGATGAGCTCGGGCAGTCGGAGGATGGGCTTGCCGTCGAGCATGCTTTGCTTGGTCCTTCGCAAGGTAATACTTCGGAAGAGAGCCTGCAGCTTTTGAAGCCCGATCTTGTTGTTGTTCTCGTCTGCGCTCCGGATGGGCCGGTCGATGTCCCGCGTGAACACTTCCCACACGTTGTAAGGAGCGATCCGCAGGAAGCGGATGAGCGAAAAAATCTCCCCGGTTCGGTTCATGAATGGGGTTCCCGTCATGCACCATCTGTAGACCGACTGGATTTTAGACACGGCATCGGCTGACTTGGAAGTCCGGTTCTTGATCAAGTGCGCTTCGTCGAGAATGATGCGATAAAACATGGTACGGGGATCGAGAAGAATGCACGGTTTCTTTGGGTTGCGGAGGCGTTTGCGCTCCGACACTACGGTTCCGTAGGTTGTCAAAATAACGTCGTAGCTAAGGAGTCGAGGAACCGTCATCCCGCGCTTCTTCGGGCCGTGGAATATCAAGGTTTTCAGTTGATAGTCGGGCTTCACCTTGGTCCGGATTTCCTCCTGCCATTGCTTCAGTAGGGCTAGCGGGGCTACGATGAGCGTCGTCTTGCGGAAGCGGTCCGGGGACGGGCGTGCTAGGATGAGAGCGAGGGCCTGGATTGTCTTGCCCAGACCCATGGTGTCTGGTTGGGTAGATAGTTAGCATCACGGGTTATCGAAAGGCCGTCGGCGGTGCCGGCATATAGGGCAATCGATACCTGCTAGAATTCCCCCCTTCTTGTGACTGTCCTCTTCCTGCTGAATTAGCCATGTTAGGCAGACTTTTTGATGCTCCATCAGCGTGCAAGACATGGCAATCGGCGTGTCCCTTCGCTGTCCCGGGGGGATGTCGATCTCGGGCATCGACAAGAGCTTCCGGATGTCACGGTGCTCCTCCTCGGTTGGCTCGTCCCGACGGAACGAGTTGCGGGTATTACTGCGGCCCTTGGCGTCTTCGTCACTAGAGTCATCCCCACCACCGCCCGCATCCTCGCTACTGCCATCACCTAGAGGGGAAACCAGCCGACGCCGATGTGTAGTGGGCGATGGACTAGGAATTCGGACTCGCTCATCGGCGTCCGCCATCGCCGCAAATTCCCGACGAAGCTTTTCAGCCCGCCGTTCGTCGTAGTGCTGTTTCAGTACGCGCACGTAGTCCTCTCGAAGGCGAGCGTCTTTAACGTCCGGTTCGAATTCGTGTCTAGTTTTAGTTCCGATCCCAAGTTGACGCTGTGGCTGCTGCTTCTGGATACTAGGTCTTTTTACCGAAGCTGGCGAGGGGGGATCAGCGTCGGACCACCGTCGGTTGATGGAACCTGCCGACGACGACAGCGGCGGCATAATGATGCAACAATGGTCTTCTTCGGGTTCAGTTCAAGTCGATGCTTTGTATTTATGTGCAAGAGGGAGAGAGGGAGAGAGAGAGAGAGAGAGAAAGAAAGAGCAGGCGAAAGCGACTGTAGATAGACAACTCGCTCCAGGTCAGCAACAGTGCCATCAGCTAGCAGTTTGGGTAGGAGTAAGATGCTCGAAGACGAAGGAAGAGGTCTATGGTAAAAGACTTTTTTTGCAACCAAAGAATAAGCAATAGATTCAGCACTTGACGGCCACAGCTCGGCCTGGCAGAGCCCTTCCTGGCGGGTATCCAAAGATGAGCATACGGCAAAGAGGATGCTGGATTGGCAAGAAGATTGACGACGATGGTGAGACGAGATGGTCCGGCCAGGGAACGCGGACCCAACCGATTTTTGACGCGCATACGTACGGAGTCGCATAGCTACAACTGGGAAAAAACTCCACTTTTCAGTACGTACACCCTAGGGGTGTGGTAGGTAGGAAGGTGCAGGTTGAATATTCAATTATACGTAGGGAAGGAGCTACCCTCTGGTTGGGTCGGTAATAGGTAAGCTAGACTACCCCTTCGCGAGCCGGGTATTTTATATAGGTTTATATATAAACGATTTATCCCCGTAAAAGACCGGGAAAAAATCGGAAAAATCGAAAATTTACTTACGTAATTAATTAGCTTAATTAAAGTAACATATAAATTTTTCAAATTTTCTACTTACTAATATAAGAAGTTATATACGATTTAAGGTTTTTTAAAATTACGTTAATAGCTTCTTATATAATTTATTAATAACTTTATTAACTATACTTATATCGATATGTTTACTTATTTTTTTTACGGTAATAAAGTAGGTCTATTACCTAATACTTTATTTTATAAAAAAAAAATAGCTAGTATTAAGTAATCTTATTTTTATTCTTTATTTTCATTTTCATTTAATTTATTATTTCAAGAAAACTACGTTTTTAAATAGGTTAAAACTTTTTAAAATCGTACCTATTTTTATAATAAGAATTCTACCTTTCTAACTATCTTCTTTTTTTATATAAAGAGGTTCTAAAAAAGAATACTAAAAATTAACGTTTTTAAGACTTAATTAATTTAAAAAAAAAGTTACATAATCTTAATTATTATTTTATCTATATTATAAAGAATTAAGTAATAGACCTACTTTATTACCGTAAAAGAAATAAGTTAAGAGGCTGATATAAAGTATAGTTAATAGATTTATTAATAAATTATATAGTAAATTATTAATATAGTTTTAAAAACCCTTAAATCGTAAATAATTTCTTATATTACTAAGCGAAAAATCCGAAAAGTTTATATATTAATTTAATTAAGTTAATTAATTACGTAAGTAAATTTCCGATTTTTCCGATCTTTTTCCGGTTTTTTTACGGTGATAAATCGTTTATATATAAACCTATATAAAATACCCGGCTCGCGAAGGGGCAGCTTAGTAGCCTATAACTCTATTCGTACATATATAAGCTACTACGAATACAATATGAAGCTATCGGGGACTTGCATCAAACATACATACCTCCTCCTATTGGGGGCGTATGTGTAGACGATAAAACTGGGGCGTTCGACCGAAAAGTGGAGTTTTTTCTCAGTTGTAGCTATGCGACTCCGTACATACGCGCGGCGCCACGTGACTGCGGTGTCGCATATCTACATCTGGGAAAAAACCCTATTTTGGGGATTCTAAAGAATCGTTTTTTCCCAGATGTAGATACGCGACTCCGTACGTGACGACGGTCTTTCTTGGCGCGTCGTCGCCATTAATCGTCTGCCATTAGGACGACCGCCAGCTGGCAACTGCTGGGAGAAGCGTGTGGGCAACTCGCGGCATACAAATTCCTAGGACTACCCAAGGAGATGAGCGCGACCTTCGGGGAAACATAACGAGCGCATGGGCAGCGCGGAAGGGTCGGAAATCCGGTGACAGGGAATGTTTTCTGGGGAATTTTACGAGATACGCCAGTCTGTTACCCCGGATGTCTAGTCAGCAGCGTTACCAGCTCCCGCCTTTCACTTCCGTGCCTCCTCCCTACCATGTCGAGTAGCAGCATAGATGGTAGGTATAGAACGGGCTCTACAGGCCGTAAATCCCCTCGTCAAGGGTCTCGTCCAGCTTCGTTCGATCCCGGTACGGTGCGACAAGAGACAAGGCACGTGTGTGCGCCGGCGCCTCCGCACGTGGTGGGCGCTGCAGACGTCGGTGCCGCACAGCGCGAGAGAGCGGCCGGATGGCGCCCAGGTAGGTCCGGCGTCCACGCGGCCTGTGTCTCGAGGTCTCTCTCTCTGGCGTGTCTAAGGCGGTTGTCACGCTTATAGGTAGGTATATATACGTGTGGGCAGATGCATATTACCTCGGTATAGGTAGCTGCGGAGATAGGAAAAGAAGCACGGCACGTGTGTGTGCGCGAGTGTGACGCGGCCGTAGGATCACGAGCGCGCAGTCTTCGCGGACGATCGCGACGCAGTGCGTGCCCATCCCGCCGGGCGGTTCTCGTATGCATTGGATGTCTGCCTACACCAGAGCCCAGGTGCCTACCCACTGCGCACTTCCTATGGATATGCGCGCGCGTAGTATAGAGAAGCGGGGAGGGCTGAGGGGGGATGACGGGGAGAAGCTCCCCTTAGGATCCCACGCAATTACAGCGCCGGCAGATAGATAGAGAAATAAATAGGCGCGTGGATGGGAACGGGATCCGCGTACCGAGGTTGATGGGGACGCAGGTTGTACCTATGTATGTTCGTAGTGCACTCAGGGCGTATCACCTATAGTGTCGGATGGATAGATCTCCAGGTAGGGAGCAGCTCCAAGTACTCCCTCTTATTCTATCCTCTACCGCATCCCGCCCTCCGTTATTTTCCCGGCGACGAGGAAGACGAGGATGCCGTCACGAGGGCCTGTGTGACTTAGACAAGCTCCACATGCGCCACGGCTCGATTTGCAAGCCGGTCGATCCGCCATCCTGCTTTCGGGCAGGTCTCCTTCGCCTAACCTGCTCCCCCCCCGGCATACCAAGACCAGCAGCGCGTGGGGATCAGAGGAGCGGGACCGCCGCCTGTCTGTTGGAAAGCAGGCAGACCAGCGAGCGGGACGCTGAAAAGGGAAATTATTGGCAGGAGGAGGGAGGCAGACATAGAGAGAGACGGATCTGGACGTGTTTGTGTTTAATTCGCCAGGCTGGCCAGGCAGATTTCACGAGGGGGGAAGAGTTGACATGCCTCTTGTTTCAGCTCGTCGAGGCTGGGTGCGAGGGAGAGGAGGGGAGAGGGTGAGGCGGTAATACGCGGGATACGAGTCGGCCACGACGAGACAGCACTTGCGAACAGGGAGGGTAATACAAAAGGGACAAAAAAAGGAAAGAAATACGAAGGGAAATAAAGACGAGTAAATGTGTTTTTTTTATATTAATATATATATATATATATATATATATAGTATAGCAGAGAGAACTGAAGCCGGGAGAGAGGGAAAGAAGCCGGCAACAAGTTAGCGAGGCTGGTTGTGGGATGCGACAGGATGCGACGGGATGGGACAGGATTCCGGGACGTATGAGTAGAAAGGTAGGCTGGTATGTTATATGTTATGTCACTAGACAGCGGAACATGACGACGACCCAGGGGGGGAAAGGGACATCTCAACAGGTTTGGGAACGGTGAAATCTGGTACGGTCCCGGCGCAGCGGTCACCCGATCTGTCGGCTGCACGTCGTCGCTGTCACTGCTGTCGCTTGCTACGTCCCCATGCCCACCCCCCTTTCTCCCTGCGCGTCGGGTCGATACTGGGAGACAGCCCTACCGCGCAAGAGGCGTGCGTACGTGCTGGTTTTATCGCAGGTATGACGGAACGGATCGTTTTAGGGGTGCGATAGAGGAGGGGGGGAGGGTAAGGGTGAGGGTGTAAGGGTTGTAGGTAGGGGAGGGTGAGGTGAGGGTGTATACTCATAGGTAGGGGAGAGGAGGGGGGAGGGGAGGGGAAGAAACGGCGCTACGGGGAATAACTGGGTGGTGGTGCGGGCGGCAATTGGGCGGACGGGTGGCGGACGGGTGGTGCAGCCTGCGCAGCAGGTGCAGCAGTACAGGGGTATACACGTACCTAGGGTGGCTGCTATTTCCGCCAGCGGTGTTGGCAGGGTATCTAATTGGTATATATAGGTACCTAGGTAGGCAGGTTAGGTGTAGGCAGGTGGGCGGCGGGCTGGCGGGTGGCAGCAAGTGGTACAGGCCATTCTATCTTCTCATCCTACTCATTATCCATTTACAGATGCAGTCGATAGGTAATATGTAGGCACCTCCCAACGAGGCGCCTCGCCTTACACACACCACTCTGCACACACCACCACCCTTCCAACAACGGGACGCATTTACACGGAGCTATCCTGGTTTGTGTGCCAGTGGTATGCATACCCGCGTCGGGTGCTTTTCTCAACGGCCTGTCCTAGTCCGTGGGAGGGGGGAGAGGCTTTACCGCCAGAAGAAAAAAAAAACAAGCCAGAAAGTCATCGGGTGCTGCGCCTATCTACGTCTATCCCCGTACCCGTCGCTCGCCAGCCCTTCCTCGTCACCAGCATCATCAGCTCAGGCCAAGGATGCCTCCATCTGCCGTGTAGATGTAAGTGATTGGATGCGAGCAGCCCGCCCTAAACCCGACGTGTTGCAAGATGATAATAATGATGATAATACCGTAGTAAAACCATCCTTGGCATCACCGATCCCATCCTGTCTGCGGCCGAGTCTCAGGTCGGACGTGGCATGTAAAAGGGACGAGCGGTGGGTTTGTCCACGCGCCTCGTTGGTTAGACGGTTAGATATGCCTGTCTACTCAGTAAGTGCTGCGGCGATCCTGCTGTTGTTTATATCATCCCGTAGGCATTATTGATTGTCGCTTATTATTATTATTACTACTCTCAGTCAGGAATTGCGGTGATTGATTTTCCTTGTTGGCTAGCCTGCTTCTCTCTCTCTCTCTCTCTCTCTCTCTCTGCCAACCCGTCTGGTCTGACTCGCGCGCGCGTTGCCCGTTACCGCACCCAACAACGCACCACTTACACCTCTCCATCCACATGATGCCGCCGACATGCACATGCACGTTCGTCTGCTGGTGTCATAACATAACATATCATCGCGACACGCCCGCGGCAGCAGAGCGCATCCTCGAGTTCCCCTGAACACGTCCTCTCTCTCACACGTCCTCGACACACCTCTCTTCGCCTTCCCACACACCACACCACACCACACACCCGCCCACATCTACCTATACGTATACATGCACATACATACCTAATGTAGACACAACACACATCGTCGGGTAGCACTAGATGGGTGTAGGTTGGTTATATATTCCACCCACCCACCCCTTCCTCCCTCCCTCCACGCCTACATTATACCTATATATATACATATATATATTTAATATATGTACGTAGGTATGTATTATATATTTACATCTACACACATGCACACGCACACGCACACGCACCTATCTACTTACGGATTCCTGCCCAGTACCTCACGACGGACCGACAGATGCACCACTAAGTAGTTAGTGGTTTTCGTGAAGTGGTATGTATGTTAGGTAATTAGTTAACCTCCCCTGTCCTGCCCTACCTTAGCCTTACCTCACCTTACCTCAACCTCGTTGGTGATGCTCGATTGATCTCCCCCCCCCCCCCTTTTTTTTCCCTCTTCTCGCCCTCACCGCCACGAACAACCACCACCACCCGGGCCCCGAAAAGCAGATCATGGCAAGCTTGTGTATGCGCGTACACATAGGTACGTGACCGCAGCCGCCGCAGCGTCACGAAGCATGTCCCCGTCCGCCCTTTTTCGGCCTACTTCTGCCTATACCTGCCCACCTATGTGTACTATCTACCCTATTGCTACCCCTTCTCCTTTCTTTCCCCCCTCCTCCCATCCCCACAATCCCGTCCACCGTAGCCAACCCCTGCTTGGCTAACTAAACTGGCTGGGCTGGGCTGGCCCGGTTGGCTTCATATATGTACATACGCCTATGTATACCAACCTACACTTTTTCCTTCTTGTTTTTCGCTCCTCTTTTCTCACTTTTTTCGTTTCTATTTCTCTCCGTGTTCTCCTCTTTGCTCTATCGTCGGAGGTATAAATATCATATATCGTAAATAAATGAATACGTAGGTAGCATCTTCCCGTCCCGTGCATACCTATATCTCTCTCTTCGAGTTATACACCGGTCTATGCCTCTCCACGTCTTCCTCCCCTCTCCCACTTACACACTTGCACCATCCTCAATTCTTGACCCTCTCTCAACCCTCATTCCTCTTGTGATCGACCCCCCCCCAGGCCAAGAAGAGCTCCCTTTCTCCTCTGCGCTGCGTAACCTTCTAAGTCTCGGACTTGCCTCTATGCGTACGGACAAACTGCAACCCCCCCTCCCTCTTCTCAAAGAATACCTACCATCCATTTGCGGTAGCACTTCATATTTCCCGCTGTCTAACCGTTGGCCTAGTTGAAAGCGGACCTCAAACCCCAAACAACTTCTTTCCCCTACCACCCGCCTCGGGATCCGCCCTCCAAATCTACCTAACGTAGCATAAGGGAACGTCCCTCTCTCGAAACGCCCAAAAACCCCCTTCCTCTCTAGAGCCGAGGTATAGGTTCTAGGCTACCCCGTATTATGCCCGTGAGGAAAAAGACGGCGGCTTCTTACCTTCCCGCGGAGCGCCTCAAGTTCGTGTAGCCACGTGCAGCCTAACCTTCTACCTTCTCCCATTCCGAGCCGTCAGGACGGATGCGAAGAAGAGAGAAGACGGAGTGGCCCTGTCGGTGTTCGCGAGGCCTGCCATCCGGACCGGCAGACCGATCGCGAGCTGAAGCATGACACACCCGCGACGACCTCATTTCCTCCCCGAGCTTCTCTTCTGGCCACTGCAGAGATGGCTCCCCTAGCAGCGCTGCCGGACGCCGCCGCCGTCCTGACTCCGCGCGAATCCTCCCCACGGACCCCCGACCCCCGCGACCGACAGCTTCTGGCACTCATGTCCGTCTCGCTCGGCGTGGCTTCCATTAGCCTAGTAGCTACCCTATTCGCTTTCTACTGGTTCGTCAGGATGAGGCGGAGTTTCCGCCACGAGTAAGTGCACCGAGACCCCGAGGTTCCGGACAACGGAAGAGCAGGAGGTGGGGGGGGGGGGGGGGACTCCCAGCCTTCGGTGCCAGCTGCGGCATATTTGCGAGGAAATATCGGCTAACGACGTGGTAGCTTGATCCTGCTCCTCATCCAGAGCGACATGATCAAGGTATTCTGGCTCGCCATCGGGCCGCTTGCCTACTTCTGCGGCGCGTCTTTTGACTCTCAGTCCGCCCTCTGCCAGGTCTCAGGCTTCTTTCTCGCTGTCGGCATCGAGGCCTCCGACATCGCCATCCTGCTCCTCACCGCGCACACCGCCCTATCCATCCTGCGCCCCCAGCGCGTGACCGCCGGTGCTGCGGCCGCCGGCCTCCTCCCGTACCGTCGCGTCGTCTACGTCGCCTGGGCAGCTGTTTCCCTCTTGCTCGCTACCCTCGTCCCCGCCACTGGTGGCCGCTTTGAACGGGCCGACGGCGGCAGCGCCGCCTACTGCTATCTGCCTGAACAACCGACCTGGTACGCCAGCGCTCTTAGCTGGATTCCGCGCTACGTCATCTTCGGCGTCATCGTTGCCACCTACACCTGTCTGTATGTTTACGTCCGGTTTCAGATCCGCCGCTTCGGCCGCGACCAGAGGCGCGCGAGCCTGCCGCGCGGTTCAGACCGCGGGATAAAAAAGCACAGCCGCAAGCGTGATGGCGGAAGCGGCGGGACGGTGACGACGTCACCACAGCGGGCACTTCCGCCCCCGACGCCCCCAATCGCCGACCACGGGGGCCTTCTCGCCTCAGCACGGCCTAGCCTAGCCTTAGCCGCGGGCGAACGGGCGCCAGCCGCGAAGGGCCGCCAGCGCTCCGTGGCCTCAACTATTAGCACCCTGACAATCAGCGCCACAGAGCCGAAGCCGCCCGAGCAAGCACGAAGGAGCTCCATTCGGTGGAACACCGTGGACTTCGGCGGTCAGGACCCGACAACGACGATGCTGTGCGAGTCGAGTCTGCCCGCAGCAGTGGGTCCTACTTCGCCAACACTACTACCCGTCACACCGATTGATAGTCCTTCGCCCACATACCAGGCCCATAATGGTCCTCCCGCCATCGATCCCTGCTCCCCCGTTCGCTCTCCGCAGCACAGGGCTGAGTCTCCAGAGGCACGCGCACCAGTCCCTTGGACTCGCTCCCTATCCACCGGGTCGTGCAGCCCCGAGGATTCGGTGCTGCGGCGCGTCGTGGACAGCATCTCGCGGCGGGGCACCGTGACCCATATCCCTACCCCTGCTTCTGCTTCTGGTACAAGTCCTCCGACAGCGCCCGACGACGAGAGGGGTCATGGGCAGGACGGAGTAGAAGAAGAACAAGGTGGTGACAACGCCGTGTACCTCTCTCCAGCCGAGACCGACTCTGCGATGCGCTGTGCTCGCGCCCGCCAGCAGCGTCAGCTACGGCTACTATTCGCGTACCCGGCGGCGTTCGCCCTCGCGTGGGCGGCGCCGCTCGCATGCCACGCCGTACAGCTCTCTTCTCCCGCCCCATCATCTTCGGGCCCGCCCTTCGCCCTTCGCCTCGCTGCGGCCGCGACCCTGTGCGCCGCCGCGGCCGGTGACTGCGTCTTCTTTGGAGTGTGGGAACGGCCCTGGCGGCACCCACGCAGTGGGTTTTGGGAGGGCCTTGGGCGCCGGTTGCGATTCCCGGGGTCAGATTCGGGGAGGGGGTGGGGTATCTGGAGTGGTGGTGGTAGCAGCAATACGGGAGGTGGCGGCGGAAGTTGTAGAGGAACTAATGCTTGCAGGGGTGGGAGACCAGAAGCGGGAAGGAGGAGTAGAAAGACGAGGATAAGGTGGAGAAGAATGGGGGGGCGCTCGGGCGAGGAGAGGGAGGGAGGAGAGGACCCCGAGAGCGAGGCCGTGCGCGGGAGCCGGAGGAGCAGTAGAGACTTCCTTGCCACCGCTACTATCGCGGGAGTCGGACGGATGAGTGGCATAACCGCTGCTACGGCTACTGCTGGCGCAACTGCGTCACGGAGGCGTGAGTGGTGGGATGTGGTGGATGTGGGTTCCATATTCGACGACGACGACGACTATGAACGTTACGGTGCCGATGGTAATGATGCCGGTAACGAAGACGACTCCTCCGCTACCGTCACGGCTACTGCGTCTGCCCCCGGCTCGATAGCGGGGGATCCCCGATCAGAACGACGCGAGGACGAGAGCAGGGCGTGAAACGAAAGAAGGGGACGCCAGGGAATAATACGGGCAGTAATTAACGACGATTACGACGGTAACGATAAGCACGGAAATAGGGGCCACGCTGATGACGACCCGTATGAGTGGAAGAGCCCCGGGATGAGATGCCGTTAACGACCGAAGAACAGAGAGGAGGGGGTGGGGCGGGCCGCCTCGATAGAGCCTAAAGGGCTGTAAACTGCGCAGAGTCTTTCATATTTGGCATCGAAACAGGAGGGTACGACAGGACCGGAACGGGACTAGGCACAGGTGCATTTCTCTTTTCTTTTCCCTCACGGAGGGGCGTTATCATCGAGACGGCATCGGGCGAGATCACTACTACCTCGGTGCATTTAGCATATGCCGGTGACGGCGGCGGCGGCGGCGACGGCGACTCCCGTGATCGAGGCTGCGGTAGGACTGGCTTGGTTGGTTTCTTCATTGGACTGTTGGTCGGTCAGCTGGTTGGTCGGTTTGCATATGTAGACATACGCCCGGGCATCTATTGGATGGTGAAGGTGGTAACTGGAGGGACGGATGGACCGACACTTGCTTGATGTTCCATCCAGGAGGTAGGAGGGAAAGGGGAGCATTGGGCGGCGTTTCTTGACGTAGAGTAAGCGCATACACACGTACATACATATACGTGCATACATATGTAAGAATCGGCGAGTGTGCAGATGTTGTTGCATACACCACGGATACGATACGATCGTCGTAATGACGGGCCGGTAAGGCTGTTACTACCTATCTGGGTAAGCAACACGTGCGGCCAGCCAGTGAGCACCAATGAGTATCGACGGACGAGCGATGAATATGTTATATATCTACACAGGCGCATTAGTTCGGGCGGTAGTAGGCAAGATGTATAGATGCGCGATCTGAGATATGCCGCAGCTATGGGCGTTACACCGGCAGTCGAACAGCTTCATCTTTGTGGTATATTTAAAATTTGTTGTAGGTATCGTGATAATAGTAAACGCCATCGGTCTCGCCGTAGAGCATCAGGCCCGTGACAGAGGGCCTACCAAGCGCGGTCACGGACTTCGAACCCGTGAGGCTGCCATTGGACACAAGCAGGGAAGCGCGCTAGGGAACTGGGCGCTCCGTTTAGTACCTAGCTGTCGCTGAGCGGAGAGGTGAACCGACCCCCCAAGGTGGCATCGTAGACCGTGATAACCATACGAACGACTAGCCTAGGCTCAACGGCCGATCCCACATTGTCCGCGTCCACCGATTGTGATCATCGACTTGATATCCATGAGGTGTATCTTTGCCTACGACGTTGTCCCCAAAGGCGAGCTTTTCGTATGGGTGGGCGCTTTGTTTTTGGTTTTCTCGTTTTTTAAAATTCCCTTCCCAACGTGCGTGATGCTTCGTAACTAATACTCACGTAGAAATCGCAGGAACGCCCGAGCGACGGCAACACCGTCATGCTTGTTGGCGACGCGGCGCATGCCGTCTTCGAATACGTCCACGCTGAGGATGCCACCGTACCGACGCATCTCGAGGATCTCTCGCACAATCTCCTCGTTGAACTCCGGATGGCCCTGTACCGTGATTACTTTCCGCGGTATATACATGGCCTGCACGGGGCAGGCCTCAGTGCGAGCCAGCGGGACAGCGCCTGGCGGGTACGAGAACACCGCATCTCGGTGCATTTGATGGATCGCCTGCGCGCGGATGTGCACATGCGTTAGTACAAGCTCCCGAAACGAACGCGCGGGGGCGTGAAGATGGGGTAGGAAGGTAGATAGAAGGGAGAGCAACCATTTTTTCCAGACCGAATAATTTCTTGCCCTCATCGGTAAGCTTGTGCTCCGTGACGCTCAGCTCCCAGCCATTGCGGCTCTGGCCAACGTGGCACCCCAGAGCGCGGCCAACGATCTGGTGGCCGAAGCAGATACCGACAACGCGGACGCGCCCACCATCAAGGCACTTCTTGGTGTACTCCACGAGTCGGAGGATCCATTCGTCGTTGTCATACGCCGAGTACTTAGCTCCAGTGATAAGGATGGCGTCTATAGTCGCGGGGTCGGGGTAGGACGACAGGTCGTTAACAACGTCGTGCGATGACAGCTCCAACAATGATGATAACGGTACCGGCGGGCTCAGGGATGCGCATGCCCGCTCGAACAGGTGCTTAAACACTCCGCCGTACGAGCCGAACTTGGCCTTGGCGCCGGGCACCGGCGTATCGGCCTCAAGGACTGCGAGGCGGACCGGGGGGATGTATACGGAGCCCATCGCGTTTACAGACAGGGATATCCGTTTGTGTGGGATGTGCGCGGGACGTGCGTGGGATGTGCACGAGGCGTATATGGATATCGGCTGCTTGCGGCGGGCGGCAGCGACAGGCTTGGGAGGCGAAAGGCGGTATGAGCAGGGGATGGCGAGGGCGAGGCGTGCTGGAGGCGTGCGGGAAGGGCTTCGAGGAACAAAGAAGGGAGTGGCTAGGACGTAGTTGGTAAGCAGGGGGGAGGGCGTTAGGTCGAGGAGATGCCGCAGCTAAGTTGGCTATGGAGAGGGTCGAATAGACTAGGGACGGAGTTTGCCTGGAACTTAGTGATAGTCCCCCTTCTTATATCCTCACGATTCGCGGACGCACTCGGTCGTGCGACACCTACGAGTGCGTCGGTAGGCAAGCAAGCCCCTCTCCCTCTCCCCCCCCCCTTTACTGACCCATCCACAGCAGGTCTGCCAGCAGTCGAAGAGTTGAAGCAGATGCGGGTGCCCCTCTCGCCCCTCTCGCCCCTCCTCGCGGACGTTCATGGACGATTGAGCAGCTGGCTCCTTCGCTCCTCAACGACGGTCGAGCCCAATGGGTAGGTTGTTGTTCCCAGTATCATGCAAGTGTACATCATGCACATGTGCCAAGACTCCTAGACTTGTCGGATTAGAGTCGCTGTCGGAGCTAGAAATGTGAACGGTGCATGTGTGGTGGGGTGGGAGGAAGAAAGGGGGAGAGAGGGGGCGAGGAGATGGAGGTGGAGATGGAGATCGAGGTAGACAAGCCGCCGTCGCCGATAGGGCAATGAGGCCATTACATAATCGGCTCCGTCAGTATTCGGAGGCAGAACCCAGGGCGGCAGTGTATTTCGTCATAGGCCGAGCAGGGACTTACCCCGTACATTTCTGAGTACAGACACGTAGGCCCTTACGTAACCCGGAATCTCAGGTACCTCCGACAGCAGGGACCTGCTCCACGGACCTGCCGAGGAATGGAGGGTCGGAAGCCCGCTGGAATGTGCCCCTCAGCCTAAGGCAAGTGCTGCCTCTCGAGGGTCAGGAAGGTGGGAGTTGGTGGGTAGCAGAGGGAGACAAAGCAGAAGGTACTTACCTAGGGTACACGTAGTGCCTACCTCCCGTATAGACCTGTACATACCTAAAGGTACCTACCATCTACCTACCATCTACCATCTACCTCTCGCATACCTAGAAGGTAGCATACAGCTAGGAGCCCCTGTGTTAGGTTAGGTAGGTAGGCACCTAACCTCCTAGCCTAGGGCACCTAAGATACCCGACCTATACTGAGTAGGTATGTACCTAGGTAGCCCGCAACCGTATGCCCCGGCGGCCACCCAGGTACCTACTAGGTAGATATCCGTAGGATGTGCCGCGGAAACCTTAGGCCCGCACCTATAGAGGGAGGTACCTACCTCCCATGTATCACGCCTGGATGCGGCGGGCACGGTGTGTTATACATTCCGTGTTATACCTACCTAGACCTATCTACCTACCTGTACCTACCTATCTACATTAGGTTGTAGGTACCTTGGGCCATGCACTACCTCCTACTTCTAGGTCAGTAGGTAGGTCCGTGTCGCCCTCGGGTACGTACCTAGGTGCGCACACGTCGCCTACATAACGCGTGTAGGTACCTGACGGACGATGTACCTGCGTGTTATACCCAACTTATAGGGAATTCGCGCTATATGCAGCCCTCAGCTCTGGAAAGAGGCACTCACCACCACCACCTGCAGCTCCCACAGAGGCGCTAGGCCAGATGTGGACACAGCTTGGACCGGGGCCATTCACGGTCCAATGCATGCGCCTATCCGTGTCTGTGGCTAAAAGGGGGGGGTGAGACCAGGGGTGTGATAAACCCGCCTGGGAAGAAGGACGGCTCCCACCGTGAATCACCATGGATGCGCCTTGAATGGAACGGTACGGCACACGCACTTTTGCGGCTCAGGGAGTAAGATGTGGCTATCCAGCCTCTGATTCGCTCCCGGGCCTCCATGTCTCATATTCCAGCCATATATATACACGACATGCTCGCCTAACTTGCCTTTCTTCTCTGCAAAAAAATATACAAGACACGGCCACGATACCGGCAATAGCCTTCCTCCTCACCTTGCTAGGCTTAGAGAAGCGTGCTATTTTCGGAACAAAGCTTACCAAGGCTTCGCTCCCTCGGAAATAAGAGGATCGTCTTCCTCTTTGGTTTTTTCCCGCCCTCGCTCTCGTCCTTCTTACTCTGCCGCCCTACTTGGTATTCGTCGTCCCAGCCAATAGCGCAGGCCGGGGCAGGGGCCGGGCGGCTTAACCCATGCCGGATTGACACATTGTTATATGCTCGGGTGCTGTACATCCCGTAAATCGAACAATGAGCATCCGAGAACAGGAAGGGTCTGTAGGGGGCCCATTCGCTGAAGCGCCCGTGCCGGGTCGGCAGCTCGGGAGAGGGAGGGGGGGGCGGAGGGGAGGGGGGAGGGGGGAGGAGGAGATCTCGTCGGGTGAAAATATGCTCTCGCAAGGTTCGTCTACAACATGGCAACTATCCGCGAACATGGGAATTGCTTCGAGGCACATATCTATAGGAGAGGGCTCCACTCTGCCCGATATTGCGTCTGTCGACCCTGCAATGCTACATCCATCCTGGGGAAGACGTGCCTTGGTCTCGGGGTCTGTCCCGCCCCTGCGGCGTTTGCTATTGGTGTGGGGGGAGCTCGGCCAGTTGGCCGACATTCTCTTGAGTGTGTAGGATATGCAGTAAGCAGCCATTTGTCGTGGTACTGCGGTAGTGCCACGTCGGATGGGGGTGTATTTAGATTGCCGTGCCCGATTTAGGAAGCCATACAGACACACATTTGAGTGCCAGAGCGACGAGGCACCGCGCAGAGCAGTGACACCCTCCGAGTGATGGAACCAGGATAGATTTCCACGACGAGCTGTCCCTCGCCCGTATCTGGCAGCACGATCGGCGGTTATGCTAGAAACCCTGTTCGTCCGACCACTGAACCGGTCCATGCACGTTTCCTGCGTCGTTTCACGGACGGCTATACCGGACTTCGAAAACAAATAAGCTGCCGCATCCTGGCTGCTCTTCCTGGATGAGAACAGGGTACACTGTAGCCTGTAACAGCCCTAGGTAAGTAACCTACCACTTACTTTTCTCCCACCAACGCTTGCAACGCCCGCAACGCCCGCCCGTCTTCCCGCGGCATGAGGCTTGGTATAATGTGTCAGGCTTAGCAAGCCACGGGAGGAGAGCAGCACATCGTCCAGAGACGCCGTGAGGCCCTAAGAAGGCGGGTTAAGGGCATGTCGATTTCACGGCCTAGGCGACAGCCTACTCTTCCTTTGTGGCTAAAGTCGAAAGCACGAGCGGGGGGGGAGGGGAGGCGACTATCCCAGACTATCATAAAAGGCTCCCCCTTTCTCCATTCGGCAGGAATCGGGTCCTTCCTGCTGATGGCGCCTTTTCTGCGTTTTGGCGGGATAGCCGCGTTCTGCGCGGAGTTGTGACGGTCCACGGGGTTGAGTGGGTGCATATTCTAGCTCGGTTGCGAGATAACCTCACGGAGTAGAGCCGGGCCACACCAACGTACGAAGGGGGACGATGTGAGATGCGGAGCTCCGCATGCTTAAGCAGGTAGCTGTCAGAAGGATGAACTCGGTACCAGATGCTGGCCAATCCGAATTTGACAGGTCGATGGTATTCTCTGCGAGGTGATAGAGATAAACTGCCCCGGATCGACATATCCCACCTCTAAGCGAGAGAGCGAAAGGGCGAGAGGGCAAAGCTATGTGACCAACCAGGGTCTTCCAAAGGAGCGAGATCGATGGTATGATCACCGGGAATGCTGAATATGCAAATGTGAGGTTCTTTCCAATATCCCTGACGACGTTGTGACCCCCCGGGCGATCTCGGGGTGTAGCATAGCTCCTAAGGGCATCTTGTCTATCCCCCCTCAACTTGGGCTTGATGGGCTGTTGGGATACAATCAGAAGCACCTATCTAGCCACGCCCTGAGTGGTTTCTTGGCGGCAGCGGGACACACAGGGTTGGGCTGTGTAAGGTAAGCTTTACGAGGAGTCGGTATCTCGATAATCTGGCTAGATCTAGTGGGTATGTCCAAGCGGAGCTGATGAGATCGGACGGATCGATTTGAGGCACTTACGGGCGTGGTTAACATGAGGACTATGCGGGAAAATACGAAGTTCCTTTCGACTTCTTTCATCGAATCCGGCGTTCTATGAAGTTCTAGACGGTGATGATAACGGCTGAATCTGGAGGTCAGGTAGCTGAGGGAGGTCAGGTCATCTTCGGTGTTTCTTTGGCCCCAAGCCGTGAGACGCGCCAAGGGTTACATACCTGAAAACGGAGTGTATGTTCGAGGCTTTATAGACCTACGTGACAAAACGATTTCCGTGTAGTGAACGGCAAAAATCAAGATATCCGGGGTAAGCTTAATCCGCTGGAGTTTCGAGTATTCCCGATTGCGCCGGGGTGGCCGTGATATCGAGCAAGAAACACCATGTCCGACAACAGGATACGCACCCCGAAGCCTCGAGAAGGGGAACAATAGGGGCGCAAATGAAAATTCGGGTGATGTGGTTGTTAAGTAACTGGATAAGGCGCGAATATTAGGTACCGGACCGCGACACACACGTCTGGTCATATTGCCCTGGAAAAGCTGTCGTATTAGCTACTAACGAGTAAGGGGGAATGAAAAGAATTGTGGGAACGAAGGGATCGGGTCTACATTAAACTAAGCTTAGTCGTGTCTGGAGGATGACATCAGATACGTTTGAAGGCATCAACTCTTTGGCTTAGCATCGCATCCTTGACTATGGGAGGATGAGGTATAAAAAGAATGGTGAAGAGGTATATACTAGTAGCTCGGACATAGGCCCCGATAATGTATCGATCGTGGTTGGATGGTTGACAAGGGCATAGACGGGTCCGATCGTGAATAATCGGGATTATCGACGAACCGATGCCCACTTGTTGGTGCGGCGTCAGAAGTGGCTGATTACCGCTCCGGATGGGGACAAAATGGCGTCTTCCCGCCAAGAAATTGCAGAATAAAACGGGGCCGCGTCCCAACTACCAATTTCCCTCCCCAAAAAAAAAAGAGGCTGTGCATGTATGAGTAAGTAAATCTAAATAATAATATGTACTGGTTACGTATATGAGTATACGGATTCGGGCACGGTGCATACAGCGATATCAACACCGTGTTACGGGCGAGAGCGGACGCGTCAAAAAGATAACGGAGATAACACGATAATAGATAATAGATAAGCCTGCGGGTATCTGGCCGAAACATAATCGCTCCGATCTCGAGATCCTATCGTTATCAACATCGATGTTCCGCCGTCTCATAAAAGTCATGACAGCCCAACAATCTGGTTGATGAGACGTCTCGGCCGTCATTCTCCACCGCTTGGGGCCACTTCGAGGTCGATAATTGACTGAGGCGAAGAAAAAAACAAGGAAAAAAAGCTGCCCCCTCGGAGGAAACCGGGCTCGTGTATGTACCTGGTCGAGAGCTCATCCGATGCTGGCGTGGTTCGTAACCAACTGAGACCGCCTTACCGTCGGCGTTGATTCGGTGATCGGTGGATTCACAACACCTGATTCACGCTACGATCACCGCTCAACATCGCGTCTGAGGCCGACGGGCTGGTGCCGGAGCCAGGAGAAAATTTTGCATGTGCTCCTTAGATTGCTCGCATTGGTCGAACCGCTCGTACACTCAGCTGTCGACGCTGGCATCCGACCCACCTCCAGCCCGGGTCTTGCCAGCTCAGGGGGGTCCCGCGACGGACACGGCGTATCTACCTATATAAGGCCGGTGGCTGCTGTCGACGACTGCGAGTCTGGATATTGGGAGTGTCGACAACGTGTCTTGTGCCTTTCGTTGATCATTCTGTGTACTTCTTTTGCTTATGCCCATGTTGCACGTCATGGAGCGCTCACAGCTATCGATAGAAACGCTCCCAAACGAGGTACGGTGACACCCCCCCTCGTGCTTATGACTCATTGTTGGTATTAACACCCGGCCCCTTTCCGAAGATCGTTATCCAAATACTGGGCTCCTTCTCGACTCGCTCGCTGCTACCCCTCGCCGCTGTCTGTCGCCGTTTCCATGGGCTGGTAGGCCGCGTCCATTATGCTCGTCTTGTCAGAGCATCGCGAATGCAGGATCATGAGGTGATCCTCGAGTGTTATCACCCGAGCGAGAAGCTCTCCGCGCCGTCGCTATCCTGCGAGTACCTGGGGACGGACGGTCTCTCCGAAGCAGCCGACGATGCTAACCTAGGCGTGCTCCACACCCTGTACGCACGGTTCCGTCCGTATCTCTCCTATGAGAACTACAGACCTCGCAGCCGATGGCAGACCGGGGTTCAAGCTGGAAGCGCATTGGACCCAGCCACTCGAATGCCCTCTCACGAGGTTAGCCTGGAATCGGGCGAACTCTTCTCCCAGCTTTGCACCGGGGCCAACCTGGCCAAGGTGGGACCAAGACGTGGTTTGTTTTCCAGCAATGCCAACGTTGCGGATGGCGTGATTCGCGTGTGGCGCGACTGGCTCCAGCGCGAGGCGGCAGACACGGCGGCGAGGCAGCAGCAGCAGCGAGCGGGTTCGAATTTGGACGACCCGTCCATTTTATGGATTAACTCGTCGAAAGTTGTCGGCTTGAGGTTCCGTGTTGTCGAGGATGAGAGCGCGCCTGCTCCGATCCTCGTTGGACCCGACGACGAGCCACCAGTCTCGTACTCTTTAGAGTACCAAGGTACGTTAGACTAACGCCAGCCGATGGCTGATCGGAATTCAGCATGGACTGACGTACTTGTCGCAGAGCTGTTCGTGAGAGCAGATTGGCTATTGCTCAGCTTTGAAAATTCCGAAGCCCAGCAGGCCACCCAAGCAGGTAAAGCAGTTGTGATTGCATCCATATGAAGGGCGGACGATTGCCCAGAATCCCGAGTGTCCCGAACCACGATTTCTGGCTGGACCGCACTAGGCCTTCCGCATCATCCCACGCAGAATACAGACCACTACCACCATCCACCTTCCACGGATAACCGATCTCCATGCACGGTATATCTACGAGACGGGATTCGCGCTCGCGTCTCGAATCGCAAGACGGTCGAAGGCCAACAAAGCTGTTGAACAAGCTCCACTGGCGTGGGAGCGACCGCACATGGTTCTAGTGGACTGATGCGATGCGGAGGGCACAGCGACCATCGCAAGTTGCCTTGGCGGATTCTGGCCGCATACCGTTCCCCGGCCGGATATGAACCGGCACAGCACTGGGGATTCTAGGGATTGTTATCTCATTGATTGTGACTAATAGGGTCTGTTTACCTCACGGGAAGCGGCGGCGCCCCTCGCCAGCCGTGCAACGCCTTCTTGCAATACTCCATACCATCGACGCCACGGTTCCAAACAATGTTTACTGCGCTCGTTACGTAACCGGCCTGTTACGATAGAACTAGACGGATTGGTTAACCGGGTAGCGGAATTAGGAAAGGAGGGAATAGAGCGGGAATATGAGAAAGTAATGGGCACGGTTGCCGGCCGAGTGGGGGTTGACATGAGCGTGCCATTGCTCGGCCAAGACCAATTAATGGGATGGACAATGGAGTCACTTATCGGGCTCATAAATATGAGATGTGCTAGGTCGGGTAGGAAAATGTGCTGATTTTCTGTCATGGAGGGGGATAACCTAGAACTTAGATATCCAATAGATTAGATGGTTGACCGCCCCCTGTTACCGTTTGATGTTCTGGGTCGCGGCAAGCGAGGGGACTTCGAGAAGCCCTACGATGGTGACGACGGGTCGGATCACACCGCCTCGACAGCCATACTGAAGCATATGCGGACTGGCCGCCGTAGGCAGGTACTTGCGTGGCGGCGATGCACGGCATGAACACACATCTTTTGTCGCGTGGGACCAACTCGACACGGTTAGGGCCGTGGCTCTCACAGCTGTTCCCGGGTTCAAGTGTGCGTGATCTACGTTATCGCCGGCGCTCGTCACGGCTCTACCCATAGTGAGTATCTTGCGAAGCGTGTGTGACCCGCGTTGAGACGGCAGACCAAGAGGAGCGTGCTGGGGGGGGGGGTCAGGTTCGTCACCCACGCCTTGGCAGTCTACCTATCGGAGTTTTGGCAGCCATCGCTGGTCACAAGCTACGTGCATGACAGGCGCACGTACGCTGACCCGGTGCATTGCCGCTCGGCGCTCGTCGGTCGGTGGCTGCACGGTTCCTGCATGAGCCGTAGATGGCGCAGAACAGGACGGGCAATAGGAGTAGATGGACGGGGGTGCTGGTGGCACCCACGAACGGATGGAGTGGTAGCGCGCACGGCACCGAGTCCAGGGGGGGATTGCCTGTCTAGGACTCTGTCTCTCGCCAATACCGATAAGCTTACCTGTGTCTGTCCACACGCCTGCAGTTGTCATCTGAGCGATAATTCTCCGAGCCCACGAGGTGGTGAGACCTTACCCTTCCCTTGCCTCGGCCGGCCGACCGGGACGGTGGTTTACTTGTACGGGAGACAGATAAGCTTCTTATTTAAACGAATGGAGATCGAGGGGGGGAGGGGAACATATTGGCAGCGGTATTGTTGCCATAAGCATACCTGTTATATATGTGTGTGGGTATCTATATAGTATATTATATATATATATATATATATATATATATATATACTCACATATGAGGATGGCTTCCGGAACGAGAATCTCGTTTCGCGCGGTCTGCGTATTCTTGCCCTCGGTAACTAACACCGGATAGTACTGCTCTCTACGTGCTGCCCCAGCTGATTCGGCGGCAGCACACAGAGCACAGGACTAACCATAGATAAGCTGCCCGCTTCTCGGCACCAACGCACATAAAAGTCGTCAGAGAGAGACTCAAGCAGGTGTAAGCGATATTTGCGCTCGTGCGCGGCTGGGCGGCGCTGCATGCCGGCGATAATACGAGCACAGCAGCAGCATACATATATACCACCTTCAGGAGCGAGATGACCAGCTTGGTGACAGCACATAACCTGCGGCCAGCACGCGCATAAGAGATATGTAGCATCGAAGCGTCGGTCAGAGGTGACATAACTTACGTACATAAAACTACATCACCCTTATGTATGTACGTATGCATACATACGTGTGAACATATTTGCACGTGCGTGCATACTAATACATAACCTGCGTAAGCTACCCCCAAATGGGAATGGTGGCAAAGCGACGCGGGAGGATCCGCGACGCCTCAGGCGAGTTTCAGTCGGGTGGCTCGAGCGTCGTCGAAGAGAAGACAGGTTCTTCGTTATGACAAAAGCCCCAATCGCAAACCTCGCGACAACCGGGATGTCCGTCTCTACATACACACAGACAGACAACACACACACACACACAGAGACAGAGAGACAGAGAGAAACGAGTAACGCTTAGCACACACACATACTCATACATGCTACATACATCTGTCCGGCTTCCTCCCGCTGCACGCACCGCGTAACCACGTTCAGACCAGAGGTAGCAGCCCGTGACGGCAGATCTTCGATCTGATCAACTCCGCGAGGCCACAGTCCCGTTTCCGTGTCTCTGGAGGGAGGGGAGAGCGTCCCCGCGCCACGCTTGGCCTCCCAACCTACTACGTCCTGCGTAGGAGCGCTACATAGGTAAGTCAGGATGTGCCCGTTGGGGCTGCCCGTCCGCCGGTGGGAAGAGACTGTACTAGGGCTGTGCGGTGTGATGCCCCCTGCCGCGCCGTGGCTGGGGCTTGATTGACGATGTAACTCGAACTGCATGCGACGGTAGCACATCCGGGAAGCAGCACACTTCTGTCTCACCGGCGAACGGACGATGATTGACGACGCAGCAGACCCGGCACGACGAAGAGGCCAAGCGGGAAGACGTGATAGTGCTTTGGTCGGGCTCGACACTGCCGGCCACTCGCATCGCGTCTTTCTCGGTTTCCCCGCCACAGAGAGCCGGGTTTGTCCAACTCCGAGCCACAAATCCTGGCCTGGCGATCTTGTAGACGGCGGTATCCTTGCCACTTTTGCGCGAAGGGTTGATGGGCTCAGCGCCCGTGATACCCAGGAAGAACCACGACGATCTCGCTCCCCCGAAAAATCGTCCGTGCCATCCTGCACCTGGACGGGGACCGGGTTGGTTTAGAGTCATATCGACATGTCCTCTTTCAGAGATGGATTTTCACTCCTTCTCAAAACTTTCTCTTCTCATCGTTTCTTATTATCCCGCGCTGCGCTTCCCTTCGCCCATCCCCCCTCCCTTCTCTTTTGCGTTTTCGCTTCGTCGAAGTTGATCTTCGTGGGCCCGGTTGCCCTTTGTTCGATACGTAGTTTTTATTCTCATTCATTCTATTATTTTCGCGGCTACGAGGTCCTCGTAATTGTGCTCATTAATCGCCTACGAGTTGCCTTCACCGGCTAATGTTGTGACCAATCAAACTGCCTGTCCTGGACGTTTCGAAAACGATTGCCGGATATCTGCTCGCGGCAGGCAACCGATCGACAAACAATAGGGGAGAGGGGGAATCAAGCTCTACCGAGTCACGATGGAGAATCAGGATTCGGCCAAGCCAGGAGACCCAGCGGCGGAAACATCTCAAGTAGGGAAAAGTGACCTCGCATCGCAGAGATCGATAATATACGACCGGAAAGCACTCCCACCGCTACCACTCTTATCGCCACTACCCAAGTCCCAAGACAATACCCCCAATGTCGACAATGCGAATGCGAATAGCGATCAGGCTTCGTCTACCTCGATCGCCCTCGAGTCATTGTTGGAGGTGTTAGGAAGGAACAGGGGGGGAGCGAAACCGTCGTCCGAGACACCAGAGATGAGGGAGCTCCCCCCGCCACCGATATCAAAGGATCCGCCTCGGCCGGCGACGGCGGCAACCACAGCGACTGCATCGAGCATGGAATCGAAACGGGCGATCAAGTACGGCACGGGGAGGCACGCAAACACCGAGCTCTCTCCGCAGCCCAGCGAAAAGCCAGAGGATCCTTTAGTAAGCCAAACCCGGAGGAAGAGGGATGCGAGCTGCAGGTGACGAAGACTAGCTGACCACGAACCTCGCCCAAAATTAGAATTGGCCGTTGTGGAAGAAACATCTAAATTTGCTCGCGCTATTATCCATGGTTGCGCTTGTTGGGGTGATGAAGACGGCGTACATCAGCGTAAATGGAATCATCGCGATGAGCGAGGACGTCTCGTACACAGCCGCAGTCGCCCTGACCGGCGCGCCGTTGATACTGTCTGCGGTGACCGGGATGTTATCCATGGTAGTAGCGAAAATATGGGGGAAGCGACCCGTATATCTAGTTTCGATGGTACTGATATTCTGGGGAGTAACTTGGAACACGCACGTAAGGGGGAATCTGGGGCAGAACATGGCAGCGAGGGTATTCCAGGGATTGGGATGGGGGGCCTTCGACACCTTAGTCCTGGGGTCTATCCAGGATACATATTTCGTGAGCAAGACTCTGTCGAAAATCCGAGTCGGGTTGAGGATCTCGCTCCGCTAACCCGTCTAACCCAGGAACACGAACGGCAATACGTAATTGTGGCCCACCACGCCGTGAGCCTCCTCACGATGCTGGGCTCTCCCCTGCTAGGCGGCGTCGCCTCCGCCGGTCCCAGAAGCTTCGAGGTGCAATTCGAAATCATGAGCGCCTTCTTATCCGTTTCCGTTTTATTAATAATATTCGCGGCCCCGGAGACCGCCTACGATCGTGTGTTAGAACCCGAGGGGCAAAGTCCCACCATAAGCCGCTCGCAAGCCCTCGTGCCGGTTGTGACGTACACCAAGGAGGCCGCTCTGGAATACCTGGCCACCATGAAGCCTTGGTCGTATCAGGCGAGCGAGATAAATATGCGGCTGATCTTACAAGCGCCTCGTGCGTTAGTCGCCCCGACGAACGGCCTCCTCTTCGCCGTAACCATTCTGCCCCACGCCGGTCTCTGGGGGTTGGCAGGTTCGCTATCGCTCCTCTTTACGCCTCTTCCCTTTCTCCTATCGTCGTCATCCCTCGGCGCCTTGATGACAGGCCCGTTCATCGTTGCTGCTCCCGTCGGCATCGCGCTCTCTCTGCCCATAGCGCAGAGGTATTTCAGGACGACTGTCCACCTCGGCACCCTCGCCGTCGGCGGTGCCCTAGCCTCCGTCGGCCTACTCGGATTCGGGCTGTACCTCGCAGCGGCGATGGAGATGCCGACCGACGGCTCGGCCGGGCCGTCGAGCACGCCGTGGGATCTCGGGTTCTTAGGCGACCGCGTCAGCCTACCGGTAGCGTCGTTCCTGTTAGGCCTGCTCGCAGCCGGGTCGCTCGCTCTCGACGCGACGACGAGACCCGTCATCCAGCGATCGACAGCCTTCACGTCGGCGAACCTAGCCGCCAGTCTGCGCAGCACGGCGGACATGCATGGCGGGCTGGCGTGCCTGCGCAGCCTCGTAGTGGGCGCATTTGTGCTTGGCCTGCCGAGCGCCATCGTCGCGTGGGACGGACTCAAGTCGGTCGCGCTGGGGATGGGCGTAACGCAGATCTTCGTCATCGCGGCGGTCGCCGCCGTGTACTGGTACTGGGACGAGAACGTGCGACGCCTCGACGGGCTGGTCATGGGTCTCGTGGACCTAGACGAGCTGAAGCGCCCGTCGAGCTTTTTCGATGCGGACTGATAGGCGGGGACATGAACAAGTTTTATTATTTAGGACCGGGGGGAAAAAAAATCAGATACCAAGGGCAATGGCGACGAAAAGGGGTCGGGGGGTGGAGAGCCCAGACGGATGAATGGACCGACTGAATTTGTGTCGGATAATGGAAACGTTCTTTTTTTTTCTACCCCTATCCACGAACTTATCCCGATTTAAGAGAACACTACCCAGCAGCTCTGTTACAATCCCACATATGTATACCCTCCTCTCTTTCTCAATGCATTTTTCCGTCAACTGAGGGGCACCACCCCGAACGGATCTCTCTGCCATTTGTTCTTGCATCTAGAATTTTACCCTTTACCCTCAAGGGTCTATGTCTCCCGTTTGCGAGCGCGTGCGGCGCGGCCCGCAGGTTGCAGGCGAGGGTCTAGAATTGCGAGTACTTACTGGCAGATCTCCCGCGTCGCAGGCGCCCACGCGAATCGGGGACACCGCACAACGATCGTCTCTCAGGTCGTGGACCACGAGGTCATTTGTCTTCGCTGCTTACATGTCTACGTCCGATAGTCGCGAGATCTCCGAGAGCGTTCCCGCCTTTGACGGGCGATCAGGCTATGCAAGACCTCCCGTAGCGTGCCACGCGACCGCCCCCGACACGCCAATGTGAGATGTGAGATGTGAGTTGTATGTATGTATGTATGGAGCAAGCCGAGCCGAACTCGTCGAGCTCCCTCTTACGTGGGAGAGCCGACGACTCGCCGATCCGCCACGCTGCTGCGGCTGCATAAGATATGTGCATGCATGTACATATACATATGTATGTATGGACCTGACAATAGTATAGTACCTAGTGGTGTGAGTATGTACATGTATAACTATGCGGATCTCAGGGCACCCTAAACGGAGCCCCGCGATTGGTCGATTCAACAAGGGCACGAAACGCAACGACAACAGGTTTAGCTTCTGACGTTTTACATGCCTTATTGCCTGAGGCAGCGAAGCAACAGGAGCGAACCCGACCACAACGCACACGTAAATACCTAGCAGTTGTTCGCCCGCCTCGCCCTGTACGGCATGATGGCCAACTCCGAGAAGCCACAGTTGTTCGTGAGAAAAGGCGTGGGTATTTCTAGTCTTCCTGATCCCCGAAGACCGGCATCGAAGCCGAGAGCCCGCAAAGGTCGCTGCCGTCGGAGACCGACCTCAGCCGAGGACGACAGCTGACGTCAGTGGCTTCGTCAACGCGGCAGGCTATCTCCGGCCGGCATCTTGTACCGAGAACTTCTCCAGGCGCTCAGCACCTTCTCGCAGACCTGGTGGGAGGCCTGAAAAACGTCGCCAGCGAAGCTAAACGACGAGGCCGTGGCTTGCTCTTGTTAGACCCGGGCGGACCGACGACGGGCACGGGCACGAATTGCTCCCGCTCTGGTTTGGGTAGCTCCGCGGGCTCTCGTGCTCTGAGACGGAGCCGTGGAGGCCACCCGGGCGACAGATGGGCTCTCCCGAGCCTGAGCCAAAGCGTCGGCGGTGGCTTGTCCACGAATCGACTCGGCGGTTGTAGGCAGAACGTATCCTGGACGGAGCTCAGTGTGGTAGTATTACGGCTTACGATTCAGACAGATAAAACTCAGTAGAAAAAGCTTGATTCTTCTAGGTTCTTTAGCGAAGCTAAAGCTAAGAGCTAAAGGCTAAAGGTTCTATGGAAGCTTACGGGAGCGGCTAACTTATCCTCCTATCTTTCTATCTTATTACGACATACCCGGTCCCCGAGTTAGGTAGCTCTTAGTGCCCTTAGGTCTTATATTTTATATTACTTTTCGCTAGAAAGCCTTAAGTAGTTAGGGTACGTTTTATTATAGGATTTCTTTTAGTTCCTAGGTTATTTCGTTATATCCTAGTTATTTAACTTAGTATTATTTATGATTATATAATTCGCGGGTATCTAGTATTTTTTCGATAATATAGGTCTCGTAGTCGTTTATATATAAAGAACCTAGTAGTAGTAATGATTTCTCGGGATTTACGATGGCTTTTTTAAGGTACTAAATATTAATAACTAGATATTATTTTAACTATAAGGGGAGTTTTAATTCGTAACGATAAGGAGATATCTTTTATATGATTCGAAAGGGGCTAACGTAAGTAAAGGAGAGTTTCGTTTAGTTGTTTAAATAGTAGCCCCTTTTTTTTAGCTTAGCTAGTTTTATATATACGAAGTCTTAAAGGTCTATAAGTAAAGTATGTTTAAAATCGTAGATAAGCTTTATCTTTACCTCTATAAGGCGAATTACGTCGTAGGCGTCCTATCTATATTATACTTATATGGATATAAAGTCGTTAGATGCTAGTAGATTAAGTAGAATTTAGAATTATTTAGGTTCGATCCCGTAAAGGATTTAGAAGGAGGAGAGTTTAGTAGTATCGTTAATAAAGGTATTTAGTACTGCTAAAATATAAAGGAATATCTTTAGCTAGTAACTTTAGTTAAAGAACGATCCGAGATAGGTTCGTAGAGCTATTTCGATGGCCTTAATGGTTACCTTTACTTATCCGTTAGTTATTAAGTAATAGGCGGACGTTATTCGGGTTTCGATTTAAGCGGCTTGGTATAAGGCCTGCTAAAATTTAGAAGTAAACTTAGTATCTATATCCGATATAAAGGCTTCTAGGAGTTATTAATTTAGATATATATATCGGAAATATAAGTCGGCTTAATCTTCCGCGGTATACGTAGTTTTTTCGTATAAGGCCTTCTTAAATTTTAAGAGCTTATCGATAATAATTAAGGCGGCGTCGTAGCCGTTATATAACGTAAGGAGGCCGACGACGAAGTCTAAAGAAAGGACGCGGAATGGTTCTATAGGTAATAAAATCGGTAGGAGATTTCTAGGTAGTATTATATTATTTAGTTTAGCTACTTAGTAAGATAGGTAAGCTATTACGTATATTTTAATTATACGTTTAAGAAAGGGGATAAAGGCTATGTTCCGGTTTTAGTAATTCCTACGTAAGTCCGATCGTCGTATACTAGCTTAAGGAATTTCTTTTAATAGGATTATAATACGTAGAGGCGATGGCGTTATTCGTCGTAGAAGAATAGAAGGCTTAAAGAGGGGTTAAGGGTAAAGTAATAAAAGGAATATATAATTAGGTCTTGATTTAGTTATTAGCGAATCTTAGCGTATATAGTTTTAAAGGTACGGTCTTCGGGAATAGCTTCGATGATATCCTGAGTTAGGTAATCTAATAGGTATAGTATCGTAGCTACGGTACTAGGTATAAAAGCTAGAAGCCTTCTAGCGGTAGGTAAGAGGAGGTTATTACTATCGTTAGTAGTTCGTATAGGGAATAGGTACGCTATATCTTATTCCTGGTTAGATTAGCTAAATAGGTATGGATATATTCGTAATAACGCGTTAACGTTTACATGCTGTTTTTTTAGTCGGTAGAGAATCTTAACGCGATTTTTATATTAGCTTAGATATAAGCGCTAAGCTAGTAATCGACGTTATCCGCGAGAGACGCCGCTCTTAACGAAGGTATCTCGGATCGCCGTATGGTTAGTAATAACGTATATAAAGCTATAATTTAATATATACCTTAGTTATTATAGTATCTATACTAGGGCTTCTATTTCTAACTCTATAGGCTAGTAATAGCGTTAATACTTATTTAATGTTTTAAATAAAAATATTAACGGAACGTATTTACCGTCTTAGATTTAATATACGGCTACTCTATATCCCTTAATGCTATTATTTATAAATAATAGAAAGGGTTTATCGTAATTAAGGAACGCGAGATTAACGGCGGTCTTTAATTTTAGTTTTAGTATATTCTAGGCTTATTTTACCTCCGTTCAGAGGCTTTATCGTCGTTCGATGTCTTTTTCGTAGGTCTTTTTTTCCTTAGCTGTTTTTGGATTTAGCGGAAGCGGTAATAGAGGTATATTCTTAGCGTACGTCTTCCTTATAGGGTTCTTTTTAGGTACGGTTCTAAAACCTAGCGCCTTAATCTCGAATAGTAATTAGGCTATTATGGAATATCTAGGTATGTAATTCCTATAATAGCTTATAAGGCCTAAACCATGCTTTAGATCGTTTAAGGTATGGAGTTCTAATTTCTAGATTACTTTAATTTTATCGTCGATGGTATTAATACTTACGCGAGAGACTTATTTATTTAATACGCGTAGTTTAGGTTAAGCGAAGTAGCATTTAAATAAGGCTATCGAAATTCCAGACTTCTCGAGGATCGTTAGGATAAGGTTAATATGTCGTATATATTCGTTTATAGTACGGCTATAAATAATAATATCGTCGATATAAACTAGAACGAATTACTATAAGTATAGGAAAAGAAGCTTTTCTATACGATATTAAAAGAAGCTAGGTAATATTATTAATCCTATTATATTAATTATAAGTTACTCGTACCTTCGATACTAGGTAACGAAGGCTATTTTCTAACGGTCTTCGACGATAATATCTTATTAGAAAAAGCCTTTTACGACGTTTATTAAAGTAAAAACTATAGCTTCGTATATGCTCTATAAGATATCTTCCTAGCGCGATAAGAGGTATCCGTTAAGTTATATTTTAATATTAACTTTACGTAGATTTACTATTATTCTTAGTTTATTATTCCTTTAAACGATAAACGCTAAACTAAAATAAGGTAATTCGGTTTTAAGAGGGACGTCTTCGACGATACCGAGCTTCTTTAAAGGATTTAATATACTATCCATCGTATCTTTATTATATTTAGATATATAGTAGGGTTTCTATCGGAGGTCCGCTAAATTAACCCCTTCTTTAAAGTTAATAAGTATTTTAATGCTATCGTTAAATTTACCTAGTTATTACCGGAAAAGGTAAGCGTATGATTTAATAATTTATTATATATAGTTCTTTACGTAAGGTCCCTAGTAATCGGATATATTCATATCTTCGATATTTAGGGTAAACGACGGAGCATTTTATAGGTCTTTTAACCCGGGAAGGTTATATAGGTAACCGTTAAGGTATTTAAGGTATTTAAGGTTATTTAAAAGATCGTTAATATTACTTAATAAGTCTAAAAGTAATATAACTTAATATTATTTAGGCATTTATTCGGGTATCTCGTTTATATTAGTAATATATAATTTAATCGAATCGTATATATTAATTTTAGCTAACGATTCTATGTATCGTCCGGCGGAGATACGTATTCTAGTAGTACTAAAGTTAACGAAGGGAAAGGCGGTTTCTTAACCGGTAGTAATACCGTTAATAAGGTTTCCTAGTATATCGGTTCTTATAAAAGAAAAGACCTTTGGTTTAATAATATATCCGGAGTTAAGAATAGGAAGTTTAGCGTATATTACGGGGATGTTATATCTACGACTTAGTTTAAATATAATCGTTCGGGTTATTCGAATTACGACTCGTTCTAATGGATAATGGCGTAATTTATTATGGCACTTCTTACTTACGGCTAGTATTCTTTAGCCGGAGTTACTAATAAATAATAAATCTTATTCGTTTCCTTATTCTATATAGAACTTATTAGGTTAAAGAAATGAAGTTCCTAGGAGGAAAGAATACGATAAGGAGTCGATAATAAATACTATATAATCGGCGGACCATTTATCCTTTTCCGTAGTATAGAAGGTAAAAGTTAGACGGGTTAATTCCGTAACTATTAGGCCGTTTCCTACGCCGCTTAAGGATATCGGTTTCGGGAGGCGAGTTATTACTACGGAGGAATAATACGTAGTTAATATTAATCGGCTTATTAGAGTAATAGGGGAATAAGTATCGATATACGTTATTAAGTCTAATGTTTCTAATAAAATAGTAGTCTGGAGTTATTAAAAGGATCGAAATAAGTATCTTTTGTTATTTAAAAAGAAAATATAAGTATCGTTTGGTAGTAAATCTAAATCTAAAATAATAATAGTTTATATTAGCCCTGGTTTTATAGTTTTTATCGTTTTATCGTATTTTTTGCCTTTATTTTCTTAATATTCTAGAAGTAAGGTCGATAATAATACCCCGTTATTAGTACCGTACGGCCCTAGGGTATTAATTAGGTCGCCGGCGTACCGTTTTCCGGGTCCGTTACTAGGTTAACGTCGGAAATATCTTATACGATACGGTCGAATTCCTCTTTAGGTAATAGGTTTTTTTCCCCTATATCCGGGTCGGATATAATAATAGTATCTTTTATAAAGTAGGCGTTAATTTATTACCTTAGTTTAACGTAATCGCCGCGGTAAATAAGGTTACCGTATTTATAATAAATCTAACGGCGGCGAGATTTATTACTATCGTTAATTTATTAAGTTAGTAATTACTAAACTAGCTATATCGATTACGGTTAAGCTAGTAGCGTCGTTTATTAGCCGGGTTATATTTATTAGCTTAGCTATATTTATTAGCCTAACTATATCTACTAGCCTAGCTATTATGTTAATTATTAGAATAGGTATTAAAGTAGCTACCTTTAGTCTTATCTTATTTAGAATTATCCGGGTCTTCGTTTATACCTTTAAAACTATCGAGCTACGTCGGTAGGTATTAGTATCTAGGTCTAGCCTTTATTTACGGATTTTAATTGCTATAATTCTTTTTCCATTACGGCGAAACGAAAATAATCGTTCTCCTGTTATAGTTAGGTACGCTTATACTCGGCTTTAGTAATATATTTTACCGCTACTAGTTATAATTTTAAGTCTCGAATGGTATTTCGTAAAGTTTTAAATATAATAACCTATATTAGTCGTAGATTTAAACTTATTTTAATCCGGCGTACTTAGGAGTCCTTATTAAATTCTCTAGCTTTATTATATAAACGGATCTTCTAGTCGACGTAGTCGTAAAGTTATAAAACGTTTTCCGTATTAAACGAGTATTTTAGGCTATCGGCCTGGAAAAGGGTTTCTTCCTTATCTTTTTAGAAGCGTTTAAAGAATATAGATTTAAATAAGTTTAAATCATAGGTTATGGTATCTTTAAATACGACGGGTAGGGAATTAAAGAAGGTCGCTTTATCTATATCTCTTATTATAATATCCTACCCGAAAGCGTTTAATACCGCGTCGTATTCCTTTCGATATATAAGGAAGTTAATTTTATTTAAGTACTTCGTAATAAGAGTCTTTTTATTATCGTATATAAAGATCTCTGGTTTAAGTTTATTATAAGGTCGCTTAGCGGGATAAGCTAGCTAATAAGGCGCTAGGGGATAGTTAGGAGGCGCCGGGTAGTCGGGAGGTATTAGGTAGTTAGAACCGGGCTGGTTTTATTCGTAGTTATAAGCGTTATATGGTTAATATTTACTTTAAGATCGAATTAAACGGGGAAGGAAACCTATTAGTTAATAAGGCGGTTATAGGGGTAGTAATAGCGGTTATTCTAAGGCTTTAGGGGTTTCGTATACTCTAGAGGTTTCGTATCGTAATAATATAGCCGAAATATACGGGAATTCTATAATTAGCGGTCTTTATCGCTAAATTATTATAAACTTTTCGAATTCTTAGGTATTAATAATCTATATTTAGTTATTAAAACTATCCGTTGCTTTTATGGTAATATTTAGGCGTTAGCGAGGGCTTATCTTTCTTAGGATAGCTTTAGCGTTATTTCGGGTAGCGAGTAATTCCGGGGAGTAGTCTTAGAGGTAAGATAATTTACCTTACGACTAATGTCGTAGTATTTTATTTACTATAGCTACCATGAGGTAAAAATAGTAAAGGTCTTCCATAGTAAGCGGTACTTTAGTTCTACCGTTAAGTAATCGTAAATCGGTAGGCTTAGGAGATAGAGGTAGTTTAAAAGCTAAAGGTAGGCGTTTAGGTTACTTTTCTAGTAATTTAATAAATAGCCCTGCTCTTTAGTTAGATAATCCTATAATATATAAACTAATAAGATCTATACTTAATAAGGAGGATAAAGAAATTATTCTTCTTTATTTATATATTAAGAAAGAGGTTAGTAGGGGATTCGGTAGGGTTTAGGACGATTCCTAAGGCTATTCTTATTCTTTTATAGTTAGAGTAGCTAGTATAACCGGTAGGGGTTTAATTATCGGTAATAAAGGACGTTTCTAGCTTTACGAAAGGATTATAAGGTCTTTAAGATCTTTAAATAGTTAAGGGAAGTTATTTAATACGCGTAGTAATGGGATTTTAGGTACCGTAGCCTTAATAAAGCGGCCTTTCGAATCTCGGGTTCGTTTCGTAAGTATCGGCTTAGGGTAGGAAGGTATCGGTCGAACTTATTAATCCCTTTAGGGTTCTAGTTCCGAAGCTTTATTTCCCGTAGCTTATCCGTTAACGCGTAAAGCTACTATATTACGGCTTACGATTTAAATAAATAAAACTTAGTAGAAAAAGCTTAATTCTTCTAGGTTCTTTAACGAAGCTAAAGCTAAGAGCTAAAGGCTAAAGGTTTTATGGAAGCTTACGGGAGCGGCTGACTCATCCTCCTATCTTCCTATCTTATTACGACAGGTAGTGGTCTAGGAGCTCGCGAAGCGCCGTTCGTAGCTCGTAGGTCTAGAGCAACGCAGTTAGAAGAGTGAGGAGAACGTCAAGTAACCGAGCACTTACGGCGTTACTACGAGGGTCTGTAATCTGTGCGGCTATAACCCTCCGAGCAGGACGGACGACCATCGGATGGCTGGAATTCGTTAGCTCACAACGCAGGACCAATCGCTCGGAGGCGCTACTCACATAGGGGTGCGGCTGTGTCCTCGAGCACAGCGGCGGCAACGGCTCGCCGAGGCGGGTGAGTCGAAACACTCGCCCGCCGGCCTGTTCCAAGCGGCGCTGCTCGCGCAATGGTAGCGCGGGACGTCCGCCGGGACCGCTTCACCGTTGAGTTCTGCCCCAGGTCGGTTCGGCTGGCTGGGGAGCAGTCGCGCGTTCACGGCAGGCTCGCTTCCTAGTAATTGCGCGGCGCCTTGGTCATCTAAGGCGCGCAATTGTAAGAGGGCCGGAGCTGTTGAGCCGTTGTTGAATCGACTCGATCTTTCATGCCGTTTTACGATCTTATTCACGGGGAGCTGTCGTTGGCAACCCTTCTGGCTGTCGTAGGCAATGCTTTTGGCTGTTGCTGGCAACCCTTTTGGTTGATTAGCTAGGTAATAATAGATCCCCACGGTGTTCTCCGCCGTTTGAGGAGCAGTTGGGCTCGCTGCCGATGTCCGCGGCCTGGTTCGATGATTGATACTGTCCCGGCCGCTCGTACTGCGGCTCGTTAAGCAGCTAATTTTTGGGCGTGGGGTTCGGAGGGTCTGTTTGTGTGGACTCTGAGGGTCGGTCGGCTGCGTACTGGTTGCCGGTATGGTCTAGTCGGAGTCCGCTATCGTGAGTAAATCGGTGTCCGAGCCTTTCCCCCATCGTAGGCGGAGTCTATTATCAGGTCTCAGGGAAGAGATTCCCAAACGGGGAGACCAGGATATAGAGTCAACGATAAAGATCGTGAAATCAGCGGACCAATCTTGTCGTGTAGAAGACGAAAGCCAGGCTGGTGGATTGCGTAACCATTGGGTCATCGTCCGCTCCACATGCTGAAAAGCGCGGGATCTATGAAGTATTGTGGCAGATGGGTTTTGGGTGGTGCTTAGCTAGGACGGGTCGGCTTATAAGTGCGATGGGGGAGCAAGTGTCGACGTAGGCTGTCAAGCAGGAGTCTTTAGAATAAGCTATTGTCTGCAACTGCTGGAAAGAACGAAATATTAGATATCGTCTAAGAAGGATATATAATTCCTCCTGCTCTGCCTCCCCTGCCACAAATTCCCTCGTGGGCTACGCAGGCTTATAAGGTAGGATCTCCGGCACCACACCTATGACGAAGTCGATGAAATGGGAAAGGGGCGTTGTCGGAGAAGATTCAAAATCCCCTCCCCTCTCACCCCTCGCCACCCAGTATAATATTAGTTATTAAGAGGGCAGGATTTGGGCAGTGTCATGCTCGCTTGATAGTTACTGTCTGAGCTGCGGTAGGAGTAAGCGCTTTAGCTGCCTTAGTGGCTGCTCGGGCGATTCTTCTAACTGGAGCGAGACGTAGCTCCAAACCACCGTCCCCTCCGTGACCGGGGAGCCCAGCCGCACCAGATGAACGAGGCACGGAGCCAGGGAACATGCTCTGGCGGGCAACGGCGGCGCTCATACGAAGCAGCTCAGTCTGATTGCGGTTCCTATTGCGATTGCGGATGGATCGCAGATGCGGGAGGGGAAAATAAGGGCTGGTTTGGCTGCTACGTGACAGGCAGAGGATAGCAGTGATCTCTTTGTGGTATGCGCGCTCGTCGAATCTTCGGTTCCTTGTCGGGGAGCATGTCACCGATTTTCTGGTGGATAAAACCCATTTGATTTCCTTCGTCAGAATTCTCATCGAGATACGGCCAAAGCACGTACCTAGCCACGCAGGCCGGCATCTGACATAATAGTGCTCACGTTACGGAAGTGAAGGGGCCCTCCGTTAAGTACCTAAAATAGGTGCCAGAGCCGGAAAAGCAGCGCACAATCCAAGGTCGTATGATCCTTCGCTATCACCTGGGCTTCCGGCCCGGCCCGGAAGGTAATATTCGCAGTTAGACAATTCAGGGCTCTCGATTCCCCTCTCCACCAACGTTGTGGAAGGATCCATGATCGGGGTAGGCCTTTATGGTCTAAGGTGAACTCGACGCGGCCGGATTTCTTCCATATCTCCATGATCCTCGTCGTCGGGCCCTCGTCGCCTTCCGTTTGATACTACTTGGGTGAACGTTCTTGAGAGGTTACACCTCGCAGTCGTAGGGGCATCGGAAGGATTAGTGCGTAACCGGGGGGGCGGTCGTAGCTCCGTGGAGAAATATCGGTGCTGGTTCTTGGTGAACCAGCACCCATATGGCCGCAAACCTGGTAGCAGTATCTGTGTCCTGGGGGTGGTTGACGAGAGGAGTCTCTTGCCCATGAAAGGCAACTGCACAGTCTATACTGTCGGTATGTCGCAGCGCAATCTCTTACGCATTTCCTTCCGCGGGCTCCAAGAGGGCTCCAAGACTTAGGCCATCGGCGCCAACAGGGCCCCCCCAGTGTACCATTCGTTTGGTACCGGAGCAGGCCATTCTAAACACCCCCAGAGTAGTAGCTCGCCTCGGGGGAAGACGGGAAAGGGATGGGGAGCTGAGGAGTTTACACAGTCTCCATAGAGCCTCGGCGCTGGACCGTCTGTATTCCGCTTGGATATAAGCATGTGGGGGTAGAGCAGAGAGTGATTTCCAACCAACCTGGCCCCTGTATGCTCGCTCATCCTATCGCGTGCCTTGACCATTTCCTTGAGAGTTGTGGGGGGTTCAAGGTATGGTTTAGGGCCAAAGAGCACCAGTGGTGCTTGGCCTTGTTTGCGTTCTCAGGAGACTCCTCTCAACCAATGCGCAATATGATCGACCGGTTCGGGACACTGTCCCGAGCTCAGTATGCCAAGCCGTACTTCGAGCCCCAACCTTCCTTCGTAGGTCGCGCTCGTCTATGATGGAACGGAGGAAGTCCGGCGTTGCCAGAGACTTGATAACTGTAGTATTTCGACGGCGGAGGAACGGTGTTGAGTGATTAACACCGTTTCTCCTCTACAGGTATCCAGTCTCTGGTAATACCCAACTTCCTCTGTATAATAGACAAGCGCGATCCACGAAGGAAGGTTGGGACTGGAAGTACGGATTGGTATACTGGGCCCGGGACAGCGTCCCAAAGCGGTCGATCATGTTTCGCATTGGTTCTCTCGTCTTGAGACTTTGGGTGTTAGAGTATCTGGCATTGGCAGCCGTTGTGCAGCGAGAGAGGAGTCTCTCGCAACCTGCACCGAACGAGAGAGGAGTCTCTGGTGTAACTAGAGTATCTGCATTGCCATGCCAGTCTTCATTGGGCGTAGCCCAAGGTAGGCTGGACCCACGCTGACATAGAGAATAGTTGGCGGCGAAGGAGAAGCATGGAGACGGCCAGTCGACTGTGCCTTAGGGTCTGGTTTGGATGTTGACACCCGTCTTGGAAAGTCTGTTAGGGGTGCATTCCTTTCGCCTAGCGGCGCATAGGGCACACTTGGAGGACGCGGAGTTTGAGAAGACACAGCTGGGCTGGAAGGGCATGGAGAACTCATCCATTGAGTGGCGAAGATAAATCATGCAGGGGATGTCAGCATTTCGCTGCGGTGTTTCGTGATCGGTGGACAGCAGAGCGGCCGTCGTGGCAACAGGGACGAGACTGCACAGCTGTCCGTATCCGAACCCGCGATAGCGTCGTATATCGACATATATAAAAAGGATACGTCGTTTCTTACGGCCTCGTAGCCGTGAATCGCCTCTCGATTATCCGCGGCGAATACCACTGGTAAGTCACCGATAACCGTGAATAACCCTGTCGGAGGTATTAGGGGCGTATCATATATAATCATAGACATATGAATTGTCGTAAGGTGTTGTCGTAAGGTTTCGAGATTATATAGCGATAGACCGGGAAGGCGTATATAACTGAGGGTTATATTAATACGTTAAATCTGCGTGTGGTTGAAACCGGAATGAGAACGGCCAGGAGCAGGAAATAGCGGCGACCAGGAGCAGGAGAGAGCACGGTTGCATCTCTGTTGTCGGCCCTGATGAAGAGCGTGAGGAGAGCGCCCACGGGGTCCCGTTGTATGCCTTGCCTGCAGTCCGTGACTTGAGCGTCATCAGCTGACTGCTGTCTGCTGCCTAAATCCAGGTGTAGGATCCAAAGGCATGGCGAATAGTCGCCAGTCTAACAGATAGTTAGACACTAACTCCCATACATGGAATGCTTGATGGCAGAGGGGTGTTACCTTGTAGCGCATTTGACCCGTCCCTGGCCCTTGTGAATAGTAGGAAGAGTGGTAACGAATTTTGTTCTACCCAAGTGTTAGATAGAAAATCTAAATAATGCTTTGTTAGATGTGACAATCATAGTGCTCACATTGGAGTGCAATTTTGGCCCGGCCAAGTCCATCCTGAGCCTGGGAGGGAATGGGAACGATGACTAGGGCCTGTTGTGGCTAGGGTCCCTATTATCCTACCACCGTATCATGTCAGTGTCTGGAGTGAACTACAATTAGGATAGGTGGGCTTACTGTTGAAGTTTGGCATTGTCACGTAAAACGTAGACGCCTACATTCTACAACTTGTAGTATGTAGGCTTAGAAAGGCTGATTCCCGTACGTGACAGGCATCCGATGAAGCCTCTGTACAGTGGCGATGTTGCAGCACGTAATGATCTTCCTAGGCTTTAGTAGTACCGCTGAGACAGATGTGGTAATGAGGGGATTGTCAAGGGTTGTGATGGGTCTGGTGGCCGTTCTGGAGGAGTTGCAGGTGAGAAATTATGAAGAATTGGTGGGAAGAAATTTCGAGGAGACTCCAGGAGGGGAGACGCCTTCATATACTTTTCCCCTCTAGCTTGTAACGAAGTATTGATGGGTCAAATTAGTCAAGTCCGTCAAACTGGCAGCGTGAGGTTGAATCACACTACAGTGAGAACAGGGGCGAGGAACTGTGCGGCATTGCCTCGACGACCATACAGTAGATTAGGGATCTCACCTTTTCCGCCGTGTCCATTTGCAAACTTGAGGAGCAAACATATCCAGCACCTGCCTCTAACCAAGACGCCCTACTGTGGATATCTGTGTGATTCATCATGGTGAGAAATCAATGTCCCACAGTGCCTGAATGGAGGATGCTTCACCTTGCTGTTGTAACACTGGGCAATGATGAAAGTTTGCACAAGATCACAAGAGAATGGATGGTGCTGGTAATATCAATGTGTTTCCTGTTATGCGCTCCGGGTAGGAAGGCGAATGGCAAAACAACAAGAGATCAGGACGTCTACTGGTTGCAGCTTTGAATAATGTAGATTTGACTGAGCGTTGTAATATTGGTTTATAGGGGTTCAAATTGGCTAATTCACCATAAGATGGATAGCGTTGATGGCAGAGTGCATAATATTATGTGGTATACCTTTGCTCTAGACAAAGCATGATTGTCTAGCTAAGTTGGCCTTGGCTATCTTGGTAAACTCACACCAGTCTGTGTGATATCTAGGCTAAACTAGGCCTCAGTAGGCTCATATTAAGCTAATATATAACAATTGGCAGCATCTATTTTCGTTGCTGCTGGAGGGCCTATGGAGTCTCGTTGACAATATCGCAGGACTAGGTGGGGCCAAACAGTGTATATCTATTTTGCTGGGGAAGTTGACGCGAATATGATTGGTAACTATTCAGCCTCAGCCAAAGCATCGTATCGACTACCCCTGGCTGTGAGGTAGTCGAACTCGCGATTCTTTGTATCGGTATAGTCCCCCGAGTCTCTTGCTCCTAGCACATCCTGGACGGACCACGCGATCCCCTCTGCTCCGATCCGAGCCCCGATCAGGTTTGGCGCCCCAGGGCCGAGCTGTAGCGCAGCGAGCCTGCCCGCGATGAACAGCGGTGCGTCGTCTCGCCACTGGTATAAGTAGATAGGAGTTAGCATGGGAACGCTTGTCCGAGAGAGAAAGACGTCGAGGACAATCCTCACCAACACTAGGAGGCGGCCGAGGTTGTTGGTGGCAGGAATGTGCATAGTCGAGAGAGAAAAGAGATCAACCGAAGATCAGGTATACTTACAGCCATATTATCTGTGATGCAAGGCAGACCCCCGCAGCTGTTGATAGGGTATTCCGAGTAAATCGAACGCAAGAACGGGAGACGTTCGAAGTTGCTCTGCACACCGGTTGCGAAGTAGATGTGGTCTATCCGAGGTAGCGTCTGGTTCTCACCGGGTAGCAACACTTCCCAGGTCATAGATACGGGATCCCAGCGCTTCCATTAATCGTAGTGTTCAAGAGTAGGCGTAGGCGACCAAACGCGACGTACCACTCAAGAATTTTCTTATATTGCGGGGTGACGCTGCCACCGTTTCGCGCGGACATAATCTTCTCCCAGCGCTCTTCGACCGAATCCGCCGACCAGAAGGCGGCCTGTTCAAAATTGCGGAACTTGCCCACCCACTCGAGTCCTACGTCGAAAGGCTTCACTTTTAGAGATCCGCGCATGAGGAGCCACACGTTGGTCACCCCTCGGCGGATGGCCAAGTCGGCTAGCTGGGCCGAAGTCAGCCCGCCCCCGACGATGACGATGTTGGCCGGCAGCCTCGCGGCAAGCTTTGCTCGGACCCGTGGAGATGGTATCTCCTTGATTTGCATGGCGTGGGTTACGGCGTCCGTCCCCTCTGTCGGCATGTCCGGGATTTGAGGCGGGTTGCCACCTACGGCCAAGACCACAACTCTCGCGTAATGAGTGTCCTTGTCGGTCTGGACGGTAAATACCTTGTCAGTCTCGGAGGCGGGGTCGAGATAACCGTAACGAATGTCGTCTACTTTCTCCTGGCGGACGACACCTTGACGCAGGTTGTAGCGGTCTATGAGACAACCGCAGTGTGCAGAAAAGAGCGGCGTCGAGGGGGCGAGGTAGTCGTTCCGGTCGCGTTCGTCCACGGTAGGCTCCGTCCTCGGCCTTATTCTAGTCAGCATACGGCCCCGGCCACGAAAACCTGGAAAGCGAAACTTACTGCCTCCCGGGTCTCTTCCTCTTCTTTCTCTGGTGCTTGCTTAATTCCTTGCCGACGCACCCTCTGAGCTCGGTTAATTCGTTGCTCCTCTGGTTTCGGTAGGTATAGGCAAGCAGGCCATCCCGTTCCGCGGGATCGACGTGGAAGAACATAGGGCTTCGGAGATGGGAGATGTCGAAAGTCTTGAATAGGTAGTCCCACCGTGCCATCCAACGATCGCCAGTGGCATCTAGGACCAGAAGGTCAAGTTCCGGGCCGACTGCGGAGGAGGTGCATTGTTTCCGACAAGCCTCGGCGCCCGTCTTATAGTGCTTGATTCCGGCTTGGTCCCGATGCCTTCGGATCCAGTGGTATCTCTGGTGCTCATCGTCGGAGAAGTTAGCTGCCGGTATACGCTCAGACAAGCGTGATACAACAGCCAGGCCACATGGTCCGCCACCAACGATGACGACGTCATGAATGCAGACACCCTTCGCTTCGGCTATCCATCGCCATCTCCTCGACCAGACATCACTCAGAAGGGTAAGGCAACGTCCACTTTCTGTGTTGCACCCGACGTATAGATAGGTCTATAATCGATTTGAGATTTACTATAGCGCCGGGACGAAGAAGAGCGCAGAGAAGAGGGAGAGAGAAGACTGGGAAGATGTTCAAGAGGAGGGGGACCTTGATGGTGAGGCGGGCACCCTGATGGCGGGCATTTTCCTCCTCTCCTTCTGCTCTTCTTCCTCGCTCGCTCATCTTCAGGAATGGTAACCTAAACATCAATAACTACCAAGACCAAATCACCGTTGGTGATTATTCCTGAGCCTAGTGCTGGGACTGATCCAATATAGGTATATATGATATAAGCGAGGGGTTAAATAAGTCAGTGGTCAGGGGGCCGGTGATGGCGGAAGCCTCCAGCCTACCCATCACGGAGGGCCAGCATAGTTACGAAGGGTCCCTATAATATAATATAACAGGTAGCTAGACGTTGTATGTGTGTGTTCCGATTCTCGTAAACACGCTACTATTTTATTCGAGGATAGGCGAATCATGATTCTGCGTACGTCCGATAGAGGGCGAGCTGCAATATAGGTCCATGTGTTGTTTAGATCTCTGCCGTCGCGCGCACGTCGACACGACGGCGTCACATCGGGCCGGGAGTCCTCACTGGAAGTGCTCCGCGACGTGGTATGAGACGGCTGTCTCGTCGCCCTCGAATGTGCCGCACACGGGGCAAGTCGTTATCACCGAGCCGACATCGGCCGCTGCATCGACTTCGTTGCCCAGCGGGGTTCTATGGTGGTTGGCCGGACTTCTCGACCGGCTGGTCTCCCCCCTTTGGCCCTTTTGGCCCCTTTGGCCCTTCTTGCCCTTGCCTTGGCGTCGTGCGGGAACGATGAAGGCGCTGAGATCGGCTTGCTGGGGTGCTGCTTCGAGCGGTTCTTCGAGACGCGCGTCGCGATAGCGAGGGGACCGTCCCCGCGGGCGCGAAGTGGCGTTGCTTACTGGGTCGACAAGCCCATCCGCAGGCGAGGCGACACCACCCTGTACTGCCGTCGTACTACCACTATTGGTGGGCGAGCTGGCGTCGGCGATGCTCTGGACCCGCCCAATGCGGCCGTCTGTCAATCGGACCTTGATACCGCGATGGTGGTCGCCCCGCGTCAACACGTCGCGCACGACTCCGCTGACTTGGCGGCCCGTACGCTGGTCGGGCTTGAGGACGATGTTGACATGGGCGCCAGGGGTGACCTGGGAAGTCTTGGGCACGGCGCGATTGGCCATGGCGTCGCTCTTATCTGGCCATCTGCGTGATGGCGCGCGTGACGGCAGCTCGGGGGGTCGTATCGTGGCGTTGGTCAAGAGATCGGGCGGCCAGGTAGACGGGGAAAGATGTAAGATACGATCAGATCTTGTGTCGGCGCCTCGCCCTCTGCCCCGTCCCCTCGTCGGTTCCGTTGCTTTTTCGTCCGTGAGATGTGACAGATCCGGAATGTCCAAGGTGAAAAAGAAAAGGAAAAAAAGAAAGCGAAGGAAGAGTAAGCCGGGCCAGACCCAGGCTTGGGGAGGCCAGGAGGAGGCCAGGAGGGGATCCGAGCGGTCTCCGTTACGGCGATATTACCCCGCCACCCGCATGTGCCCCGTTTGGGCGCGGTGCTCGGCTTGGTGCATTTCGGCTCTCAGCCACCCTTCCAGAAGTTCGAGCCGCTGCACTCCTACACTGCTTAGACGACGCACGCCCGCGCTCCCGCTCCCATGGTTCCGAGTTATCTTCTTACGACGAAACCAAGCCAACCTGCCCATCTCTCTCGTAGCAAGTCGTGCTAAATAAAGGGATCGGACCATGGATGCGTGCATCTTGCATGCATGTCTTTCGCGTCACGGGTTTCTGTCTCTATGAGTAATATACCTAGATAGCTTATAGATCATACCTACGTTCTCCGCTCTCCCTTTCTCTCTCTGTGTCTGTGTCTGTCTGTCTCCATCTCCATCTCCATCTCCTACGCACTCAATAATATACTCGCACGCTCTCCGTCTCTCCCCCCCTTCTCTCTCAATAGTTGCCTAGAGTGCATTTTCTCTCTCTCCTGCAGGGGCGAGACTGAGAGAGAGAACGACAGGGAGTGAAGGAGATTGCTGGTTGCTTTTTTTTTCTTTTTTTTTTCTTCTTCTTTCTCTTACGTCTCCCAGTTTCTCTTCGCACTCCCGCTTTCGCCAGCATCGTCGGGATGGCGTTTCTGGCTTGTGGTGCCATGCAGATGACCTGTCGATTTGGAGACTTGGAACGCCTCGGTTTCTCCGACTCCAGATTTGTGGAATCTATCTCCAGGTCTCTCTCCCCCTGACCTCACCGACTGCCGAGATTGGTATACGATTGGTTAGGCCGTTGTCCAGTTGGCTCTATGTATACATCCATAACGTATCTTATCCCTGGCAAGGGACGATACTGGGCTAGCCTCTCGCCATCGACGGGGCCCCTGGTACCCTTCACACCTCGCGATCATAAATATCGACCGTGTCCTCGTGGATGCTCTCGCTGTAGAACCCGTCACCGAACCACTAGATAGCCACAGCTCTTCACACCCCCCCTCCTCTTCCTCGATTACATTGACCTGAACCACCACCGCCAACCACCACTACCACCACCACCATCACCCAGAATCCTCTCTCGTCCTCGCCTCTACCATGCGTAAAGTTGTAGCGGGGCCAGCTGATCGCCTGCCAAGGCCACCATATGATGCTAAGATCACCCCCATTTTCAAGGCGCTGGGTGGCATGCCCGAGCGGTACGAGGTTGAGAAGCTGAGGAAGGACGCGTCGGCGAGGACCCTGCCGCTCACCAACGCCCTGTTCGCCGATAGGAGCGTGAGCGTCGAGGACATCACCATCCCCGGCCCGCGGCAGGACCTGACCGTGTCTGTTGTACGACCCGTGGCTCCGACGACGAGCGGCTACCACCCGTGTATCTTCTACATCCACGGCGGCGCGCTGGTCGCCGCCGACCGGTTCGCTGGCTTGGACACGAGCGTGATATGGGCTAGGGAGTTTAACGCCATCACCATCAGCGTGGAGTACGGGCGTGCACCTGAGAGCACGGGCACCCAGCCAGCTGAGGACTGCTACGCGGCGCTGCTCTGGGCTGGATCCCACCTTTCGGAACTGCATGCCGACCCCGAGCGCCTCCTACTCTACGGCACCTCAGCCGGAGGCGGTCTGGCTGCGGCGGTCGCGCTGATGGCGCGCGACAAAGGCGGCCCGACGCTGTGCGGCCTCGTCCTCGAATGCCCCATGCTCGATGACAGGAACGAGAAGGTCTCGTCTCAGCAATTCTCCACCGGCCCCTTTTACAACTCGACTCTCAACGCGTTTGCCTGGAGGTGCCTCCTCGGCGAGCGCGTGGGCGGCAGCTCTGTATCCGAGTATGAAGCGCCAGCCCGGGCCCAAGACCTTTCGAGGCTGCCGCCGACCTTCCTAGACTGCGCCTCGGCGGAACCGTTCCGGGACGAGATCGTAGCCTTTGCTTCGAAACTATGGGAGGGTGGCGTCCAAGCTGAGCTACACGTCTGGCCGGGTGGGCCCCACGGGTACGACCGCATCGTCCCTACGGCGCCCTTCGCGATACTGGCAAGGAAGACCAGGCTATCATGGATTCGCAGGATCTTCTCTCAATGAAAAAGATAAAAAACAAGAAAAAAAAACTTTTTTTGGGAGGGGGAGGCTCGCTCCTCGGACAGCCGGCCGTACCGACCCCATCCGATCTTGCTGTCGCACGCAGTGACAATCTCGCGGGTCATTAGCCGGACGCGATGGGCATTCGCGAGATACGACAGGGAGAGGGTGGGAGGGGATAAGCCAGTCCGTGCCTCGCAACCTGCGCTCCGCTAGCCACTGCCGCCCGCCCACCAACAGGGCTTATTAGTATCACCATCATGTACAGAGAACCCCTTGGGGGTTGAACGGGTTCACGTATGGGTTTATCTGGCTAGAAATCTATATATCTGTTTGTTTACACCTACGGTCTTGGAAAGGCACGCATGTATCATTTCTTGTCATGATTTACGATAGGCACTCCCGAGTCAGATAGTAGCAAAATAGCCACTCCCCCTATTGTTGGCACAAGCCCTTGGGGCTCATGCTCCGCCTTCGACCCTCTCAACCCGTGATGCTATTGCGATTTTGCACCCAAGCCGGTGTCCGACACTTGTGTGTTTTCTGTCGGTCCGTGCTCGAGTCGGCCGACACCACGTAGACTCGCACATTCGGGCCGTTTGCTGCTGCGTTGACTAACCAAAGCCTGGGAGAGGCGAATGTTGGTTTTGTCTCTTCCGCCTCATTTTCGGTGATGGCCTCGTTTCACGATCCCTGTCGCCGCGCCGGATCCGGTGAATGGCTATCAGCTATTTTATCTACCTAAGTATGTGCGTACACCACACCGATCCTCCCTCCAACACGCCATTGCTACGGAGGGTCCCAACGAAATCTCGCGAAAGCTCAGACCAGGAGCAACGAATCACGCCGCCGTCAAGGCAGGGGATATGAATCTCTACCTGTGTACATACAAGCGGCAGGGTACCGAGCCATGTCGGCAGATACCCACCTAGCTCCCCATCCATTCCAGGGGGGAGGGGGGGCCAGCGATGTTTCCTTTCGGATCCAACTCCGTCTGGAATCGGATCATATAATAATCGTCGTCATCCACTCGCTCGTGGCTCTCGTGGATTCCTCTCCTACGCGCCTACATACCGGTCTGCAGGGAAAGGAGCTGGCCGTTTCAACACCAACACCGGCCGGCCGCGGTAGACGAATCTAATTTGCCGAATTAGGGTACGCTCTGACCTAGCTGCCATTTACCCGGCGAGAATCTATGGTGGAGTCCCCATGGCAACCCTTCAGGGCGCCATGAGAGCGCCATTGTCACGATGAAGGGTGACGTACATGCTAGCAGACATGGCCTCGGCCCAGACGGGTAGGCGGATAGGCGGGCGGACGGTGCGTGGTCTTCATGTACGCAGGGCACGGCAACGCGCATGGATAGGCTGCCTTGCGCACCATCCATACACGACTCGACGGGACCCTCTCTCCATGCGTCTACGGGTTTGTGTTTAGGCCCTCCCCAAGGCGAGGAGAAACATGCGATTAATTCCATCCTCGCCAAGACGCGGCCGTATTTCGCATTGCACTAGAGAGCGCGCCGCGGGTGTAAGCGAGTTTTTGGGCGGACCAAGCCAAAACGAACTATGGGGTCGACACGACACGGCTCGCTAATATTGTAGATGCTGCCCGATGTACACACAGCACGGACAAGAAAAGCGCCTGAGGGAGAGGAGGGGGGGGTTCCTTGATATTATTATGTTAGGAGCTGGTCTCGCAGCCCAAATGGCATGATTCTTTCACCACGCACCGCTATCATCCAATTTCTGAAATCCCATCCACCATCCGCCGAAATGTAATGGTACGTGCTAATTTCGATATCTGCTCTCGATGGCTTCACACTTCCTCGCCACCATCCAACTGCTGCTTTCAAACCGGTTCGGGCTCCGCGGAAAACATCACGCAACTAACCCAGTCTAAAGCCCTCTCTCGCGGATCCAGGTGCAGGTTTTCTCTTCTTGTCTTCCTACCGTCACGCTTCGTTCGGGCGTGCAGTCCAGCATTTGCTAACGACTTTTACCCCCCCTCTCGTTTCCTTCTAGGGCCTCTCGTTGGTTTTCGTGTCCGTCAAGTCGACAACCCACCTCCTGCGCTATCTCAGTCATATTACGATCGCCTTCTCCCGCGACGCTGTACTCGATCATACATGATATACGTCCAAAGTGACTCGATTTCTATTTTCGTTAGTGTTATGCCAAGCAGTCCCGAGAACCAGACTTTCGAACAAGTTCTGGCTAGAGAGCCTAGAATTGTAGGTAGCGAGGCCCAAGGAACCGGATGGGATGGAACGGCTTATTACGCTACCACGGTTGACGTGCATTGCGCTGGATACGCTGGGGCCGGATCCGTAAATCGTTCGAATACCACGGCTCGCGATGCATCCGATAGCGATAGACTATACGCATAGAAAAAGTGTAGTTATCGTGCAATTCTGGGAGATATATGCCATAGTGTATCATTGCCCTTGCGTAACCAAGTCTACTTCGTTTGTATACTCTACGCCCGACTTGCCTAACTTAGTTACTTTGCTCCCAAAAAGGACCTGCTCTCTATTCAGCCGACTCTTCTCAAAGGGCTGAATCTAGTACCAAGCATTCCATCTCGATAAGATGCTTATAGGAGGTCACTTGACGGGTCTGCTTCGACTCCTTTGTGGCCTAACTAACCGCAATTCCGCAGCCCTGGTTCACTTTGCTGGCCGGTTGCCTGTGTTTGGTATCCCGATATCTATCAGCCGCAAGAACTATTGATTTGTGATTTGGAATCTGGTATTCTACACTGACGAATCGAGGTAAGCCTCCGTCGGCCACGCAGAGACACAGCATCAAACCCCAGAGAAGGGAGAGGCACTAGATTCATTTTCAACTAGTGTAGTCACAAAAAGAAAAGGAGGAACAAAAAAGAAAAAGGAGAAGAAAAACCCGTGGACACAGGTACTCTATAAGTAATCTATTTTACTGTCAGCGAGATATTATCTATTCCCTTTTTTTGTTCCTTTCATGACATTTGGTAAGGATAGTTCTTACCTCACGCCCATATACTGGCCTAGACGAGTCTGCAGTCTGTAATAATCCCCCTAGCACCTCGAAACCTAGAATTGCGACATGGGTGAGCCTTGCATAGCACCTTGTATCTTTCTATATGGGTTGAGCAGAATGTGATAAATCAGCGTAATCACGAGGCGTTCGGTATCCGTAAATTCCCAAGCCATGTTCCCGTTGCTCTCAGCATACAGGGAGATATTACGGTCACGCCCGCCAGGGCTCGGGGAAAATGTATGTTCTTAGATGGATTGTCATTTTCAGCGGCATTGCGCGCCCTGGGCCACGCACTTTTACTTCTTCCTGTTTCGACCCCATTCCCGCGGAACGACGACAAGGGCCCGACATCTACGCCCGTAAGCTGAATGTTAGTCCCCAAGAGATCCTTCGATCTCCCGGCATCACCAACAACAAAAAAAAAAAAAATTCCCAGAGGACGTCCGCATCACTCTTGGCTCGCTTCGAGGCTGCCGATAGGGAACAGCCGCTTCCGATGGCAATGCATTCCGAGCCAATATCACACGACGGAAACGGCTAGGTTATGATACGATGCTCGCCCTCCGTACTAGGCACGGAGTCGCATAGCTAACTAGGAAGGTCCCTGGGCTGAGCCGTACAGTGGCCTGTGATGGTCTGTGGCGGCGAAAGTGCCAGCCCAACTCGACACAACCAACCCGAAAGAGGGTGTATCACACCTCAAAAGCAAACATGACGGCATTGGGTAGGCTGTGAAGGGAAGGCCCTATACAGCCTACTCATATGTATCTCCATGACCGTTATCGGAAATTCTTCACTCCACAACGCATAGCATGGTTAGGCATATGCATACTGGGAGGGGCCGTCAGCCGTCTTGCCGCGAGCAGCAGTGTCGTACTAACCCATATGTCTTCCAGGGGGTTAAGGCACCTATGCTACGCATTGGCCGGGCATTGTCGACGTGGTGGACCCCAGAGACCATGCAGAAGCGCGTCAACCGTCACCTAGGGTCCGTAGGGGGGTCTCGTCTCCTACGGCTGTCATACACCAAATCCAAGGTGAAGTGATCTGCCCGAGCGGCTTATAAATTTTATTGTCATTAACGTTCAGCCCCGCGAGGTCCCGTTCTAGACCGCAAGGCCACCGTGATCCTAATGCCCTCTCTCCTTCGAGAACGGGGTGAAACAACCCATGGGACTCGGAACACTAATAATAGCCGGACAGCATAACGCGTCATATCTCGTATATCTGTATGTGAGGCATGACAAGGTTGGATGACACCTGAGGAAATAAGAGGCGCTCCTAGCGGCAGCAGGGAAAGGGAAGGGGGGGGGTTGAGAAGGCTCCGGCCCCCTAGCCCCCCCCTAGTCCTCTCAGGGTCACATAACGTCGGCACATTGATTCTAAGTGCAGCCACTGCCACGAAACATTCCTGCCAGACGGGCATCTGTGGGTTCGAAACTGTGATTACAAGGGAGGGAGGGGAATACCCTACGCACATGCCTTAACGTCGCCGATCACATGGAATAAGGAGTTCAGCTCGGGAGCCCCCGAGGGCACTCGACGAAAACGGCGCGAGGCGGCGATATATACTTCGACAACGGCAGCTTGGCGCCGCCATCCTCAAGGTTGTGGTAGGTCTACGACGATCCTCTCGAAGGCGCTGGAGAGCGTCTCGAAAACGCCCCTGCGAAAGGGAGAACGGGTAACCAATATCGCATTAATCAGGAGGCGCGAGGTACATCTCACAAAAACGCGCGGCGAGTAACGGTAGCCAGGATGGCGATGGGAGCAGCCGCCGGCAGCATCGAGATCATATCATCGATCCATTTGCCCACCCACCCCTTGCCCTTCCCCTTCCCCTCTTCTGACGGCAGACACGATCGACGGACCGCCCAATCATCCACATCGTCGTCCCAACCATCGTCGGCACCTAGCTCCGCTCCTCGGGGGGAGCAGAGCATCGGCAGAGCCTGCTCTGATCAATCACATGTCGCAGCGTACGACCTGGTCCCCCTTGCTCTGGAGGCCTGGAGCCGTTGAGGCCGCTTGACCAGGGCCCAGCTTGCCACTCGAGCGCCGCCCATACCCACGCACATATGTACATGCGCACGGGGGATCGAGCGATAGGCGTCGGGAGGGGTGGGGGCTCGGGGGCTCGGAACTGGACGCGCAAACGTACGTGTAGAGACAGACAAGCCTCCATACAGGGCCACGTTACGTCCACGCAGAGTGGATGTTGGTTCCCGGGCCCCGCTGAAGATCGGGCGCTCACTGGGAAATCGCTCACCGGCTCAGACTGTCTGCTCCACGTATCTCTCTCCCTACGCACCCACGAGCCCGTAAAATCGCTCTCGTGAATCGACGGGGGAGGGGGAGAGGAGGGGCCACCTACCAAGGATTCTCTGGCCCGAGGAGGAGGAAGAGAAAAAGAAAAAGAAAAAGGGACGAGCCAGAGAGTCAGAAAGAAAAAACTAAGAAAAAATCCTGTTTCCGCGCCAGGACGCTCCCAACCAACCGGATACCTGCCCCGGGGCGTAGCCTTGACCTGTGGGAGGCGCTGCTACATGCGTCCAGGCCAGGCCAAGTGGTCTAGACAAGGCTAACCCTGTGGAGGGAGGGAAGGACGGTATATATGGACCGGGCCTGTATATACCGACTGGCTATATGTAGCTATCCGGTACTTGAGAGGATGCTAGTCCCAGTCACCCGGGACTTCTTCGGACGCCTCCCGTACCATTCGTGGGAGACCGAATAGATGACTATCACGGAATGACCATTATATTCTCTAACTGCATTATTCTGTTTTCGTTCAAGTCCTCTTCCCGAGTTGACTGTATCCATATCTGGGCGGAGGGGGGGGGTGAGGGGGGGTGAGGGGGAGGGTGAGGCCGTCGGCTACTTGTTCAGCTCCTCACTTCTCGGTGATCGCCTCTCCCGGGTTCGTCGTGCGGGGGCCGGACGGGTCAGTAACATGTACCTAGGTATACTACCGTTAAGCGAGTTCTGCGATCGCCGGGTACGCCTCGGGGGCGAGTGAAGTAGCCTAGAAGCATAGCTGTAGCGGTAAGCAGGTGGCTCGCGTCCGTAAGTTAGCCCTGGGTAGATAACCCCTTAGAACAGACCATAGAGTCGGAACAGCGAAGCGCCTATCTGTCTTCCAGCTTCCTAGCAGGAAAGCAACGCCGGCTCAACCCCCGCGCCGCAACCGCTCTCCCTCTACCCCTTTCCCCGTCCCTCTGCCACTGCCGGCTTAGCGTTCCCGCTCCCCTTCATCCACCTCCGCTTCGCCGCCCGAGCCTGCGATGTTAGAGTCCCCAGTTAGCTATTGCTGCTACCCCCGGGAACCCCCGGTAGACTCACCTTTGCCGCGAAACTTAGTGTATGCTTCGTCGCCGGCCAGTCCTTGCGTAAGAGGCTGATCGTGACGAGCATGAGCGTCGCGCACTCACGGCTACAGAGCGACCGCGCCAAGAGCTGCGCCAGCGTGTTGCCGCTCACCGGGACCCGATCGCCCGCTGCCATTGCGACAAAGATGCGCTCAAGCTCCGTCAGCGACATGTTGATTTGCTTGCCCTCGTGGAGCCGCGCTGCCGCGGCGCTCCCTCTCGATATCGTGCCCGCCTGCGCTGCGCGCTCCGCGCCCCCAAGGTCGACGAGGTCGAGAAGTCCCTCGCGCAGCTTGCCGCCGCCATCGCGGACGCGTATCTCAAGGCGTATTATGAGGTGCGATCGTGATGAAGAGGCGTTGAGTGGGGTGTAAGCAACATGGCGCGCGCCCGCCCCCGCCGTGACGAGCGCGTCGAAGTCGGCGGGGTTTCGTAGTGGCGTTGGGTCCGGGTTCACGAGGGTGTGGTCCGTTTTTGAGACGAGCTTCTTTTCGCTGCTGCCGTCCGGCTTCAGCTGGCACAGCTCGCCGTTATAGATCTCGTAGCAGGCCCCGGCGGCGTCGGCGTCGAGGCCGAGGGCCGCGAGCCGTGCTAGCTCGGCAAAGAGCCGCGTCCGCACGCGGGGGATGATTCCGTCGCCCGTCGCGTGCTCGGCTACGCCGCCCCCTTGGCCCGGGGGGGGCTCTTCGTGGTGGCTCATCGTGTACGTCTTGCCTGTCCCCGACTGCCCGTAGCAGACGACGCAGGCCCGCTTGCCGTCGAGGAAAGCCTGTACGAAGTGGTCGACCTCGTCGAACACGTCGGCGTTCGTATTCGACGGCAGGAAGACCCGCTCGAACTCGTGCGTCGGCGTCCACCTGGCTTTCGGACCGCCGTGGATCTCCGTTCCGTATTCCTTGAACTTGAGTTTTGCCGGGAGATCATGGAAGTCTGACCGCTCTTCCTTGTAGTTGAGTAACTCGCCCTCATCGACCGGCCGAATTCGGCATACGACTCGGATCGCGCCTCTCAACTTTTGGAATTCTTCGAAGAGTCGGTGTCGTCTAGACTCCTCTGCGAGAAGCCTGTCCGACAGCATATTTATCTTAGCATCCCAGGCTTTACTTAGAGCTGTATTCGAGGAGTGTTTCTCTCGCTCCAGCTCTTGCTGTTTCGTTTCAAAGAGGGACTTTTCAGCAGCTAATGCTGCCTGCGTATGTCTGACCTCCGCCTCGAGAGTCTGGATTGCTGCCTGCTTCTCCTGAAGCTTCGCTTCGAAGTCCACCTGCATATCTCGCATTTGGCCTTGTATACCTCGTTTATCCGCGTCGAAGTCTTCCGCCAGTCTCGCATTTTCTACCTCGAGTGTTTCTATCTCTCGTAGGTAGGTTATTAGATCCTCTTCATGTTTCCACTGTAGCCTCGCAATTTCGGCCTCGAGCCTCGTGCGCATGTCTGCGAATCTTTTCTCGTGGCCGTCTTGGACTCTTCGCAACTGGCTCGACTTTTCCTTCACGGTTCTTATGTTTTCGACCTCCTTTTTGAATAACCGGATCAATTCTTCGGGATTGATGTTGAGATTGGGGTTATCATCTTGGTTCTGTAGGCTGAGTTCTTGAATTTTGGCATCTTTGCTGCTTGTTCCAGTCTGGAGCTCTTCTTCGTGTAGCTTCTTCTCGGAGCTCAGTTCATCCGAAACATCGTGGTGCATCTTCTTTGTCTCCTGTAGTTGTATGTAGAGCATCCTTACGTTCGCCTCCCATTTTCCTCGACGTTCCTCGAACCCCTTCTCACATTGCTTGATGTGGGTATCGAACAGAGCCTGAGCATTTCTGCTCGCCTGGTCTAGCTCTTGCTGGTGCTTCTTCACCATGTATTCAAAATCGCCCTGGTGTTTCTCGGAGCAGATAATCAGCTGCTCCAGATGTGCACTTAGAGCCTTGAAAAGTTTCCTTTTGAATTCGTATAGCCCAGTCATGAGATCCGGTATTTCCCTCGTGGTTCCCGGTTGGCTTTCTGATATCTCCTGGGCTGCTGTTTGGGTCTTGTCAAGAAGAGTATGTAGTCTTGAGATCTCGCAAATTTTCATTCTATGGTCCTTTTCCCAAGCTTCTCTTTCTTCGAGTTCCCTGTGAAACGAGTCCACGATCTCTCGTTTTACGCATTCTACCCTGTCGGAAACCTTCGCGTCTGTCGGTCCACATTCTGTGGGATATCTGCGCTTAGCTACATTGTCACATTGAAGCTGTTTGTTGAGAATACGACCCTCGGTGCTTGCCGGGTCTAATTCGTCATGGAGATCCGAGTTTTTTGACTTCCCTTTAATGCTGTACTCTCTCTCGTCCGTTCCAAGCTGGGAATTGCCAGCTTCATTTTCGGCGTCACGCACTCGCTGAAGAGAACCCCTGTCCTCTCCTCTTGTTCCTTCTAGCTTGCTACAATGTCCCGAGACATTCGTTTCTGGGTCCTTTCGATATTCAATTGCACGGGCCACATTTTGGTCGCAGTGCTTGTCTAAGGGGTTCCGCTGTTTACCCTGTTCTTTGTAGGCTTTTCGTTTCGGTCTGTTAGCTACCAGGTCTCTCACGGGGGTGTCAGGGCCGCGAGTCGAGAGTCGTGTTCCTGTGCGAGCTCTCCTCACCTTCCTTTGTAGCTGGACTTATCTCTCCTTGGAGGCTTCTCTGACAGCCGAGAACTTCGTCAACTATTCCTAGTATGGCATCTAGTTGCTGACGAAAGCCGTCGATTCTTCCCTCAACTGTGTTTGCCCCGCCATAGATGCCAACTAGGACCACTAAGCGTCAGTTAGGGACTCCATACTTAAGATCTAAAGGTTAAACGGAACTCGGAGCACCTTACATCGGATTCTGTTGTAGTCTTGTATGAGTGGCCGTGCTGGCGTGGAGTCCGGTGTCGGCCCTGTAAAGGTTGCTATTTCTCGAGAACGGATAGAACCCTACGTCGAGGCAGTCGATCAGTCTCAAAGCCTTGTTCCTATACTATAATATTATCTCGAGGCTGGAATTATGTTGTAGCGAAACATTGGCCTTGGCAGCGTTGGCATTCTGGATTGGGATCGACATACCTGACCACTATCATGACCTGTAAAGGCTGATGTGCTCTTGGGCTCCAATGTCCAGTCAAAGGTTAAGTACATGTTTGAACGGGCCGTCGGGTATTGAGCATTAGATAATTTTAAATACTAGAGGGGTCACTTCGATCACTTTAGGGGCGAGGAGGCAGTATATAACAGGAATTCACCCCTTTGTTTTAACCGGTAATTTTGCTGATGTATCAACTCCTCTAAGTCGTCGCACCCAGCTGAAAGGGGGTGACAGAATTCCCTTGTCCTCTTAAATGCATAGAAGAGTCTCCGACGAAGGAAACTTCGCAGCTACCGTCGAAGGAACTGGTAGATAATGTACAACGGGACTGTGACGTGGTGGCCTGGAGGGTCCTTACCAGCCTTGCTTGGTCAGTTCCTTGACTCGGCTGATTGCTGCTTTAAATCCTCGCTTAAACCTTTTCTGCCATCGTTGACTCTTGAGTCTTTTTCGCTTTAAGCCCGGTCGCTCGTGGAATCTCTGTTGTTGAAAATCCTGGCGCACCTTGTTTTGATTTATTTGGACAGCCAACAGCTTGAGTGACCTGCCCACATCGACATTTTGACGGACATGGATGGTGCGGCCGGTTCGTGCGACGAGGCGCAAAGGGGGACGCTCGAGAGCCTGACGCTGTGGCGTTGTTTGGGTTTTAGCGAGCTCTGTGACGTCGAAATCGGGCCCAAAGGCGGGATCTTCGTCTAGTGGGTTTTCGTATGCAGCCATGTTTGGCTTTTTGATCGTTTCCTGGTTATCCTGAGCCGGGCGCGGATCCCGGCCAGGGTTCAGCCAGTCGAAGTTGGAAGCGTACGACCGAGACTGCACCCGAGGGTGTAAAGGGGAATTGGTGGGACGAGGTGAGTTCGCGACTCGTTTTCTGTGGTGGGTACGCAATGTGGTTGACATCGGCCTCATTATTTGGAGAACCGGGAATACGGGCGCGATGGTAGGAGGGCACGACGGCCATCGCGATATCGGGCGTCCGAACCGCGGCATCGATCGAGCTATAGCCTGCGTAATCCGAGAGAGCTCGGCCCTGAGCCGATGTTGTCAGTGTCCGCACCTAGAAGAAAGACACTGGCTGAGATGGAACATTACCTACATGGTGTGAGAGTTTGACGAGGCGGTTAGGCTATGGCAACGAGCATGGCAAATCCGTCTAATGTTCTTCGCGGGCGAGGAAGAGGAGTAAAGCTGTGAAGCTCGTCAAATGTGACGATTGGTCCCTAGGAGTTCCGCCATTGGCCAGAGCACCATATTAGGTAATCGTCTAGACTCTGCCGCTACTTAGGTACTGGTTTTTTATGTAATCACCATCCAACAATGTGTGGCGCAGGTGGCGGATGTGGATGGCTTTCAACAGATGCCGCCTCCGGGTAACCTCTAGGTAGGGTTAGGTACATACTAAGTCCCGCACTAGAGGGGGGAACCCCGGTATATGCATGATACCTTCTATCCATATACATGCATACTATGTGTACCGAATCAGCAGCAGCTGTTCTTCTATCCGCCAGCCTTTAGCGCCCTCCAAACCTTTCTCTTCCATCAACATTTCATACCCAAACCGCCGCTATTTCCACCCACACAAGCTCGACGCCAATACAATTGACGACATTCTCAGCTTCCCAAGCTGCGCCTGTTGAGCTCCGCTGCTACCGAGCCCTGCGACGATGGCGTATAATCCGTACGGTGGAGGTAAGTCTCGTCCCGATATTCCATGCGACTTTCGTAGTGAACACTGAACTGCGTCCGACCTGTACTGACGCCGACATCTATCTCAAGTTCCCGGCTTCGGCCCGCCTCCGACGTATAATTCCTACCCTGGTGCCAATGGCGCTCCAGGCGTCCCGTCTGCTCCTGGTCTAGGTAGGTGACTTTTATGATCCAGCCCCGCCCACATCTCTACCTACTTAACGATCTACCCGCCTGCCACCCCGTCTGTCTGCCTGCGTGGCACGATATGCTGATGTTTATTTCCAGGACCTCCACCAGGCATGTCTGCCCCAGGAACGGCGCCACCACCTGGCGTTCAGCAGCACAACATCAATCAAGCTAATCGACCTAGCGGTCTGCCATCCAACTTCCAAGCTCCCCCGAACATGCCTAATATCAACTTCAACGCCCCCGTGATCCGTCTCGGTACGACCTCCGCGAAACCCCCGACCCCCGGAATATCGGGCCGCAAGGATAGCGAGACGCCCACCTCTGCCGGACCCAGAGCAGGCGTAGGCATGGATCGCGGGCTCGATCAGACCCGACAGGCCATACGGGAGAATATGCAGGCGCTCGCTCCGCCCACTAGAGAAGAGATCGTGCGGACAGTGTTTGTGAGCGGCATCGTGGACGGGATCGGCGGCAATGAAAACGTCGAGAAGATACTCGACGCCGCGGGAAAACTGCGCCGCTGGGACCGAGCCACCGACGCGAGCGGCAAAGAGATGACGTTCGGCTTCGCCCAGTTCGACGATGCTGAGGCCCTCTGGATCGCCTCGGAGATCTTGAAGGAAATCGAGGTGCCCGTGAAGAAGCAGGTGCCATCGGAGGAGCCAGCCGACGACGACGACGCCTATGCAAGATTCGAGAAAGTGCCACTTCAGATTCGGCTCGATGAAAACTCTATAAAGTACCTAGACGCGTATAAAGAGAGTCGGCCTGACGATTCGGGCGCAGAAGCAAGGCTTGAGGCGGCTAGAGGTGCGTTGAAGCAGATTATAAAGAACCTCTTCTACCCTTCGTCAAAACCGGGAGCAGATGTGGACGGAGACGTCACCATGGGCGATGGTTCGGCTCAGAACGGAGACAATGTTGAGGTGGTTAATATCCCCTTGGCACAGGAGGACGAGCTCGCCGACATTCCGGCGGAGATGCGAGAGACGGTCGCCGCCGAGATTGCCGCATTCCGGGAACGGAGCATCAAGCGAGACTTGGAGCGCCTCAAGCGAGAAGAAGAGCTCGAGGCGATGGAGCGCCAGCGAAATGGCGCCCAGAGGCCGTCCCGCCTCTCATCCCCGCCGCCGTCTAGCGCAAACACCATTCCCTTAGGACCTCGGGGTGTTCCAAACGCCCCATCCGGCCCCAAGGGGCAGAAGTCCGACTTGGGTAAGGACTTTAACCGATCGATCAACTTTGTCAATGGCGGAGCAAACGGTAGCTCGGGGTATAGCCGAGAGGAGGAGGAGGACTCAGCTAGCGACGAGGAATTGGAGCGTCAACGGCTCGCCAAGCAGAATGCGGAGGCCGAGAAGCTCTATCTAGACGCGGAACGTCGGTGGCTCAACCGGGAAAAATCTAGAACGGCTGCTCTCGAACGAGAAAAGGAGCGCGACGAGTCAGACGCCAAGGATTTCGCCAAAAACCGTGATAAGATGCTACAGCGACTCAAGCACTTTGATGACGAGGCGGAGGCGTCGCGAAAGACGGAGGAATATTACAAGGACCGTAGCGCGTGGATTCGAAACCGCACCGCATTTCGGGCTAGGGAGATTGCAGCGGACGATGCGGACCGCCAAGCCGAAGAGCAGGAGCGCGTCAAAGAAGAGGCAGAGCGCGAGCAGGCCAGGGGCATGGCCGACTCGTTCCTCGAGAGGCAAGCACAAGAAATGGAACAGCGGCAAGCCAGCAGAATCGGCATCGCCGCGCCGCAACCCTTCAAGCTCTCTCTCGGCGCCGCGGCAAAGGCACAAGCACAGCGTGCGGCGCCGCAAAGAAAGACCATTGCCGAGGTCGAGGGCTTACTCGAGGACGAAGATGAAGACGCTACCTCGAGACGTCAGCTTATCCCGATCAAGTTTGAACCGGCGGCGGCGGCGGCCATGTCTGACGAGGAGCGCGACCGAGCCGTGCGCGCCTTGGCCCAAGAGATTCCCAACGAGAAGGATGGCCTCTGGGAGTGGGATGTGAAGTGGGATTTCCTCGACGAGAGCGTTATCCGCGAGAAACTCCGGCCCTTCGTCGAGAAGAAGCTGGTGGAGTACCTGGGTGTTCAGGAGCAGCTCCTCATCGAAGTGGTCGAGGAACACCTTCGGAAGCATGCCAGGCCCGGAGACCTGGTCGAAGAGCTAGCAGAGGTACGCGAACGACGACGCTATGCAGTTTTCTAGAGCACGGTCGAGCTAACTGTATTTCTAGGCCCTAGATGACGAAGCCGAAGCGCTTGTCAAGAAGCTTTGGCGAATGGTCATCTTCTTCACCGAAAGCGAGAAGCGCGGTCTCTCTGCCTAGACTATGGAAGCGAGCCGGCGCCTCGCCGCTTCACAACATGAGTAACGACCACTCGTAGCCGTCGTAGCGAGGCAGTACGGAAGAGTTTTGAGATGCTCGAGGTAGCATCAAGCCCCGATGAAAGCATGCCCCCTTAATGGAATCATCAAGCTCCGGATCGCACACGGCGTTTGATGGAAGAGATTTGGGACAGCTCGATGCTTCGCGCTCGCCTGGGTGATCTGTCCCATCGTACCGAGGCCAACATAGACCGAGGCGACCCCGCTTACATCCACGGCCACCGTACGGTTGAGTTTTGGGATCAATTATGGATTTGACGAGAGCCGTTAGTGTTATTTTAACTCTGCTATGGACGGCGGAGTTCATTCCACACATTTTATCAGCGACAGATGAAGAGGGACCCCGAGAGACGATACATCACTCAGGCGGAGCATGCAGAGTCGGACGGAGCGGTGTGGGCCTCGTGGGGTGCCGAGGTAAACACGACGAGACCCCGGCCAGTTAGGCCAAATGTAATAATTTACGACCCCGGGCTTTGTAGCGACCTACATATATAAATAGGAAAACAGGAATTTGGTTAGGCAAGCGGGTACATCCCGTCTCGAAGCCAGTTGAGTAGAAATACGCGAGTGATGTGTTGATTCCCCAGGTTGCAGAGCGCCTTGCTGTGCACCTCCACCATTTCCCGTCACCTCACCATTTCTCCTTTGTCTCCACGGCCGACGGTTACGCCCCGCCCGGCCGCCCCAACGAACCCCCATCGTGGAGCGTCTCGGCTAGCTGTCCCGCTAACTTCGGTTACATTTCCATCCACTGTTGAAAACACCGACGCGTCCTATTTTATCATTCATCGATTTATTCCGCCCCTGTTCTTCCCCCGCCTCCACTACTCATCATCTTTTCCATTCGACTTACTCGGGATTTTTACCTGGTAGCGCTCTATTCCACGCACCGCTACTACTTACCAGTTTCAATCTGGGTGCCATGGCCCGCGTCGATATCGCCGCTCCTGCTACTACTACCACCACGACTGCTACTGCTCAGAGCGATGACGCCCTCCCGCCGTGGATCAAGACGCGGCCGCCAGCCGTGCCGCACACGCTCGTGTCGTTCCCCGAGGAGCACGTGCTGCTGGTGACGCTGAACCGGCCGGCGCAGCTCAACGCGATCCATCGGGCGCAGCACTTCGCGCTCGGGCGGCTGTGGGCCTGGTACGACGCGGAGCCGGCGCTGCGCTGCGCGGTGCTGGCGGGCGCGGGGCGGGCCTTCTGCGCGGGGGCCGACCTGCGCGAGTGGGACCAGCGCCACCACGGCGACGCGTCCTCCTCCTCCGCTTCCTCCGCCCCTGCCGGAGGGCAAGAGGAGGAGGAGGAGGAGGGGCCGGCGGGGCTCCCGCGCGGCGGGTTCGGCGGGCTGAGCAACCGCGCCGGCCGCAAGCCCGTAATCGCGGCCGTGCACGGCGCCTGCCTCGGCGGCGGCATGGAGATGGCGATCAACTGCGACCTGGTGGTGGCGGGGGCGCGCGGCGCGCGGTTCGGGCTGCCGGAGGTCGGCGTCGGCGTCGTGGCGGTGGCGGGGGGGCTGCCGCGGCTCGCGCAGAGCGTCGGGCGCCAGCGCGCGGCGGAGATGGCGCTCGCGGGGCGCACGACGTACTCGGCGCAGCGGATGCTGGAGTGGGGGCTCGTGAACGAGGTGGTGGCGGAGGAGGAGGGAGGAGTAGGGGGCGAGAACGCACCGGTGCTGCGCGCCGCCCTCGCCTGGGCCCGCCGGATCGCGGCGAACAGCCCCGACGCCGTCCTCGTCAGCCGCGAGGGCCTGAAGCTCGCCTGGGACGGGGCCGGCCCCGAGGCCGCGACCGAGACGCTGATGCGCGGCTGGTACGCGCGGATCGACGGCGGCGAGAACATGGTCGAGGGCGTGCGGAGCTTCGTCGAGAGGCGGAAGCCGGTCTGGAAGAATAGTAAGCTGTGAGCTAGGGTGGGATTTAACTAGGTCTAGGAATATGTAACCGGAGTTATTCAAATTTCTGTTTCTTCTTCCTCTGGGCCTATCGCCTCGACAGCACAAGACGCTACAGTGCCTACTCTTCCTACAGACATGCCTGCGTGAACAGCACCCCTCTACACTCCCCCATCCTAAACTCCCTCGGCATCTTCAGCCATTTTTCTCTCCCGTTCCCACCACCTCTCCTTCGCCTCCACGACGAGGCCGACCTCCTTCTCCCACTGCTCCTCATACTTCGGCAGCACGCGGCCCGTCGTCCCCGGCGCCGGGTCCCCCGCGAGAGCTCGCAACCCCTCGAAATAGCCCTCGTAGTCGAAGGCGATGTTGAAGAACGGCAGGCCGTCCCCGACATCGGCCACGCGCTCCCGCTCCCACTTATCCATCTCCTCTCGAGACGGAAGCGTCCCCCGGCCGGCGAACACGCGTGCCGCAGCCACGGCCTGCCACTCGAAGACGCGGAACGTGAGGCCGCCGGTAATCTACGAGTCAGTTAGCCTTGGCATCTCGATATTATTACCCTTGCTGGCCTTGGCGAAGACGTCATGCGTAGCGAAAGGGGGAGAGGAGAGGCAGGCCAAAAAGAGAAAGCCCTTACCATTCCTATGAACGCCATCGTCGGGTCACGGCGGCTAAACACGTGCTGGTAGAGTCCATCTATCCTCCGATTCCGGATCTCGACTGGGGGCAGCTGTCTCCCCTGCCCCTTCTCCTCCCCTCCTCCCGACTGCAGGTACGGGAAGCTGAAGTCGTAGCCGGTGGCGAAGTAGACGACGTCGACGCCGTCGGCGACCGAGCCGTCGGCGAACTCGACGCGGCGCGCGGCCGGGTCGAGGCGCGCGATGGCAGACCGCAGCGCGACGTGCGGGTGCACGAACGGCGTCCAGCCGAAGGCGGGCAGCGGCCGGCGCACCGACGCGATGACGGGGCGCCGCGCCACCGCGCGGATCTCGTGGATCGCGTCGACGGCCGACACGGACCCGCCTACCACGACCACTTTCTTTGCGTCCCAGACCGTCAGTACGAGAGCGCTTGTTTCCGGGAACCCTTGCGAACTTCGGACGCTGGAGGGGCGGAGGGGGCTAAGGGCAGAACAACGAGGGAGACGACAAACCTTGCCCGCAAACGCTTCCGCGCCGCGGTAGTGCTTGCTGTGCATGATGCTGCCCGGGTGCCGCTCCTCGTACTCGACTAAGCCGGGGATGTCGGGGACGTACGGGACGTTATAGTGGCCGGCGGCGACGACGACGGCGTCGAACTCCTCCTGCCACCAGCGGTCCCTGGCGCCGGGCGCCTCCTGCCGGAGCGTCAGGACCCAGGCCTGGCCGGGGCTGTCCGTCTTCTTCTCGGCGCGCTCGACCGTGGTGTTGAGCGAGACGAGCTTCTCGTGGCCGCCGCGGGCGAAGATCTGCTCGACCCAGTCGCGCACCACCTGGCGGTGGCGGAACGGCGCGTCCGGCCCGAAGTCCGCGAGCGTCCGCTCCGACAGGGTATCCGGCAGCGGCTCCTGCGTGAAGCTCATCGTCGACGGCGGCAGGTTGCTGTGCAGCGCCTCGTGCACCCCCGTGTCCGAGTACCGGTTCCGGTGCGAGTTGCTCTCCGCCCGCGCAGTCTCGCATGGGAACCGGTCCGGCACGGGGATGGGGCGGTCTGCGCGCTGCTCGACGAGGGCGCGGAGCGATGGGATTCCCGGCACGAGGTCAGGGGAGTAGACCCTGGATAGCGTGTGAGAGTGTACCTATCTCCATTATGATAGTGCTCTCGCAGCCGCAGACAGGACGAGGCTAGAAGGCGGAGACAATGTCGTAACTTACCATGTCCCTCCCACAACAGCATGCCTCTCGAACACGCGGATCTCATCGAACGCCTGCTCCTTGACTAGGGCATCCGTCGCAATGGCACCAGCCGGTCCTGCGCCTATGACGGCAACACGGCGGATCGGATTTGCCATAGTCTCGACGTCGTTTAGATCGCTGCAATTGGGGTTTCTAACTGAGTCTCATCCCTACTCCTAGATGCTCGAGACGATTAGTGCCCCTGACATACCTATATCGACTTCCCGGAGAACCTCGTCTCAATAATACCTAGGTACGTACCTTCCACAGTACCAATCCCCGCTCCGACTTTGTTAGATCCCCTACGTCTGCCCGCTCGATCCAAAGACTTCTTCTCTTAGAGACTCGTAGGACCATAGCTCATCGAAAACCGTCCGTCCTAATACGCGAACGCGTATAGAGCAGTGACATGTTAATGTCTGCCCTGATCCAGTCGGTCTAATAGGTGGACCTGCCTGCCGAGCGTCAACAATGCCAAGGAAGCTGGGTGCCGGCCCCGGATCCACGGACCCGGGCCACGTTCTCGTGGCGACGTAGGGATCTTCTACCACTCCGTGGACGGGCACCATTCCGCACAAGATCACGTCGTCGCTTCGATGGATGAGGCTGGAATAGCGGCTCTTCGAGCCACAGCATCGGACCCAGGAAGCGCTTACATAGATTTACCTACGAAATGGGCATGCCGCAAGCCCTATGGGGGCTCCTCTCCTCATCTCAGTCGGGGGAGATGGTGCCTAGCTTGCATCTTCGGATGCGGGGTGAAGCGATCTTATCAACGAGTATGTACGATGTGTAGATCGTGGGACACCACATAGGCGAGTGACGTCAGGTAGGCATAGGCATTCGACGATGTAGGCGAAAGCCTCTGCCCTGGCAGTTTTTTAATCTGGCTACTGCATATGACGAGTCCCGGGGGTCTACCAAAGGATATGACGTGCTTTGAGGATGATCGCAGTCTCTGACTACTTATGAGATCCGAGTGAATGGCAGTTCTCGTCGTCGGGCAATACCCTGGGTCTCGCGTGACTTGCCGATCCTCTCCGTAGACCGACCATCTGACGGTTCAGGACATCATAAACTCCTCCTACCATGCTCGAGAAGGCCGAAACGCTGCATCCGACCGAGGAGGTGGCCTTGTACTTGGAGGATTCCCAGGTTGCCATCGACTCGGAAGCCAAAAAGAGGCTTGTGAGGACACTGGATGTAGGTTCCTCTCCGCATCTTACAGTGGTACAAGACTAATAGGAGAATAGTTGCACATCATCCCGTGAGCCATCACCGCGCCCCTTAGCGACGGCTTGCAAAATCTAATAATAACTTGAATACAGCATCGCGACACTCCTTTACCTATTAGGCTTCCTGGATAGAGTCAACATCGGCAACGCACGGTGAGTAGAGTCTTTGAGTGGCCCCGCGAGTGCGGCCTCTAGCCTGCGGCAACAGCCTCTACGACCTCGAGGAAGACCTCGGGTCGGTGGGCAACCAGTTGCAGATCCTGGTTTCGATACTCTTCGTGACGCACTTCACGCTCGAGCTGCCGTCGAACTGGGTCATAAAGAAGATCCGCCCGTCGCGATGGATCGCGTTCACTACCACGAGCTGGGGCATCATCGCCACGCCCTCCGGCATCACCCGGAACTTCGGGGGCATGCTCGCCTGCCGTCCCCTGCTGGGAGCCTTCGAGGGTGGCCTGTTCCTGGGGCTGGCCACGCACCTCACCTTCTTTTACACTAAGCGGGATATGGCGCTGCACATCGCGTACCTATCTCTTCGCCCGTTCTGCCATCGCCGGCGCGACTGGAGGATTGCTGGCATACGGGATCGGCTTCATGGGTGGCGAGTGCGCTTTTTGCTCTCTCCTCCTGGACCTATTTGCAGAGAAACCTTGGTGCTAAGGATGCTCTCAGGCATTTCTGGGCTTTGGGGTTGGCGACGGATTAGGATTATGATCATCGAGGGCATCCCCCCTCATATGCGAGCGCCATCGTGCAGGTCCTCACCATTCCCTGCTATTCATTGGGAGCAATAAGCTACCCGGTTATCGGCCGAGTCTCCGATCATCAGCACCGCCGGGGCATCTGGCTTGTGCTACTTGGTGCCGTTTCAGTGGCCGGATATGGAATGCTTCTGTCAAACGGCGGCAGCGCAGTTAGCTATGCCGGATGCTTCCTTGTGGCCGCGGGCGTGTTTGTGATTATTGGTCTTCCCCTGGCTTGGCTACCCTCGAACGTCCCCAGGTACGGGAAGCGCTCGGTGACAATCGCCATGCAAGCTATGATAGGCAACAGTGCCGGCATCACGGCCAGTTTCGTAGGTTTTCCTCAATGTATCACTGTGCAAATTGTGCGCAACTAACATAGTGCAATAGCTATACCCTTCCGCCGAGGGCCCCTGTTACGTCAAGGGTCACATCATCGCCACGTCCATGGCGGCCTTTGGTGTGCTCCCATTCGACTTCATGTGGCTCTTCTACGAGTGGTCGAACAAGAGAAGGACAGGAGAAAAGGAAGACGGTAAAATCCAAGACACGTCGGACTCTAAAGTCAAGAAATTAGGCAGCAAGAGCCCTCGATCTGTCTACGTGACCTAGAAGCATCTCGGCCAAGGCAATACGATTTCATATATACCATACCTAATCGATAAAAGTCCGCCCTGCCCTATTCATTTCCAGGACCCGAAGAGCCCCTTTCCCAGTGAAGCAGCACAATTGTGTTAATATCTATCGGGAGTCGACAAGTAGGAGATCGCATAGGGAGGCTCCGATCCTGTGACGGCAAGAACAGGCGGATCAGTACGGGGCGATTTAAATAAATATATCGCTTACGGTGTACGCCTCACATACCTCGGGCAGCTTTCTTGGCTGCCTGCTCCAAGCTGAGAGGGGGGGGGCAAGGGGGAGCACCCCGGATACCACGGGCTATAAATTGGTGTCTAGCCCACGTCCCCTATTTTTCTTACCCCCTTCTCACTTACGATTCTTGACAGCTCCCCCTTTTTTGCCGCTTCCTAGATCAACTCATTTCCTCTCCTTATACCATACCTATCCACTATGGCAGCAAATACGGTGTATGTCATCACTGGCGCCAATAGGGGCTTAGGTCTCGGCTTGACCAAGGCACTCCTGGGTCGCCCGTCGACAACCGTCATCGCCACGGTGCGCAACGGTGAAGCCGTCGCCACGCTTCAATCCGAAACCGACAGCATCACCGCCGCCAACAAGACTACCCTCTACATATTGAAGCTGGACTTCTCGTCGGCCGTCCCCCCCGAGAAGATCATCGAGACCTTCAACGCGGCCACCGGCGCCGGCGACGTCAGCCACGCCGACGTGCTCATCTGCAACGCGGCCTCCGTGTTTCCCATGGCCCCCAGCGCCGCCGTCAAAGCCGAGCACCTCCGCGCAGCCTTCGAGGCCAACACGATCGCGTCGCTGCTGGTGTTCCAGGCCTTCTGGCCGCTGCTCCAGAAGTCGCCCTCCCGAGCCCCCAAGGTCGTCATGGTGACCTCGTCTCTCGGCTGCATAACGAACATGGAGCGCGTGCCCGCCGGCGCCTACGGGCCCAGCAAGGCGGCGCTCAACTACCTCGCCAAGTCGCTGCACACGCAGCACGAGGCCGGCGGCCTGATAGCCGTCGCCTTGCATCCGGGCTGGGTGCAGACACGTGCCGGCCAGTCGGCGGCCAAGGATTGGGGATTTCCCGGCGAGCCCCCCGTCTCCGTCGATGACAGCGTCAAGGGCATGCTAGATGTCATCGACAAGGCCACGCGAGAGACCGCGTCGGGCAAGTTCGTCACGCAGACGGGCGATGTCATGCCGTGGTAGTGGTCTACCTCGGGGGGTGATTGAGCGCGTAACGGTGCGCGACGAAGGGGGCTTTCACCGGGAGACTATACTCGGCATCGGGTCGGACGTAGCATACGAGAAATACAGAATTGGCTTCGTTTCCCAGCGATTGTTTTCCATGCGTGCCACGTCGAGCGTGACGGACCCTGACAGCCCACCTCCTTTACGATCAGGAAACTTCACCGCCTCATTTGACCCCTGCCAAGCCTGAAACGTAGAATCCTGAGTTACGAAGTAATAGTCATTGCCACCTGTGTATTGCCTAGTAAGATGCTGCACTGCCAACAGCTAGGAAGCGATTCTGTTTTCTGCTCACACCGTGCCTCGGTTGGGCCTTTTGGACTGCCTCAGCTGGCCCATCCGACGGGGCTTTGCTTCACTTCCGGGACTCGAATGGCCAGCCTAGCACCGTGACAGAGCAGGGACATCGTTTAGACACCCGTATTGTGCCTGTCCTGCACAATGCCAGTCTCCTCGGGGGCGAGTCGGCGCGGACAGATGGTGATGCGGAGAGCAGCATACTAGCGCCCACGACGGGCGGATAAGACGAGCGATAAAAGGGGGTCGCGTATGCCAATACTGAATCCCGCCACCGGCCAAGAGAGAACAATAATGAGACGGTTACCCAATATCTCGGGGCCGTCTCTAGCCCCCGTCACCAACTAGTGGTGGTTCGTCGTGGCCAACAGGGAAGCGCAGTTCCGGTACCTGCAACAGCACAGGGAGCTCCGCGACGTGGTCCGCCTCGGCCCCGGCGCCGTATCGTTCGCGAGCCCCGACGCCGGCAAGGTCGTATACGGGCCGAACCGCAAGCTAGCCAAAGTACCTGCGGCGCGGTCCACAGATCTCGCCGGTAGAGCGTGTTCTACCCCGTCCAGACGCAGGTGTCCAAGGGCGAGGTCCACCGGTCACTGTTCGACGCTAGCTGCAGTAGCATCGTCTACGCCGAGTATGAAATACTAACGACATGTGCGAACCTCGAAATACAGCCTCTGGAGGCATTAGAGCATGTTCCGTTTGCCGTGGTTCTACGTGGTGCTAGACACATCATACGGGAAATATTGTTGTTCCAAGCAGATAAAGAATCCTGGCCTCTTCCGCCCCTTTTTGCCTTTTTGGATGACCGCCTCTGAGTAATTCCTGGAATAAAAAGTTCTCGTCATCCCCCTCCCCCCCGCGCCTCGTCCTGTCTTTTCCTATTTATCAATATAGCATACCGTGATATTATGTTTGTGCCTTCGCTATCCTTGCTGTCTTACACACCACGTACAAGCCTCGATAGCCCTCGCGCCCGACACAACTATAGAAGTATTAACAAAACACTCGAGGGTTGGCGGAAAATGACCACTTCCGACACTACTGCAAGTTGTACTGGGTCGAGAAATTCTACCATTGTACATGTGCACGCCTGTACCCGGAACTGCGGGGTGCGTTGAGTGCCTACCGACTGCTTCCGGTCTCACTACAACTACACACACGCGTCCACTAGTACCCCAAGGCAGGTGGGTGGGTTTAGCTCAGGCAGGCCAGTCTATCTACACACGGCGAGAGCCCTCGTCGAGGACCTCCCAAACATGGGTAACCAGCCCTACCCTGACAGAGGCATTTATCAGTTATAAAAAGCATCCTCTCTTCTCTTCTTCTTGTTCTTCGTCGTCGTAGGCATCACGCATCTCCCATCCCCAGGCGCTGCCTTTGCCTCGTCTTCCGTCTTCCCCTCCTCTTCAGCTAGACCCTGTCCAAGCCGCTACTCAGTGCCTCAACATACCCCCTACAACCAACCAGAATCCAACTCAGTCCTCCAGCCGAAAGAGAAAAAGAAAAATGATGCCAGGCCTGTTCTACATCCCGGATCGAGAGCCGAAATGAGAGGGTGGAATCAGGGTTGTCGAGAATCACCTTCCAAGGCTCTTCGGATAGGGCACGAACGCGGCAGAGCGTCGATCCAAGACCCGTGCGTCATCTGGATTGTGAAGGGGCGAAACGTGGTATACGACAACCTCTTGACCACGAACCACGGGGGCGGAGTCATGATGCTGCGCATTCACCTGCTGGGAAACCTTGACGATGGGAGGCCCAGCAGGTAGCGCAGCCGCGCAACGTCCAGGCAGGTGGTTTCCGCCCGGAACTAGAAATTATCCACAAGAAATTACCAGATTATCCCGATCTGAGCAGCATGCAGAACTTTCGCCAATGCCCCGACTACGACGTGGGACTCGATCGGGGCTAGTTCTGCAGCGTTTTTTTCGACGAGGGAGGACGAGCAGGTCGATATGCGATGGCTAGAAGAGAAAGACACCAAAAGAAAAGCAAAGGAGGAACAACAGTGGGAAACTGTGGAATAAAGGTCGCAAGCGAGTGTCGAGAAAGGTTATAAAAGAAAAAGGATATCGTTCCCAAGTTCGTCAAGGTTTCGTCATGGTTGAGGGGATTCATTCCTCTAGGCACACCGACTCGTTACCACACGCGGTTCGCGTGTGGTTTGAGCCCACGCTGGGTGTCGAATGGGGGGTGGCACGTGTCCAAGCCCGTACCCCAGCACCTTAGTATGCCTGGCCCGGAACCGGCTTCCTGCCGACAGGTCCCTGCGGAGGTCCTTGGTATGGCTGCTGGGAAGGGGCGCCACCGTTGGGATTCATCGGGCTAGGGCCCGGAGGCGTCATCCGCCGGCCCATCGTACTCGGGCTTTGGGGTCCTTGGCCGGGAGATTGGGGTCGAGGTCCGGGGCTCATTGGGCCTCTATATGGACTCATCGGGCGCCCGGTTGCGGGAGACTGGGGCCGCATGGTGGCTGGCGACTGCGGGCGTCCACCAGCAGTCATAGGACGGGGCGGGCCACCTTGGGGAGTCATCGGCCGTTGTCCAGGGGGATAGGGGCCCGGGGTTCGAGGCCCACGTTGGCCATTAGGGACGACGGGAGGACCAGGGCGAGAGCCGGGCGGGCCACCAGCCGGGCGGGGCTTCACTGGGCGAGTTGACAAGCACGTTCGCGGCACGACACCCTGTTGGGAGCGGTCGAGTCGGATACATAGCGCCTACGCAGCATTAGCAAGCAGTCAAAACGTAGGTAGAGAATGAAAGAGCAACACTTACCCAGCCGTCATCGTACTCGTGTAGAAGCCTAACTAGTTGGCCAGCTCGCAGTCCCATCTCGTCATCCATAGTGGGGTTGAAATCTAGCTGAGCGCGGTGGACGGTTGACGATGCAGGACCGCCGGCCGCTGCGATGGCCGCAGCGCTATTCGAGGGGCCAGGAGACTGGCCAGGGGACACCGAATTGACGCTGAACTCGGTGCCAGCCGGGCTTGGTGGTCCGGCAAGTACGGTGAGATCCAGGGGCGCGGGAGCATGCTTACGAGTGGAGGCCTGGCGGACGAGAGCGCCGCCGGCTGCGGCACCGGCAGCAAGTCCGGCACCAGCGCCTACAGCACCTGCAACCGCCGCAGTGGGGACGGGAGAAGACTTGGGCGGTACATCCGTGGTTTGAGCGACACCCACAACGTTCTCCGGGGCGTCAAAGGGATTTCTTGGCCGATCGGTGCTGGTAGGCGTGTAAGCAGACTCGGCATGGTTGCCAAACGGATTTTCGGGGTTGTTTGCCTGGCCAGTTGCAGGTCGTTCCCACGGCGAACGCGCCGTCGTAGGGGTGGTTGCACTAGCCGGACTTGTCGCGAGCGCGATCGCGGCACCCTTACTCGATCGTCGCTCAGAGTACACGGGCATGAATTCGGTAACAGGTCGCAGGCTAAGCTGCGGGGCGGTGGCGGTGGTTTGGACAGAAACGGGGCGAGCACCGAATTGGCCATTGACCTTCTCGTCGTCCTCGAGACGTTGTTTCTCGAGCTGCTTTCGGCGCTTGCTGAACAGGAAGAAGATGAGCAGACCAACCACGAGGATTCCTCCCAAAACACCAATGGCGATACCGGCTTTGGCGGCGCCGCTCGTGTCCACACCCGCAGCCGCTTCGGCGGTTGTCGAAGAACTAGGTCCGGTGGATGCGGTGGCCGCAGCATCGGCACCTACGGCATTGGTAGCTGCTGCAGCTTCGGTTGTCTCCAGGCCTGCGGTTCCCAGGGCGGCCACGCCGGGGGTGCTCTTGGCGAGGGCCAGTGTCGAGTGGTCCTCGGTATCGAAGGTGCCGGTGGGCACGATGGATTGGGGAAGTTCGGTCTTGGTGGCCTCTGCTTTTTTTGCTGTGGATGTCGTCTCCCCCACTTGGGCCAGCGATACCCGTCCGGTATCTTTTGGTTCTGTGGCGGTGGTCTGCGCTAGCCTTCCTCGAGTCGTCGTGGGGGCGACCGCGGTCTCGGGGTCCTCGTCAGTTCGGCCAACGGTCGAATAGCCGCCGATTTGACCCTCGAACGTGGGTGACATGGTCGTATAGACGGTTTTGAATATGGTCTCCGGAGCCGGAGCCCTACCTGCCAAGGTAGGCGTCTCCTTTAGGGGAGTGAGCTCGTTCACTACATCCTGGGCGCCGGTAATGAGATCATCCCGGCCACTGCCGCCCTGCCTTCGGTGGAGGTGCTTGTGGCTAGGCATGGTGGAAGCCCGGTCTGGTCGTATATCACAAGGAACGTGTAAAGATACCGCAATGACGATATTGCTTAGGTTCTTGTCGTCGCGAGGGTCTGTCGGTTGCGAGATAGGCAAAAGAATGTAATGCGCTCATGAGCGTAGTAGGCCACTGTTTTGCGACTCGGTATCGAGGGAGAGGCGAGGAGAACGAACAGGTGTCCTCACACGCTTGTTTACCGAGAAGGGTGAGTGATATCCAGCGGGCCTATTATCCGTTCTCGTCGCGGGCCGCGAGTGTAAGGAAGGTGGTGATCCTCGTAGAAGTTCGGGGAACGGGATGTGAAATGAATGGAACCGAGAAGGGATTCGGCGAGGAAAGCCCAATTCTCGTGGGGAGAGGGGAAGGGGAGAGAGAGACCGCGGGCGTAGTTGCGACGGAGGGCGGACGGTGAGGGAGGAGAGGGAGGAGAGAAGAAGGGAGAGGAGGAGGAGGAGGGTAGAAGGAATTAAGGTAGCTGGGGTAGGGTGAAGAGAGAGAGGGAGAGAGAGCGAGGTCAAACCTGTCTCCCGACCAGCCAATGACAGGCAGGGTGGTGCCCTACAAGCTCATCCGAACGCGACCTATACGTACCGGGATACATGTGATATTGTACCTACATTAGGTACCTCCTCCTCCTCATAGAGATGTAAGTAAGTACCTACCTACAATTACATCCTACCTCACCTACACATACATATCTCTACCTCCCATGGTAGGTACATACCATGACGGCAACAGCCTCCGAGGAATGGCTGAGGGATGGATATAGAGGCAGGTTGCATTAGGCCTTAGGTACTGCCAACGGCGAGGTGGATGTACCCTGGATAGCCCGCCCCGGCGAGCTTACTACCTCCTCTACGTAGGTTACTAGATACCCTGCTCACCAACGTGCTTCTATGCTGGGGTCTGGCTAATCCCTCCCGTAAAACCTCATTGGAAGAGCGAATCCTTCCCGGCTCGCCCTCGGGGGCTCTGCATAAACGCAAATTCCGCCGTTCAGGTGTTCCCTGCCCTCAGGAGGGGGGCAACCTTGCACCACGGCGATCTCAGCATTCGGCCCTCAGAAGCGGAAGCACGCATAAAGGCGAATGATTTCCAATTTGCAGCTTTCCCTGGCGTACTTTGTTCGTTTCCTGTCACGCGCACTCATCCACAGCCAGGCCTCACCCATAGACAGCTGGTGCCTTAGGTACCTACTACCCAAAAGCTTAGCTTGGGCGGGCAAGTTTACTACGGAGCTGATCCCTCAGGTACCAGGAGGTAGATCTAGGAGGTAGAGATGGCCATGCACGCTAATGACCGGCCTAAAATATGTGCAAGTATGTTAGTCGGGCATGTTTATAGAACCCGTGCCGCTCGAGAACAGTCAACACGGTTCCCCCCCCCCTTTCGAGCGCAACACGGGTCGAACGGATGTCGAATGATACCACCAACCATCACCATCCCGTCAGCAGCTATTGTTAGCACTGTCTTTTCTCCCTTTCGCTCTCATGTCATTGTCTGCCCACCGAATAGAAGCCAGCTGATCTACAGAGGCATATCCGCAAAAAGAGCACTCCGCGTCCCTATCTGCCTGGCTTGGGTTGCAGCCGGCCCTCTACCAGGCTGGCTGAGTACCTATCATCTCGCGCCGCAGATGCCCCTCTCTCCCCTTCATAAATTCCTTCTGCGAGCGTACGTCGATCATTTCCATCGGCCTCACTTTCACATCTTGGCCGTCTGTACCAACTATGCAAACTACGTAGCTACGTGTTGCTGGGGATGGCGCTGGACCAACACGGGTAACTCATAGGTACTCATAGATGTGGTCGCACCGGCCCAAGCTTTTCTTTTCGTCCGCTCCCCCCGCGCTAGACGGATTTCGGACTAGCCAGGCACGCGGGAGAGGCCACTGTCAGGAACGGCGCGGTCCTCATTGGCCAAAGCTGGCAGGGATCCAAATTTACGCGAGATTTGGACCCGGGGCAGGAGCGCCAGAGAGAGAGAGAGAGAGAGAGAGAGAGGAGGAAAGAGAGAATGAGAGAGGTAGGTATTATCGCATTCTACACGTACGAGTACATTCTTCCCGCCATTCTCGTCTTTTTTCCTTTCTCTTCTCTTCCATTGGCCGGCTCTAGGTACGGGCGAAGTTGCGAGCGACAGGCAAAAGGACCCAAAACAAACCAATGCACACGCTCCAACGCGCGCGCGCGCAACCTCCTTGCTACCTTGACTCACCCCCATCCTTAACTACGGTGGGTGGCATTCGACACGACCAACGGCGTAATTCATCGACGTCTAGACAGGACGAAGTCGCCGGACGCGCTGATCTATTTGCAGCCTTTAGGCACGACCACACGAGCTAAGCGGAGCCTCGAGATCGTATTAAATGCCATGACATCCGCTCCCCGTCTTGGCCCACCCATCGACGAATGGGATGGGAAATGGCAGAGACAGTATGGCGACAACTACATAATATCGAAGGACCGCATGCAGGTCCTCGCCACTCCTCGCAGCACGCTTGGCGGTAGCCACGTTTCTTGGAAGCGAGCGAGCTTCGTCGAGGGCCGATGGAGGGGGTGAGTTGCCGCGGCGTCGCTCTCTGGGTGCTCCGACTTCCCACCGCAGGCGCAGCGCATGCCGCGTGCAGCGATTCCCTCCTATTCGATTAGGATTCTCGCATCCTCTCCCTCCCTCCCTCTCTCTCAGAGATCTCTCTCTCCTTTTCTTATCACGAAGGATTCGCATGGTCGCGCCCACAGATATGAGTATGACCTACGCCTACTCTCTGCCCGTCAGCGGTGGAAAGTCACGACGACGTGACGGCGGCTCGAGTTGAGAAATGACCAGAAATTAGCAGGGTCACCTACTAAGCTAAGTACATCGATCGCACCTTGGTGACATTCCTGGGTAGGTAGGTAATCTATTGGGTGGCATAGAGAGGAGAGGTATGTATGTACCTAATCCGACGTGCTTGATGTCTCTGTGTATATACCTCTCCTATGGGCAGCCGCCCGCCCTCACGTATACATGCACTATCTATGTGGGCGAGCGCCACCGCCTGTTCGCAGGTCCGCTCCCCCCCCCCCCCCCCGTTCCAGTTCCCACCGGCATCTCGATAACCCAAATCCTCACCGATCCTATCCATCTTCCTCCTCTCCCCATCCCCATTCCGATAACCCGCAATGTCGATCTCACTTATGGGTTTGAATCGCCCCTCTCTGCCTGCCGGGTTGCTTCAGAAAATTCCCTATCGTACAATCCCGCACCGTGGAGCGGCCGTGGCTACGGGACGCGGAGAGGGAGGAGGTGGACATGACGACATAGCACCAACCGTCCATTTCCTCCCCTTCCTCGCCTCATTTCGCGTATGTACGTTGTGAACTCGTACTTTTGTGTCGTCGCGAGGGATCGTACCCGAGCGGGATCGGTCGGCTGGGAGTGATGGGTTTTTTACCTGCCTATTTGAACACGACTATCTTTCTTCCTGCGCTCCCACGCCGTTGGGTCGGTTGACTCCGCTAGCAGCTCCTGCGATCCTTCTAAGAACCCCTCTTGCCCGTGTTGCCCTGGTCTCTCCAGAACTCGGTATTAAATCCATCGACAGGTTAGCACGAGCTAAGGAAGACGGACCGGGGGGGGGGACGGCGCGCACTACCCATTTCGTCTGCTCCTTTGCTCTTCTTTTTTCCACGCGTGTTCTACGGACGATGCCATCCCAGCCCTCCACGAGAAAGGGGACCCAAGGCCTTCTCCGTCGCCTCTAATCGTAGGCACCTAACCGGCCACGTTATGTGCGATACGACACAATACAACAATACAATACGACGCGCGCCCAGCTGGCCCGCCTTGCCCTTGTACCTACTTTATTCCCTATTGTTGTTAAATTGTTACTGCCTTGTGAAACAGCGCTACTCTAACTAACCTGGCTGCTTCATATGGCTGCTCTGTCCCGCCGGTCCGCTCTGTTTTTTTTTTCCCTCATTCTTCCCATCATTTCCGTGCGAAACCTAGCCTTATCACACTACCGCACCGCCACATCGTCTCAACAGCTTCCCCCCCTGCCCCAAGCTCTTCCCCTAGTCTTCCTTTTTCAGCTAACCGGTCGATCACCATTTCATTCCAACCGAGGCATTTCCTGGTTGTCGCGTCTGTGTGTTGTTCTGTGTGGAGGATCGACCTCGTCACCCCGGGGCACATCACCGACAAAGCAGCGGGCGGCAAAATCGGTGGGAATTGAATTGGCGGTGCGCTCGTGCTGCTTGTTCCTCTCTGCAAATGGCAACGCGCAGGCTTGTGTGGAAGAGGGCTCCACATGCACCAGCTGCTAGCGGGCGCCACATGGCGACGCCGCGCCTTTTTTTCTACGCACATACGCGCCCATATGTATGTGCGTCCGGTTTCTGAGAATGCGCTCTGGCGACAGGAGATGTGCCGGCGCGCCGAGCGCGATGTTGACAGGTGGACGCCTCCAATATTACGGCAGGTATTTAGTGCGCAAGGCTGAAATGAGCCGGGAAGCGCAAATCGATGACACGAGACCCGTCTGAAGTGACATACGAGCGCGGCCTCCTGAGTAGTATTGCCCTCTAGCCTAAACGCGGCCGGACCGCCTCCCGTTTTTCTTTTGCTACGTAGCGCACGCGCGAAATGACGAAATGACAGAAGAGCTGAAAAGCGACGGGATGTGCAAGGTGTACCCCCCCTCCTTGCGACGGGGTGTAGGGTGAGTGCAGAAACGCGCTCTGTTTGCAAACATCCCGGAAACTTGGTCGGAGAAATGAGCGATGTTTCATGCGCGCCCGCACACCACTACACCCCCCCCCCCCTACCCCCTTTGTTTTTCCCGGGACAAACAAGGTTTTCCGCCTGGCGACGGAGGCATTTCTATAGCACACGACCTCGAGAGCCGGCGAGTGAGGCCAACAGGGAGGGTTGCGGATCGCCTCCGCATCTGCCTGTAAACGTACATAATCTTGGTCGCGGTAGGCTATAGCTGCGAAGTGAGCAAGTCATCCGGCCGTTTTTTGTTTCGTCGCGTCACTATGCTGTCGGCGGTGAGAGGCCTGGTTTCGTGCGCATTTTGGCCTTGGGGGAGGGAGGTGGGACGGCCTCCCGTATGGGCTGCGCGCGCGCGCGGGTGTACGTGGTCCTGTGACGATGCTTAGATCCGAGGCGCGCGGGTTTCCTGCTGCGCGGTGCATCGGAGCTTGCGGGCGTGGCCTGATCGCCCGCGCCCGCCGCGCAGCGGAGAGTAGCCGCGCGGAGGTAGATGTGGTTGGCCTCGCGGGGGGCCAGCGAGGAGGTTGGTTAGAGGGCCAGGAATAGCGCGAGTATAGATAGGATATGGGTGCTGGTACGTAGGTATGTGTCCAAGGCACGGTATAGCCGGGGCGTGCTACGCACTTCCATCACACCCCCCCTCTCTCGCTGAGAGACACGTAGAGAAAGAAGACGCCGAGGGGAAAGCGCAGATAGATAGATAGATGCACCGGGCCAGACGAGGCGTTAGATCTACACAGGCAAGGTGACGCGCGCAGCACCAGAACTCCGTATATTTGCCCTGCGCCAGCCAACTACCAGCTGGCTGGCTGCCGATCTACCTACCTCCCGCCCGAACTATCTACAAGCCCGCGCCCGTACGTGGGCTTGGAGGAATAGACGCTATGTACCTCCGCGGAAAGCAACATTACATACATAGAAGAACCCCGTCTCCCCACGCGCCCTTCGTAGCGGGCGCAGTACATCCTGCCGACAAGGGGACGGTGAAAGCGTCTACGGTGGGATGGTTGGCGCTGAGCGCGAGTCGTGCTGGCGCGCGGCAGCACCGGGCATTGGCGCCGCGATCGCTTGCCGGCGCTCTGGGCCGCTGGCGGCGGTGTGCGCTATCCGCCGTGCCGGTCGTTGGCGTGCCTATCCTATCCCGACGGCACGCGCTCTGGGTTGCTGCCGCTAGCGTCTGCCGTGCCTCGCGCCGTCCCGGTAGGGGGGGCCACGGTTCGGAGACGGCGGCGTCGGGGGGGGGGGCGCTACGAGGGCCCGCCGCTGGGCCGGGGCCAGTGGCCGCCGTTCTGGGGGCCGGGCTGGCCGTGCTGCATCTGGCTCTGGAGCGCGGCGAAGAAGGCCGGGTTGTAGAACGTGCCGGCTCCGGGCGCGTTCAGCGGCTGCGGCTGCGGCTGGGCCGCCGTAAACTGCGGCGGCGGCGGCGGGAAGAACCCTTGCGGCACATTAGCCGCCCACGGGAACGAGAACGGTGGGTGCGGCAGCGGCGGGTGGCCGCCGTTCACCGGCGACGGGGGCGCCATGCCCTGGAACTGCGGCGGCAGCGGCGGGAACACCGCGTTGGCGACCGCTAGCGGCATCGGGGGGTAGCCGTGCTGAGGCGGAGGCGCCGCCGGCGCCTGTGGCGGGTACTCCTGCCCTCGCGACGGCCGAGGCGGCAGGGAGTGGCCGCTTCGCGGGCCTCCGCGGTTGCCGCGGGCCCCGCGGTCGAAGCCGTGGTTCCGCGGTCCTCGGCTCCGGCCCGCGCGACGCGAGCCGCCGTTGCCGGGTTCCGGAGGGGCCTGCGGGCCCTGCCCGAAGCCCGGCGGCCGCGTCAGCTTCCGGTAGGGGCCGTCCAGGTCTTCGTCGTCGTCGTCGTCGTCGTACTTCAGGCTGCCGCCGGCCGCGGACGAGGACGGGGTTTCGCGCTGGCCTGCTCTCGCGCCTGCGCCTCCGCCTCCGCCTCCGGCGCCGCCGGTCTTCCCGCCGCGCCCTCCTTTCTTCTTGGCCTTGAGCTGCCGCCTGTGCTCGGCCTCCTTCTCGTCGTCGGAGAACTCCATCTCGTCGTCGCCGACTTCCTCGTCGTGCCAGTTGCTGGCGTCGGTGCCCTTGTCGCCGCGCAGCGCTTGCGTGAAGACGTAGGACGCGTGCGCGGGCGGGTAGAACACCTTGGCCCCGAGCTCGAGGCCGAACGCGCGGATCTCGTCGTCGCTGGCGAACCGCGCCGTGTAGCGCGGCTGCCGCACGTTGCCGATCAGGTCGGCCAGCGCCGCGACCACGGTCCGGTCCGCCGTGCAGAGCACCGAGCCGCTGTCGAGCACCGAGTACTCCCCCGTGGTGTGCGCCTTGATGACCACGGTGCTCTCGACGATGTGCTCGACCACGCCGAGCTCCGTGATCTCCGCGTCGGGCGCGAGCGTCACGTCGGGCTTGGGGATCACCTCCTCGGGGATCTCGTTCTTGGTCCGGACCTGCGCGCCGGAGCCGGAGCCCCGCGCCTTGCCGTCGCCCTCGTCGTCCGAGCCGCCCTCCATCTCCATGAGGATGCGGGCAGTCTCCTCGGGGCCGAGAAGCTTATAATTCCTCGCGTCTTCCGACGAGTCGTCGTCGTCCGAGTCGTCGGAGCTGCTCGAGTCAGACGACGACACGTACGGCGAGGAGTCTTCCTCCCACCCGGCCTCGCTCTTCTGGTCGTCTTCCGGCACCTGGCCCGCCGGGGCGCCGTTGGCCTGCCCGCTCGGCTCGCTGCCATTCGGTTGCGCGGGTGCGGCGCTGGGAGGCGGAGGCGACGGTTCTAGGCCGCCGAGAAGAGCCTCCAGGGCCGAAGTAAGGGAAGGGGGGCTCGGAGGCGCATCGGGAATAGCAGTGTCGCCGTCCTCCTGGGCGGCTGGTTCTGTCTCTTTTTGGGTAGTAGGCTGGGTCACTGGTTGGGGCTGGGTGGCCTCTGGCTGTGCTGGCTGTGCTGGCTCTGATGGCCCTGATGACTCTGACGACTCCGACGGCTGTGAGGGTTGTGCGGGTTGTGAGGGTTGTACCGGCTGCGGTGGCTGCGGTGGTTGCGATGCCTGTAATGAGAAGGTCAAGCCGGGTATCTCAAAATGCCCGGACATATTGGTGAAGGTGAGTAGGTATTACTAGAGTGAGGCTGTTTTCCATTAGCTACTGTATGACTAGATGGCTAGCAGTAGGGCACCTACGATAACACAATGCGCCCATCTAGCAGAGTGATGTTCGCGAGTCTGGCCGGGGAGTTGCGGCGTGCCTCGGCGTCTCGGCGCGTACGAGATGGACGAGGGAGGGGAGACAATTGCTGATATCAGATACTGGTGGAGTAATAGAATTGGACGTTGAAACCTAGGGGTTTACGGCGCATTCTCCAGACACCGATTGGCGATATACTACTCGAGATCGATTTTTTCTCTCTAACAGGTCACTCTGGAGGTGGATGCTTTTCGCAAGGTCAAGTTGAAGCTCTCGCAGATGGATGTAATTCTACAAAGGGTCTGAAAAATAAAGTGGAGCTGTAAAAAAATCACGGTGTGCAAGTAAGCCAGTATATGTAGTACTTAGGTACCTATCTACCTACCTGCGTGCTACCTGTTAGGATACCTTACATAATCCAGCCCCTGTATGTATGTTCTATGTGCATATACCTGTTATTTGGGTGTCCATTCAACTAAGGCATAGGCTATGAATTGGCCTACGTCATCTCCGATTGGTCCTTGCCGTCCTTCAACCTTTGGGGACAACGTAGGCATTGTTGTCTCTTGGCTTGCTTACCTCATGCTGTCGCCTTTCACCTACAGCTCTCCCTCCTCTCCCAGCTCCCACAGCTCTGACAGATTCGACTGTCTTCCGCCTGACCTGCACATGATAGTGTCCCCAACACACAGCACAGAACTGCAAGGTTGGGTCTGTTCGAGATGCCTCCCACAGCTGCTGAGCAGCGGCCAGAATTCGTTCATCCAGATGCGCGGCATGCGAAGAAGAGGTGCGAGCTGAGACAGGACCAAAAGAGGTGGAAGCTGTTCGGGATGAGCTCGGCTGCTAACCACCAAGCGTAGGCGCCCATCCGCATTCCTGATCGAGCCTATCAAGGTATTCTATATCTTCTTAGTCGCAAATGCCATCTCGGCCACCTTCGCACCTATCCAGGACTGCGACGAGACTTTCAACTACTGGGAGCCCACCCACTACCTCTCCCACGGCTATGGCCTGCAAACCTGGGAATATTCGCCAGACTACGGCATACGAAGCTGGTCCTACGTTGGGCTGCATGCTATAGTTGCCAATCTTCGAAGACTGCTGCCTCGACCCACCAAGGCAAGTATTTATCTCGCTACTGCACCTGGTAGAATCTAGCTCGCAGCATTGGGGCTCACGGTGGCTGCAGGTTGCCGAGTTCTACTTCCTCCGATATGCGCTGGCCTTTGTATGTTCCTTGTGCCAAGTGCTCTTGTACCGCTCCGCAAGCATCAACCTGGATAGCCGGATCGGACTCTTCTTCACCATGGCCACGGTCATGTCGCCGGGGAATTTCCATGCTAGCACTGCCTACCTCCCGTCGAGCTTCGCTATGTACGCCTCCCTTCTTGGCGCTGCCGCGTTCATCAACTGGAGGGCCGAACTGAGGACCTTCTGGGGCATCTGGTGGTTCGCCGTAGGGGGCATCCTGGGCTGGCCCTTCGCCGCGGCGTTGTGTGCTCCATTCCTGCTTGAGGAGGTGCTGAGCGGCCGTCACCGTTTGTCCGAAGCCGCCATCGGCATCGTCCGGGGCGGCGTCGCTGCACTGCTGCTGCTTGTAGGTCGCTCCGCCTGCCTTGATTTCCATGTTCGCCTCTCACCACACCTAGAGCGCCGATGCGGCCATAAATACCTTCTTTTACCGCAAGTTCGAGGTTGTCCCGTGGAATATCGTCAAGTATAACATCTTCAGCTCGACCGGGGGTCCCAACCTATACGGTACCGAGCCGTGGACGTTCTATTTCCGCAACCTCGCCATCAACTTCAATATCTGGTTTTTCCTCGCCTTACTCTCCCTGCCGCTATTTCTCCTTCAAAAGGCGGTTTCCACGAAGCAGCACGATATCCGGTCCGTGATGCGCACCGTCGTGTTCCTCACCCCGTTCTACATGTGGCTTGCCATCTTTTCCGTCCAGCCTCACAAGGAAGAGCGGTTCATGTACCCTATGTACCCATTCATCGCGCTGAATGCGGCCTTGGGGCTACACGTAATTCTAGCTGCCCTCGGAACTTCGGACCCGAGGACGCTCATAGGGAAGATCCCGGCGCGCCTCAAGCTTTTTGCCGTATTGGGCGTGATGTTGCTGTCTCTGGATCTGGGCGTCGCTCGCATCATCGGGTTGTATACTGCTTACTCAGCCCCTCTCAAGCTATACCAACCCCTCGGGGCTGGTGAGGCTGGTGAGGCTGGCCTCGGTGGCCGCGGCGATCACGTCTGTTTTGGCAAGGAATGGTATCGCTTTCCCAACTCGTATTTCCTACCTCGCGATATGCGCGCCAAATTCATTCGGTCCGAGTTTCGAGGCCTACTTCCCGGAGAGTTCGCAGAGGCGCGGACCGGCTTCGGCTTCTGGAGCGGCACCTGGCTGCCGCCAAGAGGCATGAATGACCGTAATCAGGAAGACATGGGAAAGTACGTTGATATCAGACAATGCTCGTTCTTGGTCGACACACAGTACCCGGAACACCAGGTCCCTCTACCTCCGAACGAGCCTGATTATATTTCTGACGGGGAGAACTGGGATACTGTCAAGTGCGAGCCGTTCCTTGACGCGGCAAACACGCACCTACTCGCCCGAGTTCTCTGGATCCCGGACTGGGAGATCGTGCCGGAAAAGTACAGGAGAAAATGGGGACGGCACTGCTTGCTGCAGAGAAAATTATAGGCCGCTCTCAACCTCACGGCGGGAACCACGTGTCGGCCTGGCCCAGTAATTAATATAAGATACTATGACCCCCATTCATGCCGTTTTTCCCGTTCCCGCTATGGAGCCGAATTTTGGGTCGACTTTGAGTAGGTCGAGGTAAGATAATTTAGGCACGGGGATGCTTTACAGGTGCCGTCGAAATCAAGTGGGGCGTCCGGATAGGGTGGATGATCATGGAGATCGGGTGAGGATCGACGGCGGTCAGCGACAGCCTTGTTTATCGAGATCTACGGCGCCCCTGCGCTTATTTCCTTGCCTTTTCTTTTCGTTTTACCTAACCTATTTCCCTGGTTGGAGTAAACCGGGATTCTTTGCTAAACGGAGCCCCGTGATTCATCGTCAGCTGAGTTCTCTGAATTCAAACAAGTTAGGAGGAAGCCTTGGTTTATTTTAAAGGGGAAAAGCCGGATTAGGCAGGTATCTCTGATGAGGGAACGAATCGCAGATCTGAGCCAAGGCGAATGACAATATTTAGCATCACTGGTATCAGACCCCTGCCAGGTCGTGGCGCGGCGGCGGCAAGAAAGAAAGCGAAGTGACTTGGCATCAAGGGAGAAGGAGGTGAGGAGGAAGGGGTTTGGCTGTGGGGGCGAGATCTGCCGCGCGGTAGAGTTGCTATGAGGGCTTCGCGCAGACTAGTTGTTCGGCTCCAGAAAACGACCACACCATCAACAGACGCGCTACGACCCTAGAGGGATGAGCCACGACGTGGTTAGCTATAAGTTGGCTAACAGAAGTGGTCGATTGTGCCGTTAGACGCGTCAAACACCCGACAAGGGCTCCGCCAACTGCCTTTCCACGCCTACTTATTATAGCAGCCGTGTCCCGAGCCAGCAGCGTCGAGGAGCCCTTTTGCTCGCTCCTTTGGACGGGACGGATGCGAGGCGTGTCTGGCGTTCCTTGGCACGAGCAATCCGCCAAGTCAAGGATGTACTCTACAGCGTTTCAACTACGGCAGACACCACACATGTTGGTAGCTGCCTGCAGTCTACAGGTAGAAGAGAGATGCAAGGAGCTGACACCGTCTTACGCCCCCTTGCCAGCTTGTGGCGTTCCGATTCCTGCACATAGCGACACATATATCAGGGCTTCCGCCGCCACCATGGCCCTCCTAGAGGTCGATATCCTCCTCCCCAAAAGTGCAGTTAGCCACCCTTCGATAACCTCCATTCAACCTCCCTTCCCCGCCCAAATCCGCCGCCATGAGGAGCCTTCTCCTAACCCTGTATGCTGCCGGCCTGGTCGCCGGCCTCCCTCTCGGAGCGCGGGACGCTTCGCGAGTCGACGCACGGGCATTCCCGGTCCTCAAGCTGCCGAACGTGCCGGAGCCGGACCCTAAATTCGATGCGAGGGCGTTTCCGATTCTCAAGCTGCCGGAGGCGGCGCCGGAGATTGCTCCGACGATCGAAGATCGGGCGTTCCCCGTCCTCAGCCTGGCCGACGTCGCCGAGCTCGACCTGTCTAAGAGCAGCGACCTCCAGCGGCGCCGCTGATCTGCGACGACGCGGCGGGGGGGGCGCGATCGACGCGGCGGGACCGGTGGATCCTGTGGAAGGCGAACGGGAACTCGCTAGGGGGGCGCGACGACGTGCCAGGGGGGGGGGGCCGCGGCGCGGACGATCCTGGACGACGAGGGCGACGCGGAACGACGGCATCGTCTCGGCCCCGGCCCTGTACCAGATCCCCGACGGCGGCGGCGGCTTCGTGCTCTTCTACGGCTCCCACTGCTGCTCCAGCGACGACTGCGACGCCGAGTACGCCTTCTCGCCGACCATCGACGGGCCGTACGCGGACAACCGCGGCATTTTTGGTCCGGGTGGCCTCGACATCGACCCGAGCGGCCGCTCCGCGCCAAACCGGGGCGCTGGCAAGCGCCAGCTGTACAGCGCTGTGCTGACGATTAATGGTCGGCTGATCGAGTTTTGAGCGGAGTGGTGCTGTCCACGCATGAATACAGAGGCTAGCGCTAGCATAGGAATAGGGGGGGGGGGGGATTGGTGTTCTGCGGCTGGGAAGGGACGGGGGGATATGCAATGTTACGAAGGCACGCATAGAATGTGTTGATGACGGCTGTCTTTGCTAGAGAGCGCGGATCTGTCCGCTCGGGAATTGGACATGTAAACTCTGGCGATATCTTTACCCTATAGATATAGGCTTGTTGTGTCCTATTTGTATACCTATATACAGGGGGACTGCCGTTCACTACTCTGTACATACATACTACATATCTACGTGTACACACACCCCATCGTTGCGCTATTCGAATCACCAAGCGTCGACCACGAAATCCCTCCCCGGGGCTCCTTAGCTCTACCATAACAACCCCCCCCCCCTTACCTAGCGCGAGCGGGCGGCCATGTTCGCGCGCACGTGCGCGTCCCGAGGGGCGCTGCGGCGAGCCGGCCGCGTCGGCGAATCGCGCGGCGCGCCGTCGCCGATTGGTGGGAAGCTGGAGGGTGTGACACTGTGTTCCCGGACGCTGGGGAGGGCGACGGGGCGCCGCGTCGGGGTTCGTGGCACGTCGGGCGTCTGGGGTTGACGAACTGCCTACGTAGGTAGGTATCTGTTCGGAAGGGGTCGATCGTTTCGGTTGCGGCGTCGCGCGGCCTCCGGTGGGGGTGTGGCACTCTACTACACCTGGGCGCGTCTACGTGGGTACTTGCCCGGCTTGACTCCTACGTCCTTTACGAGTCACGGTGATGAGGCGTGGCGCTGGCTCGTAAATGTCACGGAGATTGAAGTAGGGGTCCTGTCTATATCGCATTCACGCCACAGAAGGGACCGCGAGATACTAGCTACTGCGTGGGTGGTGGTGAGGGATTAGAAATCTATGTCTTCTGAGGGTGCTACTAATACCTTCAGCGTGCCATCAAACATGGCCAAGCATGAGCGGCGAAAGGCAATTGAGAAATGCCCATACGTAAGCGGAAGCACAGGATGGGATGGGCTCGAGTTGGCCTCGACATCAAATACTTCCTCTGACGCCGGATGCTATCTCCCCCTCCCCTCTTCTCCATCATCTCCCCGACATATAATATCGGCCGGTCGAATGTTAATAATGGAGCTGGCGGTTCACCACGTTGATCAGCGGCTGCCCCGTCGCCAGCTTCTCGAGGTTGATCTCGAGCACGTCGAGGAGGCGGTTCCAGAGGAAGTCCGTCTTCCAGCTGACGTGCGGCGTGATGAGCAGGTTCGGAGCGCGCCACAGCGGGTGGTCGGACGGCAGGGGCTCCGGGTCGGTCACGTCGAGCGCGGCGCCGCGGATCTTGCCGGACTCGAGCGCCTCGATGAGCGCGTCCTGGTCGATGTGCCCGCCGCGCGCGACGTTGGCGACGAACGCCTTCTTGCCTTTCCCGAGGATCTCGAACTGCGCCCGCGACAGGATCCCCCGCGTCTCCGGCGTCAGCGGCAGGCTGAGCACCAGCAGGTCGAGGTCCTGGGCCAGGAACTCGTCGACCGCCGCCTGCGTCGTTCCGTGGAACCATCGCGTCGGGATCAGGCCCTCTCGGTCGCCCGTCCCCGCGACGCAGTAGCTGTCATCCACACGCGACTCCGGCGTCGCCCGCTCCCCCCGCGTATACGCATACACCTCCATGCCGAGGGTGCGGGCGATGCTCGCGCAGGCACGCCCGATCGCGCCGTAGCCTAGAATACCGCTACAGTGGGGGTATACCGGGATGTTAGCCATGTTCAAGAGGAAAGTAAGTGGGCGGCGACCACCGGCGGAAAGATAGGTAATTAAGAGGTGGGTGATTACTTACACCCGAAGACCTGTCGAGTCTTCAATGTGCGTGGCAAAGGGCGACTCCCAGTAGCCGGTCTTCATGTGCGCAGCGTACCGTTGGAAGTGGTGTTGGTGGGAGAGCCATGCGCCTATGACCCATTCGGCAATCTGTGGGCTGTCGTTTTTTCAAGCCGAGGAAAAGACCAGCAACACGTTTGTCAGCCATGATGTTACGCGATTTTCGCTGAAGAGCAGTCCTCTGGGAGTGGCAACCTACGCGTGGATACCGTTCGAGGTGCAGAAGATGGTGTTCTCGTCTAGGTACTTGGGATGGTTCGTCCACCGGTCGGTGCCGGCGGAGCTGACCTGGATGAGGCGGACCTTGGCTACCAGGTCTTCCGGGGGCGGCACGAAGGTGGTGAGGATGGTGACGCCGTCCCAGACCTCGGCGGGGACCTCTCTCGCGGTGAGGATGGTGCCGTCCGCTTTCAACGAGTTCACCCATCTCACTCGCAAGCCCTCGAACCGGTTCGTGACTCGTTTTATCCACTCCGTCTGCTCGGCAACAGGGGTGAAGACGAGGAGGACGTCGTTGGCCAGCGGCCCGACCTCGCCTCCGCTCTCGTCGGCCTTGGACATCGTCTCTGCTGGGGGTTGGGGAGGCGTGCCGGTGGGTTGTTGGGGGGTCGGCGAGTCTGAGTTCTGGCAGAACGGTAGGTGATGAGGGCAGAAATATGGCGATGGTGTGTCTCTGGTGACGGCTGGTAGTAGGTACGGCTACGTCGCTAAGCTGGTTACTTCTTTCCTAGATGTGCACTCTTCTTCTGTTGTTCCTTCTCTTCTGATCGTCGTCCGGCTGTCGGGTGGGCGTGCCTTCCCTCGATATCTGGACTACGGGCCTCGGCCTTTTTTATAGCTGCTCGATGCAAAGTTGGCGCGTGAATCACTCCGTACCCATTATTCAATCCCGATTATTCACCCTGCTTCCGGTCCCGACAATGGAGAGGGGGGAGGACGTGTCCGGGATGCGTCGAGGATGCGTCGAGGGTGCCCGCGTGGGCCAAGTCGCACAATTCCCGATGCTACCCTATCCCGGATGCAAATACTTGTAGCTGCGTCTCCCCTTTTCTCGCCAGGCATACAATACCGCAGGCAGAGCTGGATAACCTCGTTCTCCTAGTTGATGATAAGCTGTGCGCTGTGCAGTCGAGCCCCGCCAACGAGCGCGGCGGGAACCCACGCCGTCATGAAACCCCGGCATGGCGCAATGATAGGAGCCAGCTCCCCCCCCCAGTACCATCCCTAGGCCGCTATTTTGGTCCTGCCCACCCGATAATCGGCTCCGATTGCGTGGCTGGACCCGGTTTGCAGTTTGTCAGCATCGTCGACTGCGCAAACGACAGTGTCCATTCAACAAACTAAGCAAGATTATCTGTCAAAGCTAGATACGGGTGCGAGAATAGAGACGCAACGACGCGACGACATCCCGCCGGCACTGCATCGGCGCCGAATCATGCGGGCAAATTCTCATAGGCCTTCCATATATGCCGCGAAATAGCCCCGTATAACTAGGCACTCCAAGCGCCTACATCAACCCCGGTACCGCCTATCAGTCCGAGACGCCAGAGACTGCTCGCATATGCAGCGGCAAAAGGCTCGTTGCCGCTAGCTACCACCGGTCATCTGAGTGATGCCGTCCACTGCCGTCTCTACTACTTGGAAGCCGGCTGCATTGCCCGCACCTCTGGCCGCACGCTCGAACGCCTCATCGCTCCTGTTGACAGCCCATAGTTAGCAGACTGCCGATGGCATCCCATTCTGCACCAACGAGCAGTAGACGTACCTGTCGCATATAACCTCTATGTCTTCGTCGCTCAGGATTCTGTCTCCTCCCGAGTGCAGATACACCTCGCCATCCTTCAACAGGATCGACTGCAAGATCTCCTTGTCCAGCACCTCGTTGGCGTCGATTTTCTGACCCATAGTCTTGAAACCACCCTTTTTGATGACAAGTTTCTCCAGCCTGCGCTTCGCGTCCGCGCTCAGCAGCAGCTCCTCTTCGACCGTGCCTTTGGTAGCCAGTCGGTAGATGATCACCGGACGTGTCTGGCCGATTCGATGACATCGATCTTGCGCTTGAAGGTCTTGTTGCGGGTTCCAATCGCTAGTTCCACGCGCCTAGGTGAACCTCTGGTTGGAAGATCGTGATTTGGGGGGGGGGGGGGGTGCGGTCTTACCTGTCAAATAAGATCACCGTATCCGCACTGGCCAGATTGATGCCCTGGCCGCCCGCCCGGGTCGATAGCAGGAAGATTTTGTAGTCGGGGTTTTCGTTGAACTCTTTGATCTGCTGGCGCCTGTCTTCCTGAGAAACGCTTCCGTCGATACGACAGACATTCCACTGCCTTAGGCTCGCGCAATAGTCTTGCAATAGGTCCAATTGCGTCTTGAACTGGGAGAATATCAGGATCTTATGGCCGCGTTTGAAGAGCTCCGGAAGCAATCGGTCCAGGAGCAGCATCTTTCCGGACGAGGTCACAATCGTCTCGTCGACAGCGATATCGGTGTTGAATGCCCACGGGCTGTAGAAGTTGTGAGGGCTGTTGCAGACCAGTCTTAGCTGCATCAATGGGTTGCCTAATTTCTTATCCGCGATCTGAAGTTCTGCCGCATGTTAGAAGTGCAGCATAGAGTAGAGTAGCATGCATATATACTTACTAGCTAACTCGAGCGTGGCGGCTCGCTCAATCTCCTCTTCGTCTCGGGAGTCTTCCGAGTTCTCGTCATCGTCGTCCTTGGCCGCAAGCTCGGCCGCGATTTTGGCTTCGAATGCGTCGTCATCTAGCGCATCGTCATCCGAGTCGTCCGCGACCTTGTACGAAGGACGACTCTTGCGCAAGCGACTGCGGACGCTGCTGGCCGGAGTCGACTGACGACTCGATCTGCTGCTCTTGGGCGTTGAGACTTCGCTGGTAGGCGGCGCTCGCCGCTTGACAATTCCCTTTGTTTTAGGAGTAGAGAAACTGTCTTTCGTCGATGGTTTCGGTGTTGGGTTTCCGTTTTTGCCCATCATCATCGAAAACGCGTTCTTGGTCGGAGGAGATGGCGCTTGGCTCGGACGAGCACTACTCGCTCGCGAGGACTGGCGGCTCGACAGCGGGGAGCTGTTCAGGCTGTTGTTGGCCTCTGTCAACCTCTCGAAGACCTTGCCTTCGAGGTACGATCTGGTGTCCGTCTTCCTGTCGTTGATGACGTTGTAAAGGTCCGTCTGCTCCTTGGTCATGGGTGCGTACAGCACATATTCTCGCTTACTCGGCAAGTAATTTGCGACGTCAGCCTTGATTCTACGAAGCAGCAGCGGCTGCAGGACCTTGTGAATCTTAGATACTAGATCTTGGTTTTGCTTGTCCTCGATGAACTGAGACATTGCCTCTTCGTCTTGTAAGTCGCTAAAATCAAACCAGACCTCGAAGGCTTCCCAGTCGAGGAAGGTTTCTGGCATCAAGAAATGGAGGAGAGACCACAACTCCTTGAGGTTGTTCTGGAGAGGCGTTCCCGTAATCAGGAGACGGGTCGCCGACTTGAATTGCTGCAGTTCTCTAAAAAGCTTCGCGTCGGCATTCTTCATACGATGACCCTCATCCTGTGACATGTCAGCGTCGCCACCACAACCGAAAGGGGGGCAGAAGCGGGCACTCACGACAACGATGAAAGCCCAATCTATCTTTGAGAGACTCGCGCGATCTCTGAGAACCATTTCGTAGCTTGTGCAGACGACAGGAAATCGGTTGGTAAGTTTGCCTTTCTGGTAGTTTTTCATGATCTTATCACGAAAAATGTTCTGCCGCTCCTGGGGATTTCCGTGGTATAGCACGAAAGGTATGGATGGTGTCCACTTATGAAACTCGTCCTGCCAATTCGATAGCGTACTCAAGGGGGCGATGACGAGATGAGGGCCGTAATATTGCTCCTGTTCTCGGAGCAATGCCACAAGCGATATGACTTGAATGGTTTTGCCTAAAGGCTAGTTAGCTCCCGAGCTGGCCCGGTTCGCTGGAGAGAGCAGGTACTGACCAAGGCCCATCTCGTCGGCCAAGATCCCACTCAAGCCCTGCAGGCATATCTCGTACATCCAAGTGAGGCCCTCCAGCTGGTAGTCGCGCATGGTGCCGCCACTCATGATCTTCGGTTGTTTCTTCAGTTCCAAGCCGACGTCCGTCAATGCCTGATTGTCGAAGTCGCGCCCCACGCGGCCGAGAGCCTTCGTCTTCTTGGTGAGGATCTCACTGAAAATCTTGCTCTTTCGTAGTAGTTCGTCGAGCTCCTTGGCTTTCTGGGCACGCTCCTGGGGCGACAGCTGAACCTTCTTGCGCTTCCTACGGGCAGCAAGCCGCTTGGCTTCAGCTCTGGTGTTCTCAGCTCTGGCCTTCTTCTCCTCGGTCAGCATCTGCTGCTCTGTAAATATCGACGTGACGGCCATCTTGGGGTCCCTAGATCGTGAACCGGACAAAGAAATAGATGAAGTATTCGTGTAGATAGAAGCGTAGGGTAACTACGGAAAGCCTGGATGTGCGAATAAGGCAAACGCCATCGAAGAGGAAACCCGGGAGGGATGCGACTCAATGCGATGGGACTTGGGGAAGAGCAATTCCACTTTCGGAGTCCGGATGTACGAGGATTCGCGGTCGAGATCTGCGCGCGTGAAATAGGAGGAAGCCGGTAGACACCTAGACAGGAGGTAGGTAGGGAGAGCGGGTAGGTCGGCGAATTAGAAGGTAGATAGGTCAAGGGATTAGAAGGAATTAGATGGTAAGACCTGGCCTAGCTGATCAGAGGAAGATTGACGGGTTGAAGAGTGGGTATCCGACCGAAGCGGGCGAGGAGGGAGAGGAGAGGAAGAGAGAGAGGATCGTGGGCGACGAGGGTGGATGAATGCCTCAATTGCCCAATGGGCATTTTGGCAAGAGCGAGCGCGTCATTAGGAGACCACGCTATGTGTGTACGTACCGCCCCGAGTGCGAGCAGGTGGTAAGCCAGACGCGAAACTACTACGCGATCACGCGTTAAGTGGTGGACCCGCTCCCCATCATCCCTAAGGAGGTACCTGTACTTAAATAGCGGTGCCTACATCTAGCCAGGTACCAAATGCCTGGGTGCGGGCAGGGACCGTAATTATGCATATGATAATGTACCGATATGCTTATGCTTATACAGATTTCCGGGCTGTGTTGTCCTGCTTACTACATAATCCGCCTGCCTACTATCCATCTCATAACGCATTCTCGTCCTGCAGTGTGACTTTTCCCATCTCCATCTTCGCTCTCCCAAACATTCCCACCACCTGTTATCGATCGCCGACGGCAAACCACGCTCGCTTCCAAGACTGGCATCCATCGCTATCGCTGGCGGCAGGCAGGGATAGCAGCACTACGGCTCCGACTTTTGCGCCCTAGTTGCATCGTCGCTCACGCCCACCATGGCCGCCACCACGCAGAACTTCTACGAGTTGTACCGACGAAGCAGGTACAGCCTCGTCCCCGCCCTCTCTCTCATCCGTCTCCTCATCCTGCCGTACTTCCTCATCCTGCTGTGGTTGAACTTGGCGTGGTACTGACAATGTGGCTTTGATCGCAGCGTCGGCGCCGCTCTGACCGACACCCTCGATGACCTCATCACCGACCACCAGATCGACCCCCAGCTCGCCATGAAGGTCCTCGCCAACTTCGACCGCGCCATCACCGAGGTCCTCCAGGAGAAGGTCAAGGCGCGCCTCTCTTTCAAGGTGAGCGGCAGCCCCCGACGTATAAATTCCCTCCCTCCCCTTGCTCTCGCGCTTACTTTCCGCCCCTCCCTCTCCACCGCTTTCTCTGGGCTACCGCGCCCGCTGCCGAGGCTGCGACTAACGAGCCGGTCCGCCACTGCAGGGAAGCCTAGACACCTACCGGTTCTGCGACGAAGTCTGGACCTTCCAGCTGAAGAACGTGATCTTCAAGATGGACAACAATAGCCAAGCCGTATCGGCCGATAAGGTTAAGATAGTCTCGTGCACGGCGAAGCCGACCGGCAACGGCCCGTGAGCGCGCTGCCACTTGCCTTCCTTCGAGCGAGGCTCCCCCAGAGCCGCCTTTCCAAGTCTACAGATGCCAGTCCTGACGCTGCGACGGCATTGATTTACCCGATACCCTGTCTTATTCGTGCTTACGCCGTTACCTACCGCCCGGACACGCCGCTCGGGTGTTGGCGTGGGTAGTCAGTGCTACGCGTCTCCGTTCGTCGCGCCGGTGCAGGGGCTCTGCATGGCACGAGAGCAAAACTGAGGCTCGGAACGCGACATTCCTCGAGGAGCTATGACGAGGCAGGCTTGTTATGCATAATACGGCGCGATGCGTTACGCGGGGCTAGTAGCTTTTTACGTGTTTTTACGCAAGGAAGCGAGAGGGTGGGATTGGCAGGATAGTCGTAGAGGGAAAGATTGCCATCGCTTTAACAATGAGCCGAATATGCGTCAGGCTCGTGGGTTTTCCTTTTTTCTTACTGCGGTTCATAGGCAGTACGTAACGGCCATCCGACACTGGATAGAATTGGAACTTAGATAAATCGATTTTATTTATCTCCCATCGTGCGCGGTGACCATTATCGCGTCCCTACGTAGAGATACACTGATATCCCAAAGGGGTGTTACGAGAGAGGCAACGTGAAAGGGGGAAATATGTGCCCTGGTAGCGATGTCTGATATATGTACTGCATCACGAGTCGGTATTACTAGCGTGATGGTTAGAATCCAGTATCAACTTGCGCTCTCGACTCACCCTTACTACGGTCGAACCTCAACGTAGATCCCCTAGCAGCGCAACATCCTCTTCCTCCTCCTCCTCCTCCCCGTCCTTCCTCGCGCGCGACGCCGCGTCCGTGCCGCCGTAGGCAGACACACCCCTCTCCCTCTCCCTCTCTTCCTCTTCCTCCTCCTCTTCTTCCTCGCCCTCTTTAGCGCCGTCGCCGCTGCCGGCACCGCTACCGCGGCCGATCACCACGTTGCCGGCGACGAGCAGCGCGGCGCCGGCCCACCAGAGCGGGGGCAGGCGCTCGGCGAAGAGGGCGAGGCCGAGCAGCGCCGTCGCGACGAAGTTGGCCGACGTGTTGACGACCGCGACCTGCGTCGTCGAGCGCCCGGCCGCCAGCGCCTGCGTGAAGAGCGCCCACATCTGGTGGTCCCGGCCGCGGTCAGCGTCGTCGAGCGGCTCGTTGCGAGGGGCAAAAGGGGGGGAGGGGGAGGGTTAGCAAGATAGGGAAAGGGGAGGGGAGGAGGGGAGGGGAGGGAGGCGTGCGGAATCCCACTTACCACTCCGTTAAACACTAGGTTCAGCCCGAAGAATGCCTTCCGAGACGCGCGGGTTAGCATGGCGGACCGTCCTTGTATCCATAGTCCCACCCACAACGCCTCCGAACCCGAACCGGCAAGGGACTTACGCCGCGCGCGACAACCTCGACGAGGCGCTCGAGGTCCGCGAGCCCGAGAGCGCCCGAGACGCCGCGGGCGATATGCGTGGTGAGGTCGTTGGTGGTGCTGGGTTGGGTTAGCCTGCTGTCCATCCTCCGTCGTCTGCCGTCTTCGCCCTTCCCTCCCTCGCGCGTTCTTGTCTCCTTACACACAATACCGCACCCCCTGTCCTGAACTCAGATAGCTACATACCTGCCTACGCCGGGGAGGCAAGGGGCGCGACTCACAGCTTGGCGAAGACGCCGTTGAACGCGGCGCAGGCGCCGCTCGCGACGGCGAGCACGACCCACCGATTGCGGGCCGCCCACGACGCGGGCGCGGGCGCGGAGGGCATCGCGGGGCCGCCGGCGGCCGCAGCAGCGGTGCTAGTAGTAGTCGTCGCGCTAGGCGCCTTCTTGTCCCGCCGAGGTCGCAGGGTGGCGGCGGGAACGGAGGTAGCGGTGGACGAAGAAGAGGGAGGGGTGGCGGCCGTGGCGGATGGGGAAGGGTGCGAAGATGCGGAGGACGAGAGCGGTGTCTTCACGCGGCGAGACATGTTGAGACAGAGAGCAGGGAGTGGCGGCGGGAAGTAGGCACAGGACGGGTGGCTGGATGCGGTGGGAGTTTAGGTAAGCGGCAGGGTTCAGTATCGCGCAGGCAAAGAGGCGGTACGACGCGCCCCTGGTGGGAAGCGCAGCAGCGGTTGTGTCTCGGGATGCGTCGGGCGGGCGTGGGTGTGATGGAGGCACCGCTGGTTGCAGGTGCACAGGTACCTAGAGTACGTGCCACGCCCGAATCCAGACGCGGGGATCTCCCTTTTTTCCTTCTCCCACTCCTCTCTTCTGCTTTTCCTCTTGGCGCCGCGACGGCATGCGTCATTACATCAGACCCCTCCATCGCGGCGTCGGCTGGTCCCGATGTCCCGCCCGCCGATACCACTCCCCGCGTCCCCCCCCCAGTGCTACCCCGGTGCGGTTGGCCCCCCCTAGCTAAGTAGGCCATCCGAAAATAAGGAGGGAAGAGTGTCTAATGCTTCAACTCATGGCTTGTAGGCTGGTATTCTACCCACCTAACAGGTAGAGGGTACACCTAGAGGTATGTGCAAGATCACCCGCCTGGTCATGCAACCATAAAAACATTTCGATTATCGATCCCGATCCCTGCTAAACTTACAAAATCCAACCGGCGCCCGTGCCGTCTCATCTGTTCTCTAACTCGACGCCGTCGTCGTCGATCGCGTCCTCGTCCCCGTCCATGATCCCGCCCCTCCCCATTAGGCCCGCCCTCTCGTTCGCGTCGCCCGCCAGCCGTATGCGCCCGCCGCTGAGGCTCGCCACCTTGCCCGAGACCCAGTACCCGGCCCGTTGCATCAGCCCCCACAGCTTCTCCTGCCCTTCCGCCATCTCGTGCTCGTCCTCGCGCGGGTGCTCCGCCGCCTCCGCCTTGAACTGGTACTTGAGGCAGTCCTTGACCGTCACCAGCCCCGACAGCCGCCCGTGGTGCTCGATCAGGATCACCCGCGGCCCGATCTTGCGGAACAGCTCCATCACCGTCTCCAGCGGTAGCCGTGGGTGCACCGTCACCGGCGTCGCGTCCACGTACCGCCCCAGGTCGACCGACGCCGACGGCGCGCTGTAGTCCGCGTTGCTCACCGTGACCGTGGACATGATGGGCACGGCCGCGCCGATGGCCGGTGGCGAGAAGTTGCATCGCGCATCGGGGTCGATCTCCATCGCCCGCTCGCGGCGTACGCGATCGACCGCGTACCGTAATTCTGTACGCCCGATGTAGCCAACCAACGTTTTCGTCGTCGGGTCCTCGACGATGGGGAAACCTTGATATTGGGGCTGCTTCAGCAGGTCCTCGACAGATTGTAGTGTCATGCCGTGGATCGGGATAGCCACCACGTCAGAAGTCATCACCGTCGATACCGGCACGCCAAAGTTGTGCTCCTCCTTGCTATCGAGGAAAGGGAACCCGCTGAACCAGATCATCCGGTCGGCGATGCCGCCTTTCCCGAACAGGTCCGATACGGCCTTGGTGACGCCGACGACAATCATGGTGGGTAATATGTAGGTCAGCGCTCCCGTGAGTTCAAACATGATGACTACGACCGATACCGTGATGTGCATGATGCCGCTTAACGCAGCGGCGGCTCCGAGGAAAGCGTATGTCCCCGGGGTGATGCAGGGCTCGCCCGGTTGGCAGGCTGCAAAGAAGACGCTTTCCGGATTGGCACTGTGGATGGCTTGCATGATGATCCCAACCGTTCTGCCAAAGGACGCACCGATGGCCATGGACGGCACAAATATGCCAGCCGGTACTTTGCATCCGTACGATATGATGACGAGGAAGACGCGAACCACCGTCGCGACCGTTAGAGATAAGATGGTAGACCACCGCTTGTCTTCGTCGCAAATTCCGTGGTAGTTCTCCGCCCCTTCGCACTCCCGAAACAGAATCCCCATGCTTTCCGTCATCTCGATCTGGAGAAAGGCGTTGGGGTAGCAGATAATAGCCGTCCCCGCCGCGAGCAGCGTTGCTTCGAGGATGGCTAGCTTGGTCAAGTATTTCTTTCGGAATGCCTGGACACGCAAGTTCCATTTGATGACAAATGCGCCGTAGAGGCCCCCGAATATGCCGATGAAGATGTATGGCAACGTCTCGAAGAAATGCCACGATCGGTCGTACTTGACCTGGAACATGACAAGCTGGCCCGTCCGGAAAGGGTTGATGGCCGCCAGCACGGCCGTCGCGACGAGCGCACAGAAGTAGCTCCTCCACATCGTCTTGAGCGGGAAGACGTTGGACATCTCCTCGAGGGAGAATATTACGCCTCCGATAGGGCTGCCAAAGGCTACACCCACTCCCGCGGCTGCCGAGGCGCTGAGCACTTCGCGCGTTTTAGACGCGTTGAGCTTGTACTTGTCGAACAAGCGCGAGATGACATTTCCCGTACATACGGCGTAGTGCACGCTGGGGCCCTCCTTGCCGACCGAAAGACCGGACGCGATCGTCAAGGGAAGGGCGACGGATTTAATAATCAAGGTCCAGAAGCCCAGGAAGCCCTTCATGACGAACCCGGCGATGATGCACTTGATTTCAGAAATACCCGAGCCGGCCGCGTAGGGCGCGTAGGACTTGACAAGAACTGCCGCAGTGAAGGCGAACATGGTCTTGCCGGCCTTAGTCTCGGGCAAGAGCGTGGGGGAGAGGCACAGGATAGGCTTACCGCAAAAATGGTATACACGATGTAATTAACGGGCTCGAAACCGGTCCAGCGATGCCAGTCCTCGCAGCCGTCATCTTCGCCCCAGCAGCAAAAGCTCTCGTTGAGGTAGAAGGCGGAGGCGCAGTACCCCATCTTGATATCAGCCAGCCACTCGGTGATGATGTTCAGAAGAGCGGCGTTCAAGCCGATGGCGGCGCCCACCAGGGTTACCACGACCCAACCTTGCGCCGCATCATAGGACTCCTGCAGTCGGTATCGCCACGACACCTTGCCGTTGTCGAATCGGCCGGCGGCCTTCCTCCGGCGCGCTCTCCGGCGCAGTCTCTCCTGTGCTGCATCTTGCACCCAATCTGCGCTCTCGGGTTCAGCAACGCTCGTACGGGTGTGGTCGGGTCGTCGGCGACGTGCATACCTATGGTGGTGAAATCCTAGAGACCATTCGGTTAGTCCGAGACGCCATGGCGCCGGCCATCGACCGAGCGCAGCCGACGAAGAGAGGGAGGAGGGGAGGGGGGGCTCTACCTACTTCATATCTCTTGATCTCGGCTATCTCCTCCCCAATCTGCTGCTCGGCGCGCACATTGCTCCCCGGCCCCTCTCCCTGCTCGACACTCGACACAGCGACAGATAGCCGGGAGCTCACAGATGGTGGTCGGGACAGCTGGGGGCGGGTGAATGAGATGGAGGTGGTGCGGGAAGACATGAGTCTCAGGGGAGGTCGCGAATCATCCTCCTCAATTGTGGTCGATGAGGGGAAGGGGGAGCGTCGACTTGGGTATGGCGGAGCAGATGTGACAGGGCAGAATGCAGCTCGACGGAGGCGTCGATTCTCCTGCTACATACCGTTGCGACGCGCAGTGGACGTTCAGCATATGTAGGGGGGAGGGTCTCTGTAAGGCTGTAGGCGGGATCAGCGCTTGCGGACGGCACCCATGTGGCCCCAAGCTACGGGACCAAGGAGTCAAGGCGGGTTACCTGGTCAAGGCCCGCTTACTGAGACAGTTCTTACCTAAGCTTGAACGCTCCGGGATCTGCCGGATATTTGCCGGCTTCATGCAGAATCAGTCTACAAGAAAGAACTGTAGCTGATACAGAAATATCTATATAAGCCATCTCTCTGCTGGGTATTTTGTCAACTTGTGGATGGACACCCCTTGTAAACACAACTATCATCAGACATATGAATATACCTACCTACTCGGATTGAAATCTTTTGTTACTCTTCACGTTGTCCAGTTCGTTAACTGCCTAATGAAAAGTCTTCTTCATATGAGCATCGCATTCTGAGCTTTTACACGGCTGTCCTTTCCGCATAGGTAAGCCGTTGCACGAACAGGCATCGCGCACAGCGAAAGGTACCTACTACTCATACTTCAGCAGGCCGACTTCAGCCGGCCGACTTCATCAGACTGAGGCATCTGGGGAGCGACCGATGGCTGCTTTGGCCCCCAGCAAGTATAGATGTGGTTTCAACACCGTCCTCAAACTTTGTTCTGCCCTGAGTTTGTAAAGGCTGGAAAGACGTTCGCCACAATTGCTGTCATCCGGTACTTGAGGACCGGGTTCGGAGAAGACGAGGCAGTGGGCATTGCGTAGGTACTTAAATATTTATTTCGACCCCTTGCAGCAGACTCCTCGTAGTCTCATTTTATTTTCGTGCACACTTACTAATACTAATCTAGTCGATGTAGGTAGGTAATCTTCTTAGACAACTAACATCAGCGAACTTCCACCTGGAGTCGACGGATCCGGAATAGAGTCGTCGCCAGGCAGCGTCATGTCGGATCTCTCCTGCAACATCTCCTCGAGCGCGCCCACCACCTGTTGGTACGTCGTGAGAGTCCGGCCGGCCTGCTGCGCCTGCACGTACGGCTCGGCGGCGGCGATGATCACGTCGTGCAGCCACTCCTGGGCGCGGGTGCCGACGAGCTCGAAGTAGTCCCGCGTGAACAGGTCCCACCAGTCGACGAGCCCCTGGGCCCCCGGCACGTCGGCCTCGATGTAGGTCAACTGCAGGCGGATTTGTTGGCGTACCATGTTGAACCGCTGCGCGACGACGGGCCGGTTCATGTATTCGAACACGGCGATGCCCTACGCGTTCGAGAGGAAGGTTAGACCTGGTACCCCATTCGACCTCCATGAGAAACGTCTCTATATTCTGGAAACTCACCACACGGATGGTCGATAGCAACTCGTCCACGGCGCCCTGGCTATCCTCACGAACGGCGGTATTGGCAAGCCTCCTGACCCTTTCGGGGGTGGCGGGGCGCCGTAGCCGCATGATGGAGCCCTTCGCCCCATTTACCTGTTTGTCGGTGGCTATAAACGGGTCGGGATAGTCGTAAGACCCGAAACATTCCATGACACGGTCGTTGGGCGTGTCGGGCGCATACCCATCTGGACCTCCGATGGCCGGACGAGCTGCCAATGCCGGGAAGCTCTTGTGCCAGTTGTCCTTCCACCATGTACCAGGTATAGGGGCGAGGGGGTGATTCGCACCCGACGGCAGTTGACCACTAGCAGCCGCTCGGGGGAACTGTATCATGACCTGGCGCTACAAGACTCGGGACATTAGATATATCGAGTTCTTGTAGTATAAGATGGGTGTGTAGAAACTTAGAGAAGAAAAGGACGCTTACGTCGATTGGATGTTCCGCCTCAAGGCCACCCAAGTTCGGAGGATTATCCCCGGGTGGGATTGTGCCCTCTTGGACAGCGGTCCCAGTGCAGTATCCGGCAATCATACGGAAGAAGCGGCGTAGCACCCTCGGTGCCCCGTCTAATCCGAAAATCTCGGATAGTAGAGGATAGGCGACAGCGATGACCCGGATGCCGACGTTCCCGCCGAGGTCGACGTAGTATGTCTCGGCATTGCCACGCTTCTCCAATATAGCGATGGACGAAGAACTACTGTTATACTGCGGTTCGTGGCGCCTTGGTCCGGGGTCTCTCGACACCAGGCTGACCAAGGCGCTTCCGTCGTTCCCGTTGCAAAGGTCTGGTACCGTCCTGCAGACGTCGTGCGTGCAGCTCGCGGGCTTTGGAGGTGCTTTATCGACTTTGCAACAAGCCGCCTTCTTGCGGCCCCCTAAACGAGACGGGAGGGACGGAGGGAGGCAGGTCAGTCATCAGATATTATGCGTGTTGAGATTGATTCGACACCTCGGGCGATGCACAAGGATGGAAGAGTCTTTTTACTCACAAGAACATCCTACTGTTCCCCATTCGGCAAACTGTGCTCGGGCAATCTCAAGCTCGTCGTCTTTGCACACCGCATTTGCGCAGTCCGTGCCGGAACCGCCGTCTTCCCAGCGGCAGTCCTTGAGCTGCACAGGCTTAGGGCAGCAGTAGTATTGTGTGCCAACTAAGCAGGCGTCGTTATTGCTGAAGACGGGGTCTTTATCAGACGAACAACTTCCGGTGCTAGGGGAAGAAACGAAGTCAGAATTGATGCCGGCAATAGTCTTTTGCCGCCAAGGGGTATTTACCAAGAGGTATAAGTGCAACCCTCGGTAACCGTTTTGTAGTCTAGACTGGGACAGCAGAAAGCCTTCTCGCCGCGACCGCACCTATTGGTATTGCCATCGTTGACGAAGCCGCCGCCCCAGTGCGACTGGATGCCTTTTATGTTGACCTCCCCGGGCCCGCACTGGGCGTTACAATCGCTCCCCAGGCCGCCTCCGGTGTCGTCTCCTCTCCAGATGCAGTTCTTGGGGGCCGAGGACGTTGGGCAGCAAATTGGCTTACCGCAATGCTTTGTCGGCGTTAATGGTCAGTAGGATATCGGGCTGGACTGAGTTCAAGGCCGGGTGTCATCTCCGTTGACTTACACAGCTCTTCTTCCCACATCCTGCGTCGTCCCAGCCCACGGGTGTGTACCCAGATCCGCACGCATCGGCCATGGCGTCGTTGTCGTTCAGATTAACGCACTTCCCATCATGCCGAAAGCAGTCCTGGCCATTGGTCCCTGCTAGATCCCGGACCAACGCCTGGGGGTTCGACAGCGCATTGTCGATGTCCCGCAACAACGCCGTGGACCTGACCTCCCTATTCAGGAGCTCGGCGTGCGCCGTGTACTTATCGTCGTCTTTTAGCATCGTCAGCTAAGAGGCCGGTTCGAAGCACCGGGGGAGATCAATTACCCAGATCAGAGGCCCAGATCATAGCACCGCCTAGTCCGACCTCGTTCGCCCACTGAACCTTCTGCTTCAGCGTCTCACCATCGTCGAACGACACCCACTGATCGCCGTCGATCGTAGCGTACTTGACAGCGGCTGTCCTATCGTATACTGGTTCGATAGCAGCCCTTTTTTGTGAGCCATCACTTTTCAACAACTCCCGTATCTCGTAATGGCCGAGAATGCCGCCTTCGCCCGTACACGGCCCCGGGTCCGAAGCGCCTTTGAAAGCGCACCCGGGCTTTGAACAGTCGGGGTCGGAAAGGGTAAAGGCCCGGCCGTAGAACCCGAACCCCATGACAAGCTTGCCCGGCGGGACGCCGACACGCCAGAAGAGCTCTGCAGCGAGCTTGATCTCGGTCAAATTAGTATGGCCCTGCACGATGCTGCCGATGGGGTTGTCACGGTCCCAGACGCCGTGCAGATCGTACGACATCAGGTTGATCCAGTCAGCGTATTTTATCAGCCCTGGCAGGTCAAACCAGCGCAGGTACCAGTAAGACGAGGGGGCGGTAAAAGTGATACCAAACCGGGAGCCGCTCGAGTCGAATGTTCTCCGCATGGTCTGGAGGAGAAGGACGAAATTTTCCACGTCGCCATCCTGACCACCACGGTCTGGGGCTCCTGGGTACTCCCAGTCGAGGTCCACGCCGTCGTAGCCTGCAACAGGAAACATCAGCCTTAATCACCAAAACAAGCGCCCCCCAAAGCTTATACATGATATGATGGATGGACAACGGGAACGATACAACAATAAAGAAAACATGCCTACCATACTGCTTCATAAAGCGCACGACATTGTCGGCGAACGTTTGGCGCTTCCCAGCGTCCGCCGCAATCTCACCAAAGAGTGGTTGCGTAACCGTGCCGTTATCCGAGAATGTCCTGCGTACATAGGAGAGGTAAGCATGATTCTAGTCTTGAATAATCTTAGCGGGTCGGAGTGTTGGCTAGGAGTCTCATGCGTAAATCCAACATTTTCAGTGAAGTAGACTTACCAACCCCCGATGCTCACGAAGACCTTGAGACCGGGTTTGATCTGCTTGAGCTTGGGGACCTCTAGGAATAGACTTGCTGGGGTTTGAGCATCCATCGGCACTACCTTGTAGGACTTCGGCTCGATGTACGCGAAAGCGAAATTTACACTTATCGAGTTAGCGACATGGTTCTCAAGTTCGGTAAGTCCTGCATTGAGAGAGAGACGAGGGGATACAAAGACGGTTGTCGTATCCGGTATCAAGGTCAGAGGAGGAGTACATACTGCGTCAGAGCGTCAAGGGGGAGATTTTGTGGCTGGATCCTATGACACGCTTTTCGAGCGCTCCATGCTTCGTAATATCCGATGACTCTGTTCTGGAGGATGTTTCCCGTAGCCGCCCCCCCGGGCGGTTTGGGGTGTAGGACACAGTTACTCTGGCATCCATCTATCGCAAGAGGTTAGATATGCTTTGGTACTCGTGGATCCCGCACTTCAAGCAGTCTCAGGTATTCTCACGTACCATTGCAGAACTCATCCGTAGTACCACACTTCGCAACAATATGTTAACACACGTATTCGCATCATCATGGAATGGAGTAGCAGGAAAAGCTATCGGGGTCTTGGGGACTGACAAATCCAAATTCGCTACAACAGGTGTTCAGAGGACACTCCGTTCCCGGAATCAATGCGTCTTTACCACACTCGGCATGCGCATCGCAGTTAGACGAGCATCCGTCGCCGCAGTAGGTCGCTCCGTACCCACAATACCCGGATGCACCGCAGCAAGCACCGTTTCCGCAAGGGCGTCCGGGACCACATGTGTAGTCTTCTTGTCGTTTCCTGAACTCAGAGGTGGTGTTGACGCTGAGTGTGCCCGGAACTACTACATCACGGCGGAATCGAAGGGTATTGGGGCTGGTATCGGTATCCCGAAAAGGGGGTAGGAGGAGGATACCGATCAGGAGACACGAAGATATGAGGAAAATAAGGCCATGGGCCCTCTTCGCGGCCCATTCAGAAGCCATGGCTAGGATAGCGAAAGAAGACGCGCCGACTTAGAAAGTCAACTTAGAGTGTCCACATCACATTTTGTACAGTGAAGAAGCGCCTTTCATGTATATGTGCTTTAAACGTCCGAGATATTATATCACCCAACCGCTATCGGAGCTACCAACCAAATGGAGGTCGCCGTTTCGCCTCTCCATGGGCAGGAATGTTTACCCCTATTCCCCTCTCACCGGCCGTCGTCAAAAGTACACCGGAGTCCGAAATGCAAGCTCTAGACACACTCGCATTTTCACAATCAGGATCTAGACCCCCCGCAGGATCGTTACTGCTGACCATAGTATATCGCCGCAGCGCCACGGAATCTCCAAGTACCTCGTGATATCTCACCAGCTGATGGAACGTCGGAGGGAGTGTGTGTAACAACACAGGATCGATGTCCATGTGCGGTTAAGATTATGCTTACGCTTCGGCGCCTTTAAATTGTCGGCTCTGCATGACCGCACATGACCTTAAATATTAATTGGTGTGGCAGCACTGAACAGGAGTTGTATCTCCCGATCTCAACGTAGACGTGCCATTCAATATTCGATTTATCGTGGTGACACAAAATCCTTTGCCCACACATCCCGGACACACCACGGTCCAGAGCGGCAGGTCGCTATGATATGGGGTGATTGGGAGCCGGATTTCTTGTCTAGGGCTGAGATGGATGAGACGCATAGTACTTTATGCGAGTAGTCGATCGTATGCGTGTGAGCTGTGGCGATCTACCCCCTTTAATGGGACGACAAACCCTTCCGAACATTAGATTAGAATACTTGAAAAGGTGAGTGAATATGTTGTAATCCAGAATGTTGTCTTCCGAAAAGACACTGCTGACCCTAAGCTCTCAGGCGGCTGCCCAAGAGAACACGATGTTCACTGCTGTCCTCTGTTTCTTACTGTTAAGCTCGTCATGGGCTCAGCAGCTTAACGGCACTTACATGAACATCGACTATCCCGGTCTCAGCGATGCATGCAAAGAAGCCTTAAACACGAGCGTTTCGTGCCCGTTGTTTCTAAGCCAGAGATCGTCCAAGTCAGTGAGCCTCCGTTAAGTGATCGTATGCCTTCTGATCGGCGATGTGTTCGTGCTCAGGGGTCGTTAACACTTCTTTTAGCGGCGGCATTCTAGACGCGGATAGTGTCAATGCTCTCTGCACGGACAGCTGCTCTACCTCGCTGAAGAATGCTAGGGATGTCATCTCGGCGGCCTGCAATTCTGATACGGACACGATTGCTTTCAGTACAGGCAGACAGCCAGGTTGGGTTACTCATTCCCTAGACCTTCCCTCCCAGTCTCCTATTCTACGTCCCATGCACCTAACTATTGGCAGCGTCGTACATTATCCAGAATTACATATTCGCATATGATGTATCGTGTTTCAAAGACTCTTCCACGGGCGACTTTTGCGAGCCGTACATCTTGGATTGGTCCAGCCAGAAATTTCTCAGCCATAACCAGAGCTGCTCAGATTGCTGGCTTGGGGGCCAGGCACTTCAGCTCAACAGCCCACTGGGCTATGATGAAGTACTTGCCAGTAACTTTGACGTCTTAACGTCTAGTTGCGAGGCCACGGGTCGGTACACCATCAGCGTACCCCCGACGAGTACGGGGGACGATCTGCCATCGAGCACGACCTCCGGCATACCGACACCAACTTGCGTAAGCTCATACACGCTACAGCAGTCGGATTACGACTGCAACGCCGTTGCTAGAAGTCTGAGCGTGTCAACGTACAACCTGCTTGTAGCGAGCAACATAGACTTATATTGCCAGAACTTCCCTGCAGCGGCGGAGGCGGGGAAGACGTTATGTGTACCCGAGAAGTGCACGACGTATACGTGGCAACCTGAAGACTCGTGTGCGAGTGTGCTTCTGAGCCATCCCGACGTCAACATGGCTCAATTTCTCGGCTGGAACCCGAATTTCAACGCCCTCTGCGGAAACGCGTTGAAGTTCGTCGGGTATGAAGTGTGTGTTACGTGAGTCTGCCCGCCCCAGGGTCTCGGCGTGTGATATCTCGTGCCTACGATGCAGAGACCCGATAAATCTAACAATTTCTTCTGACGCGAGCTGACACCGCTCAGCCCTCCGGGTGGTTACTTGGACTCCAACAACACCGGGGACCCGCTTCCGGGCACATCCATCACGTCGCCAGTTCCGGCGCCGACCAACGCCGACCCGGGGACGAACCGGCCGTGCGGCAGATGGTACACCGTCGTGTCCGGCGACGAGTGCGGGGTGATATCGGTCGCGAACGGCCTGGCCCTCGCCGACTTCTACTTCCTCAACCCGTCGGTCGACGCGAACTGCACGAACCTGCTCCTGGGCGTGGCCTACTGCGTCGCGCCCGTCGGAGACATCACCACCTACCCGGGCTACCCCACGACGACGCGCACCGGGCCCTGGGCGACCATCACCGTGCCGCCCGTCACGTTCGACCCCGTGAACACGGCCATCACGACGCCGACGGGAGACCCCGGCTACCAGGCGACGCGGTCGTTGCTGCCCACCGCCTCGGGGACCGTGCCGGACTGCGCCGAGTACAGGAACTTCGACGCCGAGAACCCGGAACTCAACACGTGCGGGTACGTGGCGTACGCGTCCGACGCAACCGTCGAGCAGCTGCGCGAATGGAACCCGAGCCTGGCGGGCGGCGCGGGCGAGTGCGCCTTGCAGGCCGGCTTTAGTTACTGCGTCGAGCCTCCCGACTCCGGCTCCCCTAGCCGTGAGCTAATCCCAACTCCGCTTCCGAGCGCTTTATCGCACGATGGGACCATACTGACCAGAGATGACTTCTCCTAGCGCCGGTGCCCGACCATTGCCTCGATATCAACGCTACCGAGACGGGGACGACGGAGAGCTGCACCTGCTTCACCCAAGTCCGAGGCTATCAGAGTCGGAGCGGCAAGTCCATACCTACCTGTTCCTCACCTCTTGGAGACTCCTACCCGCTTAGGTACCTGTGCTGACTTCTTTGGCGCGTGACAATTAGGCTACTCGTGCAGCTCCATCATCGCCTCCCTCGACGTCACGCTGTCGCAGCTTCTCGAGTGGAACAGCTGGCTCGGCGCGCCGGCGACGGCGGAGGACTGCCGACAGGCGCTGTTCGCCGACCTGGGGTACTACGACACGCGCGCCGTGTGCATCGGCGTGGACGGGGCGGCGCCCCCGCCCCCTTCGTCGACGAGCAGCGCCGGGACGTCCACGTCGTCATCCCCGACGAGCTCGGCGCCCCCGGCGCCGACGCAGACCGGCGTTATCCCCGGGTGCCGGGAGTTCTACGTGGTGCAGGAGGGCGACTACTGCTATCTCGTCACGGAGAAGTTTGGCATCAGCCTGGACGACTTCGTGAGCTGGAATCCGTCAGGTAAGTGGCTGTGCCGTACCCCGTCCGCGTTTCTTCGTAATGTGATGTTAGTGGGAGAATGAAATTGGCTGACGCGGAATGATGATATTAGTGGGGGAGAACTGCGAGAACTTGTGGTTGGGCTACGCGTACTGCGTGAAGGGACCCGAATGAGACGTAGATGTAGGTACCTTGATGCTGCGGTTCAACTACCTACCTTAAGTATGCAGATATCAGAAACGGGATAAATGACAAAACACGTGTGTTTTGAGAAGATGCAATTTTTTTTTAAAGTGATAGGTAGGATTTTCACAATAGTCCTGAAATCCCTATTATTATTAACCCGTTGAGAAGCATGTCGCCTACCCCCCAATATCACTCATACGTAGATTCCAACTGGCAAGGCGTAGGGTCAAATACTGGTATGATCATGTATGATTTCTTTCTTTGGGGAAGTGTGCTACGTAACGTAGGTACTGTTCTTCGTCGCGGCTTGTAAAGAAATGCGGTTCGACACGGTGACAGTAATATTCCTCCGTTTCGCACATGTTACCTACCTATGATGCGGTGGCACATGTGAAGCAGCTATGTACCATTGGGAAATACAATCTAAGCGGCGCCGCAGAGGTTCAATACCTAAAGGTAGAATATACTACTATGCACCTTGAGCCGGGCGGATGAGACACATAGGTAATCTATTTAAATACGCTGCCGCCCCTCCTCACTCTCGCCACCTCACACACATCCTCTTCTCTCAACTCCTCGACTTCACCGAAGCCGGCAATCAGCTCCTCAGTCCACTAATACGCCACCGGCCTCGGCATTCAACCCACCTCGCAGCCCCGTAAACACCGTAATACTGTCTATCGGCCTCCGTCCCGACATGCCAAGCGTGATCGACGCCTTATCCGCGCCATCGCAGCGCACGCCGCAGTTCTCGACCCGCAGCAACACGGCGGACAACATCGAGCGCGCGCTGGCCGAGGATGGGCACCGGCTGTGGGGCTTCGTGGTGTACCGGTGCGCGTACGGCGACGACGCGGCGTGGGCGCAGCGGGTGGCGGGGCTGCGGCGCCGCGCGGGCGAGACGCTCGCGTACTACAACGGCGCGGACCTGCTGGACCGGCTCGCCGTGACCGTGGTCGAGGACCGGGAGGCGCTCGACGGCGCCAGCGCGGCCTCGGTGCGCCAGCACTTCGCCGCCTGGGCCGCCGCCGCCGTCGCGCGCGAGCAGGGCACCGACCGCGCCGGCCTGTCGCAGCGCTACCGATACTGCGTGCGCGTCAGCGACGAGGGCGAGGGCGGAGACGACGACGACGACGACGACGACCGTGACGAGGAGGACGACTTCGTCGATCTCATCTGGCGCGACTGGGAGCCGTCCGTGCCGGACCCGCGCGAGGCCAGCCTGGAGCCCGTCGAGGGCTGCACCCGCCCCGACGTCGGCTGGATGCGGGTCTCGACTCGCAGCGTCATGGTCGAGATGTACGATCTGCTGCGGGACCAGAATGCGTGGTATTCCGAATATCGCCGCCCTCCCGAGGTCGTGTGTCGCTGAGCTACCGTCTCCTGAGCAGGCGGGGCGGGTTTATCACGAGCACAGGTACGCTGAGGAATAGGTGCCTATGGTAGGTACCTACGTACCTACGTTGGCATCCTCTATCCAGCAATAAACTTCTGTGGCCAGCTGAGTCATACCTACAACAAGGAGACTTCAAACATACCACCTTGAACCTCTCCAACAACCTGAATTTGATCAACTTTCGCTTTTATGGCGGAATTTGTGTTTTGAGCGTCCTTTCAAATTGAACGCAAAATCTAACAGCTTATTTGCCCTTGCAACCTCCGCAGAGTCATTGGGGGTTTCCGACCTGATCCCCGCGAGCCCACGCGCTCTGTGGCGCCCACTACCGTGATAATACCTACATGTGACTCATCTCCTTGAACCTTGCATCGTGGCGACGATGCAGTAACATATCGAACAAAATACAGGAGCGCAGTCCGTAATGGAGCCCCAGAAAACGAAGATACAGGTAGAAAAGGGTAGAGGGAAAACGTTTTCATGTTGTTCTGGGGATAGTAATGACTAACAAATCTACGACAACAGCATCAGTGCGGCCGATGACTAGACAACATGGAACCATTACCTTGCTGCCCGCTGAAAAGCTTCTGCGCGAGCTTTTGCTGAATTGCCGAGAACATATGCAGAAATCTCAGATTGCCTCTGCATTTGGTCTCGAGATGTGGATCACCGGCGGCTGGGTTCGCGACCGACTCCTTGGCATTCCCTGTTCGGATATTGATATCGCGCTCAGCACCATAACAGGCGAACAATTTAGTCATTCCCTGACCGAATTCTTCGAGCAGAATAAGGAACAATACCAGCAGCGCGCGGCGGAACTTGGGGTCCAAGATACCAGACTTACCGGCTTCCATACGACGAAAAAGAACCTCGGGAAGTCGAAGAAGCTTGAGACAACCATCGGCAGAGTATTCGGCTTGGACCTAGACCTACTGAATTTGAGGAAAGAGGTGTATGAAGACAACAGCCGTACTCCAGAGATGGAATTTGGAACGGCGGAAGAAGATGCCTTTCGTCGTGATGCCACTGTCAATACGTTGTTTTTTAATTTGGACAAGCAGGAAGTTGTTGACCTCACCAAGAAAGGGCTGGATGACATGGCTGCGGGTATTATCAGGACGCCCCTTGAACCACGACAGACCTTTACGGATGACCCGCTAAGAGTGTTGCGCCTGATTCGGATCGGCAGTAAACTCGGATATACCGTGGACGAAGAGACCAAGAAGTGGATGAAAGACCAAGATATTCATACAGCACTGGATGGGAAAGTCAGTCGCGAGAGAATCGGGATCGAGGTTTTCAAGATCATGAAGCAGCCGAATCCTCAAGTTGCATTCCATTTACTCTTTGAAGCAAACCTCTATACCCTGGTTTTCCTAAGGTCCGAGCCGTCACTCCGTCAAGCTCTACTGAACAAACTTCCTGCCCAAGACCCAGGGCAGCCTTGGCCAAGCACCTGGCCACGGGCATACCAGACCCTCGCAATGTTAATCGATAACAACGTAAGCGGTCTTGGCAGAATGGTCCAATCTGAGGAAAGGGTCGAAAACCTCTGGGTCATGGCTGCCTACGCTCCAATCGCCGAACTGAGACACGATATGCTGAAAAAAGTCGTCGATGAGGCCACAGACGCTGTGAAAGCTACAAGCAAGATTTCCAAGCTCCTCGAAAGCTCGCTACGAAACATGGATTCAATTAACGCCACCGTCGCCCTCGCTAGTGACCCAGAGAGGCCCGCGGCTCGGAGCACCGTTGGCATGGCAATACGTGCCTGGGGTTCAACCTGGAGGCTGCAGGTGGTTTACTCCCTGCTAGCCGCGCTCGTGTACGAAACCTCGTCAACGTCATCATTATTGCCTTCCCTATCTACCGACGATGACCCCGTTTTGAGGAAACTCCTTCTACGGTACAACACGTTTATCGACTTCGTAATGCAAAGGGGCTTAGAAAAAGCAGACCTGTTGAGGCCGATGTTCGATGGAAATGCCATCATGCAGGTATTCGGTGTTCACAAGGGTGGAAGCTTTCTCAAAACTGCCATCGATGAGCTGGTGGCGTGGCAATTTGACCACGAGGGGCTTGGGGCTGAAGAAGCTAGGAAATGGCTTTACCAGCAGAGGGATATGTTGGGAATTCCCCCTGGCAGTGTCTGAATAGAACGTGAATCCGACAATGCAAAAAGCAGCCACTTCCTAACCAACCAGCTTATGTAACTATCCTCCTTCAGCGCCGGATTGATTGGCCGAGATACAAGGGCTCAGCAAACGCTAATGTAGTTGGCCAATGTACTTGATTGTACCTGGGGTTTAAAAACCGAGCCATCCCGTTCTGTAATACCTACGAATTCTTACCAACACATATCTCCTCCACCACCTCTCTGAGCTCCTCAGAGGCAAGACGGATCTGACTTACTAGAGTTACGTCGCAGTTCACCGCTTGCCGAAGTTTGCATGGCTCATAGTATGCCGATATTTCTTTTGTTTCACTTTGTGTTAGTTTCGCCTTGGGCACGTAGAATGCTAACCCCCTCACGCAGCCACAGTCCTTCCTCCTGACCACCGACCGGTTGTCATTTCTGGGCCCTCAGGCGTCGGCAAAAGTACACTTTATCAAAGACTTTTAGATGAACACCCGGGCATCTTAGCCACAACCGTATCCCACACGACTCGTAAGCCGCGACCCGGCGAGGTTGAGGGTACGACTTATTACTATGTCTCACGGGACAAGTTTGAGTCTCTTATCGCCCAAGATACTTTCATAGAGTATACCGAGTTCGGCGGCAACTTATATGGCACCAGCAAACAGACCGTCATCGACCAGACGGCAAAAGGTTCGGTTGTCTTGCTCGATATCGAGATGGAAGGTGTCAAGCAATTGAAGACAGAACAGTTGAGGGCGGACTCTCAGATCAACCCGCGATTTGTCTTCATTAAACCACCAAATCTCACCGTGCTCGAGGCGCGACTTAGGGGTCGGGGCACCGAGGACGAGTGCAGTATCCGGAAGAGGCTGGCTCGGGCCAGAGCTGAGCTTGACTACGCTGAAACAGGTGTACACGACAAGATTATCGTCAACCACGATCTCGAGGACGCCTTTAAAGAACTGGAGGACTTTGTATTCAATGTGCATTCATCCAGAGGCTAGTTAGAGATTAACTGAATTTTTTGATGCCATCCTTGGCCATGGCTAATAATCCCTTGGCTTGTTCAGCTTGCCTAGTGTAAATATATCAAGCTTGTCGACATATGGATTATTAGTTACAGTAGTTAAGTTTACTAGAAGAGCTAGCTAGATATTGTTCGGGCTAGCATGACGACATTATACGATCACACGTATAAACGATTCTCCATCAAGTTCATGGATTTATTGCTAAGGTAAAGGCTGACTAGATTAATCACCGAGGTAAAGACTGAATATACGCTTATTCCTTCCTTTGCCAGTAATCCCCCATGATCCAGTGACCCCTACCATATAACTTCCACTACATCCGTGCCCCATCCCGAGTCTTGTCCTTCTTATGTCCTTAACTTGCGCCAGGTCTGCCAACGGACCTGCCGTCTGTTAGTTTATAATACCAGTGCGTTATGCTCGGTTTATTCTGCCTAGAACACTCTACATCCGAGAATGAATGTTATGAAGCGGAATATCTTACTTGCAGCAGGCACCAGACATACCTACCTAGTGTCCACCTCGCGAAATTCGCAATCGCAGGCCACAACACTACAGGATCTCATCCCCTTCTAAAAGAGTTCGATATACTCGGCGCATCTTTCGTAGTAAACGTTACGCATTGCATTGCAATTGACGTATGATTGTAAGAAGATATGGGGGTGGGGGAGGGGGGTTGGGTCGCGTAGGATGTTCCACCTTCTTCCACCACTTTCCATTACCTAGGTACCCACCTTCTTACCTCTTCTGCCGGCTCTCTCCGCCTTCGTACGCCTTAGCTTACCTCGGCCGTCGAGAGCTCTTTATATATATGGCCTTTCGAGGCTCTTTCGCTCCTTTAGATCTTTCATAGTTTACTGTGGTGGTACGGTGGGACTAGGCCACGTAGGCTTTCTGATGTGTATTCATATGGGTCTCGCACTCAGTTCCTCAACGTATAATCTTCATCCTGTAGTTACCCTGTAGACAACACAATAGTCAGGATTTCAGCTGTGATCCTGCTTGATCGGCCAGCTGTAAAGGCAGCTGGGAGGAAAAGGAAGGGCGAGCGAGGCTGGAAGGCTGTCTCGAGAAACGAGTGAAATCCTGGCTATTGTGTTGTCTACAGGATAACTGCTGAGTGCGAGACCCATATAAACACACATCAGAAAGCCTACGTGGCCTAGTCCCACCGTAGGTACCACTGCAGTATACAGGGAAGGGACATAAGGATCAGGGAGCCCCGGGATTAAATCGAGTTCTCACTGAGATTGTCACGGAGTCACAGGGAATCGGGCACTGAACAGGATATATCAATCAGTTTACAGGATCAGTCAAGCGCGAACGAGAAGGACGGAGATCACATTGCATCGTACTCATGCACTCGGTTGGGGCGAGGTTCAGGGGAGAAGTTGGGATGAGGTTCGGGGGGAGAGGCTGGGCATGGTCTGTTACCTGGGTCAGGCAAGCGGAAGAAGCGATGCGGCCCGACTTCCAACCCGACGAAGAAGAATCCACCCAGCAGAGGCAGACAGTAGAGAAGGATTCGGTGTAAATAGCGTGTTTAATTCTATGCTAAGTGATGATCAGCCTGAGCGTGCGACGGCGACAATTACGAGTTGCTTGATTGAATACTTTACCTAGGTACCTAAACGAGACGTAGACTGTGGGTGGGAACGGAGTACCCTCTGTGGGCACGTGACAAGCGTGACCGCCGAATTGCCTACCGCCTTCCACTTTCGGGTTTAATGAATGGAGTCGCGTCTCTCGCCCAAATCCTCGACCACGCGTCGAATTTGGTTCAGTGCGGGCTCTTCTGCCATCTCTATTCTTGGGGTGTGAGGTGAGATAAGTTCTTGAGTCCCTTGAAAACTATTTAACACATTGATCGAGAGAGTTGCCCAGTTGTCGTGCCTAGTTAGAGCTATTCCCCTAACATAGGTATCCACCCCGCGTTTCTAGGTCACAGATGCCATCCGCAAGCCTCGCGGCGCATTCGCTACTCACCAACAACACACCCGGCAGCGTCGCGGCACGCGGACGATAGCCCTCTCGCTCAAGTCGTATACCTACCCACCCTTTTACCACCACACGTGTCCGACGAATCTCTCCCCGCCGCCACGAAGCCCGCCCGGAATGCCGTATAACAACACGGCCATCCCCCCTCGCAAGGAGGCGACGGGGCAGACGCAGCTCCCGCGTAAGTCACCCAGCGCGCCGCCGCCGCCGCCGCCGCCGTCGCACCCGCGCTGACCCGTCGACCGACCGCACAGTCTCGCGCGTGAAGAAGATCATCGCGCAGGACCAGGACATCCACATGTGCTCGAACAACGCGGCCTTCATCATCACGCTCGCCACCGTACGTCTTACCATCCTTCCCCCTCTCCCCCCCTTCCCCTTCCCCTTCCCCACGCTGACACCCCCCCCTCCCCCCTTCCCGCAGGAGATGTTCATCCAGCACCTCGCAGCCGAGGGCCTCAACACGGCGAAGCTGGAGCGCAAGCCGCGGCGCAACATCCAGTACAAGGACCTGGCGGGCGCGGTCGCGCGGCACCCGAACCTCGAGTTCCTCGAGGACGTGGTGCCGAAGACGGTGCCGTTCCGGCAGGCCAAGGCGCACGCGCTCGCCGTGCGCGCCCAGCTCAACGGCGGCGGCGGCGGCAGCGGCACTACTGGCGCGGCGGCGCCGCCGCCCCCCGCCGTCGTCGTCGAGGGCGCCCCCGAAGCCGGCAGCGCCGCTGCTGCTGCCGCCCGCAGGCCCCCCGGCGCCAAGAAGCACAAGCCCAGCGGCACCGCGACCCGCTCCGGCCTCAACGGGGCCGGAGGAGGAGGAGGAGGAGGAGGAGGAGGCGGCCCCGGCTCCTTCGTGGGCGCTAGTGGTGCCCGCATCGTGAGCGACGACGAGAGCCCGGCCGACCCCGCGGACCAGCTGCGCAGCGAGATGCGGCAGGCGCGAGGGGGCGCCGGCATAGGAGGAGGAGGAGGAGGCGACGTGCACATGACCGGGTAGGTCGTCTGATAGGAGAGGAAGACCGATCGGGCGGAGAGGTGGGGGTTGCTGGACGGGAGACGGCGACGAGGAGGGCGAGGAAGCGCTGGCTACCGACGAACCAACGGGCGAGGTCTCATGGGCAAAAGGCGGACACGCCGCTAGTATATAATACGCATCCGTACAACTCACGAACACCGCTATGACGATGATAACTACCGAGACTGGACGGACGCGCAGTACAAAAGTAAGAGGTCGATGCTCCTAACTTGAGGGCGGCAGAAATCTACCATCCCTTGCCTACTTTATGGGTATACCCGAATGTTCTCGTTCGGCAAAACAGTCGAAAAATACGTATTCAGACGCCTGTCCCGCACCACCCTGCCCTGTCCTTAGGGATGCTTTCTTTCGAATATAGCACACGTTCCCAATCCCCCCACACACCCACACACCCACCCATTATCCTCTCGCATGCGCGCCCTCGTAGAATTCCTATTCCTCCATCTCGTCGCCGAGGTGCACGCCGGGGGGCATCCGGCCCTCGCGTAGCATGGCCTCGAGGCGTGTGATCTCGTCGAGGCTCGTGGCGTGCTTGATCATGTCCTGGAGGCGCCTCTTCTCGCCGTCGGTGAGCTTGATGCGGGACATGCGCGCGGGCAGGGATCCGCCGCTCGCGCCGCCACCGCCGCCGCCGCCGCCGCCGTTCGATGCTGCCGTCGGGTCGAACGCCTTCGACCGCACGCCCATGATCTGCGTCGCGAGCTCGGTCGGCTGCTCCGCGCTGCCGAAGAGCTCCCGCGCCCGCTTCCGCTCCGCCTCCTTGACCTTCTCGTAGTCGAGGAAGCGCACCGACGGGCAGCGCCAGAGGACCCAGTACCGGTAGTGCTTAGATGGGGCAAACGGTCGTTAGCGGTGTCTCCTCGAATCATATTTGGTTTGCGTGCATATTTGTCTCCGTAATTTTCCTGATTTTCTTCCCCAGGCTCCGGCCCGTCGATCAGGCGAACCACCGCTGAACACAAAGCTCGTAGTAAAGAATGCTATCACGTATTTTCGTGGGGGGGAGTTGTTTTCTTCTCTTGGACTCACATCTTTCTTCGTGACAGGGTTGTCTCGCAGCACCAGGTGCGTCAGGCGGGGAAAGGTCCCCAGAGGGTCGAGGTCGGCGAGCTCGTTCAGGTTATTCGACTCTAGCTGTAGGGTGGTAAGGTTCGGGATCGAATTGGCGAGGGTGGGTTGTACGGAGGCGATGCGGTTGCGCTGTAGGAGGAGGGATTGTATCCGCGGCGACAGGGGGAAGTTGCCCAGCACCTGGATGTCGTTGTCGACGAAGTCTATGGCATCCTGCGGCTGTACGAACGCATAGGAATCGTGGCCGACCCAGTTCAGCAAGGCAGCCTTCGAACACAAGAGAAGGGGCAAAAGAGAGAGAGAGAGGCAAGGGAAGAAGGGGGTTGCCAACGTACACCTGCCACACCCAGATTCTCGATGGTGGGAATCCGGTGTCCTGTTTATAGCCGGCAAGGGCATTTCGCTATCAACTCTGCTCTGCTAGATCAAATGAAGTGTAGTATCTGCTCTTTTCTGACGTACCTCTCAGCTCGAGCTCGCGCTCTTTCAGCGCGTTGAGCCAGGAGGGGGAATTCTGGAGGAGCTCGGCTGTGAGCCTCATGTTGCTAGACGGGCCTCGTTGCTACGGGGTTTTCTCTCCCTCTTCTTTGCGGTTTTGTTTCCGTTACCGTTTCGGGCTGTATATGGTACGAGGGGATACTTGGGCCGACGTTGATTAGCTCGTTGGTGTCGCGTGTTGTAGAGAATTGTTTCTTGGAGAACGACAAGGCTGAGTGTGAGCTCGGAGGTGTGGGTAGGTATGTGAAAAATACCTTTATTCAGTACCTAACAATTCCTCCTTTTCAACTAGCTGAGATTTAGGCACGCGATGTCGGTTCAAGCATAATTAGCGGGTATATCTCATTAAACAGGGTTATTGTATGCAACTATCAATGAATACTCCCTTCTCGTTGGAGTAGATGCTGACTAATAATTCTGGAGAAGATGTGACGGATGGCTAGGAGGCATATTCCGGTCCAAAATTCTACGAGAGTTGTCTTCGATACCACACCTTAAAGTCACCAAATCAATCCGAAGTTATTTTCTCAATGGGCGATGATAGCCGTCCGATTCTTGGTAAGACCGTGGTCCCCGGTGTCAGAAGAGACCAATGCCAAAGGCTGGGAGCAGGTTCGCGACTCTACGGCGTAATTGCCCTCGCTCTTCCCCCCATAACACTGCAGCCAGCGGTCGGTTGGCTGGCCCGCCCGAATAACGCGCAATGGATATTGCATCATAAACAGGCTCGCTGGACTATTAGCTAAGTAGCTAGACCGAGATACGGCCGAACTCGTGAGGTCAATGACGAACGGCTCGGACAAGTGATATCGATCGGGGGGAGGCAGCCGTCGCTTTGACGAGGAATGGCCTCCGAACGGACCGATAGACTGTAGTCGAACAGACTTTCTCACCCTGTGTAGAGATCCTGGGCCGCGTCTCACGTTGTCCTTGCCATGCCGTAGCAACTTTGGAACCGGATATCCGCTTGCTTCGCTGAGTCACTGCAGTAGCGGTCGTGTTGGTGTTGTTCGCATTCGCTGTTTGGCCAACGAAATATGCGTCCTGGAGACTTCCCGAAGCCGTGGCATTTGGCGCCGTGACAAATTCTTGACCTTCTTCAGCTCGCCTGATGCCAAGCTGACTCCTAAGAACTCCGGCCCTTATCTAGGACCAAGTTTACAAGACATCCATCCTACTTCCCTATCGCACCGTCCCTCTAACAAACCCCACGACCACGCAATGCGAGTAGCTTCGCGTATTCCGCCGAATACCGCAAGGACATCATTTAGATCGTCGTTGACGGCTGAGCTCGGGGGAGGTTTGATGCAATGAGGGCGAACTTGTCGAAGTTGAAGGCGGAATTGGGTTTTGACAAAATGCTGGAGATTATTATTACTGTTGCTAGTAGGCGAGAGATTCGAAGGCTTTGCAGCGCTAGAAGATCAAGGGCGACATTCTGCAGAACTACACAATCGGTTAGGAGGCACACTCGAACGAAACTGTGCCACCTTACCTGGTTGGCGAAGCCGCTCTAACGAGTTCGGGGTGCAGGAAACGCTCGCGCCTCTGCAGATAGAATTGAACAGCGCGCGGAAGACATCAAGGCTTTCCCTCATAGGATGATTAGCCTTGGCGACCTTCAACCGCGGGATGCGCCATGCGGATGGGAAGTTGGTAAGGTGGGGAGGGTCGAAAGGGACTGAAGGGAAATATGGTTCGCAGCACTTGAGAATTTGCCGCCTAGCTACCTAGCTGATTGCGTAACGCTACGCAAATATCACGTGCCCAGATACTGATATGTCAGCTGTGATTGTTACGTAACCCCAAAGGGTTCGCTGACCCCATACTTGAAATATTACATATTTTGAACTACTTCCCGTTTGTCACATTCACGGCAATGGATTCCATAATCGCAGATAGTTTCACTGCCAGCGGCGGTCCTACGTACAGAAAACATTTCATTCCACTTGAGTCTAATCCCGATGTTTTTAATAACCTGATTAGTCTCCTAGGCGCCTCTCAATCTCTTGTTTTTGAAGACGTCTTATCCCTTGACGAGCCAGACCTCCTTCCACACCCTGCCGTTGCATTGATCTTGGTGTTTCCAACAACTAGTAACTATGAAGCTAGGAAGGTCGCCGAAGACGCAGCGCGCGGGGAATACAACAGCAGCGAGGATCACGAAGATGTCCTATGGTTCAAGCAGACTATTAACAATGCCTGTGGGCTCTATGGAATACTTCACGCGTTGGCAAACGGAGAAGCGCGGGGTGTGATTGGTAAGACTTCCTGATCTACTCAACTTAGGTAGTGATCTCGATCTAACAATAGGCAGAAACGGGCTCTCTCCTTGGTCACATCTTCAAGTCCTGCTCCTCATTGCCGTTGTCCGAACGTTCTCTTTTTTTAGAAAACTCCGAAGAACTAGAAAAGGTATATAAGGAGGTGGCGGTGCAAGGCAGCTCAGAAGCCCCAGATAATCCGGAAGACGAGGTTGATTACCACTACGTGTGCTTCGTCAAGTCTCACAGAAGTGGTCGATTATACGAACTGGATGGCGATCGGACTGGCCCGATAGATAGGGGACAGGTTCTTGGCCCTCAGGATGATGTGCTCGCTCCAGGTGGATTGAACGTAATTCGAGAGTATATCGAACATGAGCGAGGAAACTCGAATTTCGGTCTTATGGCATTGGTAAGGCGAGGGGGAAGTAACTCTGTCCTACAGACGGAGCCTCTCAAATAGGAATTGAACGAATACCGGATGGCCTCCACCCTCTTCAGCTAACTGGGCCGCAGATTTACCGTTGCCCGTGACTGCTGTCCAGTTTAAAGGTGAAACAGCGTATGTCGAGAGAATCGTCACGGCTTGGTGAGAGTTCCAGGATGCCGCTATATGTAGTGGTGTCCACCCCTCCTGGTCAACGCCGTTGACATCAGCCCCCGCCAGCAGGAGTGCCTCAACAATTTTCATAAAATTTCCATCCAACCGACCATAAGCTGGACCAGCAAGCGCTTGATGTAACACAGGCAACCCACTGGGCGTTGCGTTTTGGTTAACATCTGCTCCGAATTTTACCAGAGTCGCAGTCGCGGCTGCCCACCCGTACTCCACGGCCCATGCGAGCGCGGTTCTCCCAGACCAGTCTATAGCGTCGATGAGAGAAGGGATTGTTCCCTGGGCAGAGATATAAACAAGATAGTCTTCTAGCGTTCCGTAGCTTCGATTGATGCCGAGGAGCACTTCATGGAGTACGGTGAATCCTCGGGTAGCATAATACTCGCGCCAAATATCATCGACCGGTCTTCCAAAGATTCGCCCGACATGACCAAGAGAATCGAAAAAATCCTGACGGTTCATCGCCGCCTCGACCAACGTGGTCTCAATCATCGTTTCCATAGGCGTACTAAATTGAAAGCTTGTCAGTCACGAGCACAAAGGAGGATCCAAACTAGAGACGACGCACTTCCCAATATCGTCCAGCCAGCAAGTATTAGCGCCAGCCTCCACAAGAGCGTTGCATACCTCCAAGGCTGCTCCCATACCGCGATTTCGCCAACAATAATATGCTCCATACTATGGCTGGTTAGCCCCCGTGTTTAAGTGAGGACGAATGGGTCTTACGTAGAGCAGTCCAAGGCCATAAGGGTCCACTGCATCAATGCACGCCTCGCCAAAATGCCAAAGCCTTCTCATTCCGGATATGTCACCGTTTTGTACGCAAATGAAGATAGGCGAATCGTATGGAATCACGACTGGACCCCGATAATAGATCTGCTCAGACGGCCGGTGGATTTGTGGACCCGTAGGTTCTTCAATCCAGGGGGAACGTAGTCGTAGTTGACTGTTAGGTTGATTTCTTTGCGAAACTTCTCCGCTTCGGTTGTGCTCGAAAGCGTCTAAAACGTCCCACGTAAACGGCTCGAGTGCAATTTTCATAATATCTTTGGCTAAGGAACTGGCTTCGTGACTCTTTGACTGATCGGTAATCCCTAATTCGTAAAGACGATTTACCGCAGCATCAAATTCCTCTGCCGGAAGTCGCCGGCGGTCTTCCCAGCTGACCAGAGTTAGCCAGCGATTGGTTTATGGATGAAACAACTCTTACATGCTGTCATTTACCTGTGGAAGGAGGAATAAAGGGCCATAATCGTCACGTCGCGAATTTTCGGTCCCATATTCTTTTTTCCACAGCTGCCGGCAGAGCTTCGTATACCTCCACCCCGCTGAGACCAAAACTTCAACGCGCTCTCTGAGGGGTATCAGATCTTCACGTACCACCTTTGATCGATAGATAGCGTGAAGAAGACGTTCCTTAGCCTTGTCCGAAACTCTAGTGGCGCCATTACTTAACAAGCGCGCCAGGGAATAGAAGAACACAGCATAAAACCTCCAGCGGATCGTTTGCCACTCTCTATCGACGCAGACTTCTCGACAGGCCAGATAAGCCTTTCCCACAGTGACCTCCGCGGATTCCTGGACGGCCCAAGGTGAGTCCTCCGTAGCCAACGACTTCCAAAATAGCGAGGGAATTACTTTGACCCTTCCAAACCACTCAAGAGTACCCTCGCTCAGGCAAACCTTTTCTATTCCTAGGAGCGTACGCAGCGCGAAGCTAGTCCTATTCACACCTCGTCCACCGCCAGATCTCGGTCGTCTGAACACAGTTCCTAATGAGTCATATACTTTCTTGAAAAATGGATGCGTTTCATGGTCTTGGAGCACCTTCTCAAGACTGCAATTGACGTCGAACTGTTCAAGGTATTGAATAATATCCGCAATAGTAGACATCTTGACGGCGATGAAGTGAACGATAATATTCGATGCCTGAGTTCGGGGAATTACTACGCGTATTAGGAGTACGACGTTACCTCCAGATAGCCCTGGCTCCACCCTAAGAACGGATTTCCTGTGATTCCCCAACCTTCTACAGCCTGCGACCTGAAAAGACCAACAAGCGACAGCTCTGTCGCTTGCTGGTCTTTTGGGGTCTAGTGCGAGTTTAAGGGAACGGCAGGAATTTCAAGCACTGTGGGTTGGTGGCAGAACCTACTGTAGCGGCTCTTAGCAATAGCTGTTGGTGCGAAAACTGTTCCACCCTTGCGGTCCAAAAACCATATCCGCCTGGAAGGGTATGGCTGGGCATACTTCTGCACCCCTGCTCGGATCCCATGTCCTCCAACTGAGCCAGGTGACGGACAGCCATCCACCAGTCTTTTAATTACAGGAGTAAGCATCCCAAGCTTCTGCTTGATCGTGTGCCTACAAGCCAACAATATCAAGTCGCTCTACATGGGCTTGCACTATGTAACGAGAGCGTGTCCTGTTATATGCAAGTAAACATCACTGCATCTGCATGGTTGCTGCATGACCAGTTGAGAAAGGTTACCTACATCCGTGTTGCAGCCAACACAGTTACGATGAGTCAGATAGAGGGGCAGTCGCAGGGCTGCGAAAAAAACATTAAGCAACTAAAACGTAGATAAAAAGGGCAAAGAATGTCTTATGGACTGATAAATCGCAGGACAACTATGTCATGTTCTGCGCTGCCCAAGGTTGTTAAATCTCGAAGAACAGCTCACTCTTCGAAATACAAGTCGTATGTAGGATTATATGAGGACTTTTCTTTGTATAGCTTGCTGACAAAAATTCAAGACAGCTCACGTCTACGGAACATTAGCTAAGTCCTCAAGCAAAACAGTCACCACATCACAGAACTCTTCACCAATCCATTATCTCCTCAAAGGCATGTCCCTTGGGTCTCCTTACTCATACACCTGCCCCAACAGCATCCCTAATGAGCGTTATCTCCAGTCGATCTGATTGATTGTTTGGCGTGACTTTGCTGATCATTATCATTCTTTATCAAGAGAAGCCGAACGCCATGGACTCTATCTCGACAAGCATGACTACAACTTGCCGGACCTTTGGTTGTAATCAAACAGGGATTGGAATGGGAGCGAAATGTCCAAAGTGTGGCTGGGTGCGGCCAATCGACGATGCCGTTGACTCCGAGTCAGTGTCTGATGTGATGGGGGGGGGTTCTGCATATGGGGAAATTCGATATTTCGCAAATGTGCCTTCACCAACTAGGCTGTTTACTGAACTTGAGATTTAAAGCAGACATTGAAATCAGGACTCAGGGGAAGGTTGTTAGGAACCAGACACTTTCTATTGCACATGCGGGGTGAAGTGGGGTCTCGTTTACTTCTGAAGTGGGGGGGAGGCCGGGGTTGGATGCCTAGCTGTAATCCGACTCTTTTTTCTGGCTATAAAACAATAAAGTCGCTCGCTCAAGTTTGGCTGTTTCTCCCGACGCTGAGTCTTTGTTGTTCAATTTGACTCCCTCTGTAAAACAAAACACACACAATAACAATCGCTCATGCCTCAAGTCACGATGCCGCCTAACCAAGACGGCGGTCTATTGCCTACGCTTAACTGGGCTATCACTAACCATCCTGTTATCCGAGCCCAAGTGGACGACTGCTTCAACCGGACCAATTGGGAAGCCATATGCGAGAGTGCCTCACGTGCCAATAGTGGGCGACCCTGTAAGACACTTCCAGACTGCATAAACGGCGGCAACAACCTGGCTCGACTACTCGAGTTCCAAGACGGCACTCGCTGGGTCGCCCGCATCCAGCTGCGGGAGTCGACTCCGGAAACGTCCCGGAAGATGCAGACCGAAATCGACACCTTGGCCTTCCTCAAAACCGCCACCAACGCTCCAGTGCCCCAGGTCTTTGCCTTCGAGCTTGACGGTGCGAACCCGGCGGGCGTAGCTTTTGTGTTGCTCGAGTTCCTTCCGGGGAAGACGGCCATGGACGAAGCTCGCGACTATAACTGGGCAGGTTGGGGCCTCATCCCGCGCCAGTACCGGCAGACGTTCTATCGCTCGATGGCTGCAGCTCATGTGAGTTGAGTCGCTCGGCTTTCTCGAATTTAATGCCGATACATTACTATAGAAATGTCGGGCCAACACAATCCAGTCTCTCAAGCCAGTCGGTCAGTGATCAAAGAGGTGATCAAGAACTAAATCAAGCGCGCATTGTAGGTCCAGATCGCCTCGGCGCGTCTTCCCCAGATCGGGACCGTTACCCGCGATGCGTACGGAGGTTTCATCGTTGGGCCTATTCCCGGCATTGGCGGACCATTCGAGACAGCGGCATCCTTCATCCAGGCGTGGGCCGCTACCATCAAGTACCCTTATAACGAAGACTACCTCCGCCAATCCGTTCCCTCGTCGGTGGTCGACGAAATCTTGAAGGGGGTTGATGAGTTTCCAGGCCGGCTGGCCAAACTGGCTTCCAGCGGCAAGTATTTTACTTCAAAGGGCCCCTTTCCGATACGCCACGCCGATCTCTTCCACAGCAATGTCATTGTCACCAAGACGTTTAACGTGCTGGGAGTAATCGACTGGGAGGGAGCTTGCACGGTGCCCTGGGAGCTGGTTGACGCTCCCTGTTTTTTAAGCACCATACCTCGCCTCCTGAACCCGCCGGAACAGTACGACGAGGCAGGCCGGCCGCTGGACTCAGATGAGGTAGGGATGTGGGCGGATGAGGAGGCTTACGCGGCGATGGTGCGAGAGGCTGAGCGAAATGCCCATGCAGATCACAGACTGTCCAACATGCTCGCAGACAAGGACGCTCAAGACTTGGCTCGCACTATCCATCTGTTTCCCCAGGGCAAGGCAGGGTTTTACGGTCGAGCTTTGGATTACTTTGAAAACAAGTAGACAGACAGCACGCTTGTTATCATACCGGAAGAGCAGCGCCCTGCTTTGCAAGTGACCGCAATGAAGAAGGCAGAGCTGCAATCTCGATTTAGTCGTTATTGAAATAGCTCTGACAAGGAACAGATTTGGACCACCTTGGTCCTAGGAATAGACTCCACTCCCTACCTTCCAGGACTCAATGAGCATTCGCCTATTTTGAGACTTGGGCTTTTGAATACAATACGTGTATCGTCTGGGTGCCACTCAGCTGTCGCGCTTGTCCAGGAACTTCCATGGACCTAATATCGAGGTCCGAAATTTCAACTTCTCTTGAAAAGAAACCGCGGACTAGGGAGTTTGGGATGCTGCTGTTAGCTTCCCAGAACTACGTAGAAAGTAAAGAATTCCTGGTTGACGATAAGCGGACACATGTTCGACCTTATCATCATCTCAAAAGTAGTCTCGTAACATGCCATTCCACAGTTGGTCGAGTACCACTCGAGGTCTTCTGGTCGTGCCGAGTTCACATCGATTACCGGCGCTCCGGCAATTGCCTCCACGTCTCACATCTGACGTGTCAGCCGGGAATTTCATACCCGCCTACCTGTCCGAGAATTTCGATTTGCCGGAACCGTGCTCGGGAATAGGGCCCCGTCTCGTTGTCGACGGCACAAAATCATGCCGTCGGGTTCTCTCGTGAGCAAAACCCCGAGTAGGAAACCGGGTGCTACGGGGCGGAGACGGCGAGGTTGCAGCTTACTGAGCGACAATTACGATCCTGATGACTGGCATTTGCTGCCTACGCTTTGTCTGATGTCGCAGACCAGCTTACCCAGTCCTTTGTAACTTACCTTACCGTTTAACCGGATTTAACGAGAACCCCGCTTCACACCGAGCTTTATCTTTGTTCCGTGTATGCTTCGCGGCTGGTCCGCTTCCTGTGATCGCGCGATATTAGTTAATAAACAACCAGTACACGAATCATCAAAAAGCTAAACTGTTAATTAAAAAATGAAATCAAAAGTAAACTAAACCAAAAACAAAGATGACAGAATTAACAATTTTATTTAAATGTATGCATTTATAGGTCGGATTTATAATAATCTAAAGATGTATATATATAACGTTAAAATCATCTATTTATTCAAATACGTTTAAACTACTATACGAAAGTATATTACTTTAATCATGTTCATGATTAAATGTTGCTTCGAGGTATATGTTGAGAAATTTAAGAAATGTACTAGTAATCGTAGTGATAATAATAGTATAGCTACTTAATAGTCTAACTGCGTAGTAGTGGCGGTGGTGGCGGCTCAAGTAACCGAAAAACCTCACCTTAACCTGTCAATAGAATATAATTATTTAGGAGCCAATAGAATCTTTAGGAAGCGGTAACCCGCTTTGGGGTGAGATGCAGAAGATCGGTTGGGCTGGTCTGTATACTCCTCCTTTGTCTGTACCTCGTCTGACGCAAGCCATGCTTACGGTGGCTAGTAAGCTAGCTGGGTAGAGGCGGAAATGAGGAAGTATGAAGCGTATATATTTAAAAGGTGGGCATCTCCTCTGTTGCAACACACGTTAGTGACTCGCTATCTGGTCAATTCCGAATCTGTCTTGATAATGCGTCTACACAACAGTCCGGTCTCCCTTCTCTCCCTGGCCTTCGTATACCAGCGGGCCTATGCTAGCCCTCTCGCGCCGCCAGAGTGTTCGCTCGAAAACTTGAGGAACCTGCTATCGGCAGCTGACGGTCCGGTTGCACGCAATGCCACCGTCCTATCCGTCACCGCCGTCCCGGCTAACGGTGCCTATGGCGACCGCGATGTCTACCCGGACACCCCGCAGATGTTCGCGACGGGCCTCCCGGAGCTGTGCGCCGTGGAAGTCAACGTAACCTCGTCCGAATCGTCCGCGTATACGTTCGCGCTGTTTCTGCCGACCGAGTGGGAATCGCGATTCCTCGCCGTCGGCGGGGGCGGCACCGCCGGGTACATCAACTTCCTAGACATGGCAGTCGGCTCCCACCAGGGGTTCGCGACCATGTCGACGGACAACGGCCACCGCGGCGGCGTTTTTGATGTCGAGTGGATGCTAAATGCGCCGCAGAAGCAGATCGACTGGGGCTGGCGCGCCATGCACGGCTCGGTCGGGCTCGCGAAGCAACTCGTCCAGGGCTACTACGGCGGCGCCGGGATCCGGTACTCGTACTACACCGGCTGCTCCAACGGCGGGCGCCAGGGCCTCAAGGAGGCGCAGGTCGACGCCGAGAGCTTCGACGGCTTGCTCATCGGCGCGCCGGCTTGGTGGATCAGCCATATGGTCAGCTGGGACACTAAGATTAGCAAGGACTTCTACCCGGCAAGCGACCCTAAGAGCATTCCTCCAGCGTTGTTCTCGCTCGTCGCTGCGACGGTGATAGAGCAGTGCGACGGGGCCGACGGGGTCGAAGACGGTATCATCAGCTCGCCCGAGCGCTGCCACGCGGACCTCGGAGTGCTCTCTTGCGACCTGGTAAGCGCGAACGCGACCGCCGCTTGCCTCACCCCCGTGCAGCTGCAGACGCTGCAGCGCATCTACGCCGATTACTACGTAGGGTCCGAGATGGCGCACCCGGGCCTCGAGCTATCGTCCGAGGCCGGATGGTCCGATCCCTTGTTCACGGGCGGCGAGCCGCTGGCTTACGGTCTGGGGATCCTGCGGTACGGCGTGTTCGGGGACCCCAACTGGCCGCTCGACGCGTACAACGACAGCGTCTATGCGTACGTCCGGGACTTCCCGCTTATGCGTCAACTCGACGCCGACGCCTTCGACATGTCGCCCGTCAGGGACCGCGGCGCCAAGATCCTCATGTACCACGGGCTCGCGGACCCGCTCCTCGTCACGCGCGGCTCGACACACTTCTACGAGCAGGTGGCGCGGGCGACGAGCGGCGGCGCCGCCAACGCCACTACGCCGGCGTCCATGGATGACTGGTTCCGGCTACTCCTCGTGCCGGGGCTCCAGCACTGCGTAGGCACGCCGCCCGGCGTCAACGCGCCGTGGAACTTCAACGGGGCGGCACAGGCGACGGTGCTCGGCCCCGGTGAGTGGTCGGTGCCCGGGTTCCACGACGCTGACCACGACGCGCTGCTGGCGCTCGTGCGGTGGGTGGAAGACGCGACACCCGTTGACCGCCTCGTTGCCACCACCTGGCGCGACGCGGAAGCCCCGGACTCGGGTGTCGCGAGGCAGCGCCCGCTATGCCCGCACCCGCAGAAAGCAGTGTACGACGGGGTCGGCGACGTCGACGAGGCCTCGAGCTGGCGCTGCGCATGAGAGGCAAGCGAATTCCATTAGGAACGGCGGCCTGGCGAAGAAGGGGGCTAGAGTACGCTTCTCTAGTCGATCGCCGACTGAGAGGGTTTTTGGTGTCGTTGGTAAAGACGGGGAGTTGTGGTTGGTTAGGTTTAGTTCCGGTCTTGCTGGTCTTGGTAAAGTATGGACTGTGTTGTCTCGACAGCGAGTTGCCCCCTAATAGCGACATTGATCCCGAGCAGGTTTTAGCTCATACCAAGCGGTCGTAGTAACATCGCGTGTGCCGAGTCGGTACTAGGAAGCCTCACTTACCCGCTTTATATCTGGTAGCGAGTAAGCGGCTCGGCGAGTAGGAGACCGTCTGCTGCGGGTGTTTCCGCCGCCGGGAAGCGTGAGTACGATACATATCTTAGATCGATTTCGCATAGTGCGCACGCCGTTTGAGCTCTCCTAGATTTTGCGTTGACCACCCGCTCTAGGCGCTCGTTTGCTCTTTGCCAATCACCACCCTTTTTTGCTACTTCTCGGGGAGTACTTCTTCCGCCTTCTAAGTGTAGATACCTGTATTCCAACCGCGCTGGAGACTGTTGCTCATTCTGACTTCCGCGGCTCGCCGGGTGGCCATGTTGTCCGCGATCCCTGCGCACTCTACCATGGGGCGAAGTTAGTTGAGCTAACGTAGTACGGCCACATTCGCCTACGAAGTGGGTGATAGGTACCGGAAGGATCGTAGTGATATCAACTCCCGCTGGCTGTTATTGGGGCTACCTTCTCTCAGCACTGCTAGCGGCTGATCTGCATGTTTTCGAAGGACAGCCTTGGACATGGTCTAAGGGGACTGTGTAGATTGCCTTCTGGTGCCCGTTTTGATCCGGTTCCCCCTCCAACTTGTCGGAGCGGACTGGCTCCGTCAGCGTGGAAGGGATTCACGGAAAGATAAGAGGAGCAGAGGGGAAGAGAGAGCTTAGAAAAGGTACGCACCGGCTATCTATTCGAACAACTGCAGGACGGGCAGCAGCAACAGGAACAGGGGAACAAGCTGTCCGAACCCGAGCCCGTTCTCGGTCTCGACCTCGCGATCCGCCATCACTCCGTGGCCCGACTGGCACGTTCCTATGAGGTTGTAGTAGCCGACGGCATGTCAGGCTATCTCCTCCAGCACCGTCTCAAACTCCGAGGCGAGCAGGTACCACATACAAAGGAACGCACCCTTGGCGATCCGGCAACGCCAGCCCCTATTCCACCACCACGGCTCGGGCGACGGGAACTCACAGCCCCTGTCGTCAATGAGGCGATGCCGCAGCTTCTTCATCCAGCAGCCCCGTTCCCTCTGCCAGAGCGAATGGATGGCGGGCAGGTGCCTGTACAGCACGAAGGAGATCTGGGCGATGGTCCACTGCCGCGGCGAGCCACCCTTCTCCAACGGTATAAAGCAGTTCGCGGGGCAGTTAATTACGTCCCACCACCCGGCGTAACCGGAAATGTACACGACGTAGAGGAGCATGCCGGCCATCATGCTCATCAGCACGGCCCGGATGATAGTAGGCAGGGCCGCCTTAAACTACCGCGGGCGGCCCTGACGGCGAAGGCCGGCGTCGGGCTTGACGCAGGCGTTGAAGTGCTTGACGACGTGGAGGGACAGGAGGTGGGTATTGGAGCTGAACCAGACGAAGTTTGTGACGGTGTCGACGTGGTAGACGGCGATGGAGCCGTCGGCTAGCTTCTTTAGGCAAAGCAACGAGAAACGCGGGCCCCGTCACCAGCTGCTGGTCGGTCAGGCACATGGCCATGTCGTAGAGCACAAACTACCACATCTCAGCGCGCGCCTCCCCGACCGACGCCTGCAGCCGCTCACACACCTAGGTACGGAAGAATCCGTCGATCGGGTTGATGGCTCGCGGGTGGCTGGGCTTGGTCGAGCGCGAGAGCAGCAGGCACACGATTGCGGCGACGAGGGTAAGGCTGACGCTGGCAGCAAACGCCACTATAACCTGCGCGTGTGTTCACGAGTGTCAGCGGTACTGGCCCGTCACGATCGTCGGGAAGGGGGATGAGAGCGTACCCCGATGCCGGCAAAATCCGGGTCTGCCGACAGCAGAGGACAGTCGCAGCTCGGGAAGTTGTCGCAGGTCCAATCGTCTCGGGGGATATCGTAGGCGACGCCCACATGCCGGTCGTGTTTCCAACAGGTAATTGCTCGACTCCATGTTGAGCAGTGGGCCGTATTGTTAGTGATAAAGCCTGGCTCGGAGAGTCGAGAGGAGCTGCATGATTCGGTCGAAGGAATATACTACGGAAAGTGTGTAGTATCTGAGGGTAGTTAAAGGCAAGAGACGGTTCGCTGTATGGGCCAGAGCCCCCGAAACGCCAGAGTAAGTTTTGCCCTCTCTCTGTTCGTCCGTCTATCGCTTGGGTGCCCGGCTTTTTTTTCTCTCGTAGCCTCGTCGGGTTTCCAATAGTTTCGCCATGGCGAACCGGCCAGCACAGGCAGATAGGTACCTGACCTGCGAGCCACGGCGCCTAATCTAGTCCTACAAACCGTAGTAACCGTAGGCGACCTCCCCCACCCCTAATCATGCACTTGGTTGGCGGAGCAAGGCGAGGAGGTCATCATGAAATCCAACCATCGCTGGCCTCCTCCCCATGACGGCGAGCCCACCGCTTAGATCCGGTTTCAGACGAAGGAAAACCGAATGCTCCACCGTCCCCGATCTGAGAGTGCCTGGCGATAAACATCAAACATCACCTCGAACCCGCGATCGATCTCCGGCAGATAGCGAACGAAGCTAGCTGCCGTGAACTAGCTGAGGTCCGGTGCGGCCTCCAAAGCTCAGGTACCGCCACCCTTTGGGAAAAAAAAAGAAGACGCCGGTTCTCGCTACGCCAGAAGAGCCTCCGTGCCGCGGGGATAGCGCCTCGCCAATCCGGACAGCGCAGGCTTTGACTCGGGTGCAAGTCCGCCCTGGTTAGTAGGTAGGTAGGTGTTCCTCACAGAGCCCCAGTAAGAACGTTGGTCAAATCGTGCTGTGGCTTTCTTCCGCACGAATGCGCCTTCTGATCTGCCTTCCAGGTGGCTCCACCACACCGCCGACCCTTCGCTGCTACACAAAACGCCCTTGTACGAAATACAGCCGTGCTGTGCGGTCGCGGTGAGAGATAACTGGATGCTCAAAAGCTACGGAAGGCTCGGTTGTCGTTGGCTGAATATCCGTTTTATCGCGAGCTCTAGGGCTCTCTAGTTCAGGCGCCATTCACTTTTCTCTTCGCGATATCTAATTGCGATCATCATGTCTCCAGTTATTCGGCGGCTTTCTGTACTTTCTAGAATGCCTCGCTTCTCTCTTTTCCGGGGTCTTGTAAGCCCTGTAGCCCACGTGCTCACGTCTGGAGAGCTTCATACGCAACATTTCCCCAAGTCCAAGAAGTGCCAAGAGGTGCCAAGCCTCAAACGGCAACGGTTGCGTGAGGAGTTAATCGGATAGCCAAGATGCAACGTGCTGAGAGCCAGTTTCCTAATGGATTGACCGGCGTGCATATCGGATTTTTTTTGATATCGAGCTTCCCGAATGGGCGAAGTCCTCCCGAAAGAGACACAGCCTACTGCGTGATAGTTTCGTAGATAGCTCCCAGCACACTGGGTCGGCGGCTCGTCCGACGGCCGGCATCATGTTACCCTCGTACGCGATGCCGAGGTTGGGATGGAATTAGAGGTAGTATAAATACGTAGGGGCCCATCGCTGACCGAGAATGTGGGAAGCCTCAAGGCCTACCGTCCGCTCCAACCCAAAGCGCGGCCCCCACAATCTTCGATACGATGCGTCCGTCTCTCCCCTCGGCTCTCGCCGGTGGGCTGCTCGTCCAGGGCGCCACCGCCCTCTGGCTCTTCCCCGAGGCTCGCAACTTCATCTATATCGTGCCCGATGGTTACGGCCAGGCTAGCCAGACGATGGCTCGCGACTACGTCTCGCTGCTGCGGAATGGAGAGAATCCCAAGGCACCCGTGAGCATCCAGCTTGCCGCCGACAACATGGTCATTGGCCTGGTCCGCACTCAGGCGAGCGACAATCTCATCACCGACTCGGCGGCTTCGGCTACCGCGTTTGGCTGCGGCGTCAAGACATACAACAACGGTACGTATTCCGTTTGCGGACGTGAGCGCCCGTCTCTGATTGACTCTAGCCATTGCCGTCGATGACGATGGATTGCCCGTCGGTTCTATTCTCGAGGCCGCGAAGCTCAAGGGCTTCAAGACGGGTCTCGTGGTAACGTCGACGATTAACCACGCAACACCAGCATGTGAGTTAATTTTCGTCTTGCTGGTGCGTTTCGAATTCTGATCTCCCGAAGGCTACGCGGCGCACGTCAAGAACCGCAACTCGTACGCCAAGATTGCCGAGCACGAAATCGGGTACTCCCACCCCCTCGGGCCCGTCGTCGACATTCTCCTGGGTGGTGGACGATGCTATTTCAAGCCGCAATCGGACCCTACCTCGTGCCGGAAGGACGACGTTGACTTGTTCGGGTTCGCCAAAACGAAGGGTTTCCGCGTCCTGCAGGATCGTGCTGGTTTCGACGAGCTCAAGAAGGGCAAAGCCAAGGCTGCTGATCTGCCCTACATCGGTCTGTTCAATGACGGTAAGTTACTATATGCTCTCGATTGGCAAAACTCTGCTTATAGGCTTGCTAGATCAGATGATGTACGAGATCGATCGATCCCGCCAGCCTGAACAAGAGCCCTCGCTGCTCGAGATGGTGGAGACCGCGCTCAATTCGCTGGACCGCGCCACTAAGTGGAGTTTGAAGGGGTATTTCCTGATGATTGAGGCCTCGCGAATTGACCACGCCGGACACGCCAACGACCCCGCGGCTCATCTTCACGACACCATCATGTACAACGACGTGATGGGTTTCGTCAGGGAGTGGATCGACCTGCACCCCGACACCATAATGCTGTCTGCTGCTGACCATGAGTGCGGCGGACTGACATTGAATGGATTCAACCCCCTCCCTCTTAAGCAGGTTTCCATGTCCATTGAACAAGTGAATCGCCTATGGGGAGATTTCAATGGAACCGACCGCAGGGAGTATCTGGTCGAAACCATACTGCCCGGGTACGGGCTCGCTGGTCTCTCGGATTCCGAGATCGACACGATCCTCCGCAACAACAACCTCGGTGGAGACTTGACCAGTCGTCTGAGCAGGAAGGCGGGTGTCAATTGGTCGACCGGTGGCCACACGGCGTCGGACGTCACCCTGTACGGGTACGGAAACGGCTGGAGGGGAGGTAACCTCAAGTCGGACATGGCAGGAAACCACGACAACACGGAACTGCCCAAATATATCGAAGGAGTCTTGAAGGTGAAGTTGGACGATGCGACGAGGGAGCTTCGCCGTCGCGGCACCGACTGGGTTGGGAAAAGAGAGGTAGCTGGCCCCGATCACGTCCATGACCACGACCATAACCACTAGATGAAACCGATTCCGTGAGGAAGCGGGATTGGTATCAGCGAACAGCAATGGTGCAATGCCGCATGATCGTAAATCCAGTCTTTGTTTAATGATGTTGGTAAACGAATGCCGACGCTAATCTATCGTGAACGTAACCTCTATTTGGAGCTTTTGGGGTATCACACACCACTGCCAACCGGATTCGTCCCTTTTTCCCTTTTACGAGCGAGATTCTTGCCTGTTAGATGACTTAACTGTGACTGACGGGCGGGGCAGCCATCCTAGTTTTCATCATTCCCAGTTCGGAACTCTTGGCCCACGAGCCATCAGGTAGCTGTCGGTAGCACATCAGCTTGCCCTCATCCCCGACGCTGCCTAGAATCTGGCCATCGTCATCGAAGCCAACCCTCCAGACGGGCGACCGGTGGGCGCTGAGCTTGGAGAGAACCTTCACAGTATGCCGAATTTGCCCCGGTTGGTCGGTCAAGAGCCGTTCTCCGTGCGTCCCAGACTTGTCAATCTCGGCCCTTATGCCGGAGGGTGCCTGCGACTGTCTGCGAGATGGGGGATTTCGAGGAGCGGTGCTCTCGTCACCCCTCGTACTCCCTAGGATATCCGCCGGAGACCAGGTTTTGCCGTCATCTTTGGAGAAGGGCGTGTCGATTCGAAACACCCTCACAAACCCGTCCTGGCACGCAGTGGCGATCATCTCATAGCCTCTATAGTTCCCAGGGGCCCAGGCGACATCGCGAACGAGGTGAGCATGCTCCGTGATCTCGAGGGCCAAGTAAAATTCCCTACTCCTAGTCGCGGTACCGAAGGAACTAGTAACGATATCGCGCGTCCGGAAGATTTTCACCGCCGTCAACCCCGATACCACCAGGCTTAACGCATCCGACGGCAAGCCAGCTCGCAAGGCGGTGTAGCAGGGCTCGGGATTAGGGTCGAAGCGAACCTTGAAGCACGTTTCCTCGCCACGATTCGGCTTGGCGAAGGCCTGAAAGTCGTCGAACTTGGCGTAATCGGTCAACGCCTCGGGCACTTCGCCTTCGTATACCGTAAGGTGGCCGTCGGAGGCGAGGAGGGCAACGTAAGTGCACCTCGTCACCTCGTCATGCTTAACCGAGAAGGACCTGAAGGGGTAGCGGCTAGACCGGACCTCGGAGACGGGTTTTCCGTTCCCATCTCTCATGCTGAAGCGCCTCCCCGGGGGAGCAGAAGGGTCCTCAGCCCAGAGCTGGAAGCGGCCCTCGATCCCGAGCGAAGCCAAGAGGTTCGGATAGATCGTCGGCGGCAGCCATTGCAGCTAGGCAGTGCTTCGTCAGTAGCCAGTCCGTTTGCAATCGACAACCAAGAATACACACCTCTAGTATTTCGCCAGCATGGGCTTTCCAATTGTCGCAGAGGCGCCAGATGCCGTCCTGATGCCGATTGAAGACGCGAATCTTGCCGTCGACACTGCCGGTGGCACATCTGTCACCGTACGCGTTGAAGGCGACGGCCTGAACGAGATCCTTGTGGCCGTGCTGGACAATATCGAAAGCAGCATTGTTCTCAGCCGCATCCCCGTCATTTGTCGCTAAGGATGCCATGTTTCCCTACGACTACAAGGTAATCATGGCAGCGTGCTTGGGATGACGAGTTGATTTTTGCGTGGTTTCGGTGGGCTTGTGGACTCTCGAGACTTGCAGGTAGGTACCTACCCGGATAAGACGGTGGGCACGGAGCTATGGCTGTTACGTAAACAGGGTTAAACAGAACCACGGCTCTAGACTGATCGGTTATGCCCATAACGAATCTAACGGGCTTCATAAAACAGCGATTCAACTAAGCCGTATTGGACTCTCTTATCTTATCGGGTAGACGCCGCATAGTAGTAGCTTGGGATGGCATCTTTTCCCTTCTACCAGAATCCGAACCATGCGATATTTCCAGTGTTTCCAGAGCAGTGAGTAGATGCATCCCATGATCCTGCATGGTTGACGATTCACCAAAGGGAATACCCAAAAGTTGTCCCCGGAATCGCTAATCGCCCAATCACCAAGTCAATGTTTATCACGTACAAGATTGGCCGCTTGTACAATTCGTGTCGTATTCTCCAGGCCTCGCATGGACTGAAACCGTCTCCCTCCGGTACTCCCTCTCCGTATCTCTAGAATACGTACGGAGAAACTGCTCCAGAAAAATGTCACGGCAGGGTAGTTAGGACGCGAAAATTTGAACGATCCGTGAGCATAAGGTGAGGCAGAGGAATGGAATGGTAAAAATGTTCCAAACATTCACAATTCACGGATGGTACCAAGCAAGACGAAGCATATGAATACGTGCGGACTTCCATTCGTATATCGTACTACTCACTGACAGCACTCAGGGGGGTCCCATAGAATATCTATACGGGACAGTGAAAATATATACACATCGAACTGAAACCATGCTTCCACCATTCCCTTCTCATCTCCTTCTATACCAGAAAAGCCGCGGGGGCTTGACCCTCGCACAGGAAAATGCGGGGGATTAATTCAAGTTCTTGAGCTGGCGAGCGTGGCGGCGGGCACGGCGCTTGCTGTTGTTGCAGACAACGCGCGTGGGCGTGGGCACGGCGGAAGTGACGGGCGTGCTCACAACGGGCTCGGGCACGGCGGCGCTCGACGAGGCGGCGGGCGTGCTCACGACAGGCTCGGGGGCGGGAGTCGACGAGACGACGGCCGTCGAGGTGGGCGTGGCTACGGAGGTGGGCGCCGCGGTGGTGCTGGTCGGGGCAGGCGCTGCCGACGACGACGAGCCGCTGTTCCCGCTGCCGCCTGACGACGAGCCATCGAACACGGGCAGCGGCGGGCCAGGGATGATGTAGTCGTCCGGCGACGGGAGGTTCTCGTCGTTGTAGATGTTGTGCAGGATGCCAGGGTCCGTCGCCGTGTATAGCTGCGTACCTACGACGCCCTCCGGCACCTGCGTGCCCGAGCCCGTGATCTGGAGGTTGATGCACTGCGGGTACAACTGGGCCTTGCCCTGCGAACCGCCCTCGTGCAGGGCGATGAGCTCGTGGCGCAGCACGTAGTTGCCCGCCTTGATCGAGGCCGGGATCGTCACCGACCAGGTGAGCCCGTTCTCGATGATGAGGTCGTCGGCCCATCGGCCGGTCTGGCCGCTGCCGCGCCCGAGCTCGAGCTGGCCGAGCTCGGAGATCTTGAACCACTTCAGCGTCGTCTTGTCTACGGTGGCGCAGTCACCGCCACAGTCGGCGAGGTAGTCGATGACCGGGCCCTTGTGCGAGTCGGGCCACTGGTTCCAGGTGATGGTGACGTCGCTACCCGCGGCCACGGGGGCCGTCAGCGGTGCGTTGGTGGCGTCCAGGTGGCAGATGATATCCGGGTCCTGGAGGGCTGAGGAGAGGACGAAGCCGTTGTCGGTGGCGCCGTTGCCCCAGGTAATGCTGTCAGGCTGGGGGCCGAACGGCGCAGAGGTAGGATCGAATCCCGTGTACGACTTGCCGTCGGCCTTAACGACGGTAACGTGACCATGAGCCGAGACGGAAACCGCGCCGGCGAGGGCGGCAATGACGGCGGATCTGAGAGTCGAAGACATCTTGAATAAAAACGGTGGGTTGCTCAATTCCTGAATGTGCTAGATGTGTAAACACGGGGAGTTGTGAGGTGTTCGTTGGCAAAGACCGACTGGCGGTAATGAATGTGGGATCTGACTTCAAGTCAAGAACGAATGGCAAAAGTTGCTGAAAGGAATGACTGCCCGAAAAGCACGGCGCACAAGTAGTAAGTAGGAAACACGATGGAAGACCTGAGTTGAGTCTGGAAAGCTCAAAAGGATAGGATGGTAGGAGGAGGGAAGACGGCATCCTTATACCAACCGGTGCTGCGCGAGGGCGCGGGGGGACTTACCGCCAATGCCTTCCAAGAGCCTCATTTCCGGTTCTCGCGGCCCCCTCTTCCCCCTAGGCGAAGAAGATCACGTCGATCCACCATGGCGTTGGGTCGGCGCCATCTACTTCGAGGCGATCACATCGAGCAAGGGTCGACTTCAGACGCAACGACATAGGCGGCACGCATTTCCGTCGTAGGATGTGGTGACGGCGACAAAATCGTAAAATGAATCGACCGAATTGGGGACGAGACGAATGGGAATCGTCAAGATGGGCTCTTTAGGTTGTTTCGCATTGGCGCGAGGCCGGGGTGTTGACCCCTGAGCCACGAAGCTTGCATAAATGAAAAGGTCCCTGCAGCCCCTGCATGAGCTTACAGAGCGACGACGCAGGCGAGGAGAAGCTGTTTCTTCGAAGGTTCGAGTGGAGTTTGTTCTCTGATCCTACTACGATGTGTGCTAGGTGGTATGGATGTATGTGGTTAGCATCGTCGATGGTTCTGTTCTGCGCTGGGAGGGCGAGCCATCTCGGCGGGATATCAAAGCGAATTATCGAGTAATCCCTGGAGTTGATCATGATCGTGCTGCACTCGCGATCTCCCGCCTGCAACGTACACAGAGGCAGTATGGCCACGCGCAGATCCACCCCGAGCATGCTGGCAAGTGATCGGGCGACTATGAAGGCTTATACCAACGTATCTAAGTACACACGGGTAGAGTTTCCTACGTGTATGGAGATCTCGAATCCTACCTCGATTTCTATACGCTATGTATATCCGGTTCGCAGCTTTTGCTGGCGACAGAATGCTTACCGTGGCACCTGATACGGCAACAGAGATTCGAAGCGCGTTGCGGTCAGGGGGGTTGGGTCAGCCCGCGGATTTCTGTTCTATGGATAGAGCGGTAGGCGATCCAAGCCACCCCGGACTCGAGACGCTGGCCTCATATCAAAAAGGGGAGGAGGATATTATCTCGGCAAAGGGAATGCATGTATGAGCATCCTTGGCAAGGTAGGACTAGCCGACTTGGCAGCGGGTGGCAGAACAGATGGCCCCCAGCGACGACTCTCACGACTTATTACGGTCCAGGAGCTATTACTCGAACGGGCGACGAAGTCGACTAGTATTACATATTAGTCCGTAATATGCCAGGAGCCTCTCGCGATCGGTATCCGCCTTGCATAGAGGACTTGTGTCCGTCGAACGATGTGCTACTCCGTACCCAGCATAGCATGCCTATCCCAGAAAGTCGGGATCAAACGGTCGAGGTCATCCACCGTCTAGGCTATTCCCGGGGCACGCTACTCTTTGCCTCTTGAATCTCGCGATGTCATTCACTGCTAGTAAGCCAGAAGAAAATATCCTATACATACATATATGCATGCATGCGTATACACATACGTATATACACTTGGGCTTCGTCTCTCTATACTTTGAGTCTAGAAAAGTCCCGTCACCGTAAGTGACCTAGTCACAGTCACAATGAATTCCTGAAAGTCTTCTCTTTGATAGTTACCGGTAATCTGCTCCCTGGTAACATGCTATTGCTACGCTAACGCTGTTACTAGGACGTTTTCTTCTCGATCGTCCGGCTAGTTGGCGCAAGTTCTCCTCGCCAGGTATTATACGACAACATCTATACATACGTACCGACATACATATACCTAAACACCACAAGCCGCCAGCGTCCCGAGGATGAGGAACTCGTCTAGACGCCCTGCGTTAGTGCGGATGGCGATGTCGATGGCAATGGCGTACAGGGACACCAAACCAGACTTACAGATGGCGAGGCCAAGCGTTCCTCCGACGAAACCCAGCGACGGCCGGAAATAGACTAACGACCGGGCTGACCACCCACTGGAAGATCTGGACGGCAATCGCCAAGAGGTCCTAAATCCCTCGGCGATTGATTGGAAGCAGCGTGCGACGATGGGCGTGACGCTCGCGATCGCGTCGTTTCGTAGACCAGTTCGGCGCACATACATATAACGCAAATTGCGCAGGGTCCGATTCCCGATAGATACTATAGGTCTACCGCTCGCATCGACTTCTCCTGAACTCGTAAATAGGAGGTGCAGGTAATTTAACCCGCTGATAGGGCGAGGGAAGCAGCACCAAACGGGTACGGAACCAAACAATAGCTTGGTCTGTTCGCGCCGTTAGAAAAGTGTCTCGTAGGTAATGGCAGACGTCAGCAACAGGGACACGACACAGCACTCACTTGCTACGGAAATAGAGAATCAGAACATCGACGGAGTGTCGGCTGATGAAATGGTTCCCTTGGCGAGCTCGCTGTGGTTACGAGCGGCTTGGAAGATGGGAAATTCGTCACGAACGCCTCTGTCCCGTTTCAAGTACCTGACCGCTTCGCGCCATGACGTCGGCATGCCCGATTCGGGAAAGGCGGCGGGATTCTCGGGCCGCCATTGGCCTAAAGTACCTCGAAGTACACCCCGCATAGAGATTAGATATGTATCTAAGCGAGGTTACGTCTTTATCAATACCTATAGAAGGCACGCCCGAAACTTCATCAAAACATCGTGATTCTCCTATAATCATTATGCAGTCATACCTTTATGCGGCCACCTGCTGTCTGAGTCTTCCGAGATCACAACACGGCAAGCGGAGACGGCATGGTTAATGATGGCAAGAGACGTCGATGAACTGATAGATTGATGCTAGGTATACTTGCTAGTCTATAGGTAGTGTAAACATAGGTGAAGACGAGGGAATAGTAGGCACCTAGGTACCTACCTAAACATACGATCAAAACATCAGAACGGTATGCATGAAACAGCCCTCCCAACCGACATCAAGGTCCGGCCTGTCGACACACCCGTGCGTATAATAATAATAATAATCATACTAGGTAATAGCGCAGGTGAAGCCGGGATGCGAGGAGGAGAGCTACGAAGAGCGCCGGAAGCCACCGAGGAAGCGCCAACGCCCCCGGAACAGACACGCGGCTAGCTGCTAGAGCCGGCACGCTGAAAGAGAAAGAGAGGGACAGGGAGAGGGGGAGAGCCACTCACCACATATTGTCCCGCGCGATGAGGTTTTGGAGGAGGCCGGAGCTGGGGAAGGTCTCGAACTGGGAGCGGGCGTCGCGCATGGCGCGCATGGCGTCGGGGTCGCGGGTGCGCTCGGCCTCGGCGCGGGCGCGGCGGAAGCGGCGGCCGAGGTGGCGCCACTCGACGGCGTCGACGCGGGCGAGGCTGGCGGCGCGGCAGGGGGGGCAGTCGGCGCCGACGACGCCGCCGTCGGGGACGGTGGGGGGCAGGGTGTGGATGGTGTCGTGGGCGAGGGGCACGGGCGCGACGACGTGGCCGCAGCGGGAGTGGGTCATGTCGCGGCGGCAGAAGGGGCACGTCGGCGACGACTCCAGGTGGCGCGCCAGGCACCCGCGGCACGCGACGTGCCCGCACGGCAGGATCGCCGGCACCGCGCCGTTCTTCGCGTCCGCCCGCCGCGCCACCCGCAGCCGCGTCGTCAGGCAGATCCCGCACGTCAGCTTCGCCGGCCGGTCCAGCAGGAACGTCACCTTGGGCGTCGGGAAGTACGTCTCGTCCTCCGCCACCACCCGCGGCGGCGGCTCCTCCCCGCCCGCCTCCTCCTCCCGCCCCAGCTTCGCGAACTCCCGCACCAGGTACTTCACGTCCGAGCTCTTCGTCATCCGCGCCGCCTTCCAGTCGATCGCCGCCTCCCTGCCGACCACGTCCTCCTCCTCCTCGTCCTCCGACTCCGACTCCGAGCTGTACGGGTCCACGTGGTCCTGATGGACCTGCCGCGGCGCCGTTCTCGTGGCGTTCTCGGGCGCCGCCCGGCGCGAGTGCCGCCCCGAGCGGGACGATCGCGACGAGCTGATGTGCTCCCGGAACCGCGATAATTCCCTCGTCCGACGCTCCCGAGTCCGGGGGGTGCTAGGGCGGTGGCTCATCTTCGTGGGGATCTTACCGAGAATTCTGCCGTTCTTGCTAACTACTCGGGTATCGGTGGTGGACGAAAAGGTCATGGTGGTTCAGAAGTGTGATCTGGTCGATCAATAGCCAGGCGCCTCGGTTGGCGTATTTATTAAGACGCGAATAATATGCTCCAGAGCTATTGAGCGTATTTAAAAACCTGCTGTTCTGGAACGAAGCCCATTGAGGATTCAGCATGTCCTATATAGGATCAGGCCGGCTTGTCTGGAACAGTTACTTTATCCCCAGTCGCACCCGCAGCCTCCTTTGTCCTAGTCAGACGCGAGTGCGGCCGAGTGGTCCAGTTCTTTGACACTATGTAGACGATACACAAAGAACTGGGGTTATTGTGCCTTGCGAGACACAGCAGAACTATCTGCTGGAGAGAAATGAGAGCCATAATCCTAGAAACAGGGTATCGGGAGGGCGCCGAAGGGTTTATATGTGCCTGACTACGTAGCTTGCGAGAATCCATAGCGAGCTAGTTGGGGGGGATTATATCAATACTGGATATCTATAGACTAGGAGCCTATTTACCAAGTCTTTTTAGACATATTTCTCGCCGCGGAACCTAATATTGAAATGATCGATCATCAAAACTGGGCGACTAGGTATCACTTTGGAGGCGGCACGATAATCCTTTGTCCTGTTATTCGCTTTCATGCATCGCTCGCAGCGCAATAAGGGCTTCTAGCTCTAAGCCTTCCCCCCCAAAACCAAAGGGCGGATACGACCGCTGTCCCAAATACCGCAGAGCTGCCTGCTAGAGCCGTGGCCCCGAGCCCGAAGCCCAAAGCGTCAAACATGTAGGGCGCGAATAGAGGGAAGAACGCGGCGGTGATGCTTCGTAGGACGAGGTTCGTCGAGATGGCGGATGCTGCGTATTGCGTGTAGGTGTCGATTGTGTAGACAGAAACGCAGGCGGAGCACATGTAGACCCCCATCGCGAACATCAAGCTCCCAATGTTCGGCATGATCCAGTGCAGCCTGGCCTCGCCCGACCACCCCCACCAGAGCAGCCCGGCCGGGACGAGCGCGGTCCCGAGAATCATGGTGGGGATGCGAAACTCGGGGCGTCCGACCCCGTTGTTGCGTGCCTTGAGTCGGCGATAGATGTGGTCGTTGAGGTGGCCGGCAAAGCCGGCGCCGAGGATCAGCCCGGCCGCGAAGGAAATGTAATTCAAGCTGCCGATCTCAACGCTTTGGCCGTATTGCCCCGTCCACATGAGCGGGTACATGAAGAGAAACAGGAACATGGTGCCGTACAGGAGAGCCATGTACCCGGCTAAGAGCTGCACGATGATCTGCGTGCCGAGCATGCGGAACGGGCGTTGGAGATGTGTATGCATGAGCGACAGGAAACCCGTTACCTTCTGCGCGTACGGCTCCTTCTCCTTCTCCGAGCCGGGTTCGGGCGCCCTCTTCCGGTGAAGCAGTGCCCGGATCCTCGGCTCGTAGGTCTCACGTAGGAAGACGACAGCCACGATAATGACGATAGCCGAGGCGATTGACGTGACGAAGAAGATCCAGCGCCAGGTTGTCCCCTGTGATATGAAGGCGCCGCAGATGGGCCCCAGGGCGGGGCCGAGGAGCGGGGCGGCCATGAACAGCGCGAAGGTGCGGCCCCTCTCCTCGGCAGCCCAGAGATCGCTCATGAAGCCGCCGGCGAGGGCGTCAGCGACGCAGGCGCCGAATCCGGAGAGCAGCCGGAAGGCCAGCATCTGGCCCAGCGTAGTGGCCGCGCCGCAGCCCGTATTCCACACGACGAAGACGGCGCTTCCTGTCACCAGCACGGGCTTGTGGCCGTAGACCTCGGAGAGCGGCGCGAGGAGCAGCGGCGCCAGCCCGACCCCGATAAGGATCAAGGAGTTAACCAACAACCACTCGTAGGGCTGCGAGACGTGTAGGGCGCTCGTGATCTGGTCCCGCGCTGGCGCCAGCATCGTCTCCGAGAGCGGCTGTAAGAAGGCGAATGCGGACAGGATAAATGTCGCCGTCAATTTCTTTCGGCGGGGCCACGACTTGGCTAGGTAGGCGTCGTCGTCGTCCGGCCTCGTCTGCGTATCCTGTCTCGGTCAGCGCGGGAAGGCTTGCCATGGTATGTAGCCCTCTGGTCCCGGCCCTCAAAAGACCCATCGCCACGTACCGGATGAACTTGAAACGCTTCGGCCTCGGCGCCATCCTTCGTAGGGAAGTCGGGGATAGAACTCTGGGTGCCCGCGTGAGGTGAGGCGTGGATTTCCACTCGCGTTGCCTCCATGTCGCGATCTGAAGCTGTCCCGTTAGTGGGAGAGGGGAAGCTAGACGGTTTGGCTTCGACGAGGCACACCCGGAGAAGCGCAGATCTGAAGGAATAAGCTGGTGAAGAGCGGCTGTTTCCCTAGCTCCAAGAGAAACAACGGCTTATCAAGGCGGACAAAAGCGACTTGCCCTCCCTTGCGTGCCGTAATCTAGGTATCTGGCAATGTTTTCAGTGAGGTTTGGCAACCATGCTAGGAGTAAAAAACAAACCACACTGTGATATCCAATCTCGTAATTTGACCTTTGCCTCTCTTGAGAGCAAGGGGATATCTGGGTACCTGGAGGTAGGTATAACCACAGTGTCTTAGGTACCTACACACGAGTACGGCATCTTCTAAGGCCTAACGCCGCGTTTGCTACCACTTAGCGCGGTGCCCTCGCTGGATCTACTTCGATCGCCTCGGATAACAGTACTAGGGCTGATCACCTTGGCTGGAAGGGGGAGCCTGGCAGTGTAGCCTCGACGTCGCGCGCTGTTATACATGGCTGTAGGGCATGAGAGGGGATCGGCTCTGTATCGTATCCGGTCCATAGGTGTGAGAAGGATGTGGATACGCGGTTGTGAACCTCTACCTCTGATCCTGGCATTTGCGACTAGGTTTGCGAACGTTGGTGAGCTACGCCGGGGATGCAACGCCTGCAGCTTGCCTAACCCTAGAGAGAGGTTGCTGTCAAAGGGACTGGCTGGCAGAGCACCCTTGCCTTAGTCACAGGAACTCGGCGCACGTTGGAACACATGGGAGCACATGGGGGGAGATTGGAAGAACATGTTGGTGTGTTGTCAGTTGGTGATGAAGGGAGTTGGTTTATGGCTGTCCAAAGGACTCCTCCCTCCGCTACTCTCAACCCGTGGATTGGCGGCGGGATAAATGCCACCTAACCACACCGCCTCATGTCTGCACAACATACAGGTGGCTACGTTCCGTCGAGTGTGATTCACAATAGTTAAGCGTTAGTAACCATCAGACCATCGCGATGCCCATCCCGACTGGACCACCTCCCCTGAGAACGTACCAACCAATACAACGCATCTTTTGGGACGCGTTAGCAGGGCCTTGTGGGAATCCGGGTCGAGGTCGCGATAATATCAGTTCCTACAACTTAGGAAACACCCCCCTTAATTAACTTGTACCAAAAGAAAGGTAGGGATTGATAATATAAACAGCACGCAGTTAGTTGGTGGATGCCATACGGGAAAGTGCACAGTTATTTAGGATGGTGAGAATACAATTTCGAGTAGGCTTCGTGGGAAGCTGTGTAATAACCCTAACTCTCCCAATATGTGCCTACTCGATGGCGGTGAAGGTTGAAAACGATCGCCGTCTACAGTTATTATCCCTTCGGGCCAGACCCGGGACACATTTTGCGTCACCCTTCGCTCTGCTCCCACGGCTTCACCGTCTTTCCCTCTTCGTACTTGCCGCCGGCCGGCCGCCACATCAGCCAGAAGGTGAACGGCTGGACTTTCTCGGCGACGTCGGTCCAGGCCTGATCGGGGGCGTCGGTGGCGGGCACGTTGATGTTCTCCTCGATGTAGACGAACCCGTTCGCCTCGTACAGGGGGCGACCGTACGGGGTCGAGTCGAGGAAGACCTCGAGGCCGGCTGCGTCGGCTTCGCGCAGGCCCCAGTCCAACAGCTGCTGCCCGACGCCGCGGCGCCGGTAGTCCGGGTGCGCGAAGATGATGAAGAGATCTGGGCGGAGTGAGCGAGCGCGCGCGTTGAAGGGGCCACGCCAGCAGACAGGCAGGTAGGCGGGCAGGCGGGCAGGCACTTACAGACGTGGGCGCGCTGGGCGGCCCGGGCCCGCGGCCGGCTGTGGTTCGCCAGCGCCTGCTCGACGAAAGCCCGCGCGCCGCCCGCGGGGAACCAGGTGACGTCGGAGGGGTGGGGGGCGGCGAACGGGTTCTCGTGGTGGACGTTCCAGAGCGCGGCGCCGGCGAGCCGGCCCGTCGCCGTGTCGACGACCTTGTTCCAGCGGCTCGAAGGGTCGCCGGCGTGCCAGGCCCGTAGCCGCGTGGCTGCCTCCTCGATAGCCGCCTCGCGCGCCGCGGCCCCCTGTCCGTGGATCGGGAAGAAGACGTGGAAGAATTTCTGCGGCGGGTCCTCATACGACTCGAACAGGCACCGGGCCAGCGCCGGAAAGTCGACGTTCGGGTCGATCTCCTGGTGCTCGAGCGGCATGGCTGGTGGCGGGGAATGGATTGAAGCGAAAGATTCGCAGTGGATGGGGGCGTACAGGAGGGCGGGGGGAGATGGGTATGAAATTGCGGTGTCTGGGGGATAACAAAGGGGCGTTACAACTCATCAATATATGTCTGCGGACTCTCTTTTGCCGTAGGTTGTTGGTCCATATGTTGGTGTATAGCTTAGCACGTAGGTAGAGAGACTAGGGGCGATGGCGTCCGGGAGAGACTGGCATTGGTCGGGGAACACTTGCGCGCTCCCCCCCTTGCTGTGCTGTGTAGGCAATATTAATGATATATCATTATTGCCTTCAACAGACCCTCGTTTAATATTGGGTACTGAAGCGATGTACCTACTAGTCGGCATGCTTTTGTTTAGGATTCATCTTTGAATTCGAACGAAATGTGCCCGCCGAACCCGATCGGTACCTATACTTTTACTGCCGCCTCCCTTTGTATAGGACTGTTTGCCTTCGGTATCTTATGCCGCCTCCCTAGACGTGATACGACCGTATCAGCGCCGTTGCTTATGCGCGTCCTAGGCATTACCTACCCTCCTTTATACGGAACATCCGGTAATTTAGAGTCGTGATGCTCCTATTCGCTGCAATACCGCCGATGGCAGTATCTCTAGGGGCTACCTGACCGGGTGGCTGGCCATCACAGGCTGGCAAGCCTTAGTTGCCTCTGGCGGATTCCTCATCGGCACCATGATTCAGGGGCTAATTCTACTCGCCCACCCCGAGTACGCCGGCGTCATGCAGAATTGGCATGGGACCCTCCTATTATGGGCAACGATCCTCTTAAGCTATAGTATCAACACGGCTATCGGGTCTCTCCTTGCCAGATTTGAAGGCTTCGTTCTCATCCTGCATATTCTCGGCTTCTTCGCTGTGATACTGCCCCTGGTAATCCTCGGTGAACACGGAACTGCTACGGACGTGTTCGGCACTTTCCTCAACCTGGGCGACTGGCAAACGCAGGGGCTATCATTATGTATTGGCATGATGGGAAACGTCTTTTCGTTTCTAGGGGCGGATGGGGCAATCCACGTAAGTACGACGACCCTAGCTACTATTATATCAGTAATCCGGTGCTATTATGGCCGTGAGGGGGGACGGTTTACTCACCACCTCACAGATGTCAGAAGAAATCCGCAATGCCGCTATTACGGTCCCTCGTTCCTTGCTAGCTAGTCTCGCCATCAACGGGACGTTGGGCCTTGCAATGTTAATTGCGACCTTGTACTCTCTCGGCGACATCGACACAGCATTAGCTGAGAATCCCCAGTACCCTTACATGGCTATCTTTGAGCACGCCGTGGGCTCCAAGGCGGGGGCGGCAGTGATGGCTTCCATTATAGTAGTTATGACGATAAGCGCCACCACGGGATCCCTCGCCTCGACATCTCGGATCTGTTGGGCATTCGCTCGCGACCATGGGCTTCCCGGCTGGAGGGTGCTGAAGAAAGTCAGCCCGCGGACTAGCATTCCCCTCTACGCCGTCCTTACGGCTTCTTGTATCGCCGTCCTCCTGTCCCTCGTTAACATTGGGGATGCCGTAGCCTTCAACGGCGTGATATCCATCTCCGTTGCTGGCCTGTTCGGGTCCTACTTCATTGCGGCTGCATTACTCCTTTATCGCAGACTCACCGGAGGGATCCGCTCCCCGAAGGACGACAACACCATATTAACCAGCACAATTGTCACCGGCTTAACATGGGGGCCCTGGCGTCTCCGCGGAGCCTTCGGGGTTGCGAACAACCCTTTTACGTGAATCTACCTGTTCTTCGTCTTCTCCTTCAGCTTCTGACCGTCCTACCGAGAGGTCACACCTCAAACCTTCAACTAGGCTGTGCTTGTCTTCGGGGCAGTAGTGTCGTGTATTATTTGGCCTGGGCGAGGAAGAGTTATTCGGGACCGATCGTCGAGATCGCCCACTGATGGAATTGGCGAGCCGGACTGGGCGTCAGCAATGGGTCTACGGGCAGCAGTTGTTGGTGGTTCTGGAGATACAGACGCGATGAAAGACGCTTGGAGGAAGGACAGAGAGGGATCTTTTTAAACAATTGCTACATGGGGGTTAAGGCCATCTACGAGTACTCCTGTTCGCAGCAGATTCAGTCGCACATTTCTATCTCGGGGATGAGAAGGATAGAGCAAGAAATCCTGCTACATATCTACCGCATCTATATAGGCATACAATATTGCGCCTTCTCTCATATCACCGTTAGCGGGTGCTCTCGTGTGACCACCATCACTTGGCACGAACGCCTGGTTGATGGCGGCGTAGCGTCCGAGATCAGATTCCTCTGGCGAGCTCAGCGATACTAACGTGTCAAGCTGCGTCTCTGGAGCCTCGGCTCCGTCTCTGGTACTAAAATAGAGCGTGTCCCTGAGGGGTTCGAAGAAGAAGCGGCCGGCTTGAGGATCGATATCGAGTAGTAACCAGTATCGTTTTAACCCTTTAAGCCGGTACTCTTCGTACGTACATAAGTTAATCGAAATTGACGACGCGGACGCGTAAATAGGAGTAAATTTGCCCCTATATTGTGGCTCGAAGATTGTGGCGCTGCGGGCCCGGTGCTTCTGCTTTAATCTGAGGCAAGAAAAGAGACGGATATGTCCATCTGCGAGGTGAGCTTTACCGAAACGGAGAGTTCAATATAATATTCGAGTGCAAGATTATACGTTGTCCTTATGGAGCACGGTACTCGACTGTCACGCTCTCTGAGCGTCCCCAGCGAGATTCTCGGGCACTTTTAAACGCGCGGGTGCGTATCTAATTAGCCAGTTAGCAACCCCTATCCCACCGTTGAAGCGATTGTGACCTATCTATTATCTCCATAGGGGCAGGTTGTGGTGTCGAGTGCTTTGTATAGTACCGCGGAGTCGTGTATATTACCCCTGAGTAGGGGGTTTTTGGCATTTGTAGTTTTCGCCTAAGATATTGGGTATTATATCTTTTCCCTTTTCCGATGATGGACATATATATGGCTCGCGACCTCGTATGTAGTTTTAGTGGAATATTAGGGCAGATGCTGCGACAGCCTTACTTCTGATCACACGGATTTGCTTTACTCCGAACATGTAATTCCATATATAAAAGCCGCCGAATTTGGTAGGCAGTGCAGAAACTTCCACAAGAACCAGCTCCCATCGGCGTCTACTTCATCTTCAACCATTCTCGGTAGTGAGTTAAGCCAATAGTCAATGTTCCTCCCGTCCAACCCTCCTAACAGTGCTCTGCATCCTTCGCAATAGCCGCCAATATTTTCGCACACTTATCGTCGTGCCTTCGATCCCTTTAATGTTTCCGCTCTGTTACACTGTGACCCTTGGAGAAATAGATTACCTATGAGTATTTCTTAAGGGATGCCTCCAACCCACTCACCCATAGGTTACAAAGAAAGGCCGACCGCCGATGAGCATATTAGAGAGTTCTATTCGCCTTCGGCTGCCGAAAAAGTCATCAGTCAAAGTAGTTGTTTCCCGGTACCCAGTATGATGACAGATCATGAAAGATTCCGATTCTGCCCTATGCATGATGTATTGTCGTGACAACTTCGTTGGAATATCAACGAGATTTATTCCTGGAGTAGCGTCTATTGAATTCTGCTCTTTCTTGCAAGCCGAGCGTACATGGTTGCGTAGATGAAGACCTGCCTCCCTTTCTGGGTCGGCTTGAGGTGGTCGAGAACGCTCTTCCGGGTGTGGCTCAAGAGGAACAGTGCGAAGATAGAGCTCTTCGTTGTCGTCCCCGAGCGAGCACCAGGCCAAGGCTAGTTTCCGAAAGTTGCTGTCAACCTCACGGCCGTGAGATTTAAGGAGCTTGAGGATATCCACCATGGCTTCCCTCTCGCCTCCTTTCCTAGACGTGAATCTTTTATTGTATTGTTTTTGGTGATATAACTCCCGAGCTGACTGTCTCTCTCGGTCCAATGTGTCTTTGGTTGAGCGGTCAGCCTCACCGTGGCTTGTACGTTGGAAGCCGCAGATAAAAGGTCCTAAAACAATTGAGGAGAAAATCATTGCCGATACGGCGTCTAAACCGACAGTGTTCGAGAGGGATGGATTAGCTCCCATCTCGATCAGCGCTGCGACATTGCGAGGACGGCGGGACATGCAGGCATAATGGAGAGGCGTGTCTCCGTGAAGGTCGCAAAGGTCGATGGATGTATCAAAAAGGCAGGATTGCGCTTGTTGAAAAATGCAAAGTGGTTCCGGGAAAGGAATCATGGCCATAATATGTAGAATTGACGTAGTTCGCGCCGAGTCAATGTACAGTTGCGATGCTCCTGTAACGGATGTATTATCTTTACCATGAGTTAAGAACAGACGTAAAAGCTCTTCAACGAACGGAAGTGGGTAGAACTCGTCCTGGTTGCACTGTAAAAGGACCTCACCAAGAATCGTGACGTCTTCCGTTAAGCGTCGAAGCCGAGATGATGAAACCTTTAAGCATCCTGATCTGCCCTCTGCTAGAAGGTCCAATTGATCGTGCACGAAGATGCAAGGGTCGGCTCCAAGACCAAGGAGCACCGGTATCAGGCGTATTTTCTGATTCCGCACCGCAAGATGTAGTGCTGTCAGACCGTAGCAGCGCTCTCTCGCATCGATAGGGACTGAATATGGACGCAGCACCTCCACCATTTCTATCTCTTCCTGGTGTCGATCACCGCCGACAAGCGTTATCAGATGCAAGCAGGTAAGTCTTCTCCTGAGTGTGAGTGCATCGGGGCGAGCACCTTGGGAGAGTAGGAGTTGGGCAATCCGTTTACGGCTGTACAGAACTGCCGTGTGTAGACAGGTCAGGCCGTGCCAACGAGTTTCAACATCCCAGTGCCGATTGAGTATTAAATGCTGGAACAAATACTCGTGATCGTGACGGATGACTGACCCTAAGACGGCCGCTTCAAAACCGGGTTGGAGATCCAGCAGAAGATCAAGGGCCGCCACAACCGCAGCTGGGTCGCCGAATCCCAGGCGCAACCGCCGTTCCGGAGTGTCATCTTCTGACACGAGTAGGCCGAGGGGTGTTTGCGAGAACTCTAGAGGCAGCTTGTAGCCATCTTCACAGAGTACGTGAAAAAACATATAGAGAATTTCCGGGTTGGTACAGGGGGTTTCGAGGTGCAGAGAGAACTTCCTCTTAGTTCCCGCCGTAGGCTGTCCCGAAATCGGAAAAGGCGTCGTCGCAAACCGGGCGCCAAGTTGGAGAAGCTTCCTAACCAGCGCAGACTTTCCGTGCATTACAGCCCAGCGAAGTGGCGTCACCGACCGCGAGTTTGCCAAGGACCAGAGATCCGAGGTGTCAAGGGCCGTCTCGTTGCACATGTTGTTCACCTCTCCGCCCCTGGCTGCTAGGAGCGCTGCCAACTCGACGGCCGCTGTACCGTCTTCAATATACACTAGATAATGCATGGGACTCGGTGAACGATATGTGTGACTTGGCCGCGCTTCGGTTATGTCGTCCCATAAGACGAGTGGTCGGCAATCGGCTCCCCGATCAATCAGCATCCGGGCGATTTGGTGGTGCCCCCGCCGCAGAGCACATAACAACGGAGTTCGAAGCTTGCGCGATGAATTTCTCTGGTTTATATCCAGGCCGGCGTCGAGGAGGACGGCGACAGCTTCCTTAAACCCGAACAAGCTGGCCATGTGAAGAAGGGAACCAAAATTGTAGGCCTCATCATAGTCTCTCTTAGGTGTACCCATGAAAATTGACCTGATAGAGTGGGCACTCGTTGTTGCCTTTGTGGCTGGTCTCTCCCATATTGGACTCCTCTCTGGCTTTCTAATCGAGATGAGTTTCTTCCATAAGCTCCTCTTTGGCTTCCTGATCGAAAGGGACTCGGGATTTGATAGATCAAAATGCGGCAATACATGCCGGATATATTCGAGGCTCTCGGGCCCTCCAGCATTGAACGTAAATTTGCTGTCTTCTTCAATCTTGTGAAATTCCTTGGAATCGGGGTAAAACTTTCGAAGGTCTTGAATGGCAATGAGAGACCCCGCTCTAGCGCCACCTAAGAGCCACCGGCGCTGCACTTCTTCCTTTTGGTCTAGATCCCGCTGATATAGCGAAAAGAGGCGTCTAACGAGAGCCCTGGCCTTGATACACTCCGCTTCCGCTGCCCGAACAACCCACCGTAGGCCTTCGTCCACGTCTTTATTACTATGTAGTCCCATGAGATGAGCAAGGCCGTGCCCAAAGAGAAATTCGACGGATTTATGTTTTTCTGGCTGATGGTATTCAGTTCGGACCCAGATCCTGGGCGTAGCCTCGTCATACTCGGCTTGTGGCGCAGAGGGTGGGGGCACTACAGTTGTTTCTGGTAGAATCCTGCCTTGCGACGAATCCCGCGTCCATGTCAAGTCGTGAGGGGGTGTAGGCGGGGATATAGGTTTTGGTGTATTGAAGAAGCGGGTGGCTGTAGGATGATGAAAGAATTCCCGCGGCCAGTGTGCAAAATATAACGGTTCGTGAAGTATCTATCAATTTCAATTTAATCACCGAGGTAGATGTAACGACAGGTAATTCGACTGCTGGCACCAAGACTTACCTGCGCGGGAGTACGCCAATACCGGTATTGAGCTATATCCTGAACCAAGTCACGACAGCTCTCGATGTTATGCCGGATATCAGAGGTAGAGGCCAGCTCGCACTGACAGCCAGGTATACCTGCGGGATTCTGGAGGAAAGTGAAAGTTAGCGTGCATCCTAGTTAGTATCGCAAACGACATACCTCGAAGTTCCAAGCTGCTCTCCAAGTTGGTACCGCTGATGCTTTAAGCCAGGAGATATCGTCAACCTCATAATATCCCCACCTATAGTCCCTCCGTATCAGGTTTGGGTTGAAATGTTCCACGCCAAAACCTTGGGAATACGGCAACTTGCGCTGTCCTGCATGGCCGAGAATCAACAGAGCAAGTCTGCTCCAGTAAACCGGGTGAGTGACAGACGCATGTAATTCCGGCACAGAGGAGTCGACCTCGATCGAATCAATGTAGCAATAGTTGAAAAGCAATGCTGTTGGCTGGTGGACAACACCAGTTGAGTCCTCAAGCTTCGCAACAATGGCCTCGGCATCGAGAACCGCCGCACTTTCGGACGTATCTTCTTTCTGACTACCAAAGACGGCTGGTCTACCTTCATTTTTCCCCGCCCCCTCGTCTAATCGTTGACTATATCCACTCTCGGAGTCTGTATCATAGTCGTTACTAGTTGGCCAAGGCCGACTCTCAAAGTCATCGGATAGTAGGTAGGATCGCATAGGTCCCTTAGGGAGCTCGTTGGGAACCAATGGACCGGAAGACCTTGTTATCCCTGGTGCCCTGGGCCGTATCGATAGGACTGGAAAACGCGATATAATAGGCGACATGTTGTTTCTAGTTCGGAAACGGACCGGGGCTAATCTAATGGTCAGACATACGGCATTTCTGACGAGGCTAGCTGCATCAGCTTCGGGCAAGTCATGCCCATTAGCTAGAGGAGACCACCCGATTTCGAATGAAGGGCGACTTAAATATGACGGTACCAGCGGTGTTCCGGACATCGCGGTCGTTTGCGCTTTGGGACCGCTTCCAAAGCCCTCAATGTCAAATGGGCTCAACTCGATATGCTTTCTAGCTCTCCGGCGTATACCTCCGTCTGCTAGCGTCACATCTGTCTCTGCGACAACTACGCCTTTGGCGGGACTTGGTTCTCTCAAGCAGCCGGTAGTGTCCGTTAAAGCACTGAATAATAGCCCTTTTCGACGAGCTCGGCGCCTTTTCCGTCCTCTCAGTATGTCAGTTTGGGCTACCACACCGTTACCAGGATTGCTGGTGGTAGAGTGTAAGCTGCTGCCAGTGGGGACAATGTGCTTAGGGTCAAGAGTGGATGAGTAAGGCTTCAGCTGGTCCCATTGTCTGACTATCTGCTCTTTGACACTTCCAACCCATTCCTCGATAGGCTCAACAGGCTTGTCCGAATTCTTCACGAATAGGACGGCAACGGCAGGTGTCCAATGTCCAGGGGATGTTTCTAGTTTTAGGAGAGACACGTCGGGAATCCAGTGATACGCATGTGCCCTCTTGTCCAGAGCCAGAAGATCACCGAATTCATCCCAAAGGAGATCATGGACTTTTTCCTGGGTTATACCAGCTGATGGGGAGGTGGGAGCAACTGAGTCGGAGTAAAAAATGCTCAGTTCTGGTTCAATAATTCCGTATCCATTTCGCCGCTTGAGGAAACTAGGCGCCTCGACCAGACAGAAGTACCGTTCCACTTGTAAAGAGGGTTCCGGGGCAGCTTTGACACTATCTTCGGTCGGCTCACGGCTAGTATCCAGAGGCGTAGGACTTAGTAGATGCCGTAAACTGCCAATAGACATGGTGTTATAACCGCGTACCCGACAGCTGATCTACCTACTGAATTTCTGTAGGTAGATTGCAATCTTCCTGGATAATATGGGTAGAGAAAATGAGAGAGATCTTGAAACATAGCTATTGTCGATGGAAGAAGGATTCGCGACACAACGCGCCATATCGATTTTCTATTTATACCTACCTACTAAAATGGCGTAGGCAGGAAGACTAGCAAGCTGGGCACGCTAATCACCGCTATGCACGTGACGAGAGGACCTCATGTTTATCGGCGGTCAACTCAGCCTCAACCTTCAATAGGTATCTCTTGTTCAGCCTTCATCAACTTTGCTCCCTTCTTCATATACACCAATAAAGCCCTTTTCTCACAAAGTCCACAATCTTAACAGAAACCCATCATGGAAGCAGCGGGGTTTGCAATTACCGTTGCGAGTGTAGCTTCTATCCTACAGACCTGCCTCGAAGCCTACCGAGGCCTCAACACAGCCTTGGCAATGGGAGACACGGCCAGTGCGATTAATTTGCGGTTTAGAGTCGAGGAGATGAGGCTGCGTCTTTGGGGGATGAGTCGTGGCATCTACTTTGGCCTAGACAACGGCAGCGAGGACCCGGACATTATTATCCCCGGGGCCTTGGCTTCTCGAAAGCGTCACGGGTCACCTCCAGCTGCTGCGCGGGACAACGATGTCCTCCACATCCCGCAGATGGCAAAGCTAGCGGTTGACATTCTAGGGAGGATATTTCAAGTCCTAGAGAATTATAGCCAGGTTATGGAGAAACAAGGCATCCCGAAGCCGGTAGTCTCAACAGAGGTCGACGAAGGTCGGTCACTCGCCTCGCTTTTCTCGCCTGGCCGGATCGAAGCAGCTAAGGCGGCCCAAGGAGAGGAAGCCAAAAGTGTGTCTAAGAAGACGCCTTTCGGCGCAAAGATTCGCTGGGCAGTGAGAGACAAGCAAGTTCTAACCGATTTACTTGATGAACTTACTACGCTGAATGACGGATTGCAAAATTTACTCCCCAGAGAAGATGCCGTACTTCTCTGTAGAGGGTTGGCGGCCGAAGCAATTAACGAAGAATCAACTGACCTTACAGATATCACAATCGAGTCGTTCGGAGGTATGGGTCGCAAAGCCGCCGCGGCGCTTGAGATCCGCCAAGAAAACTTGACTAATCTTTCAGAAAAAGCTTCGCCATTCTCTACCAAACCTCTCAACGAAGATTGCGAGCCTTCTTACCTGATTCCCATATCCTGCTTCCCGGACTTCACCGAGCCTCGCCTCAAGTACCGACAGACTATCGAAGGTCAATTTGGGAACGAGGCATTAGAAGTGCCGCTTGTCCGAACCTACCAGACTTTTGTCCCACTTCCACCTACAGCGGGGAGCAACTCGGCAAAAGTTAACAAATTCCAGCGACCAGAAGTCGTCTTGGTAGAGTGGAGATCACAAGAAGCAGAGTCAAAGTACTCAACTATCTCTGCCGAAGCGCTTGCGAGACGTCGCGACCATCTCGTCTCACTCTTGCATAGGACGGCTACCTCAGACGATGAGTATCGAGTTCTCAACTGCCTCGGCTACTGCCTTACATCTGGTCGACTTCCTGATGGAGAAACACATCCCATCGTAGGATTTGTCTATAGACTTCCTGATGGTGCAGCGAACCATGTGGAACCGATCAGTCTGAGGGCAATATTGGGAGAGGCATTTGCAGCTACCGACCCTCACATTCCTAATTTGGACGACCGGTATCAGCTAGCCTGGAGCCTTGCCGTGTCTCTGTATCAACTTCAGTGTGCCGGGTGGATTCACCGAAAGATATCAAGCCACAACGTTCTCTTTTTCAAAGATAAAGCCAGAGGCCAGATCGACATAAACCAACCGTACGTCTGCGGATGGCAATATGCGCGGCCAGACTCCTATATACCGGGATATAAGCCAAGTATCTATGAGTCGGAATCGAGGAAGGTCGGTAGTCTGGGTGATCTCGACATGTACGCTCACCCGAGAAGGCTAGATTACGTGAAAGGGATCCCACGCTTTAGAAAAAGTTTCGACATATACAGCCTCGGCATCATACTAATAGAGATTGCGTTTTGGGAACCCATAGTGGCTTTCGCCGATGTGGAGAAACGAACGCTGATGGAGAGGTTTTATCACCCTGTGGAGCCGACCACCGTATGGGCGTCGAAAATTCGGGCGGCTGCGGAGAAGGAGATAGGACCAGAGATGGGTTTGGCCTATCGGGATGCTGTTCTGGCTTGTCTCGGAGGCTTGAAGATGGCTAGCCTTGACGACATACTAGCAGTAGAGGATATCGACATGAAGAACATCGAGTTGGGCATAGAAAGAGAATTCTTCTGGAGAGTTGTTCATTCCTTACGGCTGAGATAATAAAGCAGCACTCACTAGTATCGCTGGATGCGCTGTGGGCACGTAGGTATAGCAATGTAGGCGTCTACGTTTTACGCAACAGGGCCACGATCATATAGGTAAAAATGCAATCAACAAGTCCGTCTCGACTCTCGCGTCATCCGTTCGTTGCCAACCCGTGCAGACAATATTTAACATCCCACCACCGGTCTTTGAACTCCACCGCCGCATAAGAGGGTGTCTGCCGCTTCAGGGGCAACTCTATCGTCATCCAAGCATCGGATTGATCCACGCAAATGATCCCAACAACAGCCGGAGCCGCGGTCTCGGGGGCCTGTCTAAAGGTCATTGTCCGTTTCAACGGTAGCTACCGCCGGCTCAAGGCCTTTTCAGCCACGCAGGAAGCCACCCTGACTGGCAACAGTGGACCCATAATTGAAGCATTGCCAAGTGGGGGCAGGGAGAGACCTGAGATTGGTCAAGTCATCCAGCGATCGACACAATCCCTGGAAGCACATAACGTACCGAAATAGAGGGATACCTGAGTACCTAATGCAGTAATCCGGTATAGGGGAGTCCCAAGTGTCCTAATCCTGAGAAGTACTATGAAAGTACTTGTGCCTACATGACCCAGGGCCTAATAATCCATGTACTAGGTACCTAGCAAAAACGGGTGCTGTGCTGTACCTCCGTATTATCCAACACAATCAACATGTGGCTTCTTCCTCTATCTTATCTCTCTCTGTCTCACCTTGTTAGACAATTCGGCAACGTACCAACAAGTCGGCGACAACCCGCCCACTCTCTCCGTCACCTCTACCACCACCTGCTCTTACTGCCCACCACCGACACTCGCCGCACTTCTCGACGGCCCAACTCCGAGCGAGACATCTCCGACTCTCATGCAGAAGCCGTGCAATCATCGCCACGCGGGCTCCCTTGCTGATACTCCTTCTAAGCCTAGGGGGGCCAAACCATGCATGCGCCCGTAGTAACTTAACGTAACAATGTCGACTACCGCCGCCGCTCCGTCCTCGCAGCTCTCGCGCGCCGAGACTCTCTACCTCAGCGGCCTCGCCCTGGTCTGCGTCGCCGTCCTCGTGCGCACCTTCGAAGGCGAGGGCGAGCCCCTGATCGCCTCGCTGGCCTTGAGCGGCTTCGCTTTCGCCGCCAGCTACGCCATGATACGATGGCTCGGCCCTGCCTTCATCCACGCCGGCTTGAAGGGCCGCGACCTTTCCAAGCTCAACAACAGTCACTACCTGCCCGAGTGCATGGGCGCCATATGCGCAACCGTCTACATCCTCACAATCATCGTCTTCATCCCCTTCCCCTTTTACAAGGACATAGTGGTCGCTACTAGTGGTGGTGGGAATCGCGATGTGGTCATGAACGTCGAGTTCGTCCAGAAGGGCAGGCTGCTTCACAAGTTTCCCCACAACAAGGTACGAGGCGTGTCCCCTGCCCTGGCCTCCTAACCGTAGGGTCACCACCGCTTGCCATTGCGCCGGGCATACGTGTCGTGCTGATGCCTCCATCTCTGCTACTCTCTAGCTCGCCTCCTTCCTTTCTGCCATCATCTCGCTCCAGTCCATCACCCTCCTCGGCATCAGCGACGACCTCTTCGACATCCGCTGGCGCCACAAGTTCTTCATTCCCGCCTTCGCGTCGATCCCGCTCCTCGTCATCTACTTCGTCGACTTCGGCGTCACGTCCATCGTACTCCCTACCTTCCTCCAGCCGTATGTGGGCCAGGAGCTGTTCGACCTGGGCATCCTCTACTACGGATACATGTCGGCCTTCTGCATTTTCAGCCCCAATAGCATCAACATCCTCGCCGGCATCAACGGCATCGAGGTGAGCCAGAGCGTCGTCATCGCCCTGCTGATCGCGTTCAACGACGTCCTCTACCTCGTCACGCCCTACCCCCACCCGGCCACCGACTCGCACTTGTTCTCCCTCTACTTCCTGCTGCCCTTCCTGGGCGTGAGCTTGCCGCTCCTGGTCCACAACTGGTATCCGGCTCGCGTGTTCGTCGGCGACACGTACTGCTATTTCGCGGGCATGGTGTTCGTGGTGGTCAGCATCCTGGGCCATTTTTCGAAGACTTTGATCCTGCTGCTCGTGCCCCAGATCTTCAATTTCGTTTACAGCGCGCCCCAACTCTTCGGGCTGGTCCCGTGCCCACGTCACCGCCTGCCGCACTTCAACGCGCGTACCGGGCTGCTCGAGCCTAGCGTCACCAAGTGGGAGAAGGATAGGCAGCCCCGCCATCCCGTCATCGCACACGTGCTGCGGCTACTAGCGAAGCTCAAGCTGCTGCGGGTCAAGGAGGACGAGCAGGGCCGTTTCGAGGAGACGAGCAACTTCACCCTCCTTAACCTGTGGCTAGTCTGGCGCGGCCCGATGCGCGAGGATGCCCTGGCCACGGAGATCACCCTCCTGCAGGCGGCTCTCGGCCTCTTCGGCCTCTTCGTACGCCACCGGCTTGCGCTCCTCATCTTTAAGGAAGATAACCTGAGTTTCATCGGAGGCGTCGTCTAGCCTGGCTTCCCCGGATCGGCCCAGATCCATTCCATTCCAAGCCAAGGAGAAGGGTGAGCGCTGAGGTTGATCCTAGCACCTTCTCCCTTTTTTCCGCTTTTTCTTTTCTCACGTGGGAGAGCAAGAACAGAGGCGGATAGAGATACCCATTGCCGCGCGCGCATAGAACATAGATAACGGACCCGGAAAAGAGGAGCAAGGGAGGAGGAGACAGGCAAACAATCATAGGTAAGGACACGTAGCCGAAGGATAGCCCGCTCGGCTTGGCTTACATGGCGCACATGCACGTGTAGGCATGTATGTACATAAGACAGACAGACAGATATATAGACAGAGACGGGGGACGGGGTGGGTTGCGAGCGGATGTCTCTCCGCGAGTGGTGAGTTGGTGTGTGCCGTGCGCGCGCGCGCCCCCCTCTCTCTCGCCGGTAAACCCTGTCCCCTGCGGCCACCCCCCTCCCCCCCCCCCCCTCTCCGCGAATTGAATGAATACGAAATGCGAGACCGCGGGTCCGGACTCGGACTCGGGTCGCTCGTTTTGCAAAACCCCCCTAGACACACACACACGCACGCACGCGCACAAACCTACACGAGTATCATACCATGCGCGCGATCCACGACCGGGCGGGCGGGCAGCCGTCGTCCCAGGTGTAAGTACTTACATGAAGAGAGAGGTGCTCGCGGTCTCGGCTGGAATTGCCGATGAAACTTTGTGCGTGTGCGCGTATGCGGGCACCGCAGGCAAGGGTTGGGCCGGTTACGTGGATGGATGGATGGGATCGGAGGCCCCGCCGCGTCTTACCCGCGTCTTAGACGCTCTGTCTGGGCTGCCGAGTCCTCTCGTCCGCGGAGGCGCGCGGGGGGTATGCATGCTGCGTGGGCGGCCGCGGGCGGTGGTCGAGAGAGAGAGAGAGAGAGAGAGCGGGCTCGAGGGCTGGTTTGTTGGCGGCCGAGACAAATGCCCGCCGCGTAGGAGGCTAGCTTAGCTTAGGTCGAGCTGGGCAGGTAAGGCAGGCAGGCAGGCATATCCCCAGGCCTTCTTTTGCGCGGTCCCGCGACCAATCTAGGTACCTACGTCTTAGCCCTAATACCCCCTAGAGAGATGAGAAGAAGAATGCCTGGCTTGCCCGCGACAACTTGTAGGTATGTGAGTATATGCAGACCTAGGTAGTGATAGCCGTAGCCCCTCCTCGTTAACCAACAGTCTTCTGCCGGCTGGTGGATACCTATGAGTAGGTATCTTGTCGGCATCCCCGACGCAACCCGCGATGCCTCTTCGACAGAAACCTGCCCTACCGGCGGCCAGACAGACTGACAGCGCGGACAGCCACAGACATCGCAGGCACACGCGACCGACGCCGCCCGCGCGTCCCGCCCTCGAACCCCCCTCCCTTCCTTTCGTGGGTCCCTTGGCCAACTTGCCTCTGCTCGCTTCAACCTACCTCTTACCGACCTCCTATCTGACATGTAGGTTGCCTTACCTGTCCCGCACAGTGGTGTATGAGGTATGTATATACCTACAGTATGCGCTGCCTCCCCTTACCTAGGTAGGCACATACCTCTAAGATACTCCCCGTGAGACAGAGGGCTCATGTCTATGTGCAGGTAGGTACCTACATGCCTACCATTTCGCTCACTCGGTCTCTCCTCTCCGTCATCTTAGGTACCTCCTCTCTTGTCTCGGGTTATCTACCTATCCGGCAACAGGTACTAACAAGTGCCGCATATTACTCTGCAATCGTCGCTCTACTGAAGCACCCAGAAAGATAAGAGATGCGAAAAGAACAAGCTAGAGGCAAGTAGGGATGCTGGCGGACACTCCCTCGTGAGACAAAAAGACTCGACAATCCATCCGATCCCTTGTGTCCGTAGGTAGGAGGGCAAATATTGAAAATATCGCGTGTCAACCTGTAGCCGTCATACCTCGCAGGCACACAAAGGTTGGAAACGCGCAGCCATCTCATTTCGCAAGTAGTATTTGATTTCCCGCCTCCGAACGCGGTGGAGGGGCTCCCGTAGGAGCTGCGGTCGTGACCTTACCCCCTCTAGTCATGCATATATGTAGACATCATCATCTCCTTACATGCCGCAATTAAAAGCTTCCGGCTTCCTAGTAGTACATATACGATATAATGCGGAATCTCTACCTTTTAGACTCCGTTCCCCTTCCGTCCTCGCGGCAGCTGCCTCTTCTTTAAAGTCACGCCGCACATAGCCGCCGCCAACGCGAATTTTTGGTGGCCGGAATGATCCCGTCGTCAACATCCAATCCAGTCCAAGCCGAAGCCGAAAACCAAGCCAGGGCGAGGCCCGGCCTATCCGAGTTCAGGAGAAAAAAGAGGAAAGGAAAAAAGGCGATCCGGCGTGGATCAAGTGATTGCGAAGTCAATCGATATCTTCCGAGGCCGTGACCTCGTTACCAACTCCCTGCCGCAAATGGTCCTGTGTAGTACCACTCCTAACGCCTAACACAAACAATGCCCTCTACACAGCCAGTTTCCCACTTCGAAATCTGGACACGACTCCGGTCCCGGGGTCGCAGTTGAGATGACATATGCCCGAACACGCAAGGGTCATGAAGAATGCTATCATGCGAGTGTCCCCAAATCTAGACCCGATGGCGCTACTAGATATTACAAGTCGTTCTGATAACGAACTTCTCATCCTCAGCCGGTTTGATCCACGTTCTTATCCGTGGCCGGGGGATCGAGCATCATTGTATCGGCGCTTGTCGGTGACTTGGCTTCCACTACCGTCGGCGGCTTCAGAACTCCAGGCTTCACTGCCGCCGCCTTATTCATTCTACTCTTCGTGTAGTCGCTTAGGCTTAGCTTCTTCTTGATCGGACTGGGCTGAACTCCGTTGGCGGATAGTGGTAGAAAGGGACTAGGCACGTTGACGGCCGAGGATGGTGACTGTGTCAGGGTGCCGGCAGTGGACAATGGCGTCGTTACGCTGGAAATGACGGAGCCGTTGAAGGTAGGGACCGGCGGCATCTGTACGCGTAGTTCGGGCGTTTTATTCTTAGGGGTAGAAGTTGCCGCCGTTATTCCTTTCGGCTTCACAGCAAGGCTTGTGTTCGTTGTTGTCGATGCTGTTACCGCCGTCGTCGGATTGCTTAGAGACAGGCTCTTGGTGTTTTTAGGCGAGATGGGGGAGGCGTCCCCCATAGGCATATCGGTGGATGGATCCGCTGCCGGCGTTGTTGGCTTGTCATCCTTGGTTAACATTGCTTCGGCCGAGTCCTGTTCCGCTTTCGGCGAATCTATATCCATCTTGACCATGGCAGCCGTCACAGACGTGGGAGAGATTGTGAGGGATGCCCTTTTACGATCCTCTTCCTCCCGCAAGCGACGTCGAGCACCGACTAGGCGCCTGGAGAGGGGGACGACTCGTTTAGTTATTTTCGCCTTTTGTCCTAGTCCGCTATGCCACCCGCCACCAACCGGACCAGTCTGCATAAAAGTGTCACGGTATTGTGGGTGAGGCCCCTGAGAAGGGTGTCGCAAAGGACTTCGATCGGAAGGCTGCATCAAATCGTGCTGCTTGCGGGGGTTTGACATGATCGACATGCCGGGAAATAGGTCCTGTGAGGTACCAGCATCGACATACCGACGCTCTGACGTGCCGTTAGGAAGACTAGTTAAAGGACCAGTCGTCGACTTAGGTTTAGATTTCGTTGTTATGCCGGGGTTGTTAGTCCCGTCTGAGGCTCGCTTCTTCTTTCGCGGAGGGGGTTGTTGTTCCATACGCCGAAATGAATCTTCGACCATCTGCACCTTTCGCTTGTCTCGGTCGGTGAGCTCCGTCAACACGCCCAGAGTGTCAAAAGAACCTTGGCGCGGCGCTGGTGTCATATCTCGGCTGGGAGGTTTGCTACGTGACGAACCCGAATCGTTGTCTGCCCCGTCATCGCCGTGCCCTTCACTAGCGGCTCGACTATTGGTGGCATGGCCTGTGCTGGTAGGTGATATAGCGCTTGCCTTGGGCTTCCGAGATTTCTTCTTGGAGCTCTTTTCTTTCGACTGTTGCGGCTTCGTTATGTATGTTCGGTGAAAGCGAGCAAACGCACAGTCGGGCCCCAACTCGCACGCGCACCCGCCGTATTCGGACAGTACGGCGTGGACCCACGAGGCGATACTCTGGTAGGTTTCCGTCTCCTTGTCGTTATATTCCGGCTGGGTGCTCGTTTCCTCGTCTCCAAGGCCGAGCAATTGCTCCCACCTCCGTGCCACGTCCTTCTGCAGATTGAACTCCCAAGGGATTGTGATCTGCTCCGAGGAGGCTATCCGTCGATCGCTCACAAGCCAGAAGTGGTACTCGGAGCCATCAGACAAGTACGTGTCCAGGGTCGCATTTGGCTTGCAACTTCGCCGCACGTAACGAGCGAGTGATCCCTCTCTCCGGGTATCGATATAAATAGGAAGCCTGGGGTGGAAAAAGACAAATGGAAGTGGCGAGCTGAGCTCCTGCCACCGATTATTAGGATCGTTGCAGTAGTCCTTCTGAATTCCGATCTGGCCGTTGAGCTCTATTAAGGGTACGTCCTCGCCAATCGCTTCCGAGGTCGTCAAATACTGCCAATGCACTACAGTATCGGACCCAACAACCGACTTTTTCGCCTCCACTCGTGGTGAAGTCTTGACCGAGTCGACATCGGGCGGCGAGGAACGAAAGACGTCTTCGAAGCGGCATCCTGTCTCTATTCTCAACTTGTCATGATCTCGCAACCATATCGACATGACGTCCGATACCAGGAGACTGGCAAATGAGTTCGTCTGGACGATTGACACATCACGGTCATCCTTGTAGAGGTTCAAGAAGGCACTGGAGTAATGTATCTCGAGCTCGTGAGAAATGTCGGGGGGTGTCGTAGCAGGGCTTGGTGGATGACCGTGGGGATTTCCGGATTTCTGGCTGTACGAAGGGCTGCGCTTCGGGTTTTGAGAGCTGATGGATTGGCTGGGCCGATGAGTACTTTTCGACTTCTTGTGCTGATGTGTAGGAGGATGATCGTGAAGATGTTTCGTATTCATGTCGGAGGCGGCGTAGCCATTTAGAGTGAGGTCGGTTGGTTTAGCCTTCTTCTTGTTCGCCTTGGAGGGAGGCCGCTTGGCTTTCCTATCCGACGCCTCCGTTGCGTTTGGTTTACTATGGCGCAGCTCTTGTCGCTCTCGGGCCCCCTCACGATCAAGCAGCCGGGAGTTACAGTCGACGCATGAGTGAGCAAAATCCTCTCGCAGCGCCTCGTCGATGTTGAGGGGATAGTAGCACTCGATATGCTGCCAACTGTCGCATTCTTCGCAGTAGATAGTGTTCCCATCATCGTCAGAAAAGTTGCAAATACACTTGATCGTGTAGGGTTCCTCTTCAACTGGCGCCTGAAGCTTATTGGGCCCATGGCTGGGAAGAGAGGGTATGGACTTGGGACTAAGGAGTGTAGTCTGACTCGGAGTCACTGGTTGCGGAGGCAGAGGCGGGAACCTGTCTGTCATAATCTAACATACACCCCAAGAGGTGCTTGCTTGCGAGGTCTTGTGGTGAGGAGGAGGCGGTTTATCGCGAGAACTTGGATGGCATGACGACGAATTTTGGTTCGACGTAACCGCACACTCTTCCCAGGAGTGCTAGAATCGGTGTAGAGTCTGGGACAAAACACATGCGTCGATGTAGAGGTGGTAGAGCACTGAGGAGTGTGTCGCGTCTGGTAACTTCTTGTTGCTGTGGGTTGCCGTTTCGGTGTCAGTACTGGTATTGTTGTTATTGTTCCTATTTTGGCGAGGTTGGTTTGACACGTCTGGATTTTAGGTATGAGCGCCTAGCACCAAGGGCAGCGCAAGGAACAAAAGAGATGCCGTCGGCCTTGACAGAGGCAGATCAAGACGTGTTGCCTGGCCTCGGATGGCGAGAGTGTATTATGCCACGATAGGACGAGGTAGATAAAACGAGGTCGGATTGGAATCTGATCGCAAGGAGAGGGTGCGACGACGGGAAATGACAACGTCTGCCGGGCACCTCGAGTCTGTCTCGCCGCTGCTCTGCTCTAGGGAGAATGCGCTTCGGAGGAGGAGGATAGAATCGGAGGCGGACAGAATTCGAGCGGAGCGGCAGAGCAACGGGCTCGGTCCTAGGCTAGGTTTCCACCAGTCAACAAACGATTCAACGATCTGAGGGCGCGAAGGCGAGAATGTAATCGTATTTGGTCGGTTGCGGCGAAGATAAGAGGAGGATTGGATAGACGCAGGACAGTAGAGAAGAATAGTGAAAAGGGAGAGGGAATACAGCAAGACAGGGCGAATAGAGTAGGATTGGGGAGGAGCACGAGAAGGGGGAGGAGGGAGAAAGAGCAGACACAGCAGGCGGGAAGGAGAGTATGCGCACCAAGCAAAAGGGCCAAAAGAGGAAGAGCTAGAGAGAAGAGAGAAAAAGAGAAGAGAAAAAAAAAAAGAGAGAGCGAGAGGGCGAGAGAGATTACTTACTCTGTACTTGCCAGGTACCTGCGGCCTACCTCTAGCCCGGCTACCTGGGCTGGGCCTCTCTGGTTGCCAAAGCGAAGGGCAGGTTCGATCGTTGCAGGGCACCTGCAGCTCCCACTGACAATTTTGAGGAGTGGTGCGTGCACAGGCACCTATTGGCATGGTTCTTGGGGTGGGAGCAAGAGGCAAGGCGGGAAAAATAGTGCCTGTGAAGGCTAGTGCATGTATTGGTGAGGTACATAGAAATACATACACGGTACAAAGGCTCGACCTAAGAGGGCGACCTCAGAGGTGCCACAGCGGGCAACAAGAGGGAGGCATGGATGTACACATGTACTATGGTACCGGTGTTGTCCACTGTTGTGCAGGTAGGTGCAGCTGTGCCCTGTTACTGCCAATCTTGTGGCTGCTGGTTGGGGTGTGGGCAGGCAGCAGAGAGGGGGTACATGGTGAGCAGATGTACATCCGCATATCCATGACATAGGGTATGTTAGGTATTCCCGCCATTCTGCGGGGCCGCCTAGGGGAGATTTCGGTGCAGGAACCACCAAAACAGAGGGAAACGGCCTCGCCAGCTCCATCCGAGCTCGCTATCGCTGGGGAGTGGCAGACGCAGCAACTTTGGTACTTGGCCGTAAAAGCGGAGAGGGCTCGAGGAGGGGAGGGGGAACGGCTGAAAGGGAAGAGGCGGAGGGGAGAAAGAATGCATGGAGGCACAAACAAATTGCATATACATCATACATAAGCAGAACGACTCGCCCTGGGGATATAGAGAGAGGGAGAGAGAAAAAGATGAAAGAGGGGAAATGGGAAAGAAAGGGGAGGGGAGTACGGGGCCGGGGGGATTGGAGACACCAGAAGGGATGGTTAGGAACTTGGAGGAACTCGACGGTCGCGAAACCCCCAGTCAAGAGAACACGACGAGGTTTAGGAATAGAGGAAAGTGTGCGCGAGAGTAGTATTGATAGTAGTAGCGGCAGTCGTATGTAGGAGTAATGAGTAGCAGTATCTGCTGCGGTTGTTGCAGGAGGAGGAACAACGGGCAGTAGTGGTAGTAGTAGTAGTGGTGGTGGTGGTAGTAGCAGTGAGAGCAGCAGTGAGGGCAGCAGTGGGAGGGGCGGCGATAGGAGGAGCAGTAGTAGCTGTCACGGGAGCCGTAGCAGAGGGAGAGGGGGAGAGAGAAAGAGAGGGAGAAGAGAGGGAAAAGCCACCCACATGGGAGAGCGTCGCATCCCCATCCTCTGCACAAACCATATCCCCAACCTAAGAGACCAAGACTAAGCCGGAAAGGGGCGGGGCCACCAAGCGCGAGCAACCGGCCAACGAGAGCGCCGCATCACGCCTGTATCTCCGCAAGCCTTTTTTTCTTCTTGTTCCCCCATCCCCGCCAGGCACCCAAGGCATCCATGCCAGAAATTAGAACGCTTCCAACTTCGATCGCCCGTGGCCGGATCCGATAGTGAGACGGCCAAGCGGGATGGTGAGAAAGCAGCGAGGACCGGTGGCCAGCGCCCTCCACGGGAAAATAGAGTAGAGTGAGAAAAACGGCACAGAATCCCTACTACCCCTTCCCGCCGCTCGCCGGCTGGTCCGTGGGTTTCCGGGCGGACCGACCTTCGAGACGGATAGAGGCCATCTCCGCTCTGACGTGGAAACAGAAACCCAGAATCAATATGATGCGCATAGGATACGTAAAAGCCCAGGGGAACCCGTGAGGGGATCCAATAAGAGGGTGTAAAAAGAATTGTCGAGCTTCGACGGTCTCTATGGTCAGAAGAGACAGCGAGTTAGCAGGACAGGCAGATGGACAACCCCGGAAAGAGATAGGAAGGGTGCGCAGTGTCGAGCACACAATAGGTGCTCTCGACCATGCCCCTTCATAGGTACAAGAGGGGAAGATGGTTTATGTGATGACGAAAGCGCTGGCCGCGGTAGCTTGTCCCTTTGTTGTCGGCGACTTGATTGGTTGTAGGGAAAGGGATGGAGATGGTCTCCTCATGTCACAGGGACAAGATGACGAAGGATTTATTTTTCTCTCTCCCTTATGATTTTCAAATCTTTGCAGGACGGGGTTATGTTGCTTACAATGCATACTACGTATGATGGATAATCCGTCTTTAGCAGCCAACCGTTTTGCACGATAAGGAGAATGGGAGATGGTACCTATACGCATATACAACCTACTTAGACAGGTAGGTACCTCTGGTGGTAAATTAAGAGCCGTACGTTACATACGGTGAAAATGACGGACCCGTATTAGTTATGTACACTAACAAGGTTTAGCTGAAACTTCCGGCCTCGAGTTAATGTCGAAACCAATCTTTCTTTGTGCGATCCATGTGCCCTCCAAATCCTGCTTACCTTCCGTCACTCTGCACGTATATACTACGTATACACGTTAGGTAACGAGCCCCAGGTATGGTGGCATGTTTCCCACCGCCGCAACGGGCTGCCTCATGGGAAAGGGGGGGGAGGCGAGGAAGTAAGCAATTAGGAGGGATTGTTTAGAGGCTGTTGACGCTACCAGTTTTCGCGTTCTGTTTGCATATGTTGAGCGGAAAAGAACACGTCTGGATAAATGCGATGGCCGTGGAGAAATCCATGCCAAAAAGCCATGGGCGAAGAATACTTTAAACCCCAATGCATCCCCAACACGACGGTCCTAGGGAGCGGGCGAGATACTCCGGTACACATTCTGTCTCATCTCTTCCATTTTTAACCGTTGAGTCATAGACTGAGGAGGGGGACCCCAGCGCGGATTACCTACTAATACTATCCGTCCATTCATAACAGACTCGCCAAGAGCGCAGCGATTCCGTTTGGTTACGTTGTCCCGGATTTGCGGCATTCTTGCTGCAAGATGATCGTGTGATGAATATGGAAAACTGGGTGATTTGCCGGCTTGTTGACAGAGCCTCGTTCCATGGGTAGGCATTCACACCCATACAATACGCATTTGCCTGCCCCCACACACACACACACCACACACACACACACATATATATATACACATGCGCATATATGTACGCACAAAGCAATAATACAGTATTCCGTGGGTTTATACCATCCTTCGCCCACTCTTGACCGCTCCTCCTCCCGTCCCGTCTTATCACCCCTCTTCACCCCTCTTCGTCGGTATGCAGGCGGCAAGAGGAGCTGTTTGGCTGCGTCGCTCACCAAGACAAGCAGCGTTCCAAGCGTGCTTCGACCAAGATCCGACGCTCGGATTGCACAGTCTCGATAGGCTTTTGTTGGTTGCATTCCGACCCAGGAATGCATGAAATCGTGGCTATGCTCGCGGACAGTCTGACCTCATGCGCCCAATCACCAGGCGGTGCAGGCCTGGGAAGAGACCTGCACCCGGGGGTGGGCTAGGACAGTTATCGCGCTACTGGATCGAGACCGTCGGTTGCCGGGACTAATAAGTACGCCGCCATCAACTCCTCGGCTGTGAACTAGGCAAAATTCGAACCCATCAAGGGAATCCCTTCGGCGATTGGAGATAGCAACGCGCCTTGCTTCCCCCCCCGCCGGATACGTGTGGCATGTGTGCGTGCGCGTGTCCTATCTCTCATGTACTGATGTGTATGTATCCATGGGTGCGTAGACGCCATCGACGGATAGATGATGCGAATTCTTGGAGGCGATTAGCGGACACGACGTGAGGGGCGGAATCGGGTGAACAAAGATTGACATCGACTCGACGCGCCCACAATTGCCGCCCGCCACCGCAAACCTGCTTTCATTATCATTCCGGCTTCTCATCTGGACGTCACGTCGCTCCGTGCGAACCAGTGGTGCAACCTGAGCGTTCCGCTCGCGAAAAGAAGGGGATACAGACACAAACAGCAACTTCACTCGCATTACCGCCCAGGTCGGGGAGACGCTGAGGCACAGGACCAGGCACCGAGTAATAATATCGATGCAACTGTGCGGCCCTACCAAGCCAAAGGGCCAATTATGGGCTCTAATTGCAGCTCGGTTGGCCCAGTAGTACTTCTATATTCGCCTTAGGAAAAGTGCAGGACACAGAACAGCCCTGTTGGCGTTTCATAGGCCAGCCTACTATCATACGGGTCCCGAGGACGGCAAACACATCCTCCCAAGGCCCATCTGGAAATGCCCAACCGATATCCGTCTTCTTCACAGCGCCGCGTGAAGCGACATCCATAATGAAAACGCAGATCTTGAAGACAGCAAAAATTGCGGGAACTATGATCCACGAAGGATAATAGAAAAGGGGCAACTCCGCGCTGTGCAATGCAGGTTTCCCCCTTTAAAAGCCCTTCTTCTTGAGCGAGGACGTTTCTCCCAAGGTAAGTATGAAGAGAAAAGAGAAGGAGAAAATACGCAATGAGAGCGACAGGATGACTTGTCTTTTATAGGGTACAGGAACGCCCGAAGGCCCCGGGGGGGGCCTGGGTGATTTTCGACCTTTGGC